CCTGTATTTTGGCAATTGTACAACGAGAAACTGTTTAAAACAGTTCAACTTTATCCTTTTAGCAGTGCACAATTCTCATGACTTCCTGAGGATATTTCCACGGTTTCCTTTAACAACGTATTCAGTTACATAGATATTGTTATTATCTACATGTAATATTGTAAAGAGTTATATGTACGTATATCGTATGTAAATATAAAATACATACAACATATCTATAGAATAGGTGTGTTACGTTACATTAACGACAAGAAACAAAGATAATAAATAACGAGCCAACAGTATACTTACGAGGTGAAAGCACGATCCGCGACAGATGACCGAAATTGTCGAGAACAGATGCTTTCGTTGTCGTTCGAGAATCGAACACAACTATCGCATTATTGCTGTGTAAACGTATCGTCCAGTCCAATCGTGTTATCTTGTGTGAATAACGCTCGAAGAAATGTACTTTTTTCGTACTTTAATCGCGAGTATTTGGGCTTTCGATCATTCACATGTCATCCAAAACAACCTAATCTACAGTATTATACGTATTTACGTTTAATACGTTATGTATCACGCGGTGTGGTGGTTGTTTCCTCCGTGAACCGATGCAACGTGAAAGCCACGGTGTGAATCTCTTCGAAATCGAAGACGACGTTTCGGCGCATTTCCGCACAGATCTTGCCATACCTTCTATACATAAAAAATGAAAAAATAAAAAACGAGACAAGGGACAAATAAGGGAAAGAAGAAAAAAACAAAGAGGAAACGCTGAAGAGGGGTGCACGGCCGGTATACAGTATGTATATGGTACATAGGACATAGGGAAACAACTGTATTTTTGCGGACTTTCAGGACAGTTAGTATGCAATTTATACGAGAAGAAACTGGCACTAGTTACACGGTCGATCTACCATGGTCGCGCACCGTTACCATCACCCAAGAAGGGAAATACACCCCTGTGGATACCGCTTGCACTTTCCGCGATTCCTCCGTAGTATAATTTCAACTCTAGCATTTTTATTCGCTTGCTTTGCATCGCGAAACAAGTCCCTCCCTCTCTCCGCTCGTGTTCATTATCAACGGATTGAAAGCATGCTAATCACGAGATGAAAAATGAAACGACCCGAATAATATTGCGCTCCCTTGGCCGATCTCTTTCTCGAATACCTATGTTCGTTGCGGTAGCACAACCACCAGGTTCATCGATTATCTTAGCTTGTTCGTCTTTCACGGCTGCAAAGAGAAAGAGTGTACCGTGTACCTACTACTCTAATGTACCTGCAATACATACGTGTAGAAAGCGTAGTAAAATCGTTCCTCGTTTCATTCGATAAATGTATACGTATATACATATGTATACATATACATATACTTTGAGGCGGAACGTTGCACGAAACGCGTTACTGACTGGTGTAAGTGTACGGTACACCAAGAATTATCTCTGTAACAAAGCTGCGTGGAAACATGCAAAAGATCCGAGGTTTTTCCATGAAATATTTACAAGTTGGAAATGGAACGATTATCGATAGCATCGAACTGAAGCAAGAACGCAACCGCAACCGCAACGCAATCGGTCACACGAGCGAGACAAAATGAGAATTAACAACACAACTATCAAACCTAAACTTATAGCTCCCTGTAACTTATAACGTCCCGCTAAATGAACCCAAATCTCGCCTTGAACCACCGTGACCTTGAACCTTGCGGATACAACAACGTGCACGCACGCACATACTTACAACGTCGTCGTCGAACGTGGAAAAGTCGCCCGAGGCTATTTCAGTCGGCGTAGGACAATTCCGCATCTCGTCCGCAAAATTCCACCGATTGATCAGACTCGTTGACGAAAACAACAGCCGCGGGCTGCTTCGAACGAGAAGCCTTATTTATGTCGTTCTACCTTTTTACCGCGGATCAGTCATCATCTAGAGTTCCGTCTTTATTGAACCGGAACGATTCTCCTAATCCTCATGCATAGTGCGTTCGAACTTTGTTCGATATCGCAGTTCACCTACGAGGCATGGCTCGCTTCAGTCAAACAACTAGAGATTCAGAATCAATGCGTATTTATGCGAGCGAGCCCGAACTGGATAGTTTTTAGTGGAAACAGAAGAAACGAAAAATGTCTACGAGTTTGGTGAACTTTGCTCGATCAGCACGGCTTTAGACCGTGCTGCCCCTTTACAACGCATGCAACGTATAAAATTCATTTACTTAGGAAGGATCTCAATTGAAAATGCCCTAGCCAATCGCATTTATACGCGCAAATCAATCTAATCGTTGAATCGAATTATTATAATACCATTTCATCTTCGGACTTGTCATGATCCTTGATTATTTCATGTTGTCGTCCCCTTACTCGCATAATATTTATAACCAATACCCTTTCTATCGCATACTCCGTCTATTGTCATTTGCTGCGCTCAAGATTTACTGAAAAATTCCAAAGTAATTCCATGCTTGTAAGCATATACATATGTACGTCGATACTTACATGTACAGGTATGTACATACCACGCGTTCCTAATCGTAAGAGATGCGTCGAATTCGAACATAAAAACCGACCGTTCGTAATCCCTTTTTTCTAACGTGAACAACAACGGCAGTTCTCTTCTTCGAGTGTCTCGAATCGTTCCGTTGGATAGACCTTTTGTTTTTCCTTTGATAAATAGTACGAGACGGTACCTTATTTGCGTGGCAGACGAGCCGGGAATGGTGATGAGACGAAGGCACGTACAATAACTGTTGGTTCGACGTGATAATACCAAGTAGAATGCATCTTGTTCGCCTCCTCTTCCCTAATTCGTGCGCGTTCCCAACATAATTTCCTCTGCTACACTTCTCGAATAAGTTATGCAGTTTCATTAAGTACGAAGCAATGGCACGAGTATAATCGGGAAATCATTTATAAACGTAATCACCTATACGGTACGTACCTCCAGAACTCTATTTACCAAGAGTTTACTTCGGTAGCATCTATCGATGAACATCGATAAGTATCGCGAACATTGTAAAAATAAAGCGACGCAACAAGTAGTGTAGATATTATGTATCCCAATAATTCCGCAAGTGAATACCGTCCAGTATTATTTACATTCCAGGCATCCAACGCACAACATCGATGAAAATGAATATTTTATCCGCACGACTACTTGCAACAAGTTATAGTTGTTTCGTGCGCTTCTGTGTTAATAATGGCTAGAATCATTATTGCATTATTCGCACATGTACTTACAGCATCGAACCAACAACATTTTTCTTTGTCAACCACTAGATCAGAAGCTTGGAGAACGGAGATTAATCCCTTCTATTCGTTGAGCAACAGTAATCACGAGATCATTATTAAAATAACAATTGTTTGCACCGATTGACAATTGTTCATACATATTTGGATAGACCTTACAACGTTATATGGACAACAGATTCCATCTTCACCAAGTATTCCATTTGGAGCTTACAAAACGTAGATTAATCCCATTATATTGATAATAACAATAAACAACCAGAACACTGTCAAAATCGCATTTAATCGTGGCCAAATACCACTATTTTTTCGATCGGTGGCGCCACTCGTGGCAATTCGCTCAAACTACTAGCCAAATCATACCGACAGGTGCGTGAAAATTTCTAGTGATGAACAAAATGTGAATATCTCAGTAATTAAGCGCTCAAAGTTAACGTTGCTAGTCTTAGAATATTCCCCGCGATTCAATCCGTCGACCAAATGCAATAGAACCCCATAATTAGAGGAATTACTTCTACCAGTGTTGATATGTATGTACATACATATGTACATAGTACTGTATGCAGTGTTGACAGAAATAATTCTTCCGATTATGGGGTTCTGCGGTATTGAGTCGATGCACCATTTTAAGCGCCTATTTACATACTGAGATATTCGTCTTTTTTCAACAGCAGATATTTTCACTTACCTGTCGGTATAATTTGGCTAGCAGTTTTACCGTTTCGCCACGGATGGCGCCACCAATAAAAAAAATATAATAGTGTGCGCGATTAAATACGATTTTAACGGTGTTCCGGTCGTTTATTGTCATTAACAATATACTGGGATTAATCTACGTTCTTTAAGCTTCAAAACTAATACTTGGTCAAGACGAGAGCTGCCAGCATAACGCTATGTATGTACATTATTACATACCCCGGTTTCGCCGGCAAACAATGAAATACTGAAATGATACGGGGGCTTCTGATGCCCCCGAAGTACGGGACAAAAAAAGTCATTGAATGATAGGTCTATTCTATATCTAGTCGATGGTAATACTCCGTTGCTACTAGATTGTTGATTGTTTCACTGTTTGTGGCACCACGGGCTGCCACGGGCCTTTTCGAACAGAGGTTTAGATGGTTAGAGTTGCTTATTAAAAAACTAAGTTTGCACCAATAATTGTTGATAAACAATTTGGATTTAAGGCAGTTCAATAAAGTATCTGTCATTAAATTACTGAGAACACACAATTGATTTCAAATTGCATGATTTTTTTCTGTATTTCCGAAAATGCAGTATGCACCATTGTATATATAACAGCATAAGAAAGTGCTCTCATTCTCAGTGCAAAAGTCACTGGTTGTCAGACTGTAACGGACAACTACATAGCACACATGATTCATCGTAGACGTTATAAATCCCAGCGTCAACTTCAAGCGGTTGATTTGAAAATTCTTCAAACGATACGATTTAATAACTCACTCATCACATCGAGAAACGAATCCATGTATCACCAAGTGAGACCATTTAAACAATTACTCTTTTTGTATATATCATTTTTAATCATATATCAATAACAAAGAAACTATAAGGCATGATATTAACAAGGAGGTAGTGTTCGTGTTATCGCATCGGTAGGGTATATTGTTTACGAATAATGAACGATGAACGGTATTTAAGCGGAAACGAAATAATGGTCGCGCGAAGCGAAAAGAACATTCGGTTCGTATCCGAAAGCTAGGGAAAAAAGTTCAATCGCCAAGTATAGCCAATGGCCGCTGCGAACGAGTGTTCCGTGTCGGAGCCTGGGTAACCGCTGTGATCGATGCGTAACTACGTGTTTTAAAAATGTGTTAATTCGCTGATTCAATTGGATCACGCGTAATCGTTACTCGCAATCGAGGGCAAAATATGTCGAGCCGGCAAACGAAAAAGGAAAAGGTGCGTTCATCGTGTTGCACGTCCTGTCTAAATAGTGAGGTCTGGTCTGGTCTGGTCTGGTCTGATGTGATCGCGTGTAATACGCAACGCGTATGGGCTCTCTCTCCTTACGCTACCTTACGCCTTACGCTATCAGTAATGCACACCTATACGCGATACTGTGTTCCTCCTTCACGCGATAGAGATCGTGGGCACGCGCACGCTTCCTAATAAGAAAGACAGAGGAAGACATATATAACGCATATATCCTGTGAACAGTCGGAGAGTGAGGGGGATAAGGGAGAGAGCGAGAGAGAGAGAGAGAGAGAGAGAGAGAGAGAGAGAGAGAGAAGTATAGTTGGCGAGAAAGGGAAGAAGTAAAGGGAGAGTAAAGAGAGTTCGGGGAAACAACCCCGGTAGTTGAGACACCGAAGGGTGTAGCGTGATTCTCGATTTTGCGACATTCGTTTCGCTAGCACATTTTCACGGCCTTACGTTCCAAAGGACCTGACATTATGGTACATCCATTCAGTCCACTGATTCTCGTTTCCGTCTGTGTCATCGCGCGAGCCGCGAGTTTTGCTGAACGGTACCTCGCGTCTCGAACGCGATTCGTGTGCTGTCGTGGCATCGTGCATTTCGTACAAGTGGTGCAATTTTACTTGTTTTGTTCCAGGATACGTCTAAGATCAGTAAGGACAAGGGGAAAAACGGCAAGGATGGCGAGTCAGGTGACGAGGTGAGGTTATATCGCCCGTTCCATGATCCTTCGAATCGACATAACTCGGCTCGGTTACTAGTTTTCTTCGATACTCTTATTATACATATATCATCGATTCTTCCTAGCCTAAACATCTTTTACTCTTTTGTACCTCTATTTACGTTGCTAACCGTTTCATTTTCTATACGGTTAAATATTCTCCGATTATTAAATACCTCTCCCTCGAGAGGTAATTCGGTGTCCATCTTCAACCATTTGCCTACCTAAAATGTTTTTCTTCGCGAGGGTCGTGCACGCGTGCAACTCAACCTGTATACATATGTACGTATTCTACGTGTGGCTTGTGCATTTTCCGCGATCTATATTATACAGTATTCCAGCGTGACCTCTCATTCATTGTCAATCAACGTTTGCGCACCTTGGAAACGGTTTTACAGTTTTTCTCGAAGAATCTTGCTGAAACATTCAATTGTCGGATTTTTTTTCTCTAGTTTCTACTAACTGTAAATCCGACGATGTGCAACCCGGAAATGGTCTGACCCAAAGTACCCCGATATAATTTACTGATATCTTCCTTGTGATTTCCTAGTCATGCTTTTAGCTCTCGTTCGAAACAGTTAACGGCATTTGACGTTGCTGGAAATTTGATACATTTCTTGTTTGTAATTAACGAGTAATCAAAGTTCCATACACGACATGAACGGATTGAGCGCGCGCGCGCGCGCGATTTGAAGAAACGCTTACCTCACCTGCATTATTTTCACCGTAAAATTGTTTAGTACCTAGAAAACATTTGTTTCATTTCTCAAGGCCATGGAGGTCACTAGATACTCGTTTTTAAAAAATATATTTACATATTTAGATGCCATCGACACTCTAATTAGCAAAAAATATATGCGACCTTGAGATCAGTATTTTACGTTTGTTTAAGCAATGGAAAAATGTTTTCAAATAAATCTAAAATCTTGGGATACTTATGTTTAGTTTTTCATCGTTTCATGCTGAAATTCTGTATACATACATACATTTGTATCGTGATTGTGTGATATTTGTCTCGTCGAACCTTTAATTACAGCGACTTAAATGATTTGACTGTTTTATACCGTTAACGTTTATCAGGAGAGATAGGAAGTAGAGATAAATAGAAAGTAATGGGTTTGTGACAAAATTGTTTCACTTATAAACGCGGAACTGCCTCGAAGTTGTAACGTGCACGCATACGAACGACGTGTAGAGTTTAAGAAGCTTATGTAAAAGTAAAGTGACAAACAATCGGTTATGATTGATCGTAATCATTCGAATCGTCATTACAGTTCTCTTGTAACTATTTATTTACACAGGTTCCAAAAGTCAGCGAATGTTACTTTAAGCACAGACTTGCATAACTGCTTACTACATAAGGCACGCAAACTGTACACAAAACACACGTTTTTATCTGCAGTACATATCAGTGTACATTATTAAATTTCCATCGACTGTTTTATTTCGTTTCATTCTGCTCGATGTATCGAGTACACTTCATCTTTGGAATACATAGTAGAAAATTGATATGGAATAGTAAGTACAAAGTGTGCGTATGCATGTATTTACAAGAATATTCAAGCAATCACAAAAGTATCTTATGAAAATTTGTGCTAAAAGGTAGGGGAGCTCAAAGAATATTTAAATAAAAATCCAAGTGTGATAGACAAAATTTCATCCCTTACATATGTACAATTATTGTTACACGTCATGCTTCCTTAATCAACTGCACACGACTACACTGTCAGCTAGGTTCCTCGAGATGAGGTTTTGTGATTGGTGTTGAAGTCATTCTTGCGCAATCTGTATAAATATTTTCATTTGACAACATGCGGGTATTCTTTAGTGCGCCAGATTGAAGTAGACTTAGCAGATTATCCTATACATTTGCCAAACATACCTTCAAGTAACTGTCATCTTTTTTGGCCACTAGAAGATGCTCTAAATGGACATCACTTCAGATGAAGGGTCAAGATCAACAGTGCATAAATGGTTTCAAGATCACCTACAAAACTTCTCTCATGGAAGCCAGGCATTAACGCAACGTTGGAAGAATTGTATCCAATGTAATAAGCATTACTCATAGATTGGCATACGCATTTGAAAATAATTCTTATACATATACTAGTTAATTATTGAGAGTGGGACCTAATGAAAATACATACGTATTAGAAATTTCGTAAACGTTCTATCATAACAGTGCGTTGATATTGGCTTGAAATTATACGAGTTTTAAATTTTTTGAAGAAAGAAATTCCTAAGAACAAGAGTTGGATAAAATTGTGTGTACAGTTTCATGCATGTATTGTGTCAGGCACTTCACTGATCAAATTTATGTTCATTTGATAAATCTTTGAACTTTGGAGCTTAATTCTATTATGTCATTAGTGAATTCTTCAATATGGTGTTTCAGGCCAATAAGGTAGCAGGAGGACCACCTATGACGAGTGCACCACCACCGCCGACGTTGATAAACAAGATCAAGTATCAACCAGGCGGTCCTGTAATAAAAAAGGACAAGCGACAAAGTAGTTCCAGATTCAATATCACGAAAAATCGAGAACTTCAAAAATTGCCGCTTCTCTCTGGTAAGTAGTTGTTTACCTTCGAGGTGAATTCCTTGATAAAACAGATTAGAAGTTTGTGGGAACTGTATGCATATGTATGTATATGTATGTATACATGGAAGACAGGACATATAAATGAACTGTGCGCCGATAATAAATCCCTCGATTGGATTAATTGTCTTTCGATCGATATGTAATAATTAATTATTTTATTTAATTGCTGATAACGATAACATTAATCAAGTAATAACGGTTTTACTTAAATAAATGTTTATTTCGAAATTTCCTACAATACTAGTAAAAGTTCTACGGAGAAGACGGGGTATACCAAGTAAGAACGCTCTGGCAGTTACTTTCGGGTTTTTTCTTTTTATTATTTTTAAATTCTCGGACGCCCAGGAATTATGAAGTAGCTACACGTCAAAGCATATCGATTGTAAGGCGGGGTGGTGGTCCTGGCATGCGCACCACAGTATCATTCGCGGCGATTCTCAGCTTTCTAACGTAAACAGTCCTTAGCCGTCGTTGATATCGACGGCATTTTTGTCCAATTTCAATTACTTCCATCTTTCCTATTTTTCGAGGTGATTCGGAGTCGCGGTCATATTCAACGATCATGCGGCGCATAAGTTAACACACCTGAAATACACACGCGTACACGAACGCGTAACGCCGTATAAATTTCGAGAGATAGCGTACTTTTTGCTCGGAAGAACGGTCAGTTACGCCGAAGCAACAGATTGTTATGTGAAGAAGGAAGCCGGTGTATAGAAAAGTGCCGCACGCCCCGTAATTCATCGAGCAAAAAAGAAGGCAAGCTTCCGGTGATAATATCGTGAACTGTGAACACGGATAGCTACGTGAAAGCAGAATGGTTCACGTTGACGGATATCCTTTTGCATCCGGCGGTTTGCCGAAAAGTCCTAGCTTCCATCAGGGTCTAGCCTTAGCCACGGTACTTTCCCGAGAACCGAATAAAACTTGCCTGATCAGCTTCACTTCGCATTACCAACCTCTACGGCCTTTGTTAATCGGTAAAGAAACACTGAAAGTTTATTTATCACTTTTGAACCCAGACCTAACAAACTTACCCGAGATAAAGAAATACATAGGGTGTCTATGGGAAGAGAGCATGTGCGTGCGTGCGTGCGTGCGTGCGTGCGTGCGTACGTACGTACATGCGAGCGGGCGAACCCGTTTGTGGTATACGTGACCGACAATGAGAAGTAATATACAATGTATTCGAAACATTATGACAATGGGGTAAATAAATATAAAGAGAACAGACCCGTGGAATTGTCCAATAAAGAGTTGATGGAACAGTCCAAAAGATATGAATAGTATTGGATAATTGAAAACAAAATAAAAATCTACACATAGATCTTTCGGTGTGTTTTTTTGTTGTCGATAAATCACGGTGATTCGAAAAGCTATTTATTTTCCCCGTGAAGTAGTCCGGGTAAAATAAAATAGAAAACTTTATTAGACTTCGATAAATTTGTTGTTTTGCCATTTATTGTTTTCACGTTCGATAAAATGCATAATGTCTACAGTAGTCCGTGAACACGTTCAGAAGAATCGGAGAAAGAATCCAGAACGGAGTTTTTCGAGAGATATATGAATTGTTTGTGTGCATTCCGTGTATCCTGATCTTTAAATGCATGCATATGTGCATACCTACGCTTATGTATTCGATCCATATAAATTCCATTTGATTTCTCGTTTCAGAGACGCAACAAGGAAACGAACGGGAGGAACTTTTTATACAGAAACTACGACAATGTTGCGTTCTCTTTGATTTCGAATCTGATCCGCTATCGGATTTAAAATGGAAGGAAGTGAAACGTACCGCTCTGCACGAGATGGTCGAATACGTTACCACGAACAAAAATGTTATCACAGAGGCTATATACCCCGAGGCGGTGAACATGGTAAGTTGGAAATACCTTAACACTTTTAGTAGATAAGAAGGAATCATTTTTAACAGAATCAAGCTTTTATAGTTCGCAATGAACCTCTTCCGCACGCTTCCTCCGTCATCGAATCCAAACGGTGCCGAGTTCGACCCGGAAGAGGATGAACCGACTCTGGAAGCAGCCTGGCCGCACTTACAGTTGGTTTACGAGTTTTTCCTCCGGCTATTAGAGTCTCAAGACTTCCAACCCTCCATTGCGAGACGCTACATCGATCAGAAGTTTGTCTTACAGCTTTTGGAGCTATTCGATTCGGAAGATCCACGGGAAAGGGATTTCCTTAAAACTACGCTTCATAGGATTTATGGAAAGTTTTTAGGGCTTAGGGCATACATCAGGAAGCAAATAAACAATGTTTTTTACCGATTTATATACGAAACTGAACACCACAATGGCATCGCCGAACTCTTAGAGATCTTGGGAAGGTAATTTTTTCGTTGCTTCTTGTTATAAATAAATAAAATAGCAAAATCGCACGCGTATTAAATCCCTTGTTCTTTCAGTATAATCAACGGTTTCGCCTTGCCACTAAAGGAGGAACATAAAATTTTTCTATTAAAGGTGCTTTTACCTCTACACAAAGCCAAATCACTGTCCGTCTATCATCCGCAGTTAGCGTATTGTGTTGTTCAATTTCTGGAAAAAGATCCGTCGCTAACCGAGCCTGTTATTCGGAGCTTGCTGAAATTTTGGCCGAAAACACATTCCCCGAAAGAAGTGATGTTCTTGAACGAGCTAGAGGAGATTTTGGATGTGATCGAGCCTGCCGAATTTCAGAAAGTCATGGACCCACTGTTCAGGCAGTTAGCGAAATGCGTTTCATCTCCACATTTTCAGGTATTTTTTTTTTTAAGCTTTATTGGCGATATTCTGTAAGTTTCATCTGTAATATTATTTCGTTTATGTTGCATTTCACTTGATTGTCCTCTAGGTGGCTGAAAGGGCCCTCTATTATTGGAACAACGAATATATAATGTCCTTAATATCGGACAACTATTTGGTCATTTTACCTATTATGTATCCAGCATTCTACAGAAATTCCCGCAATCACTGGAACAAAACCATTCATGGCTTGATTTACAATGCATTGAAGCTCTTTATGGAGATGAACCAAAAAGTGTTCGACGAATGTACTCAACAGTATTATCAAGTATGTAATCACGATGACACAGAAAACCGGATAAGAGCATAATATTTATACTAACTGCAATACTTTCAGGATCGTCAGAGGGAAAAAAGGCTCATGAAAGATAGAGATGAAGCGTGGATGCGCGTGGAAACCTTAGCTATGAGACATCCAAATTATAATGTGTCCGGTAAAGGTTTAACAAATACTATCGCCAACACTACGATATCACAACAACAATTGGATAGCCCACCACCGGACGAAGATGGCGATACGGATCAAACGCCGCTCACTTTGGAAAAGATAGAAGCTAAGGCAAACGAGGTATGGTTCCGTCTGCGCTCTAGAAGAGTACCGCATGGTTTGACAAAATTTGACAGTGTTTCTCGATACTTTGTGTTGCTACTATGGTCATGTCCTTAACAAACACTTACAACAACGTAACAACCAATGCTACGAACATGGTTCTAGTAACCATATGAATTATTAGACGAGTCATCGTGCTACAATTTGATAAAATTGAAATTAGTCGTGCATATTGTGGTTATCGTTGTTGTTGTTGTTGTTGTTGTTGTTGTTGTATGGTGATTCATAATGTGAATATTTTTCATTATAGGCAAAGAAGATGACAAACACCAATAAAACTAAGCCACTTCTGCGAAGGAAGAGCGACTTACCCCAGGACACGTATACAATGCGGGCATTGTCCGATCATAAACGCGCCGACGAGTACCTTGTCACACCACCGGATCCCAACAATTGCTAGTCTCTACCGCAATCTCTTCCCAAGTATCCTCTCTTCTGCTGCAGTGATATTGGGAGTTAGCTTTTTTGGAGGGGAAACGAACATGGCGATGAATCCAATCGAATTCGACCGTATGTCTAACAAAAGCTTTATCATACAAATACCAGACATTGTCGTAACCATCTCCCCCCTTATATCAAAAATGTCAAAGTCTATCTCATTGTCTCTTTTCTTTATGGTAACAAAAAAAAGCTTTCTCTCATTGCACCCAGCACTTTTGGAAGACGTAATCGTGACCGTAGTAATGTACAAGATAAAGGTACTGAAGAAAAAATAACTGATAACTTCCTATATACTCTTCGAGACGATTTACGTAACGAATCGCGTGAATGATCGCAAGCATTAGTTACTCGCTATTAAAAGTCATGATACACAGAAAAAAAACATAGCGAATAAGGGTCCTAAGTATGTATGCATATACAGAGTATTTTATAAATTGTAGATTTCTTGCGTATGGGGAAATCTATCGCTGACAATAAGACAGTCTTCTCTGCGAGTAAATACGCTATCGTCTTTATAATTAAGTAAAGGTGATCGAGATTGGGTGTACAATTATCGCCTACAAGTTGAAATGATTCTCGATCAATCTATTTATAAAAGAATCCAGTTTGAACGTTGTCTTGCATCTAGCGGGGGATTTTCTTCATATTATAGGAATTTATAGTTTATTGAGCACCCTATATATAATATATAGGGTAATATATACATATATATGTGTGCGCGCGCGCATAGTTTAGTATTCCTGAACGTACTACTTTTATATCTGTCGTGCCTAGATGCCTGTGGAACGCATTCGCAAGAATCGCCTCTGCCAGAGGCCTATAATTAAGAATCGTTACTGAAGAAAATAAAAAGGGAAAGCATCGAGTTGTAAACGTGACGTTACCAAACGGTACAATCGACATCACGAATTTTTTCTGAGGACACTTGCATAAACCGTTACGTCGTTGCCTCGTCAGTTTAGCGGTTAATCGAGGAACCAGAAGAAAGAAGTTATTTCGTCGCTGATATAAAACGAAAACAGTAAAAGAAGAAGAAACGTGGAAATTAGCGATGCGATTAAAATTGAAAAAAAAAAAAGGCGAATTTAATTAAAAAAAAAATATCTTTAATCTTTTACGCTGCTGGCAGGCTGTTATGTTAAACATTGTGTAGGGGATGAACTTGTTGAGAATAGATAAACGATTAGCACGTACTATTAAATAACAAAAATTAAAACCAAATGAGATAAATATAAAAAAAAATTATTTACTATTTAATCGTCCTTTGGGAAGGAGGATCGCTGTTTTTGTTACTATAAACCATTAACGACACTGAGTATTCTTGTCGATAATAGTTTTTATTATCCAGTGCGGTGTAATCTCGATTAAATTTTCTTACAAAGGAATCACTGTATCTTCGTAATTTTTTATTTAGTAATAAGCAAAAGGTATTTTTTCATGAAAACATTTGTATCGAAATATATTATATAATAGTTTCAAACGTTTCTACCAACATACTTTGAGAGTTTGTGTATTGTACTAATTCTCTATTCATTTCATTTCTCTTGATATGGTCATCGAGATTACATTAGCCTTTTCGATAGTTGAAATCAATCTGAGAAAAAATAGTAGACCATAGTGTTTGAGAGAAGCGTCTTTCTCGTAATGTGTATGCTTCGTATGATTGTCTCTTATTACGTTTATTCTTTCACGTGTGTCATGAAAGATATTTTCGTAAACATGTAAAATAACATAGTCATCGAGGAACAGTCCTTTAAGTTTCTCGCGCTTGAAGACTGTGTTAATGGTTCAGGATTGGACGAGTATTATCTGATCTTAAAATTCTCGTTTCTGCATACTATCAGGCTTGTATGCTATGTACAAAATGTAAAATGACATTTACTTTCGTCCGTATACATCGTTACCTCGAGTCGTTACTTTGATCGGTTGTTCTACAGTTTTTATAGTAACAACAGAGCAGCCACAATCGAGTACATACTCTGTAGAGTAAAGAAAGATCGAAGTGTGAAATAACCGACCATGTTTTGTGTAAGGGGGAGCAAGGATATCGATAGAAAAGAAATTAGGCAGCTTGAATCTCGTAGGGAATTCCTGTTCTTCCTTACGTAAAGTTTAGATCATCGTAGGTCGTGAACGAAGGAAAATGTTAAATAAGAAATGTCCGCGTGTACAGTGATTTGCTTCAAACCTAGAAATACGAATTACGACGAAACACATCGGAGCTGTGTATCAATGTTCGATTACAGAAATTTTTTAATGATCGCCTGTCCGATCGATTCGATTCCATGCATGCGTATATTCATTTACAATTTGTTCGAAGCATAATTTTATAATACATAAATAATTACATCAAACCGAAAAAATTACTCCACCTATTTAAACAATGTTTACTACTCGTTCCACTTTCATTTTAATCGAAAACTGAAAATTTTACGAATGTATTTAGTCAAGTGACAATTATTAGAGTAAGATAGTGTGGAAATCGGTAAAAGTGAAATTTTTGGCTGGCTACGCTACGCCCGCGCGAACTTCCCTTTACACCGTGACACGAGCAGAATTATTTTCAGTCGCCACCTACGACTAAATGCTAAAAATTTTTTGCCCATAACTAATACCACGATTAATCGTACGATGGCACAACTATCTGATTCAGGTAGCAGCTCTACGCTCACCATCCTGTTTAGTGTTCACTGTTCTACTTATATATACTATATAGTATATAGATCAGGTTAGTGTTGCGCGGTGTTGCGCTGCGCATCGTCGTTGCATTACTTAAAATGGTGGATCACTCGGTGCCGTCAGACATTCTTGATGATCTCAGCAGGTTAACTTTCCTGATAATCTAAATAGCGCCTTATAATATATTTCGTTGCGTTCAAGGTTTTCTTTATCGTTCGCTTTGATTTTGCGAATAATGTGTATATTACTTTCAGCCGATTCATCATCAATGTGCCCGAAGAAGAGCGAAAAGATTTGGTTCGAATATGTTTTCAAATCGAACTGGCTCACTGGTTTTATTTAGATTTTTATTGTACAGATGAAAATCCAAAGCTTAGACGATGTAGTATGAGAGAATTTGCTACACATATTTTCTTTCACGTACCGTTTTTAAAACCACACGTGGCTAATATAGATAATATTCTTGAACAGTGGCGAGAATATAAACAAAATGTTCCCACGTTCGGAGCTATTGTATTGAATGAAGATTTAACTAAAGTATTGCTTGTACAGAGTTATTGGGCAAAAAATAGTTGGAGTTTTCCTAAAGGCAAAGTCAACGAGGACGAGGATCCGTCTCATTGTGCCGTGCGAGAGGTTTTGGAAGAAACTGGCTTCGATATTTCAAACCTGATAGATGAAAATGAATATATCGAATCAGTGATAAATGAACAATTACTGAGGTTATATATAATATGCGGTGTTCAAAAGGATACGAAGTTTCAACCGAAAACAAGGAAAGAGATAAAAAATGTGGAATGGTTCTCTTTAGCAGACTTACCCAACAATAAAAAGGACATGACGCCGAAAGCGAAAATAGGAGTTGGTCCCAACGCATTTTTCATGGTAATTCCGTTTGTAAGGTAAGACAACAGAATGATAATTACCCAGTTCTCGCGACTATATGTATAGCGTGGTCGAGAAATGTCATTCATTCTTTTACGACCGCGTTATATCGTGGCTAGAACTATATACCTTGCTTATGTCACATGTCATACAGAATACAGAAAATGTATCTTTCAATGATTTAAATTATACCTTGAGATGTACGAAAATGTACAAAAATTGTTTGTATTTGTTAAGATTGTTTGTTTTATGTTTTTTGCCATTGTTAATGCAGGAGAATGAGACGTTGGATACAAGAAAAACATTTACGCGAGAAAAATATAAATACAGTACGAAGACATAGACACAAGTCTCTTGGTGATGTTGAAACTGTTTCCAAAGGCAAACGACAACAACAACAACAACAACAACTACTACTACTACTTCCTCATTCTGCTCAAGTAATTACGCTCAGTATGTTGACGATTGTACGTTGTACATGAATACGTTTTCATGAATATTTTGCAGGGTGATGTTCTGAGCTTTAAAGATTTTAAAAACTTTCGACAATCTAACACCTCACCCGCACGAAGCCGTCGTAGCATGTACGACAACAAAAACGCTGTGTCAAAAGCAGCCATTAAACGTAATCTATTCGGTGAACAAAACGAAGATGAAACTTCAACTGCTCTTGCCAAACAACTAATGGATAGTCCACAGAGTCAACAGACTTGTGCGTCTCTAATGGATCCCGCAATCCAATCGGTGAAATGCAACGAATTTAACGAAAAAGCAAAGGCTTTTGTCAATGGAATTAAAGGTGTAGTATGTAAAGATACTTTTCAGTTTTGTACGATGCATTCACAGTAATGTTTTGCAATGTAATTTTGCTAAAGACAAAATTTTTCTGTTAATTGATAAGTATTTCCACATCGGGAACACCAGAGTGCAGAAATTTCCGATGGAGATATGAAGGTCTTATTATTGGGCAAAGCAGCAAGTATATTACCGACAGATTTAAAGACTGCATCTTCTTCGTTTGGTGCGACGGATTATACTGCACGATTTCTTCCAACAGAAGATTTTAGAGCCCAAAAACATTCCACGCAATTGTGTTCAATAATTTGGGAACACTTTAAATTTGATAAGCAAGCAATACTTAACTGTTTATAAATTGATTTTAAAGAAACAACTGTCGTATCTTTTAAAGAAAATAAGAGGTCGTGTTTGACAAGCCTGTGTTTATAGTTATATGACATTTTTATGATATTTATATAAATTTGCGAATAATCACGTCCAAGAATTTAGAATTGTAAACTCCTATGATCTCACAACAGTGTCTAGTTAGATTGTACTTGGTTCTCGAATGATTTTCCCATGTACAATGAGAAACTTGTAAGATGAATATTACGTAATTAATCCGTAATGCATATTAAGTATTCGACGGCTTTATATTTTAATGATGTATACACGGTAACTAAATTACGATTACGAAATTGTTCGCCAATATTGTTGTAAAGCAAACTTTATGATAACTACAGCGGAGATAACACCTGTTTGGCAAGATAATTTGTTTACAGAAATTTTTCAGTTCGCATGTACTTAGCTTTATGTACGGTGAAGATCGTATGTATACTGTATTCTAACCAACAAATTACTGTACAGTGATGAGACGACAAACTAGAAAATGATTTGATCAGCCACATTGTTTTAAAAAATAGACAACTACACACTTTTGTTATTTGTAGAAAACAAAGACCAAAACAATTAACGTAAAAACAGCAATAAAGTACAATATTTTTTTTAAGATAACAGTGCCTGCACCTCGCACACTTTTAATAATCTCGTTATTTAATGCAAAAACTACTTTACTCTCTTCAATAAGTTTATTTCGAGTGTCTTCGTCCAATATTTCTGCAATCTTGTTTGTTGTATCACGTATATTTCTTTTCAATTCATAGATATTACACGGAAAATCTGTAATACTGTTACCACGTGTCTGAATTTTCCTAAATGGTACAACTTTTTGCATAAGCTGTCTTTTTTTTCGTAAAATGATTCCGCCGCTAAGAAGACCCATGTACAGATGGTAAATATATGCTATCAGTAATATAGGATTAGTATCTTCTACTTCCCGTAAATGAATCAAATATTTGACGACACTGTCCCTAAAGTATGAAATGAACATTATAGGTAAACTTCAAAAACAGCAGACCTAACATATTTTAAACAGAAATATGTATGAAAGTAAAAGCAATGGCTAATAAGAACAATCAAGTTCTTGGATTATGTTAGACTAAGTCATTTTTATAATAATATAAGTGACGAAAACATGCACTAAATTATATTAGAAATATTTATCAATGTTCATTGATTCCATGTGCAATAACAGGTAGACGAACGAAAGGAAATACAAATATTATAGGAAGACCGTACCTAGGACTGTAGTTTTTCATCCATTCATCTCCTAAATAAAAATCTAGGTCAAGTTCAAAAGCGTTTGTACGATAAAGTTTATCAAGTGGAAATAACCCTATCTTAGTATTTTTCAATCTGATCATAGCACCTTCTAAGTATCGGAAGACTTCGTAAAATACCAGAAGACCATCTGCCCATACGGAATCATTGAGAAATCCTGTTGAAAGTAAAAGATGTTTGGCAAAACTATATAAGAAACATTATTTTATCTGTCTATATACTTGCTATTAACTTCTTTTGCAAGGACCTTGTTGCATATTGCATATCATTTGATATAGTTTTCAATGTACCTTGTATAAAGTATGTTTAATCGTATTAAAAAAACATAAAAAATGAACAAAGATTGAAATATTATTTATGTATGTATGTTGTAGATATGTAAATATTGTACATATATAGATTCTAACCTATATTAAGAAGATCTTTACGACCGAACAAAATTTGTTAAACTACGAAATCTATTATATAAATAGTTTGATCGAAACGTGTAGTTTGTCTTACCAAATGCTAATTTTGTATTCACTAAAGTATCACTGACTGTATGAATTTCTTTTGTGGCATTTCGCATTTTTTTACAAAACGAGTCTCCATCTCGGTTCAACATTTTGATAAAAATACTTTAGTTCCCAAAGCGATAGCATGAAACTAAAAGAAATCGTTCTGTCATACTTCTCGTCAATTTTGTACGCATATACAATATATATATATATATATATATATATATATATATATATGTATACATATGTACTGATATACATATAGTATATATCACTGACCGAATCTCTGATAGATAAAGGAATCTTCACGCATACTTACGTATGTAAGTAAGTACAGCAATTTATTACATAAGTATACTTACTCGCCAATCATAAATCTGCGACGACCTTACGGAGCTGTATGAAGTTTTAAAGATCGTATAAAAGATTTGTAAAATACCTACAGATGAGGGAATTATTTGCAACAGATAAATTACATTATTTGATAAGTATAAAAAATATTCAAGCCGATTTTGATTCACTTTATCAAATATTATTATGTATCAGTTGTACATTTTCTTATGATTGTATAAATTTTAAATAAAAAACGATCAAAGTATACAACACAACACAAAAATATTTCAGTTTACCGAGTATGTAATAGTTAAATTACTGTTACCTCGTACATGTAAACAGTAATTAAGTAAAAAGCGTTACTACATAAATTTATACAAATACTGTTGTAAATTGTATACTTTCCTACAATTATTGAAATAAATAATAGCAAAGGAGTAATGCAACCTCCTCGGTTGTACTGTGTTCCTTATATTAAGGGCCGAAAACAGCCGAGTTCGTGGCTCAAACTTGTAATTTCGGAAAATTGTCTATCTTTGTCGCACGTTCGGTGTATATTAATCGCCTTCTTTGTCTAAACCTCTTCGATCGTCATGCTTTCATAGTACGTACCAGGGACTTATTAAATGCCTCTAAAAGTTGGTGGCACGTACATATCCTTGTCTTACGCATTACAAAGCACCGCTAAATGGGCATCATTTTTCTTCGTCACGCATTACATTCGAAGTTTAAAGAATGTAGAATAATACTATCTAACGGCTAGGATCCAGAAATTACAGGAACATTGTTAAAATCACATTTGTTTGCAACGGTTGACATTATATCGCGTCATGCGTACCCCGGTTAGTTCACTTTGAATAGCTCTTACACCGTTATACGGATAACTTTCGTCTAGACAAAGTATTCGAATTATAGCTGAAAGAACGTAGATTAATCTCCTCTCTTTGAAAATAACAATAAACAACCAGAACACTGTTAAAATCGCATTTAATCGCGGAATACCACTAGGTTTTTTTGACCGGTGGCGCCATCTGTGGCGAATAGCTGAAACTGCTAGCCAATTATATGGCTACCAGTTTCAGCGGTTCGCCACGGATGGCGCCACCGGTCAAACAAATAGAGGTACTCCGCGATTAAATGCGATTTTAACAGTGTTCTGGTCGCTTATTGTTATTATCAATAACAGTGTATTAATCTACGTACTTTCAGCTACAAATTAAGTGCTTCAGCTAAACGATAGCTGTCCGTATAACGGTGTACGAGCTGACCAAAGTGAACTAACCGGGGTACGCATGACCAGATACAGTGTCAACCGTTGCAAATAAATTGCGATTTTAACAGTGTTCTGGTCGTTTATCGTTATTGCCACTGACAGGAGATTAATCTACGTTCTTTCAGCTACAAGTTGAGTGCTTGGTCAAGACGAATCAGCCGTGATAGGGTAATAATCTACATTCTTTAAACTTCGAATGTAATGCATGACGAAGAAAAGTGTTGCCTGTTTAGTGGTTATGTAATTGCAACAGCTTTCGATCGGATTTACATTCCTAAACGAGTATCAGTTTTCCTCGTCATGGATTACATTCGAAGTTTAAAGAACGCAGATTAGTACTCTCTGGCAGGTGGGAACCAGTAATTACAAGAACATTGTTAAAATCTCAATTGTTTGCAACGGTTGACTCTTTATGTCACGATGCGTGCACCGTTTAGTTCACTTTAAATAGCTCTTCCAACGTTCTATGGACAAGTTACGTCTCGATCAAGCATTCAGTTTGAAGCTAAAAGAACGTAGATTAATCTCCCGTCATTGAAAATAACAATAAACAACCAGAACACTGTTAAAATCGAATTTAATTGCGGAATACCACTATTTTCGACCGGTGGCGCCACCCGTGGCGAATCGCTGAAACTACTAGCCATATAATTGGCTAGCAGTTTCAGCTAATCGCCACGGATGGCGCCACCGGTCAAACAAATAGTGGTACTCCGCGATTAAATGCGATTTTAACAGTGTTCTGGTTGTTTATTGTTATTTTCAAAGAGAGGAGATTAATCTACGTTCTTTCAGCTATAAATCGAGTACTTTGTCTAGACGAAAGTTATCCGTACAACGGTGTAAGAGCTATTCAAAGTGAACTAACCGGGGTACGCATGTCGCGATACAATGTCAACCGTTGCAAAGAAATGTGATTTTAACAATGTTCTTGTAATTACTAGTGTCCAGCCATTAGAGAATAGTAATCTACGTTCTTCGAACGTTGTATCTAAGGCAAAACGAAGAAGAATCATGCCCTTTTAGCGGAGTAAATGCGATAGAAACGTTTTGGCAATCGGGTTGCCGCTCCATAAGGGTCAGCGTTGATACAGCCGTAAATAATTTGACTAATTCTGGGGTTCTGCAGTATTGGGTCCACGCATTTAGTCGTCAGGAATAATTTCAGATTAACGACGTTCATTTTAAGCGCTTAATTACTGAGATATTCTCATTTTTCCATCACTATGAATTTTCACTCACCTGTCGGTATGATTTGGCTAGCAGTTTCAGCTAATCGCCACGGATGGCGCCACCGGTCGAAAAATAGTGGTATTCCGCGATTAAATGCGATTTTAACAGTGTTCTGGTCGTTTATTGTTATTGTCAATGACAGGGGATTAATCTACGTTCTTTAAGCTACAAATGGAATGCTTGGTCAAGACGAGAGCTGTCAGTATAACGTTATAAGAGTTTTCTAAAGTGAACTATACGGGGTACGCATGACGAGATACAGAGTCATCCGTTGCAAACAATTGAGATTTTAACAATGTTCTTGTAATTACTGGTTCCCAGCCGCTAAAGGGTACTAATCTACGTTCTTTAAACTTCGAATGTAATGCGTTATGAAGAAAAATGATGGCCGTTTAGCGGTGTAAATGACATCGAAACCTCTTGTAATTGGGGTTGCCGCTTCGTAAGGGGTCAACGTTAATACAGGCGTAAATAATTTTACTTAATCTAAGGTCTGCAGCATCTGGTTCATGCATTAAGTTGCCAGGAATAATTTGAGACTAATGACGTTCATTTTGAGCGCTTAACTACTGAGATATTAGCATTTTTCCATCACTATGAATTTTCACTCACCTGTCGGTATGATTTGGCTAGCAGTTTGAGCAATTTGCCACGGGTGGCGCCACCGGTCGAAAAAATATTGGTATTCCGCGATTAAATACGATTTTGATAATGTTCTGGTCGTTTATTGTTATTGTCAATGACAGGGGATTAATCTACGTTCTTTAAGCTACAAATCGAATGCTAGGTCGAGACAAAAGCTATACGTATAACGGTGTAAGGGCTGTCTAAATGTGAACTAAACGGGAATCGTATCACGGGAAGCTGTGACTAGTACGTATATACAATATATGCATGGGTGTAGAATGCATACAGCTAGGCGCCGGCAAGGTATAAGACAGTATGAGAATAGGCCTTTCGTTCAACGCATGTATGTACATACATGTTTCTTCGGCCTACTTTTCTGGGGTAATATGCATGTATGCATGTCCTCCTCCTCTTAAACCTCGTCGGTGATATAGGTAACCGCGGTAACCGCTGTAACAATTTGTAATTTTGAAGCTTGTGTGGTGCATTAGAAACAAAATATTAATGACAAACAATACTGGTAAAACGATTGCTGGTAATAAACATTAACTTTACTTATGAACAACCAGACTCACGGATGATCGAAGTATAGGTTAACATACGTGTGGAATTATAGTACAATGTATGTACATATATAAATATATATGCGAAGAGGCTTTTAAAGACCGATTTTAGGGTGGTTGGTATGTCCGTTATCATTCACGATTACGATTGGCGTCCAATGTCGAGCACCCGTTCTTAATTGAAAGTGTTTCCTCCTACTTAACCCCACTTATCCCTTAACTTTTCGCACAGTTTCATAGAATATGATCGGAGATCTCATAACGATGCTATTTTGCATTAAACTTATCGGAATATTGCTAACCGCTGGCAACTAATTATGATTCTTCATCGAACACCGTATTCATCGTTAAAAATAGGATGAATTCGTTTGAGGATGACATGTTTGCACTTAGCGACGAAGATTTGCCAATACAGACACCGATATGTAATCCCGTGGAGGAGCATTTAATGAAACAGCTTTCTTATGTGCAAGCTCGAATCGAGAGAACGAACAACGATATCAAAGATGTCCAAGACACGACCAGGCGTATTCTGCAGACGTTGCAGTATCAAGCTCAGTATGGAGAAAATGAAATTTCGGATTCTGACAGTGACGTAAGTCATCATGTTTATGTCACAATAACATTAAAAAAGGAATATTTAATACATAATGATTTATTAGAAATATCTTGTAGCTGTACACTATCGATAGGCAACCAGTGGTGAAAAAGAAACGGAGAGTTGAAAAACCTAATGAAATTCTGATTGTAAAAAGTTATTGGAAACGCATTCTTTGGGATAAATGGGTCACTGGTGTGATTCTGCAAAACACTTCGACGCAGTAAGTGCATTACCAATAATTACACTTAAAATGTAAACCCATGGGTTGGAAGGATTTTATTCTTTTCTGTTTAGCAAATATTTAACTACACTTTAAGTATAAAAACATTAATAATTATTCCTGTACGATCTAACAAGGCATACCTATTTATGTACAATACCAATGTTATAAATTAGAGTAAAATAAAAGTTTGACTCAAAATTATTATTTCAGCTGAATAAGCATATTTTATTTAATAGAACTAAAATTTGATTTTAGCAAGTTTCAAATAATGAATTGTTTTAACAAATTCTATTATTTCTACTTCACTAAACACTTATATTTAATTACACTAAAGTAAACATTGTTTGCTAAGAATAAAATTAATGTTCTGTATACTTTGATCCTCGTAAATTGTTTTATTTCTTAAAATAATTATTGTCATTTTGTACTTACGATTTATAAAATTGTAAAGGATTAAAGAATGTCATTTTATTTACGTAGGGTCTTGTAACATTTGAAATATTGATCTTTCCTTAGGTGATTTCATTGTAAGTTTAAGTACCATTTACAGTGAAATATTTTGATGAAACTTTTGTAACAGAGTTGAAATCATAAGTCTACTTAAACGAAATAACCGCTTAAAAGCAGAAATAAAAAGCATTAGAAAAATTGAGATATATAAATATAATTCTATGTGTTGCAACTGGAAGTATAATTCGATAGGTCGTACTAGTACATCTGTATGCTAAATTTTCTCTAGGCAGTACTATTACCGTTTTAACATTGGTAGTAATATATATTGTAACAATATTTCTATCAACGTACGTATATATACATATACACAGTGATATACATACACAGGTTCAAAGAAACTGTAAACATGTTCCCCTTTGAATGTGTGAACATAAAAGAACTAATGTACTTTACTTTATCAACTGACTTTGTGTCTTTGAGTTAAGAATAAAGTTAGTTGTACGGATGGTATGTTGTACCGTTTGTATACACAGCACAGGAATGCAAGAATTTGGTGAATATTTAGTAGTAAAGAATGAAATGCCTTGCACCAATTATCCATTGTAGCTCAAGTATTTAAGCAGTGCAATCTACTTTGTACTCACGTGTGAGGTCTTTGAAAACGTTGCGGAATCGTCTTGTACCAATTTGCAAATATCGAAGGATTTCATAGATCCTAACAGTTCAATAGACAGCAACACGTGTTGTCTGTCAATTATCAAAAGTTTAAATACAGTAGCAAGTGCTGCTTGCATAAGTATTGTCAACTAGAAAAGTTGTTTTTAGTTGACTTGCACTTTATCTTAATAAGTAAATAACGCATTCAGCGTACCAACCACTCACTCGTGTTACTTAATTATAATTGTTAAACAATTTTTCCTATCTAACATGTTTCGTTGTAACCGATTTGATGCGCGTCATTTGAGATTCAACGAAAAAAAGGAGAAAACTGAAGCGCGAATGTGCTTGTTGCCTATGCAGCAAACAGTTGGTATTACTTTTTACAAATCAGTTCAGTGTCTTCGTCTCTCCCGAGTGCGATATAATTGTCCGGAGAATAGTCGAAAAGCACAAAATCATACCTGAAAGTAATCTACTGAAATAACGGTCGTGTCGTTGGTATTGATTTTGCAGATATAACTTACCTAAACATTTCATACAGGTATTTGATCTGTGATTTCGATAATTGAGCAAAATAGTTCTTTATTACATCCTTTGTTTGAACACCTCTCGTGGGGTTCTTCCACTCTGCCTTAATGATGTGGCCTACACGTGCTTGCTTTATCAGATAATCTTGATCTTCCTTTATGAAACATATACACACTCTCGTTGAAAAAAAAATAGTTTATACAAGATAATTTCATTTGAATGATTGCCAAGTACTAACATGAAGTGTTTCAAATTTTGCTATCACATCGAATCGTACTTGACACGGTGTACAAAAGTTCACTACTGGTGTCCAATGCATGTCCAGTTCGTTGCCAGCTCTCCACTGGCACAGTAACCATCGCACGAATTCCTCGAACAGTGGATATCTTGGACCATGTCGTCCATTCGCTTTTGGATCCTGATCAATTGAAAAAAGGGACACTCTAATGGAAATTTCGATTATCATATTTGTGTGTGTGTGTGTGTCTGTGTCTGTCTCTAGTCCCATTCCTCCGTTACAAAAAAACAAAAAGCAGAAAAAGTGTATTCGCAGAAATAATTAAGTGATCTTCCGTTGAAAAATAAGAAACAAAGATAACGATGTTCGACATGATTACCCTAGACCTGTAATGCCAGACAATGTGAGCTCCCAGATTACTGTGAAACGTATGTGGCAAACTGTGCTCCAATTTGTCCCGATAAGCGCTGAGTAATCTCTCAAAGGGATGCCTGACAATTAGGAAACTGATGCTGTCGTTTAGGAACTTGGTCAACTCTTCTGCCGTGTATCTAGGATACTTTTGCCTCGCAAGAGAAACTGGTACAGCTTTCGAAGCCTTCAAGAACTGTGGGCTGTATCTGAGAAGGATGATGCCTCGATGATGTCAGCTTTAATTATTATCGAAGAATCAAGAATCTTACCCAGCGAGTAAATTAAAATTGTACATCCACGATGTGGAGGCCGCCTTGAAGACGTTGCACCATATCAGACGGTACTCTTTATTTACAAGGAACTCCCAGGCATTCGGTCTATGAAGGGAATCGTTTCCAGGCCGGTCCAATCCCTCCTCGGCACACTTCCCTGCTAGAAACTTCCTCCTGGCGATTAATCGCCGCTCGGTTTCAGCATTCGTTGCTTCTTCCATTAACCTTTCCTCCGGGGTCAGACTACCGTCTTCCTGGGAACATCCAGATGATTTCTATTAAAGAAACAATACTTACCAGCGATACACGCGTATCGCTGCCTCGATTGCCGACCGCGACAATCTAGCGACGTCGAGTGTGTATACATGTGTCTCTGCTTCCATTATTTTTTCTTTTTTCTTTTTTCTTTTTTTTCACGATTACATCCAAGATTTAAGATCGTGATCTCGTCTTTCCTTTCGCATTGCATATGTTTCCCCGTCTATCTGTCTATCTGTCTGTCTGTCTGTCTACTGTGTATGTATCGGATTACGAAAGAACAGTTTCTAACGCGAGAGGAAAATAAACGTTGATTGCATCGGCAGAAACGCGGCATCTAGGAAACAATGTGGGAAAACATTTAATAGGCTTTATATGTATTATGTAACTGTACATAGAATCGACAGGCATCGATTTCACTCGTTGCATGTGTAAACAACTGCAGGATCTCGAAAGTAGTTGGACGCAAGAAGAAAGAAAACTGCTGTTTCAATTAACTGGGCAAGCTAATAAGTATTCCCGCAGAATATTTGAAAGAAAGTTAAATTTCGTTTTCGTATTTAAGGAAAAATTTGCTCGCTATTGTTTTGTTAAAAGGGGAAAACGAAAGCTGTAACCCCGTGCTTAATAACGTTACGTACATGGTACATGTAAGGTACGGGTAGTTTCACGGAACGAAAGTAAGTAATGTCAATAAATAGAACACAACAGGGGGAAAACTGAAGCGTTGGATTCGGTGAATCGGTGATTGTCGAAGAGACATATGAAAAGATATTTCGCTGGGCGATGATGCATTGTATCAATTGTATTGTATGTAGATGTAGATGTAGATGTACCTATGATGCACGGTGCACCAGCGCGGCGGCGTGGCTCGTATTCACATCGGCGTTCACGTAGAGCCGGTCTCTTCTTCGACTTTTGCACCGAAATCAATAAACGGAAGCCGCCTCGACATTCGGTGTGTTTCCGGCTGGTTGGCTATCGCGGGACACGCAACACCGCCGCGGTAATACCGTGTTTCAAATTAGAAGAGGATCGCGAGTGCAATCTACGTTTCGACTATTCTCCCCGGTTTAGGAACGAATGGGCCAAATGTGTTTCGATCGAGAGCTTCTGTTGGAACATTGAAACTCTTTTCGATCGTAACTATCATCGTAGACGGAGGAGAGGTGGAGTTTAACTGGAATGCGCAAAGTAAGCGAGGTTTAGCCACGAGTTACGACTGCCAACGGGCTTGTAACTTCGACCGTATGCAGAAATTAGGAAATTGAATTAACCTTGTGAGTTGTGCAGAAGGTCGGCGACGCGTGTGGCGCGTTACCTACTTATTACTTATTGCTAGCCAGCCGATAAGAAAGCGGCTTCGCGCGCCGGCATGCTTTCATTTCTGAAGCTTCGGTAGTTGGTATCGGCTGAAATCCTGTTATCAACAGTTTCCCACGATACGAATCGTTTACTTTCCTCAAACACGCGCGGTAATTATATATACTTGTGTATGTATATCGGCTTCGCGATATGTAAATGTACAGAAGATTTAATGATTTTGCCAAACAAGTTGTCCGCAATATCTTTTATGATAAGAAATGGCCATTATGCGTGTACGTAACGATGGTAGGTACGATTAAGGATATCGTCAAGTGTCTTCCGAACACTTTTGGTACAGTAAAGTAAAGTATTTCCGCGAGTATCTGTACGAAATTCTAATTGGAAGACTGTGTTGTCTTGGATCGAACCGGGAACCGATCCCTGGTTCGATTCGGTCCGATACTGCGCGGCGGCGCTTGGTGAGAAGCGCTTCAAGAAGAACGCGAAACTTTTCATTTGTGGTAATGACGGGTAAAGCTAGAACGCAGAACGGTCTTCTTACGTAAAGAGATGCGAGCATAGATTGGCAGAGTTCCAGGCGCAATGCGGCACACGATTGAACGCGACGACGACGACGACGACGACGACGACGATTACATAGGTTCGCCTATGCGGCCCCTTTAAGCATGCAAAAGGATGCTCACGGTTACCCCCTCAATCTCGACAACGACAACAATTACGATACTACCGGTGTAATAGATCGATCTGTCGCCAATTCGAATGATTGCCGTTTTCTTTCATATTTTGTGTTGGTGTCTATTGCGTGTCCGATATCGAACCACAAGAAAAAGATACCGGCGCTTTTAGTCTATATACATATACCCGGCTCTCTTTTTATACGATTAACTTTTACACGTTTTACTTACTCTAACACGGTCGCAAAACTAATATTTCAAATCCGTCTTTTCTTCGACATACCGTACAGTGCAGTGCAGTGCAGTGCAGCTGTGTTTGTTTTTTAATTCTCCTGAACACACAAACAGTAAGTATGCTAATTGACTGCCAGGTACCCGTTAAACGATCACACGGAAATAAAAATACATTTTTTTTTTCCTGTACACAATCCGAAAAATTCCGTTTTACAACATGTATGAAAGTGTACAAGTACAAGATTTATGTCCTTCGGACTGGTTGTAGGTTGTAGGCATCTGGCAGGTAATTAGTACAGGTAATAGTAATATGTATGTATGCATACACCTAGAATTTTCTCACGTAAAAGAAGAAAAAGGATACATATGTATGTAAATACACACCTATATGGAAAATTCGAGCTAAACCGGTGACCCGAACGCTGCGAGGCCGGCCTCCTTGTGAAAACAAAAGAGATCCTCCACGCCCACCCTTTCGCTCCCCCTTCGCGGATAAAATATTGCGTACTCACCTCCAACAAAAGGCCTTGCTGCACGCTATTGCCGGCATCCTGGCTCGAGAGGGCCAGCACCAGCAACGTTATCACACCAGCGGCCAATAGTGCTCGACGAATCGCCGCGAATATATACCGTCGCGGTGTCATCTTCTCCCGATGGACGACCTTCCTTCTATACTCATGTCGAACTGCAACCATTCATTTGCAAATACATAAATCCAATTCCATCTGTCAAATTGATTCCTAGAATTGCCATCTTCCACTTTTCAACTCGACTGTTACATTTTCTGTATTTTTATTTCTCCGTTGAAAGTTTGAACGAGTAGCAATCAAAACCCTTTATTGTCTATCCCGTTACTAAACGTACCCTTCGTTATCGAATTCAAAAGAATAAATCTGTTTATCACTCTATACATACGTATGTATATCTAAATCAAGCTTCACCCATAGATGGTTACTTTTCTCGAAGATAAGACTCACGTGTACAACTGCTTATGCAGTCAGTTAATTACCAGGTTATCAAACAATAATACGTATAACATTTTGAAAGTGAAATAAGAAGTAAGTTCGGAGGATCGATCAATCGTGTTTCAAATTTGTTGATTCACTGACCCGATTATAGCAGAGACGACGAATACATGAATTTTATCACAACAGAATCCACGATTAGTCATACACCGCCAATTCAAAGATTCCCCAGATATTCCCCCATTTCCTCGCGATAAGATCGATATTCAAAATCTTCGGTTTAACCATTTCAATTTCACCGTAATGAATAATAATGTTTTCAAACTTTTACTTGCTTTACCTATGGATTTCTCACCAAGTGTATTCTTTACCATTAATTCAATGCCAAAACATACTGTACGAGCAAGCCAGATCGTATCACGCTGTTCAGTAATTACGTAGCCACATTCGACTTCGATGTAATCGTCGTTTTAGTAACAATTTACACGAAACATATTCTCATTCACAGAAAACTCTACACGTATCTGCTGCATATGCATGTATGTGCATACGAATACGAATACAATACAATGCACCGATACACGCGTATCCTTTTCATCGAACGTTTAGGCATTTCGCGGAAACGGCAACAACGTAATTCTGGTCACGTTAATTCTTGCATAGCGAATAACGAATCTCCCGTATAACTACTGTCGTCTCGATCGAAAGAGAATTGCGAGCGAGCGAGCAACGCGGCGGTCCCAGTGTGCATTTCCTGGGTCAATGGGTCACAGAACACCCCTGCCTACCACCACCTTTCACCTCTATTATTTTGCCCAATGGAACGATTCTCTACTTTGTCGATTCGTCTCAATTTCCACGATGTGTACTCGTTATCGGTTATACAATTCGAACGTGTCCCCGATTGTACATACTTCCAACGGACATATGTATATGCCCCGATGTCAGAATTCAGCGACGCATTTATCGCACCCCCAGATCGAAACTTGATTCCTGCTTCTGCTTCGTTTCGACTCCAATAACTCTTCCCCGAGTCTTCGATGGAACTAGACGAATCGAAACACCTTCACTGCCGCTATCGTGTAAAGAGTTGCGAGACTGACGAGACACGTGTGACGTATCTAACCGATCGATCAGAGAATACAGACGGCACGCGACCACGGCGGCATCCTGCAGGTTACTGAAAAGCCTGCTCAGCTGAATAGTGCTCAAGTATGAAGCCTGAAGCCACACGCCACACGGTCATGCCCATGCCCGTGCCGTCTGCTACCAGACAACTCGTTCGCGAGCCACCATTGGTGGATGTTTTCGCGGGTCGATTTATTCAGAGATCCTATTGCGCGTGCGTGAGTATGTGTCTAATCGAGTTCGCTACCCTCGATCGCAAAGACAATCTAATGCATTTTTTCACGAATAAACAACAACAATAACGATAATATAAGAGAAAAAGACAATATCACTTAATAGGCAAATTAGATCTTATTTCTAGGTCAATATGTAATTCCATATTGTTGCTTAATAATGATTTTACCGACTGTAAAATCGTTTCTTACGTTACGACAGTGTCACCACTGTTACCGATATCATGGTCATGGTTTTCCTTATCGATATCCTATTAAACAAGTATGTATGTATGTATGTATGTATGTATGTATGTATGTATGTATGTATGTATGTAGGTAAATTAATTTTCTTTGAATAAATACATATGTACTTTCATTCGTCGCAGAGTGCTGTACGATCCCCAGATTTACATTGATCTGAAGGGATACGATGAAATTGCCGCTTCGTCCAAGTTTTGGTCCGTAGTGAATGGCATAGTTTGCTACCAGACCGACGTGATTCAGTCGCGACAAGAAGTTGTGGCCACAATCGTTCTCGATCTACCAAAGTTCGAGGAGGACTCTTTTTGCGATGCTTACGGAATGATTTCGTACCAAGTAAACGAGAAACAGTATCAAACCCCTGTGCCCACTATACGACTCCTTGCCGAAGAGACGGTCGATAACAATTGCGGAATCAAATTTTCGAATAATATAGAGCACAGTATTTTAGCACTGAAAAGTACATCGATCGAGAAAACGGTTGGTATACAAATCGAACATCATCCTGGAAGGGGTGAGCGTCTTTTGGGATTTTTAGAAGAGAAATCATTCGAGGAAATCTGCGCGGACGTGTACGTCGTAAAAACGACCGGAACTCTAGTATTTTGCTTAATAGAAATACTCCCCATAGTCGAGGGGGAAGCCAGATTAAGAATTTTTTCAAGGTAAAAATATAAATACTCTTTTATACGAAAAACGATTTTACTAGGTTTGTACATTTTTCCGTATGTAGATCTGGTAGTCAAATGAACATAATGTTACGACTTCTACGGGACCAGTTTCCAGACATGACCGTTCAGGACAACGATAATGGCGTTCACGCAGCAATTTCTCTATTAGAAGAATTAAAATTATATCTACGAAACGGTAGTACCTCCGAGCAGCAAATGGCAAGAATTAAAACTGATCTGTTTGTCATTCAATGACATTTTATATTTTACACGTTAAAATTTGTAATTACGAACACGTATGTATATATGCATATACTTGTACTAATATTACATTACTATTTATTTTAAAAATTCCAAAGTTCCAGTTAAGGTCTCATACTTTTGTTATCTTACTCCTAGTTCCTTCTCCTAGACAATCATATCAGGATAGCATAGCATAGCATAGGTAGCAAGCAGCGTGGTAACTAGTAACGAGATCCAGCTGAAAACCTGTTCTCTTTAATACTACACTGTACCAGACCTATGTCACCTATGTGTATATACCTAAATACCTACGATCGGACAACTCGTACGGCACTAGTCTCGAATTGTTGCATTCAAAGCCTTTGCTTTGCTTGCCAATTCTTTTATAAAATTTTTAATAACACTGCCTTTTTTATAAAACTGCCGCAAATTAATTATCCCATACACTCCTAATAGAGATATTATGAATCTGTTTGATTCATATTTCAGCAAATAAGTGCAGAATACACGTAAAATTGTACAATAACTTCTTTACCACTAAAAACTTGCCGTACCTATCAGTTTATGTATATGTATGTGTACAAGTCTTTCGTATCTCGTCTTCTTTTCTTTTTCCTGTACAAATAAAGATATGATAATAGAAAATAATCGTTATCGTTTCATGGGAATTGTCCTTGCTGTGCGTTCTTCCGCCATATTTCGTCTGCTTGGCTGGCTGTCGCTGGTCGCTGTCGCGGCTGTCCGATCGGTCGGTGTGTACATCCTACGTCCTACGTATGCGGTGTCTCGGTTTATCTTTCGTTACTCCTGTTATATTTGGTATCTACTGCCATCGTCGCATGCAGCGTCTATCCACATATCATAGCAAACTCTCGTGATTCGAGAACGACAAATGGCTAACGCATTAGATGCCGTCGATTGGGAAGGTAGACTTCAACGGAATATTAGATCCATTAAAATCGTTTGTTTCACGTCGATTTTTAAGAAACTTTCTCCAACAAGTAACATATTCTATCACCTTGTTTTGACATATGTCACTTCAATACCGATCCAGCCCTCTATTTGCATCTTTTTTCTAGCGAAACAATTGTAGTATATCATTTTTCATTAATTCATTAAGTCATAATAAAAGTTGAGTCACTTTAACCTTGACGAAGATGAACCTAAGGAACATCAATTTCGTTAGATCAAAGTCCCGTCGAATGATAAAGACTGTAATTATAATTTGTACACTAGTTTGTAACACTATGATTAAAAAATGTATCTTACATCGCTATTTCACGGGTGAAAATTCGCTTCGAACAAACTGTTTTGCATCGAGTATTACACACATTACAAATAATGTCAATTTTCCTAACCCCAATGAGGTGAATTATCAGTAACGAGTGTTCCGACGACATACATAAAACTGCTGTTTTTCCATTATTTTCTTCCAGATCTGAGAAGACAAGCAAGACATTTAGAAAATGAGATTGATGCAAAACTTGTAGCATTCAGTAAACTTGGTATCAATACAGGGTCCAAGCTTGTTAACAGTGATGAAGTGCCACTTTTGGACGAGGAACATGTTTTCGAAAACATGGCTTCTGAAATAGAAGCATTGTTAGCTAAAGTAAGATTAAACTATGAATATCATTTTTAAGTTCACTAAAAATTCTTTTGTCACAGCTATTCTCTATAAATGAAAGAATGAGCGAGCTACAACCAAATGGTGCTGCAATGTTGCACACCATGCAGCGCCACAAAGATATACTAAAGGATTACAAATTGGAATTTAATAAGATCAGAAATAACTTTGCAGCTAGAAGAGACAGAGAAGACCTGCTTGGAAGTGTTCGTAAAGAAATAGAGTATGTACATAATTATTCTCCTCGTTGCTACAAACTGTTGATTGCTATTGATTTATAACTCTTATAATTCTTTTATTGAACAGTAATTATAAAAGTGTAAGTGGTCTAAACCGCAGAGAGATGTTCATGAAGGAAAATCAACATATCCATAAGTAAGCGAACTTTGCTCTCTAATTCATATTACTTTAATATGTGTATTTCCAGCTAAACATTGATTTCTTCTGTTATAAGTTATTGTTAATTAAATACAAAATTAATGGAAAATCTGATTTTTTTCAGTTCAGATCGGTTGATCAATGATCAAATCAGCATAGCAATGGAAACACGAGAACATTTGGTGACTCAAAGGCAGGCGTTTAAGCGTATACAAACCAGGCTGAATGATATATCCAATCGTTTTCCAGCAGTGAATAGTTTAGTGCAAAGGATAAATCTGCGCAAGAGACGAGACTCTCTTATTCTTGGTCTTATAATTGGTTTTTGCACATTTCTGATGCTCCTGTATGCTTTTCACTAAATAACAATCTATATCAAAGTGCTTCCCTCTTATGGACTAGTGTTCCATCAACGGAGATGAGTATACACATGTAGAAGTAAGCCGTATCTAGTAATGGTGTATTGGTAAGTGTGAAATCTATGTGTGCTTCTAGCGATGAAAATGTTTCTATTGTTTGAGGCCGACAAGAATTTCGCACTCGACCAATATTCATTACATGAACAATAAACACTGAAACTGAAAAGAATAATTGATGGTTTTATGTGAGAAGACCAGCGAATGTGTTACGAAAGTAAAACAGAGAAATTGAAAATGTTATGCTGTACAGTTTTTTTATACCTAATGTAAGCTGTGGATGATACTATGTATACAATTTGAGTCCACGATTGACACGTTAATTTAATAAATGTTACGAGTTTACAAAATTGTATTTTTACTTTATTGCAGTATCCTATATTTGTATGTATGTACCTATGTATTTGTCTATAAGTAACGGTGTATGTATTACATTTTGCAAGACACTCCGTTCATTAAAAACAAGTGATAATCACTTTCCATGTCAGCAATATAACGGGGTCATGCCCCATGCTTACGGAGCTTTCTGCCTACTTTTATTTGCCATCGCCTTTGCAAAAGAATAGAGAATAGTACCTGGGTGTTAGTGAAATTAAAGCAACAAGAGGAAATAAGGAATCACGACACTAAAGAAACATTACACCCCCAAAGAGTGCTGAAAAAAATGGTAAAACATTGTTGTAGATTGTTGATAGTATCGGGTTTCTAGTGTCGAGAGATTTTTATAATCTTATTTATGTTCTTTTTAATTTTTTTTTACTAATAAGTAATTAGTTTTACATACACACAGAGAGACATTTATACATGTATATATACACACGCGCGTACATATATATGTATATGTATGTATATACGTATAGCATATACATGTCAAGCAAGTCTCCCATTCGAGTTCACAAAACACAGCGCGTCACGAAAGGAATCGTTCCAGCAAAAGTACGATGCCAGTTTCCACATATACTAAATACCACATTTATAAATGATATATTTCACCTTGTAATAGGAACTCAAGTAGAAATTGCAAAAGTATCGAATACAAGGTACACACATATTCACGTAAAACCGTTTTATATTCTTTAATATATATTATTTACACTTCGAGACCTTCCGTATCATAGTCACAAATCACTGTCAGTATTTCAATTTTGTTAGCTGGTTTTGCTTTTCCTTTTTCCTTTCAAGAATCTCTGCGTTTGTATATATCCTTTGAAATTAAAACTACGAAAATTAATCTACGAATACGCATTGATAAATAATTTACCACATATTCTCGGCGTCACAATCGCAATTTTATGTATATAAAAAAAAACATTGTAATAAAGATGTTCTTGTTTACGTTACTTGAATATGTTAAATTGCTTTCTTTACTTTAAATTCATAGTTTGTTTATAAATGCAATATGTAGTGTATCAGTAGAAACATAATATTTGTTTTTATGTGTACTACGACAAAACGATTTTCTAATAAAATGAGGAGAATTGCGAAGAATCGAAAATATTCACAGATTACGACTTTCACAAGTATTTGGCGCAAACTTCCGGTCCGCGTGTCCTCTTACAACGGCGATTCTACTTGAAAAGTGGTACTCTATTGATTGACTCCGTGATTAATCTCTACTATCTAAATTCGAATCATCTCCTTTCTTCTTATATTATTACAGTATTTGTTGTCGTAGATAATAGACTACGAGATCCATTTCAATGTAGCACTATTGAAATTCGCCGAGGCGTACAAACTAACAACAAATATCTACTCAATATACATGCTATTCGCATCACTACTTTTATGATTCTGAATATAAATATACTGCATGTTGTATGTACCGTTTGAATCTAATATTTTTGTTCCTTTAATGCTCACTACTTTATAAAGGGAAAATATTGGGAGACAAGGTCACATCCATTTTCCCTTTTTCTGTTATATATATGTATATACAACTTTGATTCGCTATATATATATATATATATATATATAGTATGTATGTGTATATATGTATATGAATGAAAGTTGTTTTAATCGAATGAAATATTTCAAATGTCAATTCAGAAACAAATAAGTTCTAATCTACATTGGCACTTGTTCACGAATGATGAACGTTCAGTTTCAATGTACAGTTTCAACTATTTAGAAAGGGTTATTTAGTTACCTTGTCTCTCCATCTTGTAATAGTAATAGTTTTGAGGTGGGAGCACTAGTACTAATAGTAGTTGCAGTAATGCAATAAGATTAATGATAGCAGTAGCAATGATAATAATTAACCATTCGATGAATCCAACGATGAAACAAAAGTCGAACAGTGTTGCGTATACATCTGTACTCTCCAGCGAGAATTGATCGTTTACTACAGGTTTCGTTTACTAATACTACTTTATTATATCCCACCCGGTTTACACTTACTTTGTCTCTCTAAATCAGTCACAAATACGAGTAAGCGATTCGACTGCTATGACTAAGATTCTCACAATCGATTCTCACTGAACAACGCCTCGTATCAGGATACGATTAGCGTTAAAATACGGTTCCTTAAGAGGTACGAATGTTAATTTCTAACTTAAATCGTTCACGCCCCCCCCCCCACTCTCGTACCGCGCCGACAAAAATCAGACTTTTTCACATCCCAAAAAATTGTTTGTTTTTATGACAAGACACAAAGTAAAGCTATCTTGCACTGACCAGAGTCTCTTAAACCTGTCCAGAGGAATGAAGGCCTAACGTTTTCTACAATTTTATTTAGTCGACAACGAATGACAAATGTTTTTCTTTACAGATATTTTAAACTTTACAAAAAGTGTAACTATAGTACTCCGGTATACCGTCTCTTTTGACATGCAAGAAGGAGAATCCGTGTTAAATAAAAAATGTATGCTCGTATTATCCAGGTCAAACGTCCAACTTAACACGGGCGTAGTCGACGACTAAAATTCAGAAGAAAAAACGAAGAACAAAGAAATTCTAACTATATAATGACGTTCGCGTATCCAGATGCGACAAACTAGCAATACGTTTCGTTAACTTATAAAATAACAACGCGAGAATCTAACGAAGACGAGATAAGCTCGGATCTCGGTAAGTTCGTCAGATCACGAATTGGAAATGTTCGTGTCATACGTTCGTTTTACTTGCCACATAGTACACCGCAATACGACTCTATTTAGATTCACTTTTTGAACCTATTTTACACCTTCAGATAATTAGCGTGTCCATCCTCGCTACACATTCGTAAGTGCACCCCCTCCTTCTCGAATGTTGTCGCAAGGCTTAAGGAAGAGGGATTTGTCCATTGCAAAGTTGCTTTCGTTGGTCCTGCTCTTGACAAGCAAACAATCCTTATTCTTAAATCTTATCGTAAATGTTCTATTCTTACGGGTAATATGAAGCAAGTTGTGACACGGAATATGCTACGGTCAATTTGTATGCGATACATTTAGTTTTATATTGCGTTTGAATAATTTCTTACCTACAAAGCGGAGTAAGCAAATGTTCAAAACGTAAGTTCCTCTGTGTTGTCCGAATCGGATGATAGCTCTTGACGTAGTATTTCCATACAGGACTTTGGAATAAGAGTACCGACTATTTTTAAACCTTCATCTACAGTAAAAAAGAATTTCTATAAATTGCATGACCATGAGACGCTCAAGGTCGGCGCTAACTCATGTCAGATTATTAAAGGTAAATACTTTTTTTCTGATCTTACCAGTTCGTAAGCGTACAACTTGCATCTTTGTATTGTGACCAGAACGAGTCGCTAGAATGCTTTCCACCCGACTCCACACACTTAACACCGAACCGGATAAAACATTATAGGAACGCCTTCGGAGTCCGACCTCGCAGTCTATACCAAGGGTCGCGTTCTTACAATTACCACGCCAATAAGCATGGGAACATGTGTCCACCGAAGCATCGTATTGCTGTGACCAATGAGGTTCCGCCTCGTCCGAAGACACCTTCTTATATTTTTTCTCCAATTCGCCTAGAGTTTCTTGCCTAAGTTGCAATCCTGTATTGGGCCTTTCGTAACAAAGTACATATTATTTCGAAGCCATTTTTCTTGTTTAACCGAACAACAATTCGTGCAAATAAATAAAGAAATGAATAGTACCTATAAACCATATACAATTGATCCTTCTTGCTCTCAGACTTCTTCTTTCCAGTATCCACGGCAACTGCGAGGATAGCCGTTTGTTTTCCATTGCGAATTTGATGGCTCAAATAAAATCCTTCCTTAGATCCTGTCAGTTCGGAACATTTGTCCATAGCCTCGGCCCAACTCATACCACGCTCTACGTGAACCACATGAAGCTCCGTAGGCGCTTTTCCTGTTGCATGTTTCCGTAGAAATCGGAACAGTTTCACTCGCTTTACATTTTCGCCGGAAGTACCCAGGTCGAGGATACCCATGTCGAAGCGTCCGGTCTTCTTTGCTTGCGTCACGATCGCATTCAGAGTGTCAGTAAAGTACTTGAACAAACGATTCTGCAAGTCAACCGGCATGCCCAGTATCCGATTTAAAAACTTTGACATGTTATTATAATCCTTGTCTAAGGTAAGCACACCCGGCGTACTCTCGCTGTTACAGATTAGGCCGACGCCCAGCAATGCGTCCGCTACGTCTTTGAAAAAGTCACCATGGTAATCTTGAGGTGGTGGTACAAGCGGTGGTTCGTACCTATTTTAATAAATACAGTTGAATCTAAACGATCTATTCATTGAAGAAAGCACATTCGAGCAAGTGAATAGACGATGTAATTATAATTAAATGATAGTTTGTGTCGTATGACACGAAAAATGGATCATTTTTGCCATCATCTACAAATAAAATCTATCCTACATCCTGTATGTTGGTTAATATCAATGAAGTAAACAGAATAGAAATACAAACTTCATTATTGTTCTCATCGTTGCTTCAAGTGCTGCCCGGCCGTATTTGTTGTCGATATTGAATTGCGAGAGATCCCTTGTTTCCGTGGCACGTCGGTCCCCATGTGTGAGCGCACCAAGACTCTCCAGACGTTTCGCGACAATCGATGCGAATCTTCTTTCCCCCGCCAAGTCAGAGATCAGGAATATGTACTCTGGTGCGTTGACCTGATTCGAACGATGCGTACGTCCAAACTGCTGTATAGCTCTATCGGCGCTCCATGGCAATTCAAGAGTGATGTGTACTCGGCGCATCTGATTTCTTGCTCGCCTGTCGCTCTGTAACGATATACCGCTACTGGCTGCTTCCGAGATAATGGCGACCGTCTTTTCACCGTCCATAAATCTGTATCGTATAAATACGTCACGTGGTATAATTGGCTAATCAACATTTTCATTTTCTCAAATTTATATCCATTCTACAATGCGATTACCTACCTCTGTTTTTCGGTTAAATTAAGTGTTTCCAATGGTACATCAACCTCGGATCTAGATTCGTACTGAATGGTACCGTCTTCCGTTTGAACGACCCGTCCCTTCCTACCGGTCATTTCGGCCACGTTCTCAGGTCCTCCAAATTCGTCTATCAATTGGTCCAAGGTATTGGGTGGCAAACGTTCACCTAGATCTTCTATTTCTGCCAGAAGTTCCTTTTTCATACCATAGGCCCGCTCTACAGCGTCCCTAGATGGTGCTCGATTACGAACTGCTCCGACACCTCCAACGGCTCCTACATATCCTAATTATTAAGAGCAAACCTGCTGCCACATCTCCTTTCTTTTTACACAAATGTTTAATGTATTATAAATAGCATTTATATGTACCTGGACGCTTTTTCACCGGTTTCTTCTGCTTCTTACCGCCTTTCTTTTTTCGTCTGTCGCCAGAATCTAATACACAATATACATCATATACATAATGTAGTACATCGTCAACTTAACGATACGTAATGTGTTTCTTTCAATTTCTTAGACTTACCTGAATCAGATTCAGAACAAACGAAGGAAGAATCGGAGCTAATATTACTCTCTTCTTCGCTCCTATGATCGTCTTCGCTCTCGCTTCCACTTTGTTTATACTCTGAACCGGAACTTCGACCGCCGTTTCTTTCATCGTCAGAAAAATCATCATCGGATGGGAACGTACGAACTCTTTTCGAAGCTCGTTGAGCTGCCTGCCGTATCGGTTTTCTCTTACTGCCACCGGCTGATCCACCGGCACCGTCCATGTCATCGAGATCATCTAACCTCTGCATCTTAGACGGCTCTATACCCAGAACTCGGTGTATATGATTACGGTCCGATGCAGGGAAGTGTTTCTCGACCAACGTTTGGAGAACTCCCCTGAAAAAATAATATAACAAAGTTACACAGCAGACATTTCATTTGTTTCTCGAATTCAATTGCCCGTCAAAGTTCACTCACTTTGCAGTAGAGACAAAATCGCTAAGTTCACCGTCGTCTCGTTCCAATTGTTCCAAAGTACGAGCCTCGCCTGTAGATTGCAAACCGATTACCACGCATTTGCCACATTTAACAGCTTCTCGCGCAACTGCGACCGCGTGCTTCACTTTGGCGGCGATACACAAGTATTTAAAGAAACGTTGGTGCGACGACCAAAACTGTCCCCACATCGTCTTTTTCATGCGATTCTCAGCGTCCAACAATTCTGCCGCTTCTTGGAACCTTTGCATCGCTTCGACCCACTGGAAGAAATTTCAGAATTAATATCGAATCACAGTGTCTTTGTTCACTGCACAAAACGCTCGAGGAATAGCTAGGGCTGCGACAACACGTGCGACAATGCAACTAATTACTATTAACTAATCTAGTTAATCGACTTTCCGATGAAGACACACTTTACTCATATTGTACTTATTGTATTTTCTCTGACACTTACCAAATGAACGGAACGATCGTATACTTCAGTGAACTCTTTGGATAACGGTACTTCTTCGATCTTAAAAGCGACACCGTGAAAACTGAGCTGTCGGGCAATGTACATGCCTCGCAATTTCATGTCCATCGCTACGATTTCCATTGTTCCAACTCCACGTTTCTCGACCGCCGTGATGAAATCATTGAACTCCGGGAAAGGCGTTCCCTCGCCCCAAATTCCCAGTCGAACCATATAGGCCATATTCCGGGGTTCGGAAGCACCTGTGGCGCTAGCATAGACTACTCTAGCCTTGGGAAGTTTGTTCTGCAGTTCCAACACGGTCAGGCCTACAATAGACACGTTAGAAATCGAAAATTGACAGTATAGAATATTTTCTCCGCTATAATAATATAAACAATACGTGCCAGTTTTGGTAGGCTTTGAGCTGCCCGTGGGACACAAGTTTTTCGCACGATGACACTCATCAAAAATTATCAGACCGTCAAAGTCTTCTCCGCACCATTGCAGAAGTTGTTTTAATCGACTTTTGTATTTCCCGCCACTCTGGGTGGACTCTCCGATCAAAGCAGAATACGTACTGAATATCACTCCTTTCTTCACATTACCGTTCACGGCTGAGGAAATTTTTGCATACTTAAATTTGTTCAAAGCGTGCACCTGTAAATATGCAATTGTTCATACTTTCTCTGCTCTAATGTGAACCGAATGTCATACTACTATAATATATGTATATTTTCTAAATACCTCGATCTTCGATGCACCAATGTCATTTAAGTCACGCTCTGCATCGTACTTGAGATCATTCGAAACGGAAACCCAAATGGCGCGTTTTCGGCCCTTTTGATAATTTTCAAATATAATACCAGCTATGGTCCGTCCTTTACCGACTCCAGCACCGTCACCAATTAAGAAACCGGCGCGTGTGCCGTCCGGTAAAAGGTGTTCGTGCTGCTGTGATGCATACGTTATAGATTCAAGCTGTAACGCTGATAAAGCTCCAGTTCGTATTGTTTCTTCCGGAATTGAAACTTTGTACCAAACGTCCGTCGGCTCGACACTTGATAACGATGCAGTCTCTACAACGGGATCTGGATGCTTCCGTCCGAGCTTAACTGTTACATATTACACTCGTAAGGTATACATATACATGTGTATAAATAGACGACTGATAAGAAAGAAAACGTGAATGAAACGTACGTTTGGTAGGCATGTAATCGGCATACGTTTCAGCAACGCCCATATCTTCGTCATCAACTTCTTCCTCTTCTGGCAAAGTTGGCTGTATATTCATCTTGGTAGGATCTGCAGAATTCATCCACAACTGGGATACAGCTTTGCCTGCAATAACACGCTGATTTACTACACACTGACAATGTTATAACGTATATTTCATATTGTCTTAACAATATGAAATGGAATCATATAAACAAACTACATAAACGTTCATTATAATAAAGTCATAATTTCATGCCTACGTTATGAACAAGAATACCTGATAACCCAGCTGCCCAGTTTGGATGTAAACCATTTTGATTTAGTAGTTGAACAAGGGGATTTACACCCATGTTCATTCCTGGCATACCCATAAAACCACTCATTAAGCTCATATCCATGCCTGGGGAATAACAGTATACGTAAAACCTCTCGATTATTCTTTTAGTAATACCATTACTACGATTACATCCAACCATTTTTAATTATTAGTATCACACAGTGTTACGTGTAATACAATGGAATAAGGTCATTAGAAATTTTTATTAGACATATATGCTTTTTTTTTATAAGTAATGTATGTGCCCGGCTAACTTATACATACACAGAAGATGCAATTGATTTTTGCAGCGCACACCAAAATAAAATCACAGTTTGATAATTGCTTTGCAAACTTTTGTTAACTACTACACTTACTCGGTGGAAAAAAAGCAGCAGGATTGAAACCTGCAAGGGTTGCCAGTCCAGGTGGAAAACCATAAGGTCCAGCAGCAGCTAACTGGCCTAGCTGACTCAACTGATTAGCACTGACAAAATCTGGTGGGGTGCCCTGCGATCCTCCCACACGAACCATTTCGTATCCTGGTGTTGCTGTTTTAGTCACCAGTCCACCAGGAATTTTATTACCGAACTTCTGATTCAGCACTGTGAGCAAAAAGTGATTACAAGTAACATGAAGTCATGAATTTTATATTTCAATGATCTGTAAAGTAACACATGCATTACAAAGATAAATAAGTTCAAATATTTTCCCGAATATAGTCGGATAAATAAATGGTAGACGGTTTCCTCCGTTAGCACCAATTTACATTAAATTTATTCTTACTATTTAACCCTCCTTGTCCTTTAACCATGACATTAGATGGAGCATCAGCAGGTTTTTCATCCTTAATGTTTGCAATCCCAGTGGCAGTGGCCAAATCTTTTCCACCACCTAACGAAACATTATCAATAAATGATAAATATGTTAACACTGAAAAAAAAAAAAATTTACCAGGTACACCCATGTTATCAGGATCTTCATCTTCATCACTGCTACTGTCTTCATTCATTGCATCCTTCTCTTGTTTGATCGACTATAAGGTACAAAAGTTAGATTAAAAATAAAATTGACATTTTCAAAAAAGAACACAGATTTAAAAACTATGCCAATGTGGAGGACATGCGTGTACGAGTACAGTACATATACCACTGTTAAAACTGTAAATTAAATTGTACATAATATGCTTTAGAAAAAACTAATTTAACTTCTCAAGTTCGCATAATTCATTTGAAATGAATAAAAATTTCAAATACCTAACTTTGGATACATTTAAATTAGATATATCGAAGAAGTTAGTCACAGATTAAATAATATTTCTGTCCTCAAAAAGAATGTAAATAAACTACAGTAAATAAAATGTATATTTTATTCAGCTCTGGTAAGGGGAGGGAGAAAATGTTGCAAGGAGAGGGAAAACAGTGTGAGTCATTTGAAATTACAATTAGAGATACATCTTTGCGGTGTATGTACCGCGTCTATAGGTTAGTCGTGCCAAGAGATGGATGCTCATTGAGAAAAATATACATGATACGGAAAGGGGAAACCAGTGTGAAGCATGTAACATAGCACGATGATAAACAAAAATAAACTCACCATGACAAAAAATAGGTCTGGACAGCCTGTCTTATCAGAGGTTCACGAGAAACAGACGGTCGAATGAAACGAGAAAGGTATTAATATTGTATCTTGGTCGCGGTCGAAGATGCTGTCTCTGACAGGGTGCACGAGACGGCCACTTTTTTTCCTCCCTTAAAGGATGACTTGCGGCTCGTGTCTCGTCAAAAGAACATTACCCGGCAAATATCTCAAAACTAACAAATTGTACAAGCTAGGAAATCACAGCGTGAGAGCTTACTGTGCGCCTAAGTCGAGCCATTTATGCGGTCTGGACCGAGCATACACTCAAAACGCGTTCGCCAAACACGGCTGCCGCCATCTTGGCTTTCGCCCGGCCCACGGTGCACCGCGATGCAAATACAAAAACACACGCGCCGCCTGCGGAATATGATCGCCCAACGTTGCCAGGTCAATTGCGGCCAATGATCTTCTCTTGAGCGCGTTAACCGAAAAATTGCCGCGCTTTTGAAAGAATAATTAATCGATGGATCGTAATTTGATTGTAAAAATGTTTCGAATTCTGACAGACACCGTTTGAATACAATTCCAAGAGACGTACAATTTTGATGCGAATCAATAGGAAAGAAAATGCCTAACGTTTATTGCGTCGACACTGTATAGAGAAATTTTTCACAACAATACATATAAATCTGCGAGCTGGGGTACAGATCCAGCAAACAAATGTATATTATTAAACGTGTCAAAACGTAATGAACTACTTCATTGATTTTGTACAAACGCGAACGAGCAACTGTGACGATGCACGAATATATAGTTGACGTATCTTCTTTAATGTCGCAAAAATTCTCGTCGAACTGTATTTCGTTCTGATACCGTTTAAACAAGCCAGTCTTTGATTCGCTTCTTCTTCCGCAGTCGTCATAAATTGTACGTAACTGAATGACGAAGTCGTGACGGAACGAGGAGGTAAATCGTGTAGATATGTCGTAGCGAATACTGCTGTTTTAAGAATCGTTTATTCGAACACGTGTTTCACCGAGTCACAATCAACAGTAAACAAATCGTGCGTCGCGTATCATGTGTCCGCACACGCGTGGTCACGCTCAAATGAGTGGAGCTGTACGACGAACTGGCAACCACGCCAACGCGCCGCGCTGATCGTTAGCTGATTTAAAGTATCCGCGGTAAAAAGAAAAGAATATAACGGCTAACTCTACCAAGAAACTGTAAATAACGCTCATTCGGACGGATTCAAGTCGATTCGTGAAAACCGTTTGATTTCTGGGAATCCGTTTAGCAAAATAATACGTGTCGATTGCGTATTATTCAATTGCAAGGGTAAATCTATCTAAAAAATAACATCGTTCTAATACAATCGATCCGAGCTTCGCGCCGCTCACAGCGCCACCTGACAACTACATTGTGAAACTAGCCAATTGATTTGATTTTGTCAATTTGTATTATGAAAATAAGAATTATATTTTATTTGCAATAAATGTTAAGGGTATGAAAAATTCTCATTTTCTCTTATAAATAAAACTCTTTTGTGCAAGTCATTAATCAATGTCAATGTTAGCAAAATAATACGAATATTTATATTAAATTTGTGTATATGTAATGTTGCATGTATAATATTTAATCTGCGATAGAACATCCTGAATGCAATATGTTATCTTCATGGATTCAAATTGAGCCGTATAGTCATGAAAATTTCAGAAATATAGTAAAACAGTATTTAGAATAGCTAGGTTATGTAAATATAATATGAATTATTAAATATTAAAAACCTCTCATGCGCACGGTTGTACTAGAAATAGAACAAATCTTTTCACAATTTAATACAACGAACTCTATGTTAATAAAGAGGTGATAGTTATTCGTTTTGTATGAGTAAATATAAACTATAACTAAATATAGGTCTCAGGATAATGTTAACAGGGCTTATTCAATTAAAATATAAACTTAAATTTCGACATCTTGAAGTTTTCTGATTTCTTACCAGTATCCTTTAAAAAGTTAAAACGGTTTTTATTTAAATAATTGGACATTTAATTAAAACTCGAACATAGTTCAACGCTTTTAACTTTCATGTGCGCCAACGTAATAGTTACGTACAAAATAAATGTACACACATCACTGATCTGTATATGATTAGTGACATAAGTACATACAGTGCACATGAGAAGACCGTGTCCACCGAGTCTCTAATATGATAATAGAAGTAGCATTATGACGAGGAATGGCGGTACATGTGGTGTGTTATTTCGACACTGTAATTTTGATCTTGTTCAATGGGAAGTGGTGCGTCCTAACTGATTGAAAATACACTATTCACAACGTTCTGACTAAATTATATTTTTATCTCGATTGACACATACATCGCTTCGTAAACGAGCGAGGCAAAGATGCACATTTGGAAATTGCTAGTGTGAAAAATTTGAATTGTTAAAAGCATCGCTTGACGTGAAGCACCTATATATAGGCTATAGCGTCGACTACATAGCATTGAACAATTGAAGCGACTCAGGCACGGTAGCCCCGCGCAGCTCGGGAATTTTTGTATGAGAATATTAACTTTTTGATTCCTTTGTTACGCGAGATTGTCGAGGAACAATATGGCGAAAGGTAAAGACACGATTCGAAAAAATCCTTCTGTACTTTCATTGAAGATTTTCTGCTACCAGTCAGGTTATGTTTTGGTAGATTTCTCTCTCTCTCTCTCTCTCTCTCTCTCTCTCTCTCTCTCTCTCTCTCTCCATTTTGAGCGTTGTCTAAGAGACGCTCTGTAATCAAGACATTTCTTAAGTTCTTTCAAATTTATTCCTGTCTATATGGCTTTAGTTTCTGTTCGCATGTTCTATGCTCTCAAGACATGTCTTAAGAAGTACAGATAGAAAAAGACAAGTCTAAAAAAAATTATCTTCCAGTTTCTTCTCTACATGTATGCTATATTATGTTGCTTATCAGGAACTACACAACGCGATTTTAATATTATTACTTTCTTTCTTCATAATGCTCTCCAAGGATTACACATGAATGCATATGATGACAGATTCTGTTCGCATCAAATACTGTACATAGAACTATAGCAGAAACAATAAAATAGCCCTGTAAATGTCATCTAAAATTTCATGCTTGAATAGTTTAATGAATTTTGAAAAGAATTATAGCCCCTAAACATTTATATCTTACACGTGACTTATATACATTTTAATTGCAGAAAGACGAAAACGTGTACAAACAAAAAGCATGGTTCATATAAGAACCACAGTTTTATCCATGGAGTATAATGATATAGGTAGCCCTGCAAAGAAAGAGCCCAAATTGGATAATAATATAAATATTAAAAATAGTAATTCGGATGGAACACATATAGCAACAGAAGCACACAAACCTACTGTGTCTATAAGTTCCTTTTCCTATACACAAGTGTGTAATTTATGTACAAAGAAGTCACGATGTATTATATAGAATATAATTCTAATACATTTTTTTTTAATGTAGATTGGACATGTTTCTAAGAGTAAATCTATCGAAGAGAGCTTCTATAGAAGTGAACATACTAATGTTATACAAAGTAATAGTGTTAGTGATATTGATCACTTTACAACCGATGGTATTATTCATTGTTTGTATTGACTATCGACTTTTGTAAATAGAGTAGTGTGTTATGTTAATGTACAAAATATTTTAGAGACACCTGTAGCTGTACCCATTCATGGCCCATCGACACCACACAGGATAAATATGCCAACCAGTCAAGTGGAAGATTTAGATGAAAAAACTACAAATGACAAGAAAGATAAAGAGCCACTGACCCCTGGAGCTAATTTGGAGACACCTTTGAAGAAACCTGCTAATCGTGGCCGTAGAAAATTGAATGGCAGTCAAACTGCCGGTCATCGTCCGAACGAATCATTGCATACTGTTAGAACAAATCACAAGCTTACCGATTATTTTCCAGTTCGCCGTAGCGTGAGAAAATCAAAGAAAGCTGTATTAGAAGAGAAGCAACGGGATATGGAGAACAAAGTACTCTGTCAAGTGGAGGAGGGTTTAGAGGTAAAGAGAAGTTGATGCCAATAAATCATTATTTTCTTATCATGAAATCTAAGAAGAATGATCTTTTTTCAGGTAAGACATTTTCCTGGTAAAGGGCGTGGGGTGGTAACAACACGAGAGTTTACAAAGGGAGAATTCGTCGTAGAATATATTGGTGAATTGATTGACCAAGTACGAGCTAAGAAACGTGAGAAGGTATATGCACAGGATCAAAATACTGGATGTTATATGTATTATTTTCAACATCGTAATCATCAGTATTGGTAAGTATCTGTATATATTATGATCTGGAAGATATTAAAATTTTACGATCTTTACACCTCTCATATGTCCATATGTTTTTAGCGTTGACGCGACAGCAGAGACTGATAAGTTAGGTAGACTAGTAAATCATTCAAGAAACGGTAATTTAGTTGCACGAGTCATAGAAATAGGCTCGAAACCTCACCTGGTACTTGCAGCGAAGGAAAATATACCAATTGGAGTTGAAATTACATACGACTATGGTGATCGAAGTCGCGAAGCTATTCGCCATCATCCATGGTTAGCGTTATAGCGCCTTCAATTAATTATGTAATACGGTATTGTATTGTACAGTGTAGAATTCATTTAATGAATCATTGTTTCTCCCATGAAGGAATAACATCTATAGAATGTTTTAGTCAAATTATGCGAAACATAGATGTGCAGAAGAGAATTCATATACAGCTCTGTATTCCTTAGTACATATGTGTTAAATTTTCATCTTATACTTTAACTATACCACTGAACGAAAGACATTAAGGATGCTTGATATTTTATTAGTGAATAGCATGGATTGACTGCACGCATCATGACCTGTAACACATTTTTTTACTTGTTAAGATAACAAAAAAAAAACAATTAAAAATAACATTTTTCTTTTGTTAGGACAATTGTATTGAGTTAGTTTAAATGACACGATGCACCAAGTGTTTAACATTAGTCTTCACTTTATAACAAATACTTCATCTAGTCCTAGGTTTAGTCTAGTATTTTGCCGAAGTTTATGGTCATCACAACCAAACACCCCAACATACTAGGCCGAAACTTTTCCTGGCTGAAGGATTTGTGACGTACTCTAATAATAATTAGTACTTTCAATCTCACATTAATCTGTAAATCAGCCAGCAATTCGACGTCTTTATTCAGGGATTTGTATTGTAAAATAAGTTTATTTTCGTCAGTTTGTCACTGCCGTAGTCTGTTTAACGATTCGAGGCGGAGCTCATAATTAATTTCACGGGTTAGTGTTTAGTTTATTAATTAATTTTATTGTGAGTGTACATTATGTTTTCAATCTACTATGCGTTTGAAAATTGATTGCTGTAGATCCTGTAGCGAGGGAGATATTACAACAAAATTTAAAAGATGCATTCGCGTGGAAGAACAAAATGACTGCGATTTACATGCATATTTCTATTATTTCCTCAATATTTCGTCAGTATTTTTATATCAAGTAATATTTACGATTAATATGCAGATAAGTACTTTGTAAAAAAAATGTTACCGATTCTCTGTTATAGTTCTCTAATTTCATTTTTAATATTTATTGTGTAATTTTCAATATTTATTTATAACTTTAGTAATACACTCAAGTATTTTATGTAGATTAATTGTACGATATACAATCATTCTAAAACATCACTTGTGTTATTGCGCGAAATTGTACATTGATAATACCATAAAATTTTATGTCACAACCTTACTAGTTATAATTATTATTAGAAATACTACTATGTAAATTGTAAACTGTACAAAGAGGTCTTTATTTTACTGAAAATCCGTATAAAAATGTATGATTTGTTTCCAATCTGCAAATAAATAATCTGAAACATATTACCTTAGTTAATATTTGTTTCCTCAAGTGAATGAAATTCGTTTTTACTGAAAAGCACGATTTTCAATGGAACATTATCTCGATAATTGCAATCGTTATACATACATATATCTATAATCAAGCATCCATACAACAAACTTAGATCGCTATAATACTTATCATTGTATGTCAATGACTTCATCTTCAGAATTTTCACCGCTACCCGTAAACGTTTCTTCACCGGTTTTCAAAAACAACGGCGGTAAAAATGTTGTAAACTCTTTATTTCTTGGTAGCGGTATGAAAGAAATGGGAGATTTATGTTCAAGAAAATGATCATCCCCTTTCTCATCTTGTTCGCATTCAAATGTTCGTGTAATGATTTTAGACTCTTCGGTTGAATAATTCAATTGCTCTTTTATCGTATTGTTACAATCTTTATCAGCTGCAATCTGTTCCTCCTCTAATGTGTAGAAAGTACCGAGCGAAGGCATTGATGGGGGTCTAGGAATCTGAAACTTATTTTCTAAAGCAGTCTCACTAATTACACTTTTATGCATTCTGTGCAATGCTTTTAATTCCCTTTCAGACATAGATCTTTGTTTATCAACCAGAACATCTTTCAGTTCAATCATAAAATTCTTAAACAATGATTTATCTCGCTTATAGTTGTATAATGGGATCTCGTCACTTTCCTCGATTAAAGGTTTCAAGTATTCTTCTTTGATGTACTCTTCAAAGACTTCATCCATAATTAGTGGTTCTGAATCATGTACAATAGGGATATCACCATCTATTATTGGTGCCAACATATTCATTTCTGAATGATTTTCTGTGTGGTCATGTATTTGTGTTTTTAGAAGATACAAAGAACTGAACTCAATAAAATCTTTTGCATTTTCAAGATCCTTTTGAGCTTGGTTCAGTTTCTGCAATGTATCTTCTACAACAGTTTTATTTTCCGTGTTTTCAGTGGTATTATCGTCAATATTTTGAAGTACTGACAATATATGACCATGAGCTACTTGTAATCTATTGGAGGCTAAGTACAAATGCATATATAAATCCTGCCAATGAGATGAAGTAGATTCTCTGAAATAACAAGGACACATGAGACTATAATATGATATTCTTGTCTATAAGAAACAGAAGAGTGAAAGGCATTCTTACTTGTGTGTGTATGAAATTGGTTCTACTTTGAAACTGTAGTAGGCATGAATGATGTTCGACAATCTACCTTTACGTATTGTTAAATATTTGTTTAAAAAGTCAACGATGTAAGCTAATTTGAACTCAGGAATTTTATTGCAAGATTCTTGCCACGTATGACTGTCATATGAAGTAGCTAGTAAGTGCAGCATCTCTGACTGAACCAGGATGTAAATGTGATACAAAGTCTATCGGATGAAAATAAATACATAAATGTGAATTGCTAAACAATCTATTCAATACTTCATTCGAATCCAACCTTTAACTTTTGATAATTTATTTCACCACATATCTTAAACGATTCAGTCTTGAATTCGGTCAGCAAATCTTTGTGAGACATGTTTATTGGTAATAGTTTTATGAGAATCGAACAGATACAATAATAAGTCAACGAAACATGTTCCAAGCATGCCACTACATTTTCCATGATAGGTTGCAAATACTTCAGTCTATCCACTGTCAGACCACTATTATAATATCAAACATTAATTTGTAAACAAAGTTAAATAATTGGGCATATACTGTAGTTCAGGTGAAACTTACTAAAATTGCTGAGAACATTGGTCTTTGCGTAATTTTACTTTATATCCATACTTTAAGATTTTAAGGCCTTTCTTACACAAGAGAAACAAATCATTTTGTAAAGATATAACAGTCTTTAAATTCTTATGTGCACCTACTCTTGTCCACTCAATGTAACCAGCATGAAGTACCATAAACAATACAAACAATCTCATTGAATTTTTATACCCAGAAGTATACGGAATATATATTGAAGATGACAAGATTACACCTGATAACAGGAATTTCGATACAATGGACCTATAAAACATAATACATTTTATATAACTAAATATTAATACTAATTTATAGTTTAATGAATAAGATAATTACCTCCATGGTTTACAATTATATTTATCACGAAATCTATGAATTATACATGCATGATCGTTTAAAAGAACTTTTGCATCTAAAATGGTTGATACTTGCTTCTTGGATACACTGTCATCCTATTGTAAACAGTATCTGATATTATCATGAGCAATATAGTAGTATAATGTGGTACATACATATTTATATTATTCTCCAGCTGTACTGTATCCATACCTGATTTGTTTTTGAATATATAACAAACAATTTCTTAAAAGCATTTTTAATATACTGTATGAAACCCTAAAAGTACATAGATATGTATAGTTTAAAAGAATAATGAATTTCTAATTTGATTTGAAGCAAAGAACTATTTACAATAAATCTAGAATTTATCTCTTTATTCTTGAGTACTGATTTTGCTATCGTTACACTTTCGAAATCAGTATAACCTAACCGGTGTAAATGTTCATATAGGGGAGTCCCCTGAAAATAAAAAACCAAACGATGTTATTAGTCAAGAAATTGTAAAGGAATTATATTTTATACCTGTATAATGATATCTTCGTCTTCATCGTCAACAGTATTAACATTCATGCTGCTATTTATGCTATTTTCATACGAAAAAATGCGCACAATACCTAAATAAATACAGATATACATATATATACATCATATTATCATATACCCATGTATATATATATATATATATAAATATAAATTGTATATAATTTATACATAACACATGTGACACGCAACAATCAAACACAACCTCTAAATAATATTGTTTTGTAATCGTGTAGAGGTTAATGTCTGTGGAACACGCTTTCGTACCTAATAAATTTTTAAGAAAAAGTCGCACGTATTTTTTTGCTCATTGCAGCATATTTAAGTCATACCTGTACAATGAAGAATCTGTCGTTGACTCGACGTGCCAGTCGTCTTCTACATTCTTTACAAGATCAGATTCCAAATAATACAAATGTTTCCAACGTATTACACACTATGAGTTCAATTAACGATGACTTTTACATATTGTTAAACAGAAGGCTATATAAAATCCCGTTAGACTATGGGAATGACATAACATTCTTTGACATAGATCAAAATGTGGAGTTTATTGGTTTAGAATATTGCAACCTGACGCAGAACATTTATGCTGCCTGTAATCATGGTAATATCATAAGCATAAGCACAGAACCTGAGTTTGAGTACGAAGTAATGACTCAATTAAACACAGATTTACACTGTATGAAACTTAGCCCAGACCATGAAATAATAGTATTAGTTACAACGAATGGTACAATAATTACATTGGTATATACTTTCGAAACAATATCAATGGTAATAGTAATTCTATGATTTTTTATGAAGTTATATTGTTTCATAATGTTCAAAGGTATATGAGGTGAACTGAATATTTTAGGTAGATCTATACGAACCAGATTTTGGTGAAAAACAGTTTGTAACCGTTGGATGGGGTAAAAAAGAAACTCAGTTCCATGGATCAGAAGGAAAGAAAGCAGCAGTAGTTCAACCAATGAAAATATCTCAGGAAGAATTGAACAATGAATCTTATAGAGTAACTTGGAGGGAAGATGGTTCATTATTTGCTGTTGGTTTTTTACACCATGAGAATAAAATGAGACGATTCAAGGTATTTAACAGAGAGGGAGTTTTACAATACACAAGCGAACTTGTTGATGGTTTGGAAGAATCATTATCCTGGAAACCATCTGGAAGTTTAATTGCAACTACCCAGAATTTGCTAAATAAACTGGTTGTTGTGCTTTTTGAGAAGAATGGTTTGAAGCACCGAGAATTTTTACTTCCTTTTAAGCCAACAGAATTTAGGGTACATATAAATTTCTTGTTCTCTGTTGTGAATCTATTGCAGTACATCTCTAACTTTGAACTAATCTAAAACTTCCAATATAGGTAAAGGATTTATTTTGGTCACCAGATTCAGAGGTGTTAACTATTTGGTGTATAATGCAGGAAGATTCTTCCTCTCTTCTGCAGCTTTGGACAGAAAACAATTGCCATTGGTATTTAAAACAAACAGTCAGGTTTCCTAAGGATAATGCATTACTACATGCGACATGGAGTACAGTGTCTCTTTCTAAAAAACTAATTATATTAACATCCAAAGAACTTATCGAATGCGACTACAATTGGTGCGTTAATCATAGTAGAGGCAAAAGTTTATACGACAAATCAGTTATTGGAGTAATTGATGGAAATAAGTTGTTACTAACTGGCCTAAGGATAGGAATTGTGCCACCACCAATGGCACATAAGACTTTAGAAATGTTTGAATCTATAAATGCTATTGTTTTTGCACCGGATATGGAACATGAACACACTTGGATAGACAGTAATACGCTATTTTGTGTTTCTGATAGTAATAAATTAATGTTCTACAAACATGTACCAGTAAGTATGAATTGACTAATATTTTTGACTACACGACAAGACAATACGGTATGTTTCAAATTAGGATTCATTGTTACTGGCCTACAAACACATTGGATCGTACAATCTTAAATGGAATGTTCCTACAGAATTCGAAAATTCTCTGTACAACATGCACCATTTTCTTTGGTTCGACGTAAATAAAATTTTATGTTCTTTATCAACGAGCAGACACAGCCTTCTTTGTGTTTTGTATTTAAACAAAGTAGATGATCAGACTCAAGGTGAAGTAACAGTGAGGTAAGTATATGTTTAAGAATATTCTCTTGTTGAATGTTTGAAGCTAGTAAAGTATTAATGTAGCACTTCATTTTCAGGGAAATATACACTATGGGTGGTTTAATTCAACACATTGTTCCTTCTCCTGATTCGAGGGAAGCTTATATACTTGTAGAAAATTCTGGTATAGTATATACAAAGGAATCAACATTGGTGCCAATAAATGTAAAATTACCTGATTACACTTACCAAATGGAAGTAATAAATACTGGAACAAAAGACATTGTGGTATCGTTATCCCACAGAAATTGCTTCTCTATAAACGGAAGGCAGACTGCTAATAATGTTACTAGCTTCTTTGTCCATTCAGAGTTTCTGCTTCTTACAACATTGCAACACACATTAATATGTGTGAAGATAAACGACAAGGACTTTGAAGAGTTAATTAGGCATGACTTGACTATTAAGCCTTGGGAAAATTTGAATAGTGAAAAATCATTCACAGGTATTGGGTTACTTACAATTACAAGTTGATAATTGCGTCTGAATTCCAACTATAACTGATACTTTTAGATTTAAATGTGAGACGCGTGGAAAGAGGATCTCAGCTGATTGCAGCTATACCTAGGAATTCAAAGACTGTTCTACAAATGCCTCGTGGAAACTTAGAGTGTGTACAGCCCCGAGCCCTAGACTTATACATTATTGGATATTACTTAGATAATTGCAATTATCTAGCCGCGTTTGATGTAATGCGTAGGCAAAGGATAAATTTGAATCTGATCTACGATCATGATCCCAAGAAATTTGTCGAAAATGCTGAAAACTTTGTAGAGCAAGTTTCTAAACCCAGCTGGTTAAGTCTGCTGCTGTCCGAGTTAGGGGACGAAGATGTTACTACAACCATATATGCAAATTACTATAAAAAAACAAATCAAGCAAACTCAGGAAAAGTTACAGTACACAAAGTGGAATTAGTTTCCGACTTACTGAGACGTATTATGGAAAGTAAAAGTACTGCCAATCACTTGATTCAACCAATATTGATTAGCTTGGTTAAGGGTAAAAGAAAGCAAGGGCTGGAAAGTGCACTGATTAAAGTAAAAGAAATTAAAGAACTAGAAAGATCTGCTACAAGCACGAAATATATAACACCGGACGAGGCATTGAAATATTTATTGTACATCGTTGATGTAAATGTACTGTTTGATACAGCTTTGGGAATGTACGACTTTGATCTTACAATGTTTATTGCTTCAAAGTCACAGAAGGATCCCAAGGAGTATATTCCATTTTTAAATGACATGAAAAAGCTCAATGAAAATTATATGAGGTACTCTGTTGACTTACACTTGAAACGGTATGAGTCTGCACTTGAACATATAGCCAAAGAATCCAATAGATTCAATGAGTGTATAAATCTAATACGTAACCATGACTTGTACACAAAAGCACTAAAGTTATTTGAGAAAGAGAGTGAACAATACAAGAAAATAGCGAAATTTTATGGAGAGTTCCTACTAAAAAAGCAACGTTATCAAGAAGCCGGAATAATGTTCCATAGGAGTGGTGATTTAAGGAAGGCCATGAATGCTTGCAAATTAGCTGGTAGCTGGCAAGATGTTATAATCCTTTCCATGCAAATGAAACTAAGGTGACAGGACAAGTTAAACTGATTGTTATATGTATATCTTTGAGCGTATATAACTATATGGAAGTAAAAATCATTAAATAATATTCTAGTGTAACAGAGAAGCACGCGCTGTATAAAGATCTTGCAAACCGGTTGAAGAATGATAAACGGTATGAGGAAGCTGCAGATATTTTAATTAACTACTTAGAGGATGTTGAAGAAGCGGTGATTGCTTTGTGCAGTGGCAAACAATGGAAAGATGCTGTAAGAATTGCACATGACAAAGAGAGTTTAAATTTAATTGGTACGTTCATCTGTTTGTAGTAATAAACAGTGGAGAATTCATGGTCTAATATACAAAGAAATTATATTTCTAGAGTCTCGTGTACGATCAAGCGTGTACGAACACGCAGATCATGTAATGTCTCAAATAGAAAAAAATAGACAAGATTTTGAGCGACATAAATCCCGCCTTGCTATAATCAGGGTTAATATTTCGGAGAGCAATGAAATCATTTGTGACAATGAGTCGGTATATGACAGAGGTATTTCAGATATTTTTAGTGATACAAGCAGTGTTGCTAGTTCGACATTGAGTCAAAAATCGAAATTTTCCAACTTGTCTGGGTAAGAAACATATACGTAAAAATATATGAAATTTCAAGAGTTACGACTATTGGTGATATTTCTTTCAGAAAAAGTTACAGATCCAGCAAGAATCGCAGAAAGCATGAAAGAAAGCTTCTGAGTTTGAAAGAGGGTAGCGCTTTCGAAGACTTAGCATTAATACAAGCTCTTTATCAGATTGTCACTAATACGTATAAAGAAAGAGGTTTGTTTACTTATCTATAATCGATTTCACGTAGTCAAACTTTTAAACTAACAATTCCAAACGGAATTGTACATTCACGCTTTGAATTTCAGACGAATTACATGCATTAGTGCAAATGCTTTTGTATTTTGCCGATGATGACTACGCAGAAAAGGTACAGAATAGCATGGAACAGTTTTTACGTTTGATAGAAAGAAAGAAATTTGAGATTTGGGATAAATCTGCACCTTCGAGCCTAACGGAGATGGTATTGTATAACGTATTATGTACCTACTTATATCTGCGACTCACTTAACCGAGAATATAATTAAACGTATTGCACATTTATATTTTAGGAAAGTGCAGAACTGTCTACTGACTTACTAGGGCTGTCTGCATCGTATAAAATAATTGGTAAGCGATGATTATTTTTAAATTGCGTCACAAAATATTCCAACTCAGTTTTATTTCATTGTTTTGCAGAACCTAGCGTTACAAGTCCACCAGTAGCCAACTCTACATCTTGGAAACTGAACATATTTTAGTACTATATCGCAATTAATATATTTTTTTTAAATATACACATGCGACTGATAACTTAGCGATCTTTCAATCGCCGAGAAATATGTTTGCCATTTCTATTTATTCAATAGACCATTTCATATAAACTTTTTCCTAAGCAAATAACATTAAAAGTATATGTATATCGTTATTATTACGATGAAGATAACAGAGTAATAATGAAATTGGGTTTCATTATAATACATGAAATAAGTATTCCAACTGTAAACGAAACAAAAATATTGTAACATAATATTTTAATTCGCGCAAATGATGTATATTGCCTCCGAGAACGTTATTACAATTTATTTTTCACAGATACTTCTTTTACATCAATTTTATAGGATTACACGTTCCGAACGCAACGAGTGAATTTCTAAAACCGTCACAAATGAACACGTTCATTGGTATATTTGTGAAAATATTCATATCAAAGTATAAATTAATATAGTCTGGAATACTCGCATATTTTCGTATATTAACGTTAAAACTATCTATAGAGCGAATATCAAAATTAAAAAAAAACTTATAATTGTGAATAAAAATTAAAATTTCCTCAATATTCCAGTATAAAAGATATAATTCATGACTCAAATACCCTAACATCCTGTTTTAAATTAGACAAAAGTTCGGCAAACAATTAAATTAATGTTAGACCCATTAAGAGTTTAATCAGTCTGAAGCTTATTTCATGAAAATAAATTAAAGACTAACTAAAATCGATAATAGTTCCTTACGTGATAGAGTAATATTAGGTTATTGTAATTAAACTGTAATTTAGAAGGCATGTTGCACTGATTTCCAGAATATGACATTTCCTTCGTATTATTTCCTCGTATTTACAAATTAAATCATTTTGCCGAAATTTTATACAATTTAAACCAAGATCTATCGGCAAACGTTCTTCGTTAATTTTATAATAATAATAATAGTAATAATAAAAAAAATACGTTCAGTACCATTTGACTATACTCTCATGCCTACCTTCTTCTCCTTTCTACACTAGAAAACATTTTGTATAAAATTACTCTAAATTCCGCAATTACGTGTAAGAACAAAGGAAAACTTTCAATAAGTAATTCATCCACCCGCAAAATATATATTTAGCTTTGATGAACCACATACTATTTAGAATTCGATACAGGGTGTTACATCTAACGGGACGCACGATTTTTCACCCACTTGCAGCCATCTGACAAAAAAAAGTTTAGAACAATGTGGAAATGTGAAATATTTAGTTTTTCGTCGTATTTGACTTTAAGACAGCGTAAACATTATTTGACACGGAAGAGATTACTTTTAGCACCTTTCCACTACTGAAAATCGAGTATAATATGTTAGTTAAAATATCATGTAATATGTGTTTTGAATTCATCTCGATGTCCTCAAAATATGGTAACAAAAAAATGTGTTCCAATTTGTAAAATTCAAGGTGACCCCGATTTTGCCATGAAAACAAACTGTTTTCGAAATTTGTTACTGATATCTATTACACTCCACACCCTGCAACTCTTGTTCTAAACTTTTTTTTGTCAGATAACTGCAAATGGGTGAAAAATCGTGCGTCGCGTTAGAGGTAACACCCTGTATATACACTGTGCCAGTACACAGGGAACTGTACGAGGGCCTGTACCACAAGGAATGACTTATTGAAATTTTTCTTTTTTACAAACTCCGTGCAACCCATTAATACACTTAATTAATTAACGTCCCATTTTTAATAGGATCGTTATCTTTGAGGCAATCATCTCAATATGCATGACCGCAAACGAGACTATCGTTCACAAACTTACACAGAGAAGAAGTATAGATCAAACTGGTGATTTTCTGGTGAATTTTTGTCTACACATGATAAGGGAACATTATTCACTTTATTTGCATTCATTTACTCCAATTAATTTTGGAGTAGAAGTCGTTTTCAGAAATAAGTATAATGTTAAAGAGGTAACTAACAGAATTTTTGAAGTCCTCAGTTACATGCTAATTTTAATAAGTTTTTTTTTTCATGTAGGTTAGAGTATGAATGAAGATAGTCTCGTGTCTCTCTCTCTCTCTCTCTCTCTCTCTCTCTCTCTCTCTCTTTCTTTCTTTCCTTCTTTTGTGTTTCTCTTTCCAAAAACAGTTCACTCTACTCATGCTGCAATTTAATTTGTTCAACGCCAATATTGAACAAACAAATGTCACTGTGGTTACCATTTTTAAACAAATACTATACTGCATCTTTGTCGGCTGCAGCTATGGCGACTATAGTTGGCGCTCGAAATTCAGGGCGAGTACTGATCTTCATATACTTCGATTGAGCGTACTTTTTCCTAACTGCTTGATACTTGCTTTTATCGGCATTAACTATAATACTAGCTATTTCCTGTACCACAGGTAACACGTCATTTTTAGTATAAGTGCTATAATGCGCTAGGGTATTTGTCCAGACAAATTTTTCCTTGTCCTTGTCATCGCTACCCATAATGCTGTATACATAAACACCAAGGTGAATTACCGATAACTATTATATGAAGGAGCATTAATGTAATATGATTAGCTTATATCAATTGTATGACTTACACAAATGCTAAATATATTGCTGCAGCTGCAAGAAGGCTAGGGGAATAGTGACACATTTCATAATGCATCAGACTCTGTTCTAAGAAATATTTGGCCATTGTATGGTGTATGGACTGAGCCTTGTTATAAGTAAAAAATTTAGTAAATGAAAGATAAACTCGATTGTAAAATCAACATTACTTTTTTAATACACACCTTTCCAGCTTTGCTGTACCTTCTAAGGAAATGCAATGGCAATGGTCGACCAAAGGAATAATCTAGAATTCTTACAATAAGCATTTCCATTTGTAATATTTCTACCTTTGAGTATGCATTATCTGTGATATATACAAAATCACTTATATCTGGAGAATACATTTCCTCATATTTGCTAGCAATGAACATAGCAGTCACACCAACCAACTGTAACCTTTTTCTATCTATTGAACGAAAGGCCTGTAAATGATGTTTAGACAAATTAGAAAAACCTAACCGAAACGTGCACGTTTTATTAGCATTAATAACAACCTGTAAAAATCTGTCGATAATAGCCACAGTCAGATACAATGTTTCTTGCATTAAATGAAACTGTTGATGAACATCAACTAGCCAATCAATGAGTACACTCCTCATTTTAGGTGTAACTTCTTGGCCTCCTAGATATCCTTTTGTAATGGGAAACTTTGTTTCTAGAGTTCTTAGGTACTCGTATATTTCATTGCTATAGATAGAAACTAGACTAGGATTTCCATAATCTTCTTCATCAATATTCTCAACTGCCAAAAGGTCAGAGGAGAAAGACTCTACCTCTTTCTTCAGAGGAACTGGGACAATATTGTTGTCCTGAGATATTGTAGTTTTTAGTACAGGTTTCACAATTTGTATCTGGGGTTTTTCCAACCCTTTTTCCACTGGTTTGAAAGTCTGTTTGGTCGGAATTATCAGTTTTTTCTTGTCTTTCTGTAATAAACTAGTCCTGTCAATGGGTTCTACACCTCTGAGCGGATTCACTTTGTTGCCTATTTCACCTAAAGCAGCTCTCTTAGTCTTTCCTGGCACCGCAGCAATTGAAGATTTAATATTTTTTACATTTTCCTGATTTACAGTAGTCTGGAAATGTACATGAGAATATTAAATATTATTATAACTTTAATTATTCGAGGATTTAGGATGTTTCACATGTATGTTACCTAAAGAATTAGTGTAATTTTACACTAATTTTTCAAAATAAAATCTGTATCGTATTTCTACCTAATGGGTAATTATTAGTTGTAATGATTCAAGAACAAAAGCGTAATATATCATCTTTTTCAGACAGAAAGAAATAATAATTAATAATATATCAGCGAGACAACAGAAATTTATCAAAATGTTTAGGAAAGTATTTCCAGTAGATTCCGAACGATTCGAAAGTAATTAGTAGTCCCAATGTCAATCAAAGCGTATCCACAATTAAATGATATAATTGGAAAGAGTAAGAAAATGTTCGGATGGGAGAAATTCCAAAGAAACTACCCGTTTCGTGAACCGAGAGGTCCGTTAAATGCAAAAACGGGAGTCTGAAGACTTGAAATTTACATATATCGCGTGCACATACTCTCGACGAGCTGTTGAAATCGAAATACATAAAAATCTAAATTAACACATAAAGAGTATCATGGAGATATTGCAACAATTGTCTCGATGTGCTTTAAAATGGAGAAAGGGCATTTATATAGAGATGTCAGGAATGAACGGTTACCCTGTTTCATTGACTTCCCCCATTGGTATTCCACAAATAATGAATCCATAAATATTGCATCGAAATTTTTCAACTCACCGAGATCGCAATCCGATTTCTTAATGCCATTCTTGATCCGAATCTATCAGGATCTCTCGAAAAAATTCGTCTTTCGAATTAGCTATTTCCACAGTTTCCCAAACAACGTTCACTTCGAAGTAACGACTCCGTCGGTTTGAATTTGTTTAGTCGATCAGACGGAAGTTCACCCTTCACGGATGTCAGCACAAAGAAAAGAGCGCGAAAATTGAAATGTCTGATTGGTTAATCCGGCAATACAGTTGATTGTGAGTGGATCAAATCCCGGTCGTTTTCAGAATTTTTCGAATAGTTTCAAGATTATTTGTTTAAACCATTTAAGAAGTATTTTTTGTAATCATTTATGAAGTATTTCGTCGTTTACCTTGTCGTTTTATAAAATAAATTATTCGTTATATTGGTTGGTCCGGAAAGTTTGTGTCTATTTCCGATAGATAGTGCTTGAGTCTTCTCTCGGAGTTATACTGTTTTGTGGATTGAAAAAAAATAGAATACATTTACGGTATACTCGATGCTTTTTTTTTTATCAATAAGGGACAAATACCACTGAAACAGCAAATGGATTACATATGTATATGATGTTTGCAGAGAAGGTACACGATCAAAAAGAACTATTCGCAGTTTGTAAAATTTAGAGATCCATTTAGATTTCGATCTTCAAGACCAAAAACACTCATTGTATTATTGCTAACAAATCTAACAGTTTTCAGCAAAATGAAATATTTAAATTGCCTGAGGTGACGAAAGATTGAAGAACAAAACGCAGTACATATAAAATAACAGAATAAAGAAATAACTGCTTTAAAATGCGGAGTTTACTTATTTACCGAAAATTCGATAAGATTTTTTATAATTTAACTTCTACAAGGCTTAACTGCCTAGACACCATTATATTGTTGTTATTGTTTGCATTTGAAGTTGAAGGTCGTATTGTTCTGGAAACGGAGAAACAGCTGTACTAGTATGTACTAATAATATACATATTAGTAACACGACCAAATCGGCTCTCATTTACAAAAATGGTTTACAATTATTCACTAATAAAAAACGAAATTTATAAAATACAGTACTCTTTAAATGAAAATTTTCATTTATAAATTAATAGAATGTTTAACTTTATTTGCATTGATTTATTTGCATCAAGTTAAATGCATTTCGAACGGAATACAAATTATTACTTTGAAAATTTCATTTTATTAATTAACGGTAAAATACATACATAGATCAAGTAAAAGTTGCGTGTTGTGCTGCAACTAGCTGCAACAAAAAGCACAAAACGAAGAAATAAAAATAAATGATATATATGTATGTACCTATTCACAGAAAAAATAGATCCAAGCAGATTCAAGCATCCAAGCTACACCTGAAATCACCATAAATGTGGTGACAGTCGTGACAGCAAACGTTCTGATTGCTCTGATATATTTTACGAGATTTTAGTATGTCTCTGTTTCATCTCTATCCAATAATTAAATGAATTTATCGAGTTATATGGATGTTACAAATACTGTGTCGATAACAACATTCTTTGATGAATGTCACTACCAGTAAACGTCAAAAATTTTGTCGCATGTTTGCTAATCGGCAAACAATTAGAAATTAGAAAATGTCTATAAGTATTGATATTAAGCTGAAACGAGCTAGTAAAGTATACCATGAAGGGGTACGTTCTCCTATTTTATACAATTATTAAAATTAGAGAACGAATGACACGAAGGTTATGTTTCAGGAAATAGTTGCTGGTTTTATATTGCTAAAGACAAATTCGGACGTTAAACACGATGGAATATTTTTGTGTATGGAAGGTTCGGTTAATTTGCAACTTAGTTCAAAGAATTTTGGTATATTCGAAGCTTTTTATAATTCTGTAAAGGTTAGATAATCATGTAATTATCATTGAAAATATTTTCCCGATTACTTTAACTTCGTACAAATGTTTGACTATGCTTTACCATATGTAATTTCTAAAAGTCAAAATATATTTAGTATTCCTAATTAATATATATGTTTAGCCAATACAGTTAATACAGTATACCGTAGACGTTGCTCCAAGTGGTAAGATACCCAGTGGTAAAACTGAAATACCATTCGAATTACCATTAAAACCCAGAGGAACTAAGTCTTTATATGAAACATATCATGGTGTTTTTGTGAATATACAGTATCTGATACGTTGTGGTATAAAAAGAAGTTTCTTGGCAAAAGATGTGTGGAAGTCATTGGAATTCATAATGGAAGACAAAGCGCCTCTTAAGCCAGATAGAGAACCCAGCAAAATAGTGTCCTTCAAAATAATGCCAGAGTCTTTGCAAAATACAAGAGATAGAACTAATATACCTAGATTTTGCATTTCAGGGAAATTAGATACATTGTATTGTAGGATTTCTGAACCACTGACAGGAGAGGTAAATGTAAAGTTACCTATGTTTTGTAAATTATTGAATGTTAACATTGATTATGTGTAACATTAAATTTCAGATGGTAATTGAACATTGCGAGGCTGTGATAAAATCAATTGAACTACAGTTGGTGAGGGTAGAAACATGTGGTTGTGCAGAGGGATATTCTAGAGATGGTAAAATTCTGAAAAGCACATAATCATTTAAATTTGCAGTTTTATGATCTTATTCTCATTTTAGCTACAGAAATACAAAATATACAAATTGGAGAGGGAAACCCCTGTACAAATTTGTCTATACCAATATACATGATATTCCCCAGGTTATTTACATGTCCTACGCTAAGCACAAGTAATTTTAAAGTTGGTAAGGTCGCTAATTTCCAATTTGTAAACACAAATCAATTACGTTTTTGCAGTTCATTAAAAGAATTATATTTTGTTACAGAATTTGAAGTTAATCTGATCATAGTATTTGAAGATGACTACTTGGTTACAGAAAATTTTCCAATTATATTGTTAAGGTATTAAATTTTCTACGAAGACAGTGTTTTATAAAACTTACATATATTATTTACAAATTGCATATATATTCAGTAATAAATGCAATTTTACGTTGGACTAGTTACTTTTTAACGAGAAATACAAGGGAATTTTCTTAATATACAAATGAATGAATGAATTAGCAAGATATAACAATATAAAAGACTTTTTACTCCAATCCAACTTTTTGAGCAAATAATTTATAATACTTTTCCACTCGTTTATTATGAGTTAATCCAACTGAGGCTAGTAGTACCACATAACCAAGCACAAATGTTAATAATTTATGTTGTTTGAACCATGCTAATAATCCTCTATTATCAGTATATCTGAAACATTGCGTATTGTGCATTTTACATTGTAAATTAGTGTTGTGTGATTTGAAAAAAGCTGGTGAAAAGTAAGAACATGTACAATTACCTTGTAGTTCGAATTTCTTGACTGTAAATAAGAAGATATCTTACTCGTACCAACTCACTGTTTGTTACTAAATAATATTTATTTGGGACCCTTCCACATACAGAATCTCTAGTTATATTCCGAGCGTTAGTCTCTGTAAAAAATTTACGTAAATGCGATGCGCAATGTTCTTACCTACTAATTGTTCTACATCTCATATGAAAGATAATTACCAGAGTCTCCAGTTTTCACATCAACATGATTGATAAGTTCACACAAAGCTAAGCAACTCATTTCGCTGCCAAGTACACTGCCTCCCCATCCATACCCCACGAGACTATACTGTAAACTTACACCTAACTCGCTGGAAAGGTGTATTCCTCTACCAAACAATGATTTCTAAAAACAGAGTAATAATTTTGAAATATGTCTCAGGTTTCTTTTGTAGGTTCAACTTTAACGTTACTTTACCTTGCACATACTTTGTTGTAGACCATAATGTATAATGGAATGAAAATTCTCTAAACGACTACCATGAAAAGCAAAAAAGGTTGTAGAGCCATGACCAATTGTTTTCCACTTTTCTTCTGAAGTTGACTGCTTTGCATTTGCAACTTGGAATATTAAATTTGGTGCAGCTACCGATATCTCTGAAGGTACTTTCCTCAATATGGACTCATACTGTGTTCCAAACATTTTTAAATAATGTTTAACAATAAGTTTGAGAATTAAAGACTTTCAAAATGCGTACAGAATCATATACAAAAAAAAAACGTACACAATCTTTATTGATGCTCTTTATGTAAGGATCTCTTAAACGAATTAAAACCCAGTATAGTAACTCTACAGCTGTTTCATATCTTTCGTACACTTCTGGTTCTTGCAATGCTTTAAATATTACAGCCAATGGTGGTATTAGTTCTACAGCTCTTCTCTGTAGTTAAATTTTAACAGTCAGTGAGTATTGAAATGATCAAAAATAAGAATAACAGAAATGTTATGATCAATATTCTGGATACTCTACCAAAGCTTCAATGTCTTTACACTCGTTCTTTATGTACATGGGTGGGAAGGGCTTTAAACAAGTATCATAGCGATATGTGTTGCAAGCTGCTACAAACAATGACCATTTTAAATCAGCTGCTTTCAGATCCTTCTCCAATAAGTGTTTTAGCGATGAAACCATTCATTCTGTCTTCTTGTTCCTTCCCATTATCATTATGGATGTGTTGTTTCTTGTGTGAATTATCCATAATTATAGATGGATCGAATCTGAATTTGAAATTGCATTAAATCTTATATGCTTTAGCGAGTAAAAGAAATAATTTACGTCAACCGTTCTACCTGAGAAAAAATTTTACAGCATTTAGATCCAACTAAAATAAAAGCTTCACTCTGAACTATTCATACTTAATACATTTGAGACCTATCTAAAAGATTTATACATAGATTTTTATTTAGACTAGTATCTTTAGACACTGGCAATGTTTAATGAATATCGTTTAAGTACTGTTTGTACGTGACTCATATGCAGAGTAACTGGCTAGAAGAATGAAATTTTATACAACTCATATCCTGGGTCATTCATCTCAAATGTATTATCTACCTATTGTTAGTGACTTCAAAACTTACTTGAGATTATCATTCTTCTTTTACTGTAATTGATAATCATATTACAACAATTCGCCACTGATACACATGGAAAGTAAGAAAACAGAAAAAAATTCCACCGTTATTCATCATTTAAACGGTAATTTTTTGGTGCCACATAATTCTTAAGAAGGAACATAACAACTTTAAGAAAATTAAGCTCGTAATGATTATTAGGCGTTAGCTAATAGCCTTAAAATAATTTAATCCCGAGAATATATTAACGTATATTTAAATAACTAAATTGTATGATAATTACATAAAAATGCAATATTTGTATATCTGACAGATTCTTTTGGAAGATAAATACATGCAACGATACGCGCAATACTGTTCTTGTAAGTCGATCGTATACTTTGATTAACGAGATTTATGTAAATATATAAGTAATTTAAATGTTCAAATTAGTGCAACGTACTTACAATCCGCGGTGGGCATTTTCGAAATCTGAATTTTTCCGGTGATTACGAAAAAGAATTACAACAGCCAATTGTGTTGTTTAATGTAGCGTTACAGCGAATTTGTGTTAAAATCATAAACATTGTCTAGATAGTTCGTGGTTCCTATCGCAGATCACATCTGTTTTGTCCGTTCGTTTGTTACAACGACGTTTTTCTCTTTTTCAATGATATCGGCGTACGTAAGTAGGTACACCTACTGTAAAGTTAAAATAGTTGTCCATTTCACTTCCGCAACGAGAAAATATCACTCAATTCTCTTTCTTTCTTTTGTACATAATACTAATAAGATAAACAAAATTTGTCTGTATAACGCTGAAAACTCAGTCGGAACATGAACAATGTTTGCCGCTTCTTCGTAAAATTCTCTATTACATAGTATCAATTATATACATATATAGTGCAATGCACTAAGTGCATAGTACGTTGATAGTACGTAACCATACGTAACGACAAAAATGATGTATGTACCTATTTAGTTGCTTTCAGTTGCGTTGCAAAACCTTCGTTCAGTGGTGGTTGCTCCATCTGTTGGCACTAACCGTATACGAATTGGTTACCACTTGAGTGGTTTGCAAAAAGATTTGCTCTTTGCTTTGTGATGGGAGCACGAATCTGTTGACAAAATGAACAAGTTAACAGCCAATTAACTCATATTACTTGCTATATAATTCACCAACTTGTAGGTGGTTATGGACTATGGATTGCCCAGGTCTCACTACGTGGAGGTTGCCTACACCGCCCCATTTTTTGTGCTTTTTGTAACATTTTCCCCAACGAATCTATTTAAGTAATTGTTGCGTTAGTCGAACCATGCAGTATGCAGCTTTCATGATGATCTTCATACGAAGAGAACTCTTCACATGAACTTCACATTAAGAGAAATCTTCGTATGAATTTCAGTACAAGTATGTATTTCCAAATTGAATGGTCGACTTCATACATATATGTATGTATATCGTGTGTGGGATTATAGTTTTTGTATGAGCAAAATACATATGTATGGAGCTCAGTGGGTGAAACTTGGTGAAACTTAAGGAGGTGTCGCCATCTACTAAAACCTTTGTGGTTCCTTGACACCAAACAGAATTTTGAATTACAAACATGGTGTTACAGTCTGTTACAGACCCACAACCGTTATGAAAACGGTAAGTATTCCTTAAACAAAACTGCGAATTCGTAACTCGTTGTGTTTCTATAATGAAGTACTACTTAGGAACATCAGTTTATCGTCCAAAAGTTTCATTCGAATCGTAAAACCGTTAGTATTCGTACCACTTAAACGACACAGGGCACAAACCACACAAACAGTGGGAATCCTTCAGTGTTTGGTGATAATTTACACGCGAGAAAAAAGTTCCATGTATCTGTCGATTTTCCACGAATTTTACCCTGTTTTCACGTTACAATTCTTCCAATTACTCTAGTCAGCCTTTCGACTATATTAGATGCATTCGAGTAAAAAATTCTTTGGTCAGATGTGTCCAGCAAACTCATCGTAGAAGTATTTATTGTCCACTAGAAAGACACAAATGAAACAATAGAAGAATGGATTTTGAGAAAAGGGAGAAAGAATTTCAGGAACGTTATCAGAAAATTTGTAGAAAGACCAGATTGTCGTCTAAGCATGAGGCTGAAGAAGAAGAAAAAGCAGAAAGACCTGAGGCATGTTCAGGAGAGAAAGAGAAATTGGAGAAGGACGTAAAGACAGCTAGATGTGATCTGGCTGTAATAAGAAGAAGCTTGGGTAAAGCTAAAAACAAAAGTATGCCATGCGTCTCTGTGAATTATATTGTTTCCGGAGTTCATGGAATAACAAGATAATTCATTGAAAAGCATTATACTATTAATAGTAAATATTTTTTTCAAAGATTGATGCATTTTACACTTATAGCTGGTGCCAGGAGTACCCGTACATCAGAATCAGATGATCTTTCTAATGAAGCACAGAAAGAATGCTCCTCCATTTTTGAGTTTAAATTTCATAAGCATCGCTCAGCTCAGTTTGAAAAGTTTTACAAAGAAAAGAACGAGCTGGAGGCACAATTGGATAACAGAAAGAGGGAATTACAAGAGAAACAGAAGAAGATATTTGAGCTTCAGGAAAAAGTTGGTCAGTTGGAACAGTTTGAAGCTAAGTTTGAAGAGAAAACAAAAAGATTGGAAGCATTCAACAAAGAAAGGGATATATTGGAAAGGGAGTTGGTTGCGACCAGATCAGAACTGACTGGAGTAAAGAGAACATTAGGTAATATATTATTTATGATTTGTATGGTATAATACTTTTACAGTAAGTCTTTTTTGTTTAAACAAGATTTATATGAAATTTATTTATTCTGGGATTTAAATAGTATTACATTGATCAGTGTAGAGGTCATGGAATTGTTGTAACTAGCCTGTGGCTCCAATTAATATTTAAACATTTACCATACAATTAGTTGTCAATTGCCAACATTTAATTGGCCAGGCATTTTGGTTACTTTATAATATCCACATTGTTGTACACTTAAATATGGTAGTAATTGTGGGTTGTAAGATGGTTTTATATTGTACAAATACATTGTGTAGAGTAAATATATTCTAATGGCAGAGTTAGAACGTCAGGAAAGAAGGGACTTAGAAACTAGGGCTCTTAGTTTAATAAAAGATGCAAAGCGTAAATGGGAAAATGCGGAAAAAGATAAAATTGCACAACTCAACAAGCACATTGGAACTCAGACAATAAGGATTACTGAATTATGTACAAGCAACAATGAGATGAGCTCAAGATTACAAAGAGCAGAATGTGAACTTGAAACTACAAATGCAGAGTTGCATAAACTTAGGGTATTTCAGGTTAGTATTTACATAAATTACTAGTAAGAAAATACTTTGATCTGCTTTTAAAATGAAACAAATATTAATAATATGCAAACATTATTACTTCTATTAGATGCAGTACAAAGAATCTTTAGCTAAAACTAGAGAGCTTAGCAGACAAAGCGTTCAGGGTGTTGAAACTAAACTTGAAGAGATAGCTACCCGATCGCACAATCAGCTAGCTGAATTAAGAGTAAAGTTAGACTTGGAGATAGCAAAGAATACAGATTTGGAGACTAAACTAAGAAATGAACAAGATTCCAATCATTGTCGCCAGTCAAGATTAAACGTTGCTTTCGAATTGGCACAGAATGAACTGAAAGACTGTCAGGAACAGTTGCGCAGTATACAAGCTACAATACCAGCTAGAGATGCTGAAATAGAAGCTTTAAAAAAGCAATTACAAGAGAGATCAAAGCAGTTGGACAACGTTATGATATCGGAACAGACGGTGACCACAATGCAAGACCAACTGGAAAGGTTCAAACTTGAGAATGAACAGCTGAAGCAGCAATTAGAAGTATATAATTAATGTTCATTCTAACTTTGAATGGTAAAAGGAGCATGAATATTTGCATTAATGTAACTGTTGTTTAAAGGTAGTGAAATCTGATTTGAGCGAAACTATGATGAATTTGGAGCAAAGCGAAGCTCTTGCTATGAACTTGGAGCAAGCTGCACAAGACAAAGTTGCATTACAAAGAAGGTTACAGGATTCTTTGGAGAAAGAAGGTAATATTTTTATAAATCAATTAGTCATGTTCTTTTTTTTTTTAAATAATCCACGACAAAATTGTTTAATCAATCTTAGAGGAACAACTACGCAAAGTTTGCAATTTGGAAGAATTACTTAGACGTCTAGAACACAGTGTCACCAAACTAGAAACAGAGAATGCCACTCTTAAAATGGAAACCGAACAGACCAGCACCAGTACTGTTTCCAAAAGAGATACAGTAAAAACAGGGACTCATCTAGAAAAGCAAGTACAAAAACTGGAACACGAACTGCAAACATTGAGAGAAGCTTTGAACACAGAACGGCAGACGGCAAAACAAGCGCAGATCAATTTATGGAAAAAGGAGAAAGAATTATCGGACGCTAATTTGGATAAGAGAATTGCTGTGAGGGAAAGTAAGAGGACGGAGGATAGGGTGAAAACGTTGCAAGAGGAGAAACATAAGTTATCGGAAAAGTTAGATTACAAAATAAAAGAGGAAGAGGAAAGGTCTAGGAAGCTCCTTAAAGAATTGGATAGTGCGAAAGCCTCAGTAAATGATATAACAAAAGAATCTTCTAGAAATAAAATGCAGGCTGACTCTGCCCAAAGAGTAAATATTTTTAAAGATTCTGTATTCACAATTCCCATTAAGATAATTAAAGTCACGAGTGACTCGATGTAGTTATTTCTATTTTCTTTGATGCACCGTACGTCATATCCGTTTTTTCTTATCATTTGTCGTATATTTCTTTGTTTTGTTTGTAGGCCTTGACTCAGGCTAACCATCAGATAGAAGAACTTCAGTCGTCGGGTTCATCGGTGCGCAGGGAATTAGACGCAGCGCGCAAGCAAGTTCGGGTAAATCAAGACAGAGTGGACAATCTGAATGCAGAAAACAAACGTTTGTCCCAGAGGATTGCCAAGTACGCTGAAGAGAAGAGTGAATTGGAATCGAAAATAGAGAAACTGGAGCAAGAGATCAGAGGCTACGAACTGAACATAGAACTCCTTAAAGAAACGTGTACAGTACTGGAGGAACAACTAACGGATTATGAAAGACTGACAAGCGATCACGAGACGCGAGAGAATATATTGATACAGGATAAGATGAAGCTGCAAAAGGACTTGGAAACGACAGAGGCTAAACTTCGCGAAGCACGCACCGCTCAGAACGAAGAGAGAACATTGCGATTAGCCGCTGAACGTAACCTAGAGAGACTCGAATCAGAAACTAGCGACATGTTGAGTGAAAGGAATGGTTTGATTGTGCAGAGGGATCAGTACAAAAAGCTTGTACAAGAATTGAGTAGTCAAGTAGAAGAATTGACAACTAAATGCGGGGATTTGGAATGCGACCTGTCAGAAATGAAGCGCACCTTGGAAGTAGCTAAAGCCGAAGCAAGGCTAGTCAAGGAAGAAAGCAGTCAGCATTTAACGCGGTTCCACGAATTGAAAGAGGCAAACTTCGCACTTATGAATGATTTACAGAACAGCGTAGACCAGGGTCAAGAGTTAAAGATGAGGATCATGGAACTGGAAAGTATATTGGAGGAAATGAGGCAGTTTTATCAGGAAAGGGAAGTCAAAGCGGAAAGCACTAGGCAACAGCAAACAAAATTGATAGATTACCTTCAGTTCAAACTGGAGGAATGTAGTAAGAAAAAGAAAACTGTATGCGATAAGATTCTTGGTACTAAGCAGAAAGAGAATATTCCTCCGAGTGGGACTGGAATGCCAGTCGGTTACCGCGAATTAGAGAACCAGTTGGCCAAAGAGCGTGCAAAGGTTAAAGCGTTGACCGATCAAATTTTAGCACTCAAAGTGATGCACGCATCCACCTCTGCTCCGACATCTCCCACAACACCGGATACGAAAAGTTCCAGTTTCGCACCGGAGCGATCGATCAACTCGTTATCTAAGCGTTTGTCACCTCAAAGAATAGGACACAATATTCCTCATAGATTTGAAGTTGGTCTGCCGATGCGAGCAGGAAAATGCTCCGCGTGTCTGGATTCTATTCAGTTTGGTAAACGAGCGGCTATTTGCAGCGAGTGCCAGGTAATGACGCACCTGAAATGTGCTGTTACCATTCCCGCAACATGCGGTCTACCTGGAGGTTTCGCTAAACAATTCGGCAAAAGTTGGAAGAACAGTGTCGAGAGTCTGTCCTCGTTGTCCGGAAGCGTGCAAACTTTGGCCATCGATCAACCGGATAAACCTGATATAGTATGATATCATCCCGTACTGTTTTGATTCTATAAACGTATAATGTATAAAATAACAACCCTAAAAGTTTATATAATTTTTTTAAAGGATGTGTGTGACGCTCAAAACAAGAAGGACAGTGTCACAATGGAAAGCTGGGTGAAAGTTCCAGAGCGCTCAAAAGCCTGCTGGGAAAGAAAGTACCTCAGATTAGAAGGAACCTGTTTATGTACTTATGAGCACCAGCCATCTGCTGGAATGGCTCCTGTGAACCGTCTGGATCTCACTGAAAAAGATGGTTTCACCGTATCGGATAATGTACAACAATCGGATGTAATGGGAACAGCAAAGTCGGATTTACCATTTATATTTAGAGTAGAATCGAGTTCATCGACCACCTGTTGGCCCACGTCACGTTTAGATGTAATGACTCTGAGTCAGACCGACAAGAAGAATTGGTTGAAAGCGTTGAAGTTTGTTACTAGTCAAAATCATTCGGGTAATGTTCATAAGAACGAGAGATATCAAACTGTATTAAGATTGGAGAAAAATCAAGTAAGTAATCCGCTAAACTCATTGTCAAGGACAATATGTTCCTGATCTGTCGACGATTAACGATTATCGATTATTTTTAGTTGGATTTGAACTGTGCGGTAAATTTAACCGAAGAGAATGTGCTTCTGTTGGGCTCTGAAGAAGGTTTGTTCGCCTATTGCGGTGTCAAGTCACGAACCCTCACTGCCATCAGAGGGGTGAAAAGGGTGCATCAGTTAACGTTGCATCCCCACTTGGGGATTGCCTTAATGATCGCTGGTGAAAATAGGCAATTGGTATCTTGTAGTCTACGACAATTGAAGAGCAATGCAGTGGCTGCCGAGTGCTCTAGGCCTGCGATAAATACCAATCCAGTTTTGACTGGCACTGATAGTTGTCATTTGTATCAATTACAGGGGGATATGCTCTGCGCAGCGACAGCATCTCATGTCATGTAAGTTTTGTGTGTGACTAGCTTATAATTGAAATGTTGTGTATGTAATTTCTTTCTTTGTATGACTAATAAGCATCTTTTGCTGAATAATACACAGACTATTGAAATGGTACACCGAAGAAGACACTGGAGAATTCGTTGGTGTCCGCGAACTCGAAACTCATGAGCCGTGCAGTTGTGCCATATTCACGCAAAACGTTCTCATTGTGGGATGTAATAAATTCTTCCAAATAGACCTGAAAAATTATTGTGTCGACGGTACGCAACGTTAATTCGCAGCTTGTGATAAAAAGAAGAAGAAAAAGTATTTATCTGTATGTTAATATTCACGCTCACGTTACACAGAATTCCCAGAAGAGGACGATAGCTCGGTGAAAGCAGCATTATGTGGAGTAGCTAAGCTGGGTATTTTCCCAGTCTGCGTTCTAAACGTCTCTCTTGTACCTGGAAAAGTAGAGCTTTTGCTTTGCTATAATGAATTCGGAATGTTTGTGAATGAAAACGGCCAGAGAACTCGAAGCGTCGATCCTACGTGGAACCATTTGCCTTTTGCCTTTGGTAAGAACAATAAGGAAAATTTTTCTTTTCGTTAGTAAACTTCATGGTACAAAACTAACTTTGTACTTTGACGTAGCCTTCCGTAAACCCTACCTGTTTATCATCCATTTCTCGTCTGTGGAAATCCTGAAGCTTAAACACGATTCGTACACCTCGCCTGTAAAGAGCCCAGACCGAACATTAATCGAATTATCTAGCCCTCGCTATTTGGGAGTGGCTGGATCGAAGGAAATTTATTTGGCGACCGTAAATTCCTTTCTGGAATTGCTGAAGATGGATGGTCCTTCTAATCTATCGGAACTGAACGGCAGTTTCACGAGTCTGGATACCTTGTACGTTATTAAAAGATTTCACGAACGAAAACGACACTCTGGATCGATCCTAAATACGACTCTTTATTTTACAGAGACATGGATGATGAAGTTAGTAGTTCAGATTTTAGTTTCACATCGAGCTTAATGGAAGCTTTAGATGGTCATGGAAAAAAAGTACAATTCGCTGGCGTCTCGAAATATTAAAATAATTTTCTATCGAACGTGAGCGTTTCTCAATAATGTTTCCTACCGTTGTAGGAGTCGCAAAAAGAATTGAGATCAAGACTGCAATTATTTAATAACCGTCAAGAACAGTAGCGAGTCATAAGAAACATTTGACGGGCGAAATTTATAGATTTAATTTAATTTACACGTGTTTGCTGATGCTGTTGTTAACGCATAATCGACGAGTGAATATCGAAATGATTTTGGTGGTAGAAGAGCTTTTGCGTACTATTTAATTTCCCGTTAAATTACGTTTTATTATTATTATTATTTCCTTTTTTGTCGGTGCAACAATAGCAGAGTGAGATCTCAAACGTTTGCTATGACTAAGAATTCGTATGGTACTATGTAGTATTAATTTACCAAATTTGATATGTTTATAGGTAGTTGACGTAAAAGTAATTTTTTTACTTTCTACGAGCTTGGTTTTTCCGGTCTATAAGTGTGATTCCTGTTTTCACGAATTGAGACTCGGAGTATACATAAGATACCGGTGACTAAGTACACGTAGACCTAAGGATTCTATTAATTATACATATGGTAATGAGATATCAGTAATATTATTAAAGAAATACAATTACTGTGACAATAATATATTCTCATTAAAATTACTGTACTTTCGTAGTTTAAAAAGTAAATTGCTATTATTAACTAATAAAATAAAATAAAGATTTTTATAAGAAACGTGTTTGCGATTAATAATATCAGTTCTTGGTTTGTAGCATACCCGTGCATGGATCTCCTCCTCGATCTTGGTTCACGTACTTTGTCCTGCCCATTATACATACAGCAGATAAACAAATGAGAAAGTTGCACGTTTCCTGAAACAATAGAAAATTTAATTATGTACTATTGTTTCTCTGTGTTGTTTGTTATGTCGTCGTCGTCGTCGTCGTCGTCGTCGTCGTCGTCGTCGTATTTTTCCGCGAAGCTGGAATACGACGACGAATTATAATCGAACGCCTGTAAGATTCCTCTTCGAAGGAGACAGCACTAGGACTCACTAAACAGAAAGTATTGTAAGTTTTGGTGAATCGGTATCTCGCCTCAGTAGGTGACTATATATATATTTCGTGCGATACGATAAATCTTCTTTATACATATGTACATACGTACATATGTATGTATGTATACAGGGTGTTCCAGAATAAATGGCAAATATTTTCGGGGTGACTAAGGTGACTTCAGCACATCTAAAGAAGCAGCTGATACATACATTTGTCCTATTTGCTTTTGTTTTCGTGTTATAGCAGATTTGATTTTCAACAACAAACTTTTATCTGCTTACTGTCGTAAGGGATGATCGAATCTATGCAGACATCTTATAGATGTTGCTCGGATTTGTTGGAAACTTTTTTGGTGAATTCTTTCACATCGAAGAGTTTCAAGAAGACTGTCAAAATGGGCGTTCTGTATGTACAAAATGGATTTCAAATAGCCCCACTAGTAAAAAAAATCGTTAAAACTTGAAAACAGAGTCAAATAAGAGATACGTTTATATTATGTACTTTTCGTTTATTGGTTCGATGGACTGTAGTCACCCCTAAACGTGTGTGTATGTACGTATGTATAGATTATATTCGAATGTTTAACCAAGCATGTGCAATTGAGGGAGGGGGCACTAACGGGGCGTTTATTTATGTAAAGTAATGCGACTTCCGGCAACCCTTGACATTCGTGTACCGACATGGCGGGGAATATTCATTGAAAACGGTCGATGCAATTTCGAAAACACTCATTACTAAGCAGCGACTAATACTTAATTATTCTATTGTCAGGTTCAGTGCTCGATTACTGAAACTGACGGAGTCGTTCTCTTGTATGGCGTGGATTACATTCAAACTTTTAAAAGCGGAAGTGTTCTATAGACAAGCAGAATGAATCATACCATACCCCATTCAAAGAATGCTTGGGTTGAATAGAGAATCAAATTGACAATACGTATGATTTGAAAACACGTACCTATGATGATTCAATAGTTCGTACGGGAATGATTGCGTTGCTCGACGTGGAAATTTTTTCTACGTACCTACGCACATTCTTAAATTAATAAGAGAAGCAGACGATTGTATTGTTGCAACTCTGTAAAGGAGAAATTTCTAATTTCCTATATCTTACTGTGGCTCGACAGAAAGACCGAACTGCGTGTTACGTTTGTATGGTACCTATTATTGTTCGGGACCGTTTTAGGATTGATTGTACCAGATCTATATACATATTCACTCTTGTAAAATGTTCTCCAGGGCTCAGTTTCAAGAGCTTCTTTATTTCAATAAGTATTTTTTTTCTTCTCGATCAATGATGCGCGTACTATGTTCGATCAAGATTGAAAACGCTACTTGTGTATATTCATCGAATTACTTTATCACCGTTCAATGGAACAGCTTTGTTAGTCTCATTGTTAATCTTTTGATTACATTGTCTTTTAAACTTCGACCACATTGTGTAATCTGTGAATTACAGAATGTCAGGGAAGGTACACCTTGATACCATCGAACGGTCGGGCCAACGAATTGAATCGATGAAATTTTCAAAGGTCATTTCGTACGAAGATCATTATGCAGATCACCTTCGGGAATATTCAAAAAAGCACCGAGTACCCTATGCATAGTGGGGATCCAGATTGTTATAAGAGGTCGTTGTTCGTTACGTTCGTTCTCCAGTCGCGCGAGTGATCTCGGTGTATCGATTATTACGGCGGTGACACTACTGTTTAAGATTACCTTTCAGGCACTGGGTTCATCCTCGACGGTGATAGTAGAGATTAACTGGAGAAAATCGGTATCAGGATTCAGGAGGAGTAAACGGCGCTTAAGGAAGCCACAGGATAGCCAATTTTGTTTGCGGCAAAAGGGAGGGGAAAGATGTCGTGCAATATTCGGAAAGCAATGTCAACGGAGGTGAATGACGTGTCAACGGAACCCGGGGAAGAGGTGGTGATCACCGGTGTTGCCGGTAGATACCCGGAATGCGAAAATATGAACAAACTGAGAGATAATCTGATGAATAAAGTAGATCTGATCACGGACAACTACGCTCGATGGAGATTAGGTGACTACTTGTGAGATCTGTGCAGCAGAGCTAAAAGGATGTTGAGTAACATTTCTATATTTGGACAGAACACCCGGAGATCCCTCGGGACGGCGGCAAACTCACCCGCTTGGAGAAGTTTGACGCGATTTTTTTCGGTGTCCATTACAAACAGGCTCATACGTTGGACCCTATGTGCAGAATGTTGTTGGAGCACGCATACGAAGCGATCATCGATGCTGGAATAAATCCCCGGCTACTACGAGGATCAAACACCGGGGTTATCATAGGATCCTGCATCAGCGAGGCGGAGAAGACTTGGTTCTATGAAAAATTACAGGTAAATGTCACACGGTGAACGCATATCGAAGATCGACAATCTAAGGGGTGACCTGCTTGTTAGCAGATAATAAATATTTGTTGATGTTATGTATGGTAAAATCGTTTTCCGTTTCCGTCGTTTAGGCGAACGGTTTCGGAATCACTGGATGCAGCAGAGCCATGTTGGCGAACAGGATCTCCTACTTTTTAGGACTACACGGTCCATCGTACGCGATAGATACAGCCTGCAGCTCGAGTTTGGTAGCATTCGATCAGGCTTATAGGCTGATACGAACGGGGGTGTGTGACCAGGTGATTGTTGGCGGCGCGAACCTATGCCTTCATCCCTACGTGTCGCTTCAATTCGCACGTCTTGGTACGACATGCGAACTTGTCACTTTTATCATAGATGCGATACGTACATAAATACATGTATGTATTATAGTTTCGTATCGTCTCGAAATTCAGGTGTTCTGTCCACGGACTGTCGTTCCAAGTCTTTCGATGCCAGAGCGAACGGTTATGTGAGGAGCGAGGCGGTCAGTGTGATCTTCATGCAAAAAGCGAAGGCTGCTAAAAGAATTTACGCAACGGTGGTCCACACGAAAACGAATTGCGACGGCTACAAAGAGCAAGGTATCACGTTCCCTGCGAGCGGGATCCAAAAGATGTTGCTGGAAAACTTTTACCAAGAGTGCAAACTCTCGCCCACTTGTCTCTCCTTTCTGGAGGCTCACGGTACCGGCACCAGCGTTGGTGATCCCGAGGAATTGACCGCCATTGACCAGGCCCTCTGCAAAGGTAGAAGCACACCCCTCAAGATCGGTTCCATCAAGTCCAATATGGGACATACAGAGCCGGCCAGTGGTCTTTGCTCGGTGGCCAAGGTGTGCTGCTTTCACAACCATTTTGGAAGGGATCACCCCATTATTTGCTACCGATAACCGATTTCTTACTCGGTTATACAATGGTGGAGATGAGACCTGAAAATTTTCGTTTCTTCAGGTGATAGTCGCAATGGAGAGTGGCCTGCTTCCACCAAATCTACACTTTCAGTCTCCTATGAACGGTATGAAATGTTTCGAAGAGGGAAAGGTTCAGGTGGTAACAGAACCAACTCCATGGAACGGTGGATACGTGGGAATAAACTCGTTCGGTTTTGGTGGCGTAAATGCTCACGTCTTATTGAAATCTTTCGCCAAAGAGAAGGTGAACAACGGGGCGCCTTCCGATCACTTGCCTAGGCTCGCAGCTGTGTCTGGTCGAACCAAAGCTGCTGTCGAGACCCTCTTGAATCACGTAAGATAAATGAATATTCTACACAAGATGGAGAATGATAGGCAATTATTTATTGATAATAATTCATTCTTCAGGTTGAAAGTATAGTACCAGTGGACGCGGAATACGTTCGACTGTTCCATGAAATTCATTCGGAAAATATCGCCGGTCACACGTTCAGGGGATACACCGTTGTTGGGTCGAACGTGTTCGAAAAACCACCTAGGGAGATTCAAGAATTCTCGGGCATGATAAGGCCCATTTGGTTTGTATTCTCTGGAATGGGATCGCAGTGGCCCGGCATGGGTACGTATCGAAACAAACATCTTTTTTCTCTCACTCTTCTATCACTCTTCTCTCGCTAGAAGATGAACTATTTATTATTTCATTATTTTACACCACAATACCCGATATATATACCAACTATTATACTAACTAAAAACAATTCGACATGCAACAGGTGAATCATTGATGAGGTTTCCAGTCTTCGTCGAAGCCATAAGAAAATGCGACGCTGCTTTGAAACCTTTTGGCGTGGATATCGTTCGTATCATCACGAACAAAGATAAAAGGACTTTTGATAACATTTTGAATTCGTTTGTTGGAATTGCCGCGATTCAGGTATGTATACATATTACGACGAGCCGTTGAAACCAGCCATTGCTAATTAATTCAGTCGAAAATAATAATCAGAATTGTCGCGACAGATTGGTCTGGTGGATCTGCTAACATCTGTGGGGATAGTACCCGACAACATAATCGGTCATTCCGTTGGAGAACTGGGTTGTGCTTACGCCGATGGATGCTTCACCGCCGAGCAAATGGTCCTGTCCGCTTATTCTCGAGGTCTAGCGTCCATCGAGACCGAAATGATTCACGGATCCATGGCGGCCGTTGGTCTGGGATACGAGGATATAAATGATCTGTGCCCACCGGATATAGAAGTGGCTTGCCACAATGGTCCGGACAGTTCCACCATCAGTGGCCCGGCAGAGTCTATGAAGAAGTTTGTCGCCGAGCTGCAGGTTCTTTATTTTCTCCATATTACGAATAACTATGAATAATGTTCAAACTAAATTCAGGCCTGCTTAATCTAAGCTAAAAGCTAAACGGTGGACCCGAAACCTTTCTAACCTTTCAGGCCAATAAGATCTTCGCGAAGGAAGTGCCGTGCAGTAACATTGCCTATCATAGCCGGTACATCGCGGCTGCGGGACCGAAACTTTTAACGTACCTGAAGAAAGTGATTCCAGAACCGAAAGCCCGAACTTCCAAGTGGTTGAGTACATCGGTGCCCCGCAATCAATGGTCCAGCCCGGAAGCACAGTTATCTTCCGCGGAATATCACACCAATAATCTCCTGAACTCGGTTTTGTTCGCGGAAACTAGTACGATGATCCCTAAAGACGCGATAACCATCGAGATCGCTCCGCACGGTCTTCTTCAGGCTATCCTAAAGAGATCATTGGACCCGAACGTGACAAACGTTCCGTTGACCCAACGGGGTCACAACGAAATTTATCCTCCAGTTCAGTTCCCTGTTAGTCGTAGCACACCAATGATCTCTCCGCATATAAAGTTAGTCGATACGAAACTTTCTCGTTATTGATTTTACGTATCATTTATGATACAGCAGAAATAAATGTAGTATACACTTACGCGGAACGTTGTTCTTTTTAGGTGGGAACATTCCGATGATTGGTTTGTACCGGTCTATACGCAGCGTCAAAGAATCACCACATCGGAACGAGTGCTCGACATCGTCCTGAAAGATGAGAACTACGAATACATGGCCCACCACGTGATCGACGGTAGAAACTTGGTCCCAGCTACGGGATATTTGATCCTAGTGTGGGAGACCATCAGTATGTTAGAGGGAAAGCTATACGACGAAGTACCCGTCGTGTTCGAGAATATCAAGTTCGAGCGTGCCACTACGATTCCCAAGGATGGCGGTGTCCGCTTAACCGTCATGATTCATAGAGGTGAAAACATCGGACTTTGAAAATTCTTCGAAACCTCCGTCATACCTCTATGCACCAGAATCGGAGACATTGAAATTTAATACGGTTCCAGGTTCCGGAACATTTGAAATATCCGAGGACACTACGACCGTAGTGACAGGACAGATCCGCAAGATAAACAATCCGTCACAAGAGATGATTCCGGCCAAGCTACTGCCAGAGATTGACGACGAAGAAGACTTGACAGTCACGGACATTTACAAAGAGCTTAAACTCCGTGGTTACGAGTACGCCGGAGTGTTTCGTGGACTGAAGAGCGCAACGATCAAGGGCACAAAGGGACACATAGCGTGGATGAAAAATTGGGCCGCTTTTATGGATAATATGTTGCAAATCAAATTATTGGGATTCGACACCAGAGCTCTTTATGTCCCTACAGCTATACGGAAGATAGTGATAGACATCAAGCGTCACAATGATAAGGTTCGAAACTTTACCGAGGAGACTATTGGTACGTTGTTACAATATAATATTTCAATATTTAATACATACATATACATAGATGATATGTATGTATGTCTCCTCCTCTCCTCTGTTGTACGTGTTATCCTGTAAAACTTTTCGTGTAAACGCAGCTTAACAATATTTTCATTTACTTGCAAACAATTTGTACGTATATAACACGGCAACCATATTACAGATCTACCGGTATACGTGTACAACGACTATGACGCTATAGTTTCGGGAGGTATAGAAATCCGAGGGCTACAAGCAAACGCCATTCAGCGACGGAAGATAATGGCAGTCCCGGTTCTAGAAGAGTATAAATTCGTAGCCCATCGCGACAAAGCGGAAGTCAGTCTCGAGGAAATGATCGTATTGTCTTCTCAAATAGCTCTGGAAAGTAATCTAATCACGAACCCGAAGATCATCGAATTGATCAATCACGAGGACAACCTACCCGCCGAGGAAGTGCTCGCGCCAACTTTCTTGAAGGTATTGGGAGACCAGCCAATGATTCGACCGAGCACGATACTTGCAGCAGATTCGGATCGATGCGAGAAATTCTCACTACCGGAAAACGTTACTGTGATAGAGCCGAACAAGTTGCCAGAGGACAGCTCTATCTTCATGGCAGTCGCCTATGATATTTTGACAAAGAAGAAGCAACACTTTCTGGATCAGCTTTTGCTTGCGACTGTTGACAACGGATTTATTCTGACTAGAGAGACTACAGTGAACGGCAGCACTTACAGGCACCTTCAGGGATATGAATTGAATGTTGTCCTAGAAAAAAGTTACAACGGTCAAACATTGTTGCTTCTAAAGAAGCAAGAGAAACCTCCTCAGAGGACAGAGGTCGTATACGTGAACAATGACGAGTTCAGCTGGCTGAACAAAGTGAAAGAAGTTCTGAAGAACGAAGAGGGAAAAAAAAGTAACGAACGAGACGTGAGAATGGTATTGGTTGCAGAAGGCGATCCGGAGAACGGTGCTTTAGGTATGGTCAAATGTTTAAGAAGAGAACCCAACGGCGAGATCGTCAAGACTGTAATTATACAAGACGAGAATGCTCCTAAGTTCTCGTTGAACGATCCGTTTTACGCTGAACAACTTGACATCGATATTGGTATTAATATTCTACGGCCAGGGAAAGTTTGGGGTACTTATAGACATCTACCCCTGCCAGCATTGAAACCTGTTGCGGTAACGAATGGCTACGCGAACATAAAGGTACGTTTATAACATATTAAATCGGTAGAATAATCTATTCTATACATATATGTATATATTATACCTACTACAATTCTTTGGCTAATCGATTAAACAGATCAGAGGCGATCTGAGTTCCCTTCAATGGGTAGAGGGTGCCATCGAACCTAATTCTAAAAACAAGGATAGGCTCATTAAAGTAGTCTATTCTTCCCTCAACTTCAGGGACGTGATGTTGGCTACTGGTAGATTGATGCCAGAAGCCATCGTGAAAAACAGAGAGTTCAACGAGTGTTTGATTGGATTCGAGTTTAGTGGAATAGACGCAAGTGGTCGTAGAGTAATGGGCTTCGCTGAAAGCAGGCAAGAAATATAACAATATTTCAAGAATATCTTGCAATCCCTTGTTCCGTTCAATCCAGCATATATTATATATTATATATTATATATTATATATTATATATTATATATAATATTGATATACATATTAATTATTTGTTTATTTATTTCAGGGCTATATCGAACATTGTTCTGTTAACGGATTACAATCTATTTACTGTGCCAGACGGGTGGTCGTTAGAAGACGCGGCAACAGTTCCAAGTGCATACTTGACCGTCTTCTATGCATTCTACTATTTCGGAAAGTTAAATAGGGGCGAGAAAGTTCTGATCCACTCTGGGAGTGGTGCTGTCGGCCAAGCTGCGATTAACGTAGCTCTCTCCGAGGGATGTGAAGTATTCACTACTGTGGGATCGCCGGAGAAAAGACGATTTATCAGGGAAACATTTCCAAGTATCGATGACGATCACATTGGTAATTCTCGAGACACCAGTTTCGAGCAAATGGTGATGACACATACCCACGGGATGGGAGTGGATATTGTCTTGAATTCGTTAGCGGAGGACAAGCTCCAGGCATCTGTACGCTGCTTAGGATACCACGGTCGTTTCCTGGAAATTGGTAAATTTGATTTGGCGGCGAATAATCATTTAGGGATGAACATCTTCTTGAAAGAAATCAGCTTCCACGGAGTCATGATGGACAATGTGATTAGTGGTTTTAATCCCATCGTCCAGAAAAAGATATATCATTTCCTTAAAGAATGTCTGGCCACTAAAACTATAAAGCCGTTGATGAGAAAATGTTTCGAGAAGCACGAACTAGAGACTGCTTTTAGGTACATGGCATCTGGAAAGCACATAGGAAAGGTAGGTACATACATACATACATACATGTATATACGTGTATTGTATGTATCATATGGAATTTTCGCTCGCAGATTCTAATCAAAGTGGGGGATGAGAAGGAACCTCTGATTCCACCGGTGCTCGCTTACCCAAGGTTCAACGCCAAACCAGACAAGAGTTACGTGATTGTAGGAGGTCTGGGTGGCTTGGGACTGGAGCTTATCGACTGGTTGGTACTTCGAGGTGCTAGGAACTTGGTGATTGTTTCTCGCAACGGCGTACAAACTGGTTATCAGCGAATGAGGATAGAAATCTGGAAGTCTTACAACGTAAAGGTACTAATAATCTCCGGTGTAGACGCATCGAAACCAGACGACTGCGAGTTCATTTTAAGATCCGCGGAAAACCACGCGCCAGTCGAAGGTATCTTCAATCTGGCTGCGTTATTGAAAGATTGCTTATGCGTGAATCAAACGGAAGAAACTTTCGCGGAAAGCATGAAACCGAAGGCTGGCATTACCAAGATGCTGGACTTGCTGTCGAGAAAAATCTGCCCAAAACTTCGCCACTTCGTGGTATTCTCTTCTATCTCGTGCGGAAGAGGAAGTCCTGGTCAAACCAATTACGGTATGGGCAACTCGGTGTTGGAAAGGATATGCGAGAGAAGAGTGCAGGAGGGTTTGCCGGGTATGGCGATAGAATGGGGAGCTGTGGGAGACGTTGGTTTGGCGGCTAAACTGCTGGAAGAGAGAAAACAGCTTGTAGTCGGTGGAACTTTGCAACAGAGGATATCCTCGTGTTTAGAGGAACTAAACACATTTCTATGCCAAAGCCGACCGATCGTGGCCAGCATGGTGGTAGCAGAAAAACGTCCTAGCGCCAGCGAGGCTAGCACTGTTCTTGAAGCAGTAATGGCCATTATGAGTATGTATTACACTTGGCTACTATGTATTTATGTTATTGTGTTATTATGAAATCCCGAAAAGTCGATCGATCTAACGGAACCGTTTTGCGGACACGTACGCACACACAGGTATAAAAGATCTGAAAACCGTCGGCCAGAACACTTCCTTGGCGGAACTCGGAATGGACTCCATGATGGCCGTGGAAATAAAACAAACACTGGAGCGAGACTTTGAAGTATTCCTGACTCCGCAGGATATACGGGTCTTAAACATAGGCAAGCTCGCAGAGATGTCCGCGAAAGATGTGAAAAAGCAGAAGAAGCATGTTGTAAATACAACGGTGAAAACGGAACAACTGACTGGAATGAAGCTGCTGATACGAACGTTTAATGTTTCGATACTAGATACAAATTATTGCGTGAAACTTCCGGTAAAATCTAGTGTTAAAAAAAACGAAATATTCCTTGTACCGGGCATTGAAGGAAATGCCACGATCTTCGCATCCCTGGTACCAAAACTAAAGACGCCAGCTAGCTGTTTACAGATGGGAGTATACGATACAGGGATCACTATAGAAGAGATGGCGGAACGTCTTTTACCTGTACGTACATAATTATCGGATCATATTACAGAAGCTGTTCTATACATATGGTATATTCTAGTTTATGTACACATTTTCGTATTTTAAACAAATCATTACAATTATTTTCTATCTCTTCAGTATATTCTCGAAAGAAGCAAACACCGAAGAGACTTCACGATCGTTGGATACTCGTATGGTTCATTGGTAGCAATCGAACTTGTGAGGAGACTAGAAGCTCACTCCTTTGTTGGTCACCTCATACTCATAGATGGATCACCTGATTACATGAATGCTATAGTAGCGCAACATCTTTGCACAACGACCGAAGCTAACTTACAAGACGACCTCCTAACCGGAATATTGTCTGTCACCGATACGACCTCCGTATCGCCGGAGGTAAGCCAGAGGCATTAGGAACTTTTATCAAATTTCCTGGATAACCGATAATATATATTTTCCAGTTTAAATCCGAGTTGAACAAGTGCACAAACTGGGAAGAAAAGCTAGAGACACTGGTCGAATATACACCCCCTGAAATACACAAACTTTATTCTCCTGACGCTCAGAAAGCAATTGCCACGTTCATTTACAAACGCGTACAGACGTTGGACAAGTATGACTATAATTCTTTACCACCACTCAGAACACCTATAACGTTATTGAAGCCAACATCGTCAAGTGTGCAAATGCCCGATGAAGATCGCGGATTGAAAAAGGTAACGCGCGTGTTATTACTTCGGGGAATTTCATTCTAGGAAACAAACAAATCTCGGAGTAACATGATTTACACAATGAAATTACTTTTGCAGTTAACGTATGGAAAGGTAACAATACACGAAGTAGAGGGTAACCACGCCACGATGTTGGAAAATAATAAAATCGCATTAGCGCTTAATGGCGAACCTGTGGATGATGTGCTAGCATTCAAAGAGGATCTAAATGTCATTAGTTCGGAAGTAGAACTACAAGGCAATAATGCCGGTTTCATGGGTATATCATGAGACATTCAGATAATTTCTTGATCATTTTTCTGTATTTTTCATCGATCATGAATAAATGAGAAATTCAATGTTGACGAAACATATTGTCATACTTTTATGCAAAATCGTCATTCATCGGTCAAACACTCGTGACAAATACACTCGGATAATAAAACAAATCAAATTGTACCCTAGTACAAGAATACATTGGACTAATTTATAACTTGTACACATCTAGTGTAATGAACAAAACCATCGCGATACAAATTATTCGTTTCTTTTTCTAGTGCACTGTAGTTTTTCATCCCATCGAATCGTGTAGTTCGCCCCCATATCGAACGAAAGTTATAGCACAAGAATTAGCAGCAGCAGCAGCAGCAGCAGCAGCAACAACAACAACAACAACAACAACAACAACAACAACAACAACACGTCTAACACAATAATTGTAATTACAATAATACCGAGCCTATATCATTACATTCGTCAACGAATGTCTTACTTATTCTTTTTCTCTCGTCGTATATAGTGTTACAAATCGTATTTAGTGTTGGAGGGAACCGGTTCATCTTACCCTTTTTGTAATTTTCATACATGTACTGTGTTTTTTACAATAATCGGAGATCTTATGCAACATAGTAAATACACCTTCACTTTGGATATAATATAATTCACTTAGTAAAAAGAAGGTTTCATACCTTCAATTAATTTATAATATTACACAAGTACGACATCATAGAATAAAAAATGTAAAGTGTGACATTTTTTCTTTTTTGTCTTTCTCATAATCTGTGTACAAGAGTAGAACACCGTGCCATATTCTCCATTTTCTTAACAGTACTTGTAAATATAAGAAGCAACGTCCTAACAAGACTACCTTCATAATTCCATTGGTTCAAACACGTGTGTATTACTTGACTGTAACGTCTGATTCAAGTCCGGAATTGCTTCATTATTATTATTGTTATTGTTGTTGTTGTTGTTATCAGACACGCCGGGAATCGGAGTCGGAGTGTCTCTTGACGGTAGAATATGAAGATGTTTGCTTGGTGGTTCCCAAAGAACTAGAGCCATGGAGGGCCTCTCCCTGAAATGGAAAAACTGTAAAGCTTTATCTTCTTTTGCAAAAACAATATTTTCAGTACTACAAGTCAACTACTATGCTTTGGAGATAATCACATAATACAGTATATACCATACGTTTATGAAAATAAATTTTCAAGCTTACAATTTAGACAACAATGAAGATGGAAGAATAGGCTCTGGCTGCAGTTTCTTGAGTTCATCCGAAAGAATCAATTTGGAATGCCGAGATTTTGTTTGATCTGAATCTACCGTATTTGTTGTACCCATATCTAGATCCATGTTCAGCTCTTTAGACAAAACTGATTGTGTATCAGCTGTTGATGTTGATGGTAAAGGGGACAATGATTGGTAATTGGGACTAATGTGCAAATCTTTAAAATGTGCTGCCATCTTTTCTTCTGTTATGAACTGCTTTGTTTGTCTCCTGTAATATTATCATAATAGATTACATATCGTATTAAAATATGATTGATGATAAAAATACAGATTGAGGTACTCACGTATCTACTACATCAGAAGCTTCAAGTTTCCTCTTCTGATGGTGGATTGGTTCCAAACTCGATCCACCTGTAAATCTCATTAATTCTGGTTGTTGTATCGATGGCACACTCCACGGTATCGATATTGGAGGCACCTGTGGTATTTGCATCCATGGAGCAGATAATTGGGAGACATTGTGCTGACCCATCATGTGTTGAAATATAGATGAAGGTGTGTGAAGATTTGCTCCTGCCATTGCATTCTAAACAACAAGAGAATGCATTTAATATCGCATAGACACAGTTATCGTATTAGATTGTGATATCAATGGTAATATCTGTCAAGCGAATCAATAGTAAATTCTGTTACAACAAAATATCTGGCCAAGAACCGGACCATAAGAATATTACGTGTAACTGGCAACTGCTTCAGGCAAACTTCCTTGTATAGACACCAAATGGAAACACATGAGATACTCCAGAAAAACAATACAATTTCCGTTATCTTTCTTTTTCCCGCTTTCTTTTAAATCACTACGTGAAATAGTAAATAGCTTACTGTCATTTGGAGCCACTGAGGACTTCGGAGGAACGTATATAATATATGTGCATATATATATATATATATATGTACTCTGGTCTTCGTGTATGTGCGCGGCAGCGAACAATACTTCCAACGGAATTTCAAAAACGCATTCACTAGTTCTCCAATATACACCGATTTTTGGCACAAATCTCGAGAAAAAGAGCAGATGTCCAATAAACACGTCTCGACCTGGAATACGAATCTTTCAACTGTATACCACACGCTAACCTCTGTAAGTCTGTTCGTCACAGTTTAATCGGGAAACAGGGCCTCCGATTAAACCGAGCGATACATAAATGCGTGCCAACAAGGATAGTCTGGAATATTCCCAATATGTTTGTCAATAATATCTTGACGCAATACACAGTTTTTGTTCGTTCCTACGGTTCCTACTTATGTATGTTTGGCACCGTGGAAGTTCCAGAACACACACATAAGTATCACTGCAATGAAATCGCGTGTATACACTCTAATTACAAAACCGATCACACAAACATCCATTAATTAAGATTCACCTGCTACCTGCTACTCGACTATTTAGGTTCATTTAGGTATAGGCGTACATGCGTATAAGTAGGTACAACGTACAACTTCTAAACCATTCTAAACTCCCAGAACTTACTTCAAGACGCAGACGTCACAGCGAAGAAAGACTTGCGCATGCGTCGCGGGGATTAACGCTTCTCAAAATATCTCGAATATTCTTGGTCCTTGATCAAACCTCTGGTCAAGCTAACTTAACTATCTGTTTCAACAGCTTTATACAAAAACTACAAATATGTATTATTGTGTATAAGTATATTATCCAAAAAAATTACAGAGAAACAATCACTTACACGTATTTTCTATTTAATCACTGCTCTTGAATAAATCCGTGAATTTGCACAACGAAACAATGCAGTCATTATTTGCAAAACATGAAATGCAACGCGGTTGTCACCGGGTCTCGTAATGCGCACCCCGTTTAGTTGCGTTTAGTTCATACTTGGACAGCTCTTACGGCATTATTTAGACCGCGTTTCTCTTGATCAAGCACTCGATTTGAAGCTTAAAGAACGTAAATTAATCCCCGTATATTGATAATAACAATAAGTGAATAGAACACTGTCAAAATCGCATTTAATCGCGGAATACCACTATTTTTTCGACCGGTGGCGCCACCCGTGGAAAATCGCTCAAACTGTTAGCCAAATCCTACCGACAGGTGAGTGAAAATTCCTAATGATGGAAAAATGCGAATATCTCAGTAATTAAGCGATCAAAGTTAACGTTGCTAGTCTTAAATTATTCCCCATGATTCAATGCGTCGACTGAATGCAGCGGAAGCCCATAATTGAGGAATTATTTCTACCAATGATGATATGTTGCTTATGCAGTGTTGACAGAAATAATTCTTCCGTTTATGGGATTCTGCAGTATTGGATCCATGCATTAAATCGTCAGGAACAATTTGAGACTAACGACGTTTATTTTGAGAGCTTAATTACTAAGATATTCGCATTTTTGCATCATTAAGAATTTTCACTCACCTGTCGGTATGATTTGGCCAACAGTTTGAGCGATATTCCACGGGTGGAGCCACCGGTTAAAAAAATAGTGGTATTCCACGTTTAAATGCGATTTTAACAATGTTCTGGTCGTTTATTGTTATTGCGAATGACAGGGGATTAATCTACGTTCTTTAAGCTACAAATCGAATGCTTGGTCAAGACGAAAGCTGTCAGTATAACGTTGTAAGAGTTGTCGAAAGTGAACTAAACTGGATATGCATGACGTGATACAGAGTCATCCGTTGCAAACAATTGAGATTTTAACAATGTTCTTGTAATTACTGGTTCCCAGCCGCTAAAGGGTAATAATCTACGTTCTTGAAACTTCGAATGTAATGTGTCACGAAGAAAAATGATGGCCGTTCAGCGGTGTAAATGCGATTCAAACCTGTTGTAATTATGGTTGCCGCTTCATAAGGGGTCAACGTTAAAACAGACGTAAATAATTTTACTTATCCTGGGATTCTGCAGTATTTAGTCCATGCATTAAGTCATCAGGAATAATTTGAAACTAACGACGTTCATTTTGAAGGCTTAATTACTGAGATATTCGCATTTTTCCATCACTAGGAATTTTCACTCACCTGTCGGTATGATTTGGCTAACAGTTTGAGCGATTTTCCACGGGTGGCGCCACCGGTTAAAAATATAGTGATATTCCGCGTTTAAATGCGATTTTGACACTGTTCTGGACGTTTATTGTTATTGTCAATGACAGGGGATTAATTTATGTTCTTTAAGCTACAAATCGAATGCTTGGTCAAGGCGAAAGTTGTCCGTATAATGCGGTAAGTGCTATCTAAAGATGAACTAAACGGGAAGCACATGACCGGAGTCAATGACAATTGTTGCAAACAATTGTGATTTTAATAATGTTTTTTCATTATTGGTATTCAACCAGTAAAGTATATTGATCTACGGTCTTTTAAGCTTCAAATGCAGTACTTGGTCAAGACGGAAGCTGTTCGTGTAACCACCGACGAGTGTATAAGAATTCTTATTTATGTATTATGTCTTTAGATTGAGTTTGAAGTCTTGCTTAGTTTCGCCGCTAGATAGTACCACCAGTCACTGTCGTGAAGGTCCGTAGGGGTCACTCGACCCCAGGGCAGTCTTACTTCTGCCGTGTTCTTGATCGGAGACTTTTCTTCCGTGGCAGAGATGAAGGTGACGAAATAATGAGCTCAATCGTCAGCGTGGTTTAAATGAAATAATACTATATTGCGCTACTGCGCACATGTACATTGCCCAGCAGCCCGCACAGCTCTCACCATGGTCTCTAACGTCTCTCATGGTTTCTCATTGTCAAAAGTCTCAGAACAACTCAGATGAACAGAAAGTATAAATAAAAGGTGCAAGTAAAAGGAAATTAATATGTTAATTTAGTTTTTTTGGAAGATTTTTATTTTAAATTGAGTAAAGAGGTAATCAAGGAAAAAGCAACATCTATATTTCGTGATTTGACTGCGGATGATCCGGAACCAGAGACGACTGAGATTGAAAGTCTCTGCATGAATTGTGGGAAAAATGTAATGTATCCAAGGTTTAGAACATTCTTTTTCATGTTTTCTAACTAATACTTTGCTTTATGAATATAGGGTATTACTAGATTACTCTTGACAAAAATTCCACATTATAAGGATATTGTGATAATGTCTTTTGATTGCGAACATTGTGGTTACCAGAATAACGAGATACAAAACAGTGGAAAAATCCAAGATAAAGGGATAAGAATAACATTGCAAGTCACATCACCCAGGGACTTGAATCGTCAAGTTGTTAAATCTGATTACACATGTGCGAGAATTCCATCTTTGGATTTTGAAATCCCATCTAGATCACAGAAAGGAGAAATTACAACAGTCGAAGGTATATTAGAAAGAACCATTGCTGGTTTAGAGCAAGATCAACCAGATAGAAGAGAAAACTATCCAGATGCAGCTGCTCAGATTGATCAGTTCGTTGAGAAACTGAGAAGCCTGAAATTATTGAAAGCACCTTTTACCATTATATTCGAGGACATATCAGGGGAGTCTTATATTGAGAATCCAAATGCACCACTAAAGGACGAAGGATGCACTGTAATGAAATTTAAGAGAACAACAGAGCAAGATCATGTTCTGGGGATATACACTGAAAAATTGGACAATGTTTTATTGAAACCTATAAAAGAAGGAGAATACACGTTGGAGGATATTGAAGGTGAAGTTCTTTCGTTTAGAACAAATTGTCCAGAATGCAATTGTCCTTGTGAGACTAACATGAAGATGACCAGTATCCTTTATTTAATTTATCCATATGGTTATATGTAGATGTTTTATTTAACTGTTTATCTTAATTGTCCTTAATTTATTTCATAGATATTCCACACTTTAAGGAAGTGGTAATTATGGCAACAGTCTGTGAATCTTGTGGTCACCGAACAAATGAAGTTAAAAGTGGGGCAGGCATTGAACCTGAAGGGGTGAAGATAGAAGTTTCGGTTTCAGGAAGAGAAGACTTTAGTCGTGACTTACTGAAGTCAGAAACATGTTATATGGAAGTACCAGAATTAAACCTGGAGGTTGGACCGACCGCTTTAGGTGGACGCTTCACTACGATTGAAGGCATCTTAATGGCAGTCAAAGATCAGTTATCGTCGTCAACGGCATTCACCGGTGACAGTAGCGATCCGGAAACTGTAAAAAGAATGGAAACTTTTATATTCCATTTGAATGAGGTCTTGGAAGGAAAAGAAAAAATAACGTTGGTGTTGGATGATCCAGCCGGTAATAGCTACGTACAGAGTTTGACGGGCGACGGGCTTGACAGTGGTCTAAAGATTACCAGATATGAGAGAAATTTTGAACAGAATGAAGAACTTGGTTTGAATGATATGAAAGTTGAGAACTACTAATCATTTGTTATGCAGATTTATACATGTGTCAATGATAATATTATCTGTAATTTATGTATTATAATGAAAGAAGAAGAAGAATGTACTATAAATGTATATTGTACCATGTAAATATACAGTTTGCAATCTTACTGGAAAAGTTTTAACGAAACTCAAAGTTATTTTACTCATCCAGAATTACACTATGATTGAATTTAAAGTGTTTGTATTCGCAAATATTTAAACGATCGGTATAGCGTCTAGTTTTTTTAATTTGGGAAGCCTTTTAGTGGCTTGACTTCTCCAAAACTCCATGTCCATATTTTCGCAGATAGGATTGTTAATGAACAATAGGTCCTCAAGATGGGGTATTTCTTGCAAGCGATTGAATTCAGCCCAGTCTTTCACCAAATTGTTAGACATATAAAGTACTTTGAGGGCCTTAAGGACATTGACACCCTTTATCTTCTCAATCTGATTGTAAGATATCCATAGCTCTTCTAAATGTTCCCCTACTGCTTCCAGACCAGAGAATGTTTTAATATTGTTTCTACCCAAAGATAAAATCCTCAAATTCTTCAAGGAATTAATACCACTGATCTTCTCTATCATGTTCGTGGAAAGCGATAATTTCCTAAAACCCAATAAATCTGTAATGTCTGTATTAGTAAAGGTATCTTATAGCGAATAATTATGTACTGACTGTACGGCCGTTAACGCTGCCAAGTTGTTATCCATTTTCTCAATAGGAGGCCACTGAAAAGACAAACTGATTTCTGTCTGTTCACTGGCTGTTAAGCCCGTTTTCTCTTCCCATCGTTGGATGGCCTCTTTGCAGCTTGTTGCTTTAGCCTGTGCATTGTATCGTGCATAAAATAAAAATGACAAAAATTAAATGGAAAATTATTCTCCGGTTACAGGATAATAGATACCATAAGATAAGCGATGGAAGTAACGAAACGTAGATGTCAGAACGAGAAAAACATGTATGTAATTAACTGGTATCGCATTGTAGGATTACAAACAACAACTAATCACGACCACGATAACCAACCGTGAACTTCATAGTATGCGGAAATTTCGGGAAAGACATTGTTCCTTACCTCAAAAAAAATAATACCTACTATGTCATTTTCACTAACGTGTACTATTGTTATATTTTTCGGTTCAAAGTCACTGTCACGAGTTACAATTACCAATAAAACATGTGTTTGGTAACATTAACTGTGATCTTGTATTCGTCATTGAATCTATTCGATAATGAATTCCAACGACAAAATTGACATCGATCAACCATTGTGGGACCAATCTACGTATATTGGTAGATGGAAACACTATGCTTTTATCACTGATTGTCGTACTGTGATCGTGCCTAGAGAAAAATTACTGACGGCGAAACAACTCTGCGAGGACTACAGGTAACTGAACCGCAACTTGGAAACGCTGCGTTAAAATTTAAACTCGATTCTGGATATCATTTAGAAATGATACAGTACCTCCTGGTACTGCCATGAAGGATATCATATACGCAAAAAAACTCAAAGACAGTGCGTTCCATCCGGACAATGGTCAACTGATGCACGTACTTGGTAGAATGTCCTTTCAATTACCCTCTTCTGTCACGATTACGACAATGATGCTGACGTTTTACAAGTAAATCGTCCGAAACCTCTTTGATAAAAAGAAGCAACTGTTTTTCCACTCATTGTGCGTATACATTTATTAGGAGTGCAACCGCCATCGTGCTGTGTCAAATAATTAACCAGACGCACAATGCTCTTCTGAATTACACCAACAGAAATGCAATGACCGACAACGATTTTGCTGATAAAAACTCGGTTAAAACGGCATTCTTGTGTGCAGTATCAGCAAGTTCCGCAGTAGTTGTTGGATGTGAAAAGATCCTGCATCAAAGAGGGCCGATTACTTCAGTCAGTTCGTTATAACGTATCTTTTTTTCTTGTTCCTTTTACATTTTATTCCTTCTCTTTTTTTCTTTCAGAGATGTGTACCGTTTCTCGTAGTTGCAACAGGTGATGTAACAAATCTGCCGCTTATGCGTCAAAGAGAAATAATGATGGATACGCCGCTATTTATCGAAGATGCAATAGAGCCTATTATAAACTCTAAAGTAGCAGCGGTAAAGGCTATTTCTGAATGCGTTCTCACGAGGATAGCGTTGGCTGTGCCATGCCTGCTTTTTATTCCAATGATCACACAAGCAATCAAGCCATACTGTTTTTATCAGCGTGGGCAGTGGATGATATACCCGATCGAGATTACTTTTGCGTAGTTGGGTAATTTCCATCTTTACCAACCTCAGTTTCCTATTCACAACTGATTTGCTGTTTACCATGATCTATATTTGTATACAGCTACTTGCTCGGGATTCCTTCGTCCCTTGCGCTCTTCCCTCGGTATAGGTAAGCAATAGCATGTATTTTTCTTTTGGATATGAAAGTTTTTAAGGATAATACTCCTGAATTGTTCAGATTAATGAGTCCAGAATTATTGAAGATACATAAACCAGAGTATATGGAATTTCGAGAAAAAGTCAAGCAAGACGTGGATAAAGTCTATTATTATAAGTGATTGTAATGCAATAACTGAAATATTAATTACTGTGACGTGTACGCACGATGTTTATAGTGAGAAAATATATGTACTTAAGTAAAAAGTTTCAATGTCGAAAAGATGATAAATTGAATGGAATCAAATCAGTGGACTATATCTAGATTCTTCTTTTTTTTTTCATTTTTATAGGTATAGGTCCAGGCATTTTGAATACTGTGCTGCAGGAAAATAATATAAATTATTTCCCAATATCGATATTATAAATAACTACTATAGAATTATTTTTTTAGTTTCATTGAAATACTTACTGACAAGTTGTGCATATTGGGCTGAATTTACAGAATACTGTAAGAAGAAAAAAACATCATCAATCTACTAAACGGAACTGCTTGCATACCAATGTAATGTTTACACATTTTTGTTTAATTTTTCTTACTTGACAAACATATAGAGCATACATAGCCAATGTCTATTAGCTCCTGATGACAAAAACATGCTGCACGATAATCTACTTCCATGGGAGGAGGTAGTACTAGCTTTGATCTAACATTCGGATCTGGTAGAAATATCCACTGAACAGACAATCGTTGAGTTCTGATTTATGCAAACTGTACATAAAATGGAAATAATAAGTGTAACGTTTCTCTTACTAATAAATATTGCAATAATCCGCTCAATTGAGGAACTGTTAAATAGTTTCCACCAGTTATATCACAGCCTTGTTGAAGTAAAGTCAATTCTTGGTCTAAACTGCAGACATCCAATATTATCCCCTAAATATTTAAACAAAAACCTCTTTGACACACTTCTAAATGTCGAAAACATACACATTAATCCAAGATTACAAACCATTCTATGAGCAGTGAAAAATATATTCATGTAATTCATATATTGAGTAACCGAGTCATTACTAGCTGTGATAACAAGAATTCTTGAATATAATTTTTCACCAGCAGCCTTTTCTCTTTCTAATCTTCTAACATAACAGAGTGCCATTGTTAGTGCCCCGGATATCAGGCTTTCCCCATTTAATGGCTTATCCTTAGAAATTTTGCTGATAACTTGTTGCAATTGTTGTCTAACTGTACGCTCGACCATTGTGAATTTTTCATACTGTCCATCAATTTGCCGAATCTCAGAAGGTTTCTCACAAGGATACAAAAATTTCCCCCCATGACTATGACAAGCTAACATAGCTAGCTGATTCTTGGATGACTGCATTAAATGTGCATTGGCAAAGACAATAGTGGAGTCTAAACATTGTGTTAATATTTTTGTTTCTTGTTTCACTATTCTTTGTACTGGATTCACATCCAGTACAATTATCAACAGGCTTGTTTCTATTTCTGAGAACAAAGAAAGCAATTTTAGATATTAATATTCATCGAAAATCATTGTAGGTTGGAGGTTAAGCAACTCTAGATTACCAGTTGTCATTTTTAATCAATTGAATTGATGCAATTTATTATTACACTTAACGATTACTACCGCTGTTTTGGGAAATACATCTTTTTTAATGATTTACATTAATTGACTTAATTGTTCGATATATTGGAGTATACTAGTATATATGTATGTACATACAAGCGTATTTATATATTTACATGTACACACACTCGACCTGACTGGACCATACCGCGCCGCAACACCACAAACAACTTGTACGTGTACGGCATTGTACGGCGGGTTCTTTTGACGTACTGAAAACAAGATTTACCATTTTTATCTCACTCGTGGCAAGGATTAAAGATGCTGAACAAAAAACCACAGACGTACTTAAATAATACATGATAATTTCGATGTACATTTATTTTGAATTGAAAAAAATAAAGAAAGTAAAGTACGAGGGTACCTACTCTACATATGTATAGATAAATGCAAAGTGTAAATAAGTATACATAAGTATGTATACTTCTTATATACAATGTATATACTTGCACAAGAATCAATACCTACAAACAAAACTGAAACAGAAATTCTACTACAAGTAGAGATGGCGTGCAAAATCACTAACGGTGATTTATCACAGTGATCGCCGAATCACGATCACGATCGTGATTTAACTTCATTCACAACCGTGATTGCGATTTTTTTATCTTGAGTGAATTTGCTCACTGCAATCGTAAGTCATTAATCTTTAAACGGAAAAACGTATTCAATATGATTTTACGATGAATTACATTACTGTGTTTGTAAAAATCAGTAGAAAAAAACAAGAAATTCTAAAAAAATGATTTGCTAGGTAACATGTAGATTATAATTTATAATCATTAATTTATTCATTATTCTTCATTGTTTCTACTTATTCCTTCACTTTATACGATATAACCCTAATTTTTGTTTTGATGTCGTTAATGTGAAATATACAAATTATGTATCGCGTGTAAAGAACTGTTAGGTTTCTCCACCAATAAGAAACGATCACGGGAAATCACGAATCACTGTGAAGAATCATCGTGATTGGGAACGAACGTGATCGAATGACGAGTGATTCACAAGTAGCAGTTCGCGCCATCTCTGACTACAAGTATACAGGTATCGTATTATATGTACGTACTTACATATATATTAGTGTTTAAATAGAATAGACTAGTCTATTTATACATACATATATTTATATTATATAGACAGTAATCTGTTTTTACGAATGACTAAGTGTGCATTAAAAAAGTGAAACGTACAGTACAAGTAATCAGCGATTTCTTGTCTTAAAGTTCCCGCCTGCTTTACTGCAATCGGTTAAGTTAAAAGCCGTTACATCGGTTACAGCAGCAGGCAGACGTCAGCACTCAGCAGAGCAGACGTGCGCAAATTATTCGTACGACGTCGCGCATGGTTGCAACATACGTATATCTATATATTTTGCAGCCGTTTCGTAGTTGTGTCGTAGCTGATTGGTTGTGTAGTAGAGAAACGAAACGGAACTTACGGAACGACGAACGTGAAATATCATTGAGGTCACCAGAGTGTCTTTGAAAGGTTATCGAACGTAGTCTTCTCGAATTTGAACTCGGTCACATTCGTGCCCGACATTCGTTCCGAATATGTTGCCACGATTTCTGAAGCCCACGTTGACCGTCGCCCAGCAAGGAGCGAAGCGGCTCTCCACGAGCGCTCGGGTAAGTCCGATAGGTTTCAACTTCAATTCAGTACAATCGATTAAAATTTTGTTTTTTCTTTTGATAAGTTTCATACAATGTTCCGAATGTGAATCATATTTTTCGTTAAACGCGGGATCGTTGTATGCCCAGTCGATTACTTTATCCTTCCCGATGATGATGATGGACATTTGGAATAGTTATGCAACCGTGAACATTGTATTGCAAGAATAAAAGTGTAAATTTAAACTACCAGAGGATTTCGGCGACAAAAGATGCGTCTGATTAATTTCTATTAATTTCCGTGTTATCTTTCAGCGTGATGCTAAGGTCGCAGTTATGGGTGCTAGTGGTGGAATCGGTCAGCCGCTATCATTGCTCTTGAAACAATCGCCTCTCATAACTGAATTATCATTGTACGATATCGTGAACACGCCAGGTGTCGCTGCTGATCTTTCACACATGGACACCAAGGCGAAAGTAAAAGCTTTCACCGGTCCTAATGAGTTGAAGGAGTCAGTTAAAGGAGCTCAGGTATGTGTTACAAACAAAGTATATGTACATAAATACACATTGATTCCTACAGAATGGCTTCTGATGTCTTTTTCTCATTACTGCATCTTCATAGGTGGTCATTATACCTGCTGGTGTACCACGTAAACCAGGAATGACTAGAGATGATCTCTTCAACACAAATGCTTCTATAGTAAGAGACCTTGTCCAGGCTGTTGCTGAAATGTCTCCAAAAGCACTTATCGCCATTATTTCTAATCCAGTTAACAGCACAGTGCCCATTGCCTCTGAAGTATTGCAGAAGGCTGGTGTTTATGACCCTAAGAGAGTATTTGGTGTAACTACCCTGGATATTGTTAGGGCAAATACATTTATTGCTGAAGCAAAAGTTAGTTAAAAATCAATGCCCGCGATAGAATGTGGACAGTGTTCGAAATACAGGTATTCGATATTCATGCATCTTTCCAGGGTCTTGATCCACAGAAGACATCGGTACCAGTTATTGGGGGACACAGTGGTATTACTATCATTCCACTGATTTCACAGTGCAAACCATCAGTTTCCTTCCCAGAAGATCAGCTAAAAGCTCTTACGTTGAGAATCCAGGAAGCAGGTACAGAGGTTGTCAAGGCAAAGGCTGGTACAGGTTCTGCCACACTTTCAATGGCATACGCGGGTGCTCGATTTGGTTTGTCGTTGATCAGAGCACTCAATGGAGAACAGGGTGTCGTGGAATGTGCTTATATCAGATCAGACGTTACAGCGTCGAAATATTTCTCGACACCTGTTGTTTTGGGTGTAAGTAGATTTTGCTGAGAGAAGCGAAGTGTGAATTTTGTACACAAAATATTACGTTCATACCCCATTGCAGAAAGCAGGAGTTGAGAAGAATCTCGGTCTTGGTACTCTTAGCAGCTATGAAAAGCAACTATTGGATGAAGCTATTCCAGAACTCAAGAAGAACATTCAGAAGGGAGAAAATTTCGTGAACAAGAAATGAATACTGTAAATCTGTGAAGTACTAGATAGAGGCTTGATTGTGACCACAAACAGGAAGGAGTCAATAATTTGAAATATTCGTCGTAAAGTTCTCGCGTTGTACGCGAATCGATAGGTATCCGAAAGGTGGATCCTTTATATGTGTATATACCTACCAATCGGTAGGTGAACCTGTATTACGTACCATACAGAATAGAGTAAAATTCATTTCTTATGAATAAGTAAAGAAACGTACAAAATCCGGAGGACAGAGCAAGCAGTTTTACTACATATTATAAATAATACTCGTAGGCCTCGATGAAAAAACGTGTCAAATCTTAAAACATGATGTAGCTAATTTGAAAATAAAACAAGTCTTCGAACTGAAAGAGAATTAAAATTATTTCTCCTAGAACCTTTGCATTGTTTTTATAATTTTATCATCGTTGTACATAATAGAACTATTACATAGATAAGTAATTAATGACAAGAACCAGGGCACCATTAAATTATTTCATGGTGAGCAGCTCTATATTACCAACAGTTAAATGAGATTATCAGAATCAAAAGAAACAATCATTTGAAAGGTAAACGGGGCAACCTTCGGTACAATGTCAATCGTGCATGTGACGAGTACAAACAACGGTTCTGTTTAATTGTCTTTAATGTCTTGGAACCAATAGTTTAAAACGTGACGTGTAATTCTAGTTACAGAAATATTTATTACCCATTCTAGTTATAAAAATATTTATTACCTATTATAACACTCTGTTATTAATTCACGTGCTCAACGTCTATGCACGTTGAATAGTCTGGATTGGAACGTCTGCAAGAAAAATACTATCATGGCAAAACGTAAATGCTATAAAAGATCTCGACGCAAACAGGGCTTGTATCAATCGCAAGAGATGCTGTTGCAGAAATCAGGCTCATCTGACACGATCGATAGCATTGGGAACAATGATACTCCTTTAAGAAGAAACGTGGGATCGTCGGAGCAACTTTTAGAACAACGTTCTCCAGAGTCGGTGCTTTTTGACTCACAGCAGCTGGAGTTGTCCTGCTGTGGTGATTTGAGTCCGGAGTTCGCACCTAAGCTTCGAAGGAGAAAATTAGATTTAAATAACTTAAACACAAATTATGAACAATATGAAAGTGAAATACAGAAGGAGATGAAACTATTTAAGGAGAATCAATCCGATGTAGAACCACAGCAGCAGAAGGTAGACACATCTACATTGTATCCCATGGAAAAAACTTTACCTATGAATGAAGAGATCAAGGTGGACATGCACAAATGTGAGTCCATACAGAATAGCAAATCCTTTTCAAACGCAGTACTTGGCGTGCGTAACTACAACACTGACTTCCATTCGTTCAAATCGATGTACGATTTGCCTTACGGATATGTATCAGAACCAGGACAGTTTAGTACCTTCAATTCCGACGTGGAATCCCAGAATCCTAGGTTCCACCATTTTCTCGATGAATTTCAATCAGCTGCCTCTGTTTGCGAACCTGTTCCAATCAATTGGAGATTGAGCAAAAGAGTAACGAACACAATAAAGAAGAGTGGAATAAACAAGAGAGTCAAAAGGCAAAGTTTGATATAGTTAACGAGAAGTGTTCGCAGGTGTCGGGTGACGGTCGCTTTACTACCAATTGGAGTGAGTATAGGCGGATCCTTTCCAACCTACGACAGCTAAAGAACTTGAAGGTACGAAGTACCAGTCAAAAACCCGGTACAAGCTGTCTGCCAAAGTATAAGACAATTGTCGAGACGCGGTCCATGTATACATCTTCGTTGTCTTTGGTGTCACAGGGACATTGACGAATGAGCGCAACCAATAAGCGTCGTTTCGTGGAATCCAAAAATACTGACGTTGATAAAATCGACAAGAATAAGGGCTCGTGCGACCATGCCTTATAGTGGTTCACCGCCACCTGCCAAGAGGTGTAGAACGGCATTGAAATGTTATGATGACGCGGAAACAGAACATTCTGATAAAGCAATCGTGTCTCTCCCAGCCAGTGATCTCTTATCGGAAGAAAGAAGAAGAACACGCGAAATTCATTTTCGTCCAATTTAACCGCCAGCAAAACAGTTTGGAGTAGTTGCACACCTGAATCCCCCACCGCTTCTACGCTGGATTTACCTGCCGTCTTGGATTCTGGTGGCTGTAGCAGGAGTCTGCAAGATGTAACTTCTTAGAACTGAAATTTCACCTGTACATTTCAATGGACACCGTTTTACCGATGCTACATGTTTTACTACGTGTTTTACCGATTTCCTTTCAGCGTCAAGTGGAATTTGAGTTCAGTAAAAAATGTACCTGCGCCACCTCTGCACAGAGCCGTTCGTCGTCACGATTCCAATTTATCAAAAAACCTATACATAAAATTATTTTCTTTTGTATCTGGTTGATGAGAAAGCTGGCGAATACGTTTAAACAGGTACGTCGTTTCGCTGCCTTGTTGTACAATCTACGGTAATTTTTAATGATAATTGTTTTAGAATTATGAACGGCTCAAGCAGACAATGTTATCATTTTTTGAGAAGGCAAATCTGGAAAAATTTGAAGAATGCGGTCAACTATGTAGTTATGACATTACGCTCTGAGAACAAGCAGATGACTGATAGATTTTTAGAGAAAGTGATTATTTAGGTAGGGAAGATCGATATACTTACGCGAGGGAGAATAATATCCGCAATTGAGTACCAATGATAAAGTTTTTATAAATTCAAGCAGTATACTAAGAGACTACTTCATTGATTGCAGATACGCGCAAGTAACGTGACAACTATGGCTGCTTTGATCACAGAAGTCCGTAATATAGTGGCTGAAAAGAATGAAACACTGAAGCAGGAAATAGAGAAACTACCGAAGGCGTTGGAGGATAAAAAAACAAGTACATATACCTAAATCTCTGTCACCGCCTCCTTGATCGATGTCATCGATTCTGAGCACCTCCTTGCAGACGTGTTCTCCTCCGCCACCGCCTCCTTCTATTTCGTTATTCAAGTAATCGGTAGAGTCAATTACCCGAGCCTGAGTCTGTCTCCGATCATGACCGATACCGACAACTCGTTGGATCGAATCCTGAAACAGGTGGATGTTAATAGACGACCGAGACGTCTGTTAGTCACGACGAACTTTCATGAAAGGAATTATCACGAAAGATAATCATTCGCTGAATGTAGACGCAAAAGATAGCAACTCGAAATCCTCGATTGTGTAATCACATTGCAAAGAAATATAACACGGACGTTTAACATGTTGACTGTGCCACAGTGGAAAAGGTAGCCTACGTAGCCAGACACACTTTAAATCTTTGAAAATATGTATATGCGTTTCATTAATAGAGATTGCTTGTCTTGTTTTCAATTATACTGTGATATTAATCTTATGTCAAAATGTTGTAGAGGTATTTAAATAATCCAGCATGTTTGCAATGTTTCAACTACGAGTTATCTCGCTAGCAGTCTCAACGTGTTAAGAAGATATACATATATGTATGTATACTAGGTGTTAGATATACAACTTGATTCACAGTTTTGTAGGGTAGACGCAGGCAGACTGGGCCACAGCTGATGGATACATTGCGGTTAATGCTATTCAAACTAATTAGAGAATTCTGTGTGGCATCGAATATGAACGTAAATTAATAACTCAAGAGCGAATCCTTAATTATTTAGAACAGTGCGTCTTGCAAAACGCCACTCTTTAATCGTGCTTGAAATAATTCGGAAATATAAAGAATACTTGTACAAAATGTAACGATTTTAACGAATGTATTCCATAGAATTGTAACTTCATGCGATGAATGATAACTTGTGTAAACAAGGTACGTGTATTTTACAGAATGTGTACAGTACAATTATTATACATATTGACAATACCTATAGTTTTCTTTAGTTTAAGTCATATTCAGGGCTACACATGCTGTAACAATTAACAATGCATTTCTTGATTCTGGCATTGTGCTCCATTATATTTTATGTACATTAATTTATAATTCTATGGAATTCTATGAAATTCTGTGGAAAACATACATTAGGATTGTTATTCAGTGCGTGTTATTGAAATTACACCCGACTTCGACAGTCATTGAGACATTGAGAACATGTTACAGATTCTGATGTTGGGTTACTCACTCTATACACAATATTGCGATACAAAGAAAACGCCCTAAACGCATTATGTATGTACATATATTTTAATTCCCTTACTAATGCACTGATATTTAATAATACAATAAAGATCCGAGAGAGAAACAGATAAGAGTTGTAATTACTTTATTTGTAGCTTTCACGTATGTGGTTTTACAGAAAAAGGTCGTATCCAGTGAAATCGCATTGATTGTAGTAGTACAGAATGTGAGAACGCATACGCGAATCCAAGAAAGAAAAAAATCAAAGAGAAATTTAGCCTTCTTCCAAATGACGATAAACTTTGATATCCAGGTCTAGTTAATCGCTCTTGAAGTGGGTTTGCGACAAGATAATACAGATACAACTAATGTTTATAACACAAAGAGAAAGTTGGGGGGAGGGAGAGAGAAAGATAGAGAAATAGACAAGAGCAAATACTACACATCTAGTAAGAGATGGAATAATCAGGGATTTCTTTTCCTTATGTTTTTTTTTCATACATATAAAAATCAACTAAGCACGTACAGCGATACTGGGTAAAGGATTAAAAGCAGTCTCAATCGATACACCGATCATCTATCGCCATTAACAAATCCTACGGACAACCCAGGTGGGTGGTAATGCCTACTTACGATTTTATTTTAGCCGGCAACACTCTACAATTTCATTGTTGTGTTTGCTTATGAGTCTCGCTATATGTATTGTAAGTAGACTGTAGACTGTAGGCTGTAGACGATTGTAATGTTATCGCATTTGGCTAGTTCATCTTGTTTTTAATTCATTGTGTAAGCAAGTAATTGGACGAGGTATCTGAAATTTTATCGTCGTTTGGAATTCGCTACACCGTTCGTTGCCACTGACAAGTTTTATTGTGCCTAAATGTTCAACACTTGTCGCTTTTACTACGATAATATCTCGGCCGATGTTTACCCGATGTTCTTCTGTTCTCTCTTCTTACGCACAGTTTAATTACCTTCCTCCCGATCTGTCTTCCACGCTCTTCGACGAAACACATTTCGAAAAACTATTCTTTTTCTGTTACGATATCGTTCGAAAAACGATTCGCGTCAATCGATTTCTCCTAATTTTACGGTCTTAAAATTACTCGCATATACTTACTGACGGTGCCGTTGATATTACTTTGAGTTACTCTTTCAAACGTACTTTATAACATGATTATCAATTTTTATCGTTATTAATACCTAAATACAGGGGCACGATGCACACCGATTTTCTAGGCAGAGCTCGATTATCTGCTCGTTCCCTTCGCCTTATATATATATTACACACCTCGCTTTTTTGCTGCACGCTGTATACGAATTATCAAGATCGTCCTCATCGCCGTCGTATATAGGAAAGCCGCGCGTGTCCGAAGGACTCGAACGACTTTACTGTCAGTACACGTAGTGCCTATCAAATTTCTACGATACCATTTGGAAAATTAACTTCAGCTCACAGGTAATTTGTTTCGTGACATTCTTCGCAGGAAAACGGGCTAACGTTCAAAATATTACATACATTAAAGATACACATTGATATTTTCAAGCGATTGGAATTGTTAACTACCACAGATATTATTTCTTACCGTCACTATTTACTTAGACGAGTAAATGATCGATGATATTGTGTCGCTAAGCCTACCCCCCTTAACATGCTTCACGAGAATTTCGTGTGGGACTGACGAACAAATCGTCTTAAATGCTTGTTGGAACGTTTCAGAACGGAAATCGACAAAAATGTGAACGAACACCACGGGCAGATACGAACTAAGAGACGCAATGGAATCGAGGAGTGTGAATTAGCGAAAGTGAGCGCGAACGAATAAAGTCGGGATACAATCGTTTATTCTGTAATTTGTAATACCACAGCGATCGTTTATAGTTTTACACAATGGGGGCGTATGAAAAAGTACAACCACAATTACAGACTAGCTAGACAGCTACTTGTGTTTTTTTGTCGTGTATCGTGAAACGGAATTATTTCTTTTTTTTTTTATATATATAAAAAAAAATAAAAAGCTTATCTACCACATTTCTAATTTTTTTTTGCACGTTTCTCGTCGATCAAAAAAAAAAGGGAGAGAAATAACTACGGCTCTCGTCGCAGAATAATGTGAAGATGAAAAGAAAAAGATGCGTCCGACATTGTCGAAAGCGGGGCAACGTTGTTCCATTTACTTTGATGTTCTCTTTTCTTTCTTTCGTGTTAACAGAAAATTTCGATCTGCGACTGATGTTATTGCATTTAAGTACGACGCTTTTGTGTAAGCGTATTTTCTCTTCGTAATTCATTAAATGACTACACGAGAATCCATGCTGGAACTATGTATGAAATTACTTAATCCGGACTTCGTTCGGAAGTACATTCGCAATATCTTATACAGAAAGCAGGGACGAAGACGCGTGGTTCACAGTTCTAGTTGCTGGCCAGAACAGGCAACCACGTCTCTTCGTTCCGAGGAGACGCGTTTATTCTTGAATAAACGAATGATTTACAGTCGATTTACACGCATACAATTAACGTCCTTATTTATTATATAGTATCCGAGAGCGATCGTGCGCGCAGTAAAAAAGCGGGGAAAAGGACGAAGAGGACGACGACAAGGAGGAGGAGGAGGAGGAGGAGGAGGAAGAGGAGGAGATGGAGGAGGAGGAGAAGGAAATTGATTTGTATGGGAATAGGGAGCAGGTGAAAACAAACGAACATAATAATGCACTTCAATCGACGTCAAGTATCAGAATGTTTCGCTGTTCGTGAAACATATAGGACACATTGTTAATTCGTTCTCACTCACTGAAACCGATGAAAGCGTGGGGATCGTCTCAACAGACTGAGGGCATACTTCATTTCTTCTTTTTTTCCCTTTTTGTTTTCATTGCTATGAGTGACATGTACGCCCTGTCAGTCGACGCCCACACAACGCGTTTTCGACATCGTCCGTGCAACTCTTTCTCTTTTTACCGGGCATACACAGGTGTGATGACAGCATTTTTTTCTTCTCGATACTCGAAAAAGGCGAAGACAGCGCCTCTCTAAATGCTTTTTTTTTTTGCAGTCTCTCTATTACCGCAGGGTGCGCATCCTCTGCTTGTTACTTTCCGCGTGCTCCGTAATTAGATGTGTTTTATCGATTGATTTTTGTTTGGAATAGCCGTACGTGCATGCTTAGGGTCACGCAATTGCTAAAGATCTCCCCATCCCACCCCGAACTGCCACCTGCTGAGTTGTTTTCTGTTGCTTACGAGTTATAAAGAGTTTTTTGTTTTCTTCTGTGTCTCAGTTTTATATACGCAATGTAACACTCACTACAGTTAGAGTTACGATACGTCCTGATCTTCCGCATCTTGCAGCTGCTCCTTCTGTTCGCCCTCCCCTGTAAAAGAACATGTATATGCATTAACAAACCTCTTCTTGTTACGAGAATATTAATTTCTAACGAGAATAAAATGTCTGCAACACAAGTGACAGGTTAAAGTTGACCATTGCAAGAAAAATGTAAGTTAGTTTTTTTTTTAAATAACCAAGAAATAGGATACCGTCGGTGATGTTAAAGTGATCAACAGATTAATTAGGAGGAACTGATATTATAAGGAGCAAGGAAATATTATGTTGCTCACCAGGTAACTGAATGGTGTAGGGGCCTACTGAAAAAGGGTGTGCCTGTGTTCAAGCATTGGTGGTAACGACCGCAGCCTCATTTTCGCGATCAGCCTCAAACTCTAAATTATAAAGTAATGATTCTTCGCCCGGAACCGCAAGGTGTATTTAAAAGTACGATTTAAAATAAAAACTCCACGGCAACGGGGTAACAGAGTTTTAAAATCGTTCTACACTAGCTACCACGGCCGTACAACAGAGTGAAAAATATCTGACGGGACAAGGAAGATATTATCGCGCTGCTGCAATACATATTATTGATCGTCACACGATGTCGCTTCTACCGGCCAGTGGAAGCGTTTCAGCGGATGCTAAGAAACAAATTTCAACTCGTTGTCATCACAGCATACTAACCATCTCCTTGCATATCCGACGTCCACAGAGTCAGATTGTCCCTGAGGAGTTGCATGATAAGGGTAGAATCCTTGTAACTATCCTCAGATAAAGTGTCTAATTCCGCGATTGCGTCGTCAAAGGCTGCCTTCGCTAGACGACACGCTCTGTCTGGGCTGTTGAGTATCTCATAATAGAACACGGAGAAGTTTAGCGCCAATCCTAAGCGGATGGGATGAGTCGGCGGCAAGTCTGTCATAGCAGTGTCGCTGGCCGCTTTGTAAGCTACCAGCGAGTTTTCTGCCGCTTCCTTCCTGTCGTTACCAATTGCAAATTCGGCCAAGTAACGATGATAATCGCCCTTCCTGCAATTGTACAGCAGTAATAAGATTACAGGAACAATCTTCTCGAAGGAACATTGTGTTAAGCTATCCTACCCTATATCTACTATATACTGTTTGGATAGAATGCCTTTCTATTGCCAACAGTGTATTAATGTAATGCTTATCGTATGCTTTCCTTGTCATATGTCGAGAAGTAACAGCTTAAGCTGCACTTCGATTCTTACATTTTGTAATAGAAGACTTTTGATTCGCCCGTGGAAGCGTACGGAATCAGATGTTTATCCAGGACTCCGAGTATATCGGCACAGATGTCTTTCAGTTCTTTCTCTACTTGGGATCGGTACTGACGTATCATTTCGAGTTTGCCCTCTGCGCCCTTGTTCTCCTCCTTTTGTTCAATGTTCGAGATTATTCTCCAGGAGGCTCTCCTCGCTCCGATTACGTTTTTGTAGGCGACAGAAAGGAGGTTCCTCTCTTCGACAGTCAGCTCCAGGTCCAACGAAGCGACCTTCTTCATCGCCTCAACCATTTCTGAAAATTTCGACGACGGACATCGCCGTCGATGGCGGTGCCATTAAATCGAAAACCATTCAAAGTAAAATAGTTGCATACATGTAGCCTCAAAGGATAAGGACACTGAAAATATCATGTACAGACGCCGTTCTCTATCGGATCCTAAGCAAGTGTCCCTATTTTTGGGGTTACATTGTGTACAGTGAATGAAAATGGTATTAATTGATATTTAATCAGGATATTATTCAATACTGTACTAAACGGAAAGAAATATACATATGTATATGCTATTTTGGTGCAACTATGAGACTTACAGAGTGATATTCTACGAAATCATGGTAAAGTAATGAATTGGAAATGACTTATTGATTATTAATACGTAGCTACCCTCTGTGGATATATTATTAGTTTCATCTGAGATGGTGGAGAACCTTTGTGCGAGAAAGACGAGCACACGGGCATGTATTAACCCGCTGCCCCTTGAACTTTGCGAGGAAGTTGGTTACTATTATGTATTTATTATCTATAGGTATGCAGTATTCGAGAATAATAATATCGATCAAGATATATGTATGTACGTGTCCGTCCGTCCGTCCGTCCGTCCGTTTGTGTGTCTTGTGTAACTGGAAACAAAAGATACAATCAACAAATCGTATAAATCGAATGAAAAGTATTTATTTACAGTTGGAAATAAGGGACAAGAATAGCTTGTCACATTATATAATGATAAAGGAGCCGACTTTATCGCGCGTACTTATGGGGTAAGGTTGAAATCTTTGGTGTCACACGGCAGAATCGATAACAGGAGGGAAAGAAATTATTACAGAGGTGTGAAGTGACGAGGAGACAGATTCCGGGTTTGCGGGACTTGAGCTTAAGTCTTCGTGGGAGTCACGGTTAATTGGCAGTTTCTAACGGTTTCGGTTATCATTGAATAAATACAATGCACCCTCCTTCTTGCGAACAAATATATATTATATCGAAAATTCTAGTTGGAAAAGAAAATGTCATGTCGTTCCGAATCCAATTTAATGAAGATAAGGATGAAACTGTTGTGTTGCGTGTACACGTTGTCCCTAATGCGAATAAAGTTGCATTCAACTGTGACTCAAGTTCATGGTGGTTTTGGGGCGAAAATTATCGCGAACGCGGTATACAGTGACGACGAGCCCTACAGAAACGTAGGATATAGCGAGTACAGATCAATACTTTCCTTCTACTATGTGACCCCTCTTCTACCCCCTCCACATTCACACTGTCTCTCACCCCGATGCCGTTCTCACCCACCGCACCGTTCTGAACTCTCCTCTCTCCTCGTTTTCTCGCAACCCTCAAATTTGCCCACCGCCCTTCTCGTTCCATCCTTCCTTTTCCACCCCTTTCTTCTCTTCTTCGTTCGTTCGTTCACTCGCTCCCTCGCTCCCTCGCTCCCTCGCTCATCGTCTCCACCACACCTTTACATCCCCATCATTCTTCACGCTCGTCGCCCGTTACGTCTCGAGGATCGTGTATGCGCACATACATATTTCCCCACACTTTAATAGGGGTGTCTCTCTCGATTAACATGCCCACGCGGCGACCAAATTATGGAAAGCAACTCCATAGGATGAATGTTGTTGCCGAGATCCCTCTTCACCCGCTTGATTCGCTTCATGGGTCAGTTTTCGTGGATCCTCGAAAATGTAATCATGGATTTTTGCTTGTTCCTCGGACAACGTACCTACCGGAACTTATTTCGGTTACGTTACAGTAAAGAAAAATAGGAGGCAACAGACAAAATCTATTTACGATAGGGGCTATATTATATATCCCGTCGTAGCAACTGTCGAACGTTTACATTTCACTAAAACACATACATGCATACATACATACATACATACATACATACATAATGTATTACAGATAAAATATTTATAGCGAGAAACGCGGAGAAAGAAATATGAGAAACAACGAGATTTGACGGTTCTCCTTATACCGCATCAAATCCCCACTACGGGTCTGCTTTCGCCAGGAGCAACTAAAAATTTCTATTGTCGAACGTGTACTGATGTGAGTATAGAGTGTAATAGCGAAAACAGAGAAAGGCTGGAAATCAACGAAACCGAATATAAAGCTAAGAAAAGCAGAGGGCGATCAACTGAAAATCGTAGTCGCGACTCGATAAATCGGCTGGTCGATCAGCCAAGTGATTTCTCTCTGCTTTCAAGGCCAAATGCCACGAGCAGAGCACGCGTTACTACGTGTCTAAGGAGTAACCCGGCAGCGATTGGTAAATATCGTGCTGTTCCGTGCCCTGCCTATGCGTCACACGCGTCTTTGAAGAACCGACTTGTCTGGTTATCTGCCGTGGGGCCCCTAAAGTATACTCAAAATGCACGCCTAGCAACGGCGTTGGCTAACTTTCAATGAAACAATATAGAACTCGAGAACGACAAAACCGTATTTACTGGCTGGTCGACCAGTTTTATCGAACGGATGTCTATAGCCTATAATCAAGTACCATGACAAGATTCGGCAGAACGGTGACATTAGTTAAGGAGACGAACCCACCCTACAAAATAAGGAGACACCGATCGCGAACCGGCGATTCGACAGTACGCCACCGTCTCGATTGATTAGTCGTATTTGACGTTTCCACGACTTTTGACAGATCTGATCAAACTCGACCACGGCTTAAACTTCCTGATTTTCGGAGGACCTCACGATTATGTTTTGCAAACTGCAAATTCGAGCAAGTCGCAACCCACGAGGATCGTACCACCTCCTTTCTCTTTGTGGCCGTGCATCTCTGCTGTCTGGTTTCGTGGATTTCATTTTGGCGCAGGCCGGGTCCTTCCCCGGAAAATATCTACTCACCGTCATAACGCTCTGCTTGCTCGGCCAATTTCGCTTTATAAACGTTGTCTTCCCGTTCTGACATCTTGGATGCTTGTAGATTTCACGGGCAGACGAAAGGTTTCAGGGAAATCGCTCGAAATACTCGTTTCACCGAAATACGTACACCTCGTCGTACAGCCACTCGCAAGCTCACTGACCAAGATGGCGGCGCCCGCCAACAATCGAAAGCAGTTCCCAGTTCGCGCAGCCTCTGCAGACACTCCACTCGCCATGCGCTTCCAGTATGTATTACTACGCGTGACGTCATTCGTCGTTACTGACGTGCGCGCATGTCGGTTAAATTCTCCGAATATCCGGTATCAAACCTGTAACCATGTTACATTTTACATTTGAAATTAAAATGTCAGATAATATTTTCAGTCATTCACTCGTGGTAACACTAGTTAAAATTGGAAGAAACAAATTTAATTACTTGAGAATAATGTCATTTTGAATTTCATACCATATTAGTTATCAGTTTCAAGTACCGATGAGAACGTAATGAGTTCAAGCGATTCCTGCCAGCATTTCAAATTCACCTTCGTATTATCACTAATACAATTATTTTTAATGTTTAATTCGTATTAAGAAATAAAATAACGTAACTTTTTTATACCGATGAAATAAAAACGAAAGAAATTAATTTGTTGGAAGTAATACTTTAAGCGTCAGTAGAAAAGCATTCGAGTCTGTGACTGTAAAAATATTGTAACTATATTGTAAAATATAGTACAATGTATGTATATATATTATACATATATATATACGTTTCACGCGTACGTCATAAGATCGATGACGCACGGTTACATTCCCGAAACAAGATGTTAAAAACGAGTAACGTGGACCCAAAGGAAGAAACTTCCTCGATAAAGTTGTGATTTTTCATCAACAATCGATTCAATAAATTTTTTAGAATGGGAATTATTTGTGTCTAATTAATTAACCCATTGAGATTCGAAAACAGACTAAAAATCATTTATATGGCAATCAAAAACCGATGGGGGTAATAAAATATTGGATGATGCATGTTATCCGTTCACGATCGTCCGTTTTAATTTGTTACAATAAATCAATATAATTTGTTCGACGGAACAAAAGGCTATGATTATTTATCGATCGTAAAAATAACTGCACCATTTGTGCAATCAACGGGTGTTACACAGGAGAAGCCATAAGGCAAATATATGAATGCTATAAACATATTTTCGTTTTTTTTGTAGCGAAGCATTTGTATTTTATCGTTCCACACATAGCTAATGTACAAGCGCTACTTAATCCAAACGTTCGTTTCTATCTGTTTTATCATATTTTCTTTAAATTATTTTCTTTATAATTAATTTGTATTTATATGTATGTATACAGATATATCTGCTTATTATCAACTATTAAAATTATAATACAGCCAAATACTTAATTGTAACAATCATAGTAAACATTGGTTGCAAGATAGATGTTCCGTTCAATATCGTCTTCTACAGACCGGAATAATGTAACTGTCAATATACAAACACTATGAACGGAACAGCTGTACGATGTGCTCACAAGAGGGATATACAATGGGTTTTATTAATTATCATATGTACATATATTGGCATACATACATACGTACACACATACATACATACATGCGTGCATACAAGCGTCCATACACACGCACACACACACACGCACGCACGCACACACACACACATATCTATCTATCTACTTACATGCATACACACAGCATACAAACATACATACATACATACATACATTAGTGCGTGCACGCACGCACGCACGCAAATAATTTGCGTTCAATCGCGCAATTTGTACCTCTATATGGATGTGTGCGCGTCTATATAGTGTAGATTCAAGAGAAAAAAAAAGGAACAACTTATTACAACTTATGAGCTCTCTGAGTGCAACTCTGAATTCTCTTTATACTCTTCTTGTATGAATACCCAACATATTTTATAACATTAACTCGACGGAGTGTATTAGTACTTAGGCTAGTATAGGCAACCAGCCTAGCTTCGTGGAACATTTAATATGTCTGCACGAAAATTTGCAGAAATTTGGAAACGTATCCATGTACCATAATCTGTTTCTTTATTTTCATGGTCACGCGTTTCAGTTACCGAACTCGCCTCGTTGTTATAAACAAGTTATATCCAAAGGAACATTTCTTCAAAGCGGTTACAGATTGTCGCCAGTAGTGTAACGAATGCTGCCTCTTATCCAATCCTTTTTTTTCGTGTGAGGGTTAAGACGTGGCAGTCGAGTGAACAGTCTGGCCGCACCACACCGTGGTGCCACAAAACCGTGTTACCTACTATATCTACTTTTAAATAATTCAATAAGGCGTTTCAGCACATTCAATGCAATTACTTTTTACTTCTTCTGGTTTGTATTTAGCAATACTTAAACCTTTCTGTATTTCATTGATTTTCAATTCGTTTATGTAATCCCAGCATCGCGTCAAACATCAAAAACACATTTTTGTAGTATATGTAAGTACTTTCCGCGATGGAAACGTAAAAACCATTCTGTCAGAAAGTTCTAACAATTCCTCAAAGTTGGTCTTTACGATCGATCTCGTTAGAACTTACAGTCAGTTCCATTTCTAAAAAAAATCAGTTATGTTTAAATTCATTTGGAACAAATTAGGAATACTGTAGGTAGTATTAAGAGGTTTCTTGCATTTGATTCGAACTCTTGGTTCACTGTGGTTTCAGTCACCACACTAATGCTTTCATCATAAAAATCATCAATCTTATTGCTATCTGAGTTTTAAACCAAAGTAACAAAATCTAACGGAACTTATTCTCTTGATAGTAGTATCTGGATTTTTTTTGTGAATGTATTATTATTTTGTGTGTGTGTGTGTGTGTGTGTGTGTGTGTGTGTGTGTGTGTGTGTGTGTGTGTGTGTGCGCGCGCGCGCGTGTATGTATGATCAGCCTCGTGGCAAAAACAGAAAATTTTTGGAGTCTATACAAAAGGTTATATGCAAAAGCATTATTTGGGCCTTGTGGATTCATTACAATGATGGTTGTTTAGAAAAGTGGATGAATGAGAGGGATGCAGTGGTGATATAGACAGAAAAACGTGTGAAACAACGGAGGCAAGATATACTACAAAACGCTCATCTGATGTATCAAAATGCCGACATTTGATGAGTTCCATGGAAGAAGTAATGACTGTACCGTAACCCCTAGCAACCCCACTATCGCGTCAGCATTTCTCAGAAACAATAATCTCCACGAAAGTGATTTCTAATATCAACTATTTTCACTTTAAACAAATCCAAACATTTCCGTACTGTATATTGGCGGTCACATCATTGATTGATATAATTATATTATAAGCTAAAATATGTTTGGACACCGTGACCAATCACCTTTAGTTTTACATTCCCAATATTCGCCACCGTACACATAACATAGACTGTTTGTGTACGGATCCTGCTCTTTTTTGAACCACAGCGGTTCATAAGTTTCGTACGGTAAACCTGGGAAATCAAATCTTTTAATGATATCTATTTTCAAGCTGACACTAAAGTACATTGTTACAAAAAGTATCGAATGATACCTTGAGCAGTTGCTTTTTCAACATCGTGTTCCCGAGAGCGTCGAGCAGCCCTCTGCTTTTCCTCTAATCGAAGTTTTTCTGCGTTTGCTTCGTCCCATTGGCCGTTTTCCATCAATCTCTGATCAGGTCTAAATCGAGAATCGGTAGGAGCTATGCCATCTTCCGGTTCGTTAAGTTGACAAGCTAATTCCGTGAAATTATAATACTTTTCACAATCTTCACTGCAAAATTAATTTGATTGATTCATTCAAATACGAAATATCCAGCATTGAAAACTATTCGGTATAAACCGTTATTTTATTAAAACTTACGGTGGCATACGACGCTTCCAAGCAAGTATGTAAGGACCTGTTTTATACACTGGATTGTCTGGTGTACCAGACGTACTAATCACAGGAGCAATTTCTATTTTTGAGTCCCATGTGCCTTGCACTACCCATTTTACTTCATTATTTGAATTCATAACTATCCCCTTTACTTTACGTTGACTATCCCGCGAGAAGTACGAATACGGCGTATACTTCAAATGGCACTTTATACCTTCTTTGTGATTGATAATATCTGTATCGCCGCTTTGATCGACCCACAATTTTCCTACTATAATATTGTGTACAGTAGTTGTGACTTTCCGCCACGTATAATGTTGCATACCACCCTCCATTTCAAGGTGAGCAGTTCCCAATGGTATTACCTACAGTAACGTGCAATCGGATTGAATATTATAAATTTTATCGCATTAATTCACAATACCGTGAAACTTACTTGAAGATATTTTCCACGGAACTTAGATGCCATGGTAAATTCTTGCCAACAACGCCACTTTCTGCCTTCGCAATGTTGTGCTAACATAGGAGGGTGATGAGATACTTGCTCTGAAATTGCTCTCCAGCCTAAATCTTCGACGCGATCACATTCATACGTTTCACCTAACAATGGATTGAAAGGTTTGCCTGTTCTGCTAGCAGTTGTGGAATAGCTGGATATAGTAAATGCAGCCACATAAGCCATTTGCTCGTAGCTATCTGTACACTCTGCTGCCCTATTTTAAATTAAAACAAATATAATATTTCTTTCACCGAAAATATTACCTCTATATACAACAATTACTGTTGGTGGAACCGAAATAATGAGGTCGTAAAATTAGTCTAATAGTCGTTTAACGCTCTAATTTATGACTTAATAGTATATTAGATTTCGGTTCTACCAATAGTATATAAATATTACAATTAGATATACCTGTCAAGAATATCTGCATATTCATAATCTTCAGTAAGCCGTTGAAGCATACTAAGTGGCTCAGAGAAATTAACCGGCATTGGAATTTTCGATAAATCTTTGCCAATACAATTTTTCATGATACTCCATAAGTTTAATGGATAATTTGGCTTCTCGGGTACTCTAGTCCTACGTTTCTTTTTAGAACCTGTCACCCCGGTGCTGCCACTGCTGCCATTGTTGGTTTGCCAATTTGTCTGACATAAGGCACCAAATATAATAAGTACTTTTTGTTCCAATAAATTCAGGATGTACAGAATAAGTCACCTAAGACTTGAGTATACTAAAAACAGACTGGCCTCTGATTCACTTGTGACTTGTTCTGTTTACATACTTTTTATCGTACATAATCAAGTGTGAAGCTACTGTCTACTTACATTATCCAGAGTGTCAGTAGTTTCAGCAGTGGTAGGAGTTTGTACTACTGTAGAATTGGTCACAATAAGAAAGGAATTTGCACCAGTGTTTTCTGACAGAGGCAATGGTGTTTGATCTCCTTCAGAACTAGAGCCATCATCACTACCCTGAGAATCAGTCCGATCTCTAGAATTGCTTGTAGCTACACCTGGAATACTTAAGGTAAAAGTGTCCGATTCTTGGGCATCATAGAACTCAGCGTTATCCTCCTCGTCCTCAGATGGAGAAGTTGTAACTGTTGTATCTGTAACAGTCATCCAAATGCTGTTTACTTGGAACCACTGTATAATTAGATCACAAACACTATAGACATAATTTTTGCAAATATATAGCGTGGTCACAAATTACCACATTTAACAGTGGTACCAATTGATGTGGCTGCATTCAGGATCTTGTGTATGTAGCTTGCGATTGTATAGTATCAAGCAATCATAACTGTAGTCCCTTTACTAACTGTAAATTCTGTTTAATGTTTGTAATATTTGAAAAAATTTTAACTTTTTGTAGACTGCTGTCAACAATAAAAAACAGTCAACTGCATTTTGGATCTGAATTAACATTGTACGACAACTAAACCGCACTCGGGCTTTTTATCTCACTCTTTATTTCTTAAATCGCTACTCTGACACCCGAAAAATATTTACTTTACCGCCGGACTGACTTTACGACCAAATTTTATATCTCTGCAAGGCTATACCACTGCCGCGCGCACACGCACGTACGTACCACACACACACACCCCTATATTATATGTGCAAGGTTAATGAAATTAAAGCTAATCAGCGAAAAGTTATTCAATCACAACATTGCAGAAACTGTAAAATTCAAAATGGAGAAAACCTTCACGTGCTCAGAGCTGCTTTGCCCGTTCAGACCAAGGAGAAAACATATAGATATACAAAAACACAAAAAGCGTTGTAAAACTATTGATACCGTTACGCAATAAAAAGATAAGTTTCGCGTCAGTATGGAAATATAATATAAAGGGACAAAAACTACTCGAATAAAATTTCGAATTGATTCTTTACAAGTAGATTGTTCACAACGTTCCCATTTCTAACCAATTAAATGCTGCGTGATAATGACAACTACTGTCATTAAATCGTGCAGACCTACTATCCTCCCCCCCCCCAATCTCGGTACACACCTGCAGTACTAGTCAAAAAGTAACGAATCACTAAAGATGCATTATACACACACATATATATTTTCTTTCACAGGACAACTATAGTGTACCACGCATCAGGTTATGTGCCTGTGTCCCGAGATCGGTTTGGTGGCTCTTATGTATTTTGGACCTTTGCTTAAGACTTGATTGAAGCTGCGGACCGTTATGGGACGATGACAAGACAAGACTTCTTCCCCTTCGTTCTATCTAAACAATCAGTTTAACATCTTCACTGGATCCCCCTTTTCTCTCTCCCTTCCCCTCTCTTTCTTTCTCGAATATGATCCGAGAGAATGTCAACAGTCAATCCGAAATTTATCACATTGAATTTATCACGGTGGAGCCACGGAAGAGAATCGTGTCAAAAAAAAAGGCAGACGAAACAGCGATTTGCAAGGCCATCTGAGCCTGATTAAGCGCCAAGCTTGAGAGAAATAAAAGCACCCCGGTTGCGTGTATATATGTACGTGCGCGCGTTGGTGTGTGCATGTGTGTGTGTGTGTGTGTGTACTGCTTAGTTCAGCAAGAGTATCATATATGCAAGTATGTCATGTACTGTGTATGTGTACGTGCGTACGTACAGAGTCCTGCATACATTACCGTAATATGCTGTAAAACATAGCGTTTGCATGCATAGATCGCGTAACTACCGTTCAGTTACGGCACCGTTCAAGTGCCTAGCAAAGCATCATGGCTGCCATCTGGTTAGAGAGAACGATAAGCCACGGAAAGGCGCGAAACTTGAAATGCAGATACCGTGACATAACGCGCGGTAACTGGTCTCTCGTGTGAATAATATGTAGCTTTGTACTATTATGTAATATATACGGCACTCCGTCACTCATGAATTCTCCAGCAAACTAATTAATGGCAAACGTACACACGTGATGATGTATTTCACAGATATTTTCTAGGCCATTGATGCAGAGTTAATACTTAGAGACAGAACCAGCATCAACACAGTGTGGACAATGAACAAGTGTTTAAGTATGTCTTTCCTCAGCATTACCGTACACAATAGCTCATTACTTTGCATCAGTATACTAATTACAGTACTACCATTCGTATTAAAAGAGAAAAGAACAGAAATGAAATTACGCGAAGGTCTGTGCCCCCCTGCCGGAACCGCCGAAGGGATTGCATGCTGTGCAGCTTCTTCCAGATGAGAGTGCTGCCTTGCCAGCTGTTCAACCATTTTTTCTATCCGCACCTTCTGATCACGTTCATGTTGCAGCATCTTCTTCCACTTCGGTTCTTGTTGTTGCGCTAGTTGCAAATACTCATTGCTTGTCTGAAACCATAATGTATTCTATTTTTTATACGCGACTGTTATATGTACCTTTGACAATCATCTGTGATAGATTAGTAAATTTTGCAATGTATCATGTATAAGACTTAATAGTATACAAGAAATTATAAAGGATTAATAAATATTATATTGTAAGAAAAATATTGTAATTAATTCTGTACGATTCACGTGTATTGAATCTACCTTTGAATAGAGCATCTTTGTTTACGAAAGGTATTCGTAACTTTAGTCATGTTTGACACTTCTGTAACCGTATATTAATCTGGTGATACAAACATTTGTAAGTTATTATGTAGATGATAAGAAATCAGTAACCTTGTCAAGCTTTACAATGATCTATGCTACTCATCAAACGTTTAGAGGCGAAGCACTGCAAATATCTTCCATAACAAAAGGTTTACTTGTGTCCCATTTGTCAGAAATGTTAATCTGTGTACTAGTTTCAACGGAGGTCTATCACTTACATTAACCATTGCACCGGCCGCAATACGAAAGAGTGCGGCTCGTTCGCTGACCGTTTTTATTTTTGCCGCTAATTCCGGTGTCGGAGGTTCAAGGGCTTCAAGCTCATTCAAAGCTCGTTGAAGCATCGCACCTTTCTTGTTGATTAAATCATTACAAGCCTGCAAGTCTTCCAAGCGTTGGGACAGATCCTTTATCACTGAAACTTGCTCTGGCTTCTGATTATCATTGTCCTGGAACTCCTCCTCCTCTTCTTCTGGAACAAATTATACGTAATGTAATTGTTCTGCAATTCTCGCTGCTAGTTTAGAAGAAAGGTATTTTATATGTTATATATGTATAGTAGATTGAGCGTTCTAAACGGTACCGAATCATTGCATACGGTTTGAAATAATGCAAATCCCTCAGGATTCAGAAGAGGAGTGTGTAAGAATCTTTCACTCTTCACAGTACTCCAAACAGTACTGTAACTTGTACCTACAATGAAGAATAACCTACTTATGACTCAATTTCTCCAAGTATGGCTGTATTGCGCCACAACATATAGACCGGTGTAGAACATGCAAGATCAATCAAATACAAATAATAATGCATTTGTCGCTAAGTGTTTCATACAATCAAGTTGAACGTAAGTCATGTAAACATTAAAAATCCCAATAGTTCAATGTGCTACACGTTGACATTGTTATGCACAATTCAAGCGAACGCAACTCGTCGTGTAACATAAGGGTAAAATGAGTGTATATCACAAGACACGGCGACAGGAAGAGATAAATATGAACGTCATTATATTCAAGACATATTGTGTTTACTTTGTTCTCCTTTAATTATCTTGGCGACATCCTTCCACGTTATCAGTTATTAAAATATCCCTCTGCACGAGAATCAGGAGAATAAAATACGACGAAGCACTTACTTTCATAGTCGCAAAGATCATTATGAGAATTTTGAAATACTGACATATTCAGATGTTACAAGATGTTCTGTACTGTATTACAGAAACGAGAGAAACTTTAACTAGTAGACAGCGACACACACTGTTTCTTGAAGGTTGATGACCATAACTCTACTACGTCTTTTCATGAGCTACAGTTGTTGAAATAATAGCATTTTTCGATTTTTTTGTTTACACATGTCAATGTGTATGTATACATATGTATATAGCAGAAAGTGTGTCAAAGTAATAGTCGAGGGACGCAGGTTTTGCGTAAGAATTTTAAAAATCCCTCGGTTATTGGAAAACATCCCCCTGATGAATTCAATCGCTACTAAAAAAAACGAATTTGAGCTGGTTAGACCCGATGCAGATTCCTTCTCCCTAATACTGATATCCGAGTGATTAGCTCCAATAAAGACGAATGACAAAATAATGGTTTTGTTATACAGACCAGATTCCATGGCTTGAATAGCCTTGGCCTTGGCCAACTCGAGGGCCGTGACCCACTGTTGACGCTCCACTTCCGTCGCCGCCTTGATATGGAAGGTTTGCGTACCACCATTGCTCACAACGAACGTACAAGCGTCTACGGTGTGTATTAAGGCACCGTGCAAGGATATCGTGCCACGGCACGTGTGAGACATCTCGGCTGGGTTTCTAAACAGAGAAAAGAAACGCGACAGTTCCGTGGACATATTCTTAGGTCGCTGGAAAACCGTATGACACAGAGAAAGACAGACGTGAGTTTGCAACAGGCTGCTTGTCGCGTTAGCAAGCCGAAGGTTTATCCAAGCTAAAGAAAACGTTTCCAATTCGCCAGAGAAATAACGTACATATGTATGTAGGTATGTATGTATGCACATGTTACTGCGAAAGAGAGTAGATAATTGGTAGTACATCGTTGAAACTGTCGGAGACTCTATAATTATTCATTCCGTTAGACCTATTCTGCTACTTGAACAGAACACACATATAGTATGCCGATCTAGCTCACGAAAATACATTATAATATGTAACGACCAAATAAATACGACAGTTTGCACTGTATAATCTGTAACACTGTGGGGGTGTACGTATGTACATATGAATCAAGTACTCTTTCAGTCCAGTCCCATTACCACTGCTAATCGACACGCCACCGTTCTTACACGATTCACTATAAACAAGGAGAACCAAACCACAAACTCGTGAAAAGAAATTGAAAAACAGGAATAGCTGATAATTTATGGTTATGCTTATTGATCTTATTATGATAATGATCTTGTTATTATGATCAAGATATTCGTAGTCGGCGTAACGAAGGGAACAATAATCGTGGCAGTCGTGTTATTGATGAGTTTATAAATTATTATTGCATACTGTCCGCATCAAGATCCAATACTTTACAAGTTTCATTAAATTGATATACCTACATATGTATGTATGTATGTATGTATGTATGTATGTATGTATGTATGTATGTATGTATGTATGTACGAGTAATTAAATTCGATCGGTTGCAGAAATGTCGAAGGATCTCTTGGAAGGTGCGGGAATGCGGATGCGAAACGTAATAATAAACGTAAAATGTGTGAACAAATGAAATGCTCGTTCGGACGAACAGAAAGCGTGAACTTATTTACATCATTGTTATTCGATTAACAAACATTGGCCAGTGCACGGCGAGAACACGATCGGATGGAAACAACTTTGTGAAACATAATATTACTTACAGCATAAACCGGATAGATAACGAACAGAAGCATGTATGTATATGTACACTGTACACTGTGAATCGTATCGACGAAGGCCTAACATTCTGCCTGTACCGTTTAGAAATTTCGCAGATAATAGTATGTAGGTATTTCCCTTCATTTCACTTCCATTATTCTACTCTGTTAATCAAATTTCTGTATTGTTACATCTTGGTGAAACTCGGGACAATTTCGAAAGAACGATTTCAAGTACCGTTACTTTCTCGAAAAAGTATAAGTAAAATAAGTATATTGGAATTCATTAGTACCAGAAATCACCTACGTATGTATACATATGCGTGCTACATATGTATAGATATGTAGCACGTGTGTATAATTATGGCTGGGAACACATTCAACGGATCAGTTGAAGTTTTACGTTCGGTAGACCTTCGGGATACTTCCTGAACACACCAAAAAATAATGAGAAAACGAAGCAACGTCTGACGTCAGGTAAAATTAATGCAAATAGGTGCGAATTGTCTGTCCATATTAACGAAAGACCCCTCTCGTCACAACACATTTCGCCCCGAACAGTAGTGTAAGGCACATTTGCAATATGTACTAATGTCTCTCTCGTTCTGGGGGTGCGAAATGTATAGAATTTCTTTCGACAGAAAACCTTAATGTTATGTAGACTGTTTGCGTTCCCGCAAAAGACACGTGGGATCTTGTTGTTGATGAGGCAGCCAATCTTTAACATGAACATACAATGTGTATACATATGCACGCAGAATCATAAAAATATGCAAACTTCAGTTTTTTTTCTTTCTTTTTGCCTTTCCCCCTCCCCTCTCCAGTCCTTTCTTTTCTTACTATAACTGAATATTAATTCAGGAAATGAAGGTATATTAGGAGAGGTAGGATCGTTTATGAATGTTGCAATATCGATGGAGAAGGTGAATTTCTTGTAGAAAAGTTGAGTAGAAATAATTTGGAACACTGTCGATACGATATTACTAATGTGACTCTAACGCATGCGCGTGTACTTATGTACATGTAACTGTAAAATTGTAGGCAAGAATTAGAATAAATGATATATGAGAATGAAACTCCAACATCGTCTTTGTCTGTTCGATTAAGAGTTCGATTCAAAGAAGTGTCGGGATTTTGTAATTTTTTTCTATTAATTTTACTTACTCGGAGGCTCTGCCAGCCTTCCGCTTGCGTCGTGTTGATATCTTTGGCCCCCCTGTTGGTTCAGCCCTAAACAGTCCATAAAACAAATAGTCCCCGTTCACATTGTGTAATACTGTAGCAAAACGATATTTAACTTTCTTTGAATGAAAAGAAAAATTTCTCACTCCCACTCAGCACCACAGACACACGCGCGCCCGCGCCCGCGCTCGCACCCTTCGCTCTTTCTCTTGTATGCATCTTACGTGAATTTTCCCAAGGTAATGTATAATGTATCCCATCATCTGAACAAATATACATATGTATATGTTCTCTATTTCTATTCTATTAACTGGCATTCTAGGGTACTATATACATATACATACAAGATGCCCTGTAACGGATATTACAATTGAGAAAATAGTTATTCTTCATGCAAAAAACATACTTTTTCACGCGGAAAAATGCTCTTATTGCTACATATACATATGTATGTATGCATGTATACATGTATACATATCACTAGCTAACTACCGGGCATCCTGTGTATACATACCTCTCTCTTATATCATATTTGGAAACAGTAATCGTGTAATACACCCGCATTCGTGCGTTACTTGCACACAATTTTTCTGCGAGAAACCTTCGACGTTCACGTGTCAGACGTGGAAATTAAATTTCTTTTATTTCCGTTTTTTTCATTTTCAATTACAATACTGGTAAAAGCATTGTAAATTCAAATCACACACAACCGTGCCAAACGGAAAATCAAAAGAAGATTGGAAACGATTGCGTATTGTCAGGGAACGCGGATGTTCTAAATATAAAGAAATAAAACAGTGGAATTTCCTTGAACATGTGTAACGTACACATATTATTGGTCGGAATTGTCGGAAGGAACATCGTTTCTACATATGTAAGTACATATAAGTTGTATGTATGTACGATCGGCGATCGGTAACTCGATCGAGACGCCAGATCTTCCTTGTGAGAATCTACATTGTATGTACTATGGGTGTTTCGTGGCGAAAAGGAACGTAGCCGATGTTATACCTATATCTGATAGAAACGCAAAAAAAGTCCTTCTGTCGTGTTTGAAAAGAATAAAAGGAGGCAATTCATATGCAAGAAATCGTCTCTGATGCGTGTGGTGAAAAGTGTAAGCCAAAAAAAATATACATGTATATGTATATGTATACAGATGGTATATCTATATTATACATATATGTATATACACACATACGCTCGCTCGCACGCATGCATACATATCCATATATGTAGAAAAAAACTATAGTAATCACGACCGATCAGTGTTCTCAAATGCACTAGAATTTAAAGATGCACGAACCAAAATATCGCGATTTCGTATTTAAACTAAAATGGTAATATCTGTAATATGCAAACGTGATTTGATTCTCGAACAAAACTATAGTTAAATTTACTTAAAATACTTGGATAAACCGTACTGATAAAAATATCCATAGGCAAGTCTATAATGGCTACTTGTATACATGCAACTTGAAACTGTTAAACGTTTAGTACAGTATTTTAGTGATTTTATCCTTCAATACTATTTTAAATATACAGTATAAAGCTGTTTCTCCTGTTTCTTTAATGGGAAACATTACTGTACCACTAGTAACTGGTTATTCTATAAATAAACGAAAAAACAAAACTTGTACAAACAACAAGCAAATTCAAAGCACAAGTATTTTCTTTAACACAATTACAAGTATAAAATTACAGGTAAAACTTGACGGTACTATGTATTCACTTAACACATGGGCAATAAAGGTTATATGTACAGTAATCGTATCTATTTACCATTGCTATTTCTCCAGTTACAATTCAATAGCAAACTCATTTCAATGTACCATACCATAAAAGAACTCGAAAAATTTAGAATGCAATAATTTCAAGTAGAGAAAAGGAAACAGCTGTATACCGTGGTCAAACAATTTACTCTTTTAACATTAGTTGTGTTGTTGTTGACTGTGTCGAATAAAGACCAGCGGGGTTGAGGGACAATAATTGTTGCAAAACGATAGCGGAATTAATGACTATCACCGGTACCTAATACGAGCTTGCGCGGGGCTAAGAATGAGGTAATTAAAATGAAACGTACTGACACGTAGTAAACTACCTGTAATACGACAGCAGGCCATTTGACAGGACGAACCATCTTCGCTGGTAACCTTTTAAATAATTAGTCCATTTAAATAGCCATCCTTTCATCTCCTGCATGCCGTGCTGAGCCTTCGGATCTCCCATTTTACAATACGTTGCGTGCTCACACGCGTACGCGTTTCTCCTGAAATTATAATACACTCCAATATCTGCGCACACATCACCCGTGTCGTACCGCCACCATTTTGATATTCCTCGAGTCCACGAACTTGTTCACTATGAGATCGAAATTCTACTTATACACACTGGTCTGTCAGTTTGTAACAATTGGTAATAAGACAAGAAGCGATACCAATAAATCGATTTAGGAGTGTGTCTCAAGAACACAACATTCGAAGCAATTCGGAGAAACAAATATGGATCCTTCTTTTCTACGGCGTGGTGATAGCGCGCCACGTTCGTCGGTGACGGCACCTAACCTTATTAACGAGTCACCCTGTACAGGGTGTCGCAAAATACGCAACACAAGCAACTTTCTCGAGAAAAATATAGATTAAATCAAATAAATTTATTCTACAAAATTAATAAAAGTATAAAAGTATTAAAAGAGTTTTAGTTCTCAAGAACATCAGTTTACAATCAATTAAGTGATGAACAATAAATTTGAAAATCCAAAGTTCGTTCACCCCTTTATTAATCTCAAAGTTGATGTCTTTAAAAATGTATATAAATAGTATATTATCCATGTGTATATGTATATGTACTATGTACAAAGAAATTTTTTTTATTAGAAAATGTTTGGCGTTTATGTCATGTTTTGAGTCACCCTGTATAATGTTCATATTCTTACGGTTCTGACGCACTTATGCATTCAAACTTGATTATGGGTAATTTGACTAATTTGTGATTTTGCAGATTTCTCGATGTTTGTGTTCTTCCATCTTTTTTCCCCTTTTTTTTCTCGCGCGACAAACGAATACAGATATAAGATCGAGAAAAATAATAATCGATAGCTCTGATATATGTACAATGTAGAACCGTTATGGCAAAAATTTTGCATTCAATTTCTTGCATTAATCTTTCCACCAAAATAACATGTCTTTTCTGTTGACCGTAACTGACCGTAACGAATGCAAGTTTTAGTGTTTTAACATTTAACTTAACAGAAAAACACTGATTTTCATGAAAACGATAGAGATCGCACAAGGTTGCTGATTCTTGACGTTTTTCCATTGATCTGATAGGAAAGGCTATTTAGTTACATGCACGTGTTACGGCTTTAGATATGTAGACAATGACGAGCGTGAAACGTACGATAAATCTAATTGTACCTTCAATTAATACCAATGTGGATGCATTAATCGCGTCACGGAAGATTTAGCAAAATAATTACGTACTTTTTGAAACGAACACGCCAACGAAAATACGTTCGTTCTGTCATTTGCGGAAGTATACGTATAATCTGCTCACTCGAATCGTTCCGCTCGAGCGAGAGATGTCATGAAGGAAAAGCACTCCGGTACACTCTCCGATTAGATGCTTGATACTGACCATTATCTTCGAACCGAACCATACTCTTAATTTATCTGAGCAGATCGCACAACGTAGGAACAGCTCAAGTGTCTCTTTATTCTGTTGTCCAAAGGATATGTTACGAATTTCGATGTATTAATAGTTATGTAGTCAGCTCACGTGCACATAATACATATACGTGTTCCGAAGCCCAGAAACAAGATTCTAAAGGTTGGCTACATGTGTCAGTTGTGTTGGATTGAGATATCTTAATACCTATGTATCCTTTATTTCGACAAGATTCGGGAAATAAAACTACAGACTACAGACGAGATTCATACATAACACACGTGGTAAGAATAGACCTGTCACCTAATGTACGGAACTTCGTGGTCGTAGGAATCTGTATCACCGGCACCTCAAAAAGTCCATGATTTTAGTGACCTCTACCACAGACGAGATAATTGTACATACATGTATGTATGTACATTTGTACTTTATCGGTAACGTCGTGAATTGACACTAAATTGGGGTCCTAGGACCCCATAAAACTAGTCCCGAAAAAGTATTGAATGATTGAGATAAATTGTAAACTTGACTTTGTTTCGAGGTAACAGCTATATATGTATATATGGAAGTTACTGTATAAAAAACAGATGCCTATATACTACTTACCTGTTACTACATACATACTGCTTGCAAGAAGAATATACATAATTCGTGCTGACAGAAATATTATATCCCACTGCTACGAATAACGTCCGATTTGCTAAATGTATCAATGTGTAAATGTGTTTTGTGGACAAAAACAAAGCATAATATACATATACATACATATGTATGTTGTAATTTGGAAAATCTGTACGATTTAAGATTTATTCTCTTTTAGTTTCTCCATATTGTCATTTAAACACAGTATTATCAAAAATAATACATATGTATAAATGAAAATATGTACACAGCAAACCGCATACATAATAGCTTTGGCCGTCGCGTATTTTGGATCCTTTCTTGTTCGCATAGGGCATAGAGGCATTTACATATAAATAGGCACTTACTCCAACTTACTCGTTTTGCTTAATGTTTAAAGCAACAGAAGGTAGTTTGACACATTTTTAAGCGAAATAATTATCAGTATGGTGTAAAAAAATGTTTTAGGCTGGTGAAAATGAAGAACATGCATTGATATAATGCTTTCATCAAAAGGCACGCAATAATTCGTTAACAATAAGATTAATGTGTTTCGAACACCCAGTAGAGAAGCTTGACGCAGGCTGCGCCTGTCAACCAGCAGTTGACCTGTGTATAGTTGACTGTGGTATTTGACCGATCGCGCGCTAATATACGTTACTACACTTCTGCGTGTGTCCTTTTTGCACCGCTTCGCGGATTCATCGATAGTACGCGTATTTTATTCGTGTAGATGAGGTGATGAGAGAAATCCCGAAGGGCCCAAGCTTCTGATCTCCCAGGTGAGACGCGTGCATCACCGAAATATCGCGTCATGACAATCTGGGGTAAAGGGAGTAGCAACCTCTTGCCTCTTGCCTCTTGGGGGCCAGTGCCAGTGGTGGTCACGTGACCCGTCTGTTTACCAAAATGGTGACGAGCTATGTTTTACAAATGATCTTGTATAGATTCGTTTGAAGATTTGCTAGCTTACCCGCGATCGTTCTAATAAACGGGACCGAGATTACGGTGGTCGTACCGTTAACACTAATATGTTGTAGCTGAACTGTCCCAGTCACTGTTACTGTACTCAAATCGCGTTCGGTTCGGTCATGAACGATTATAGCGAAAGTTTGAAAGTGGTTGTACGAAAGTGTCTTCCGCCGCGTATAATCTCTCGGTAATTCTGAATCGTCTGCAGGAATCGTTATCCTTGCTGCGAACATTTCGAGTTCCGAGTGTGTTCTGTGACGATGCAATGACTACCACGTTAATCAGTCGATGCTTTAGAACCAATTGACCCTCAAGATAGTGCTGCTTTTTTTACTTCTCGTGTTCTGTTTATGGACCTTTCAGTTTTATTGTTTCATGTAATGTTTCCTGCAGTAATTGTTGTTGTTTGATTCTGTTGTTGACCCCAAGACCCTGTGTCATGGAATATTTTCACATTATTTTTCACAGGGGGTGACTGAAGTTTCACAAGGCCTAATTCCATCATTAACAATGTTGAATGCACAGCATTACAGGTACAGTTTATGAACTGTGTACTATGTTTGAAGACATAAAATCAACTAATGTGGATATTTATTTCTGTACAGTGATTGCAGATGATCTCTGATGTAGGTTAGTGCACTCAGGAAGCACTTTGAAATAGGACATCTAAATGTCAGAAGGTGTTCTAGAACAGCATTTGATGCTTTGAGCTGGCATTTTTAAAAATGGCCATGTATCAAGTTGACTACCAGTGGTCAGTCTATATTTACAATGATGGAGTGACCTGAGAACCATGAGGATATATAAAATTTAAATATGATTTTCAGGGCTTATACCATAATGGATTCATCTAGAATATCCACTTTCCTAATATCCATTTTATTGATAGTCTATGGCAGTTTCCGATCTTTGAATATGGAACAGGAAGCTAGGGAAAGGGAAAAAGAAAAGGAGCGTAGTAATTTATTGACTGGAATATTAAGCAATTGTAGCACAGCAAACACGGATGGTGCTAATGGAAGAGTTCAAACCTTAAACACAATGCATGCTCTTTGTCTACCTCTTGGTGCTTCCATCTCCCTGCTCATCATGTTTTTCTTTTTTGATAGCATGCAGATGCTTGTCGCAATCTGTACAGCCAGTAAGTTATAGCAAACATCATCAGACTTGTTGACAGCCATTTAAATGAAATTTACCGCATACAGCAATGACTGTTTCCTTTATTTGCAGTTGTAGCTACAGTTGCATTGGCATTCCTTTTACTGCCCATGTGTCAGTATATAATTAGACCATGCTCAGATGGGAATAAAATATCTTTTGGTGTTTGTGGAAGGTTTACAGGCGCAGAATTACTTTCATTTTCCCTAAGTGTGAGTATAGTATGCATCTGGGTTCTGACTGGGCATTGGCTACTCATGGATGCAATGGGTATGGGACTTTGTGTGGCATTCATTGCATTCATTCGATTACCTAGTCTAAAGGTATCCACCATACTGCTGACTGGACTGTTGATTTACGATGTTTTCTGGGTTTTCTTTTCATCTTACATATTCAGCACAAATGTAATGGTCAAGGTGAGTTTTATTCATAGGAAGCATTACTGCAATTTACAGTATTCTACAGTTTATAGTATACATATAATTGTCAGTATTCTTTTCTTAATAGGTAGCAACTAGATCGGCAGATAACCCAGTGAATCTTGTGGCTAGAAGGTTGCACTTAGGTGGTGTAGCAAGGGAAGCACCAAAGCTTCCTCTGCCGGGAAAGTTAGTTTTTCCGTCGATGCATCAGGCAGGACACTTTTCGATGCTTGGTCTTGGCGATGTTGTAATGCCAGGTCTCTTGCTATGTTTTGTCTTACGATACGATGCATACAAGAAGACACAATTATTACCAGGTGGTTGTGAAACCGGAGTTCCACCCCCGCGTCACATTAATCGCATTAGTTACTTTCATTGTTCCCTGATCGGTTACTTTCTGGGATTACTTACTGCTACTGTAAGCTCTGAAGTGTTTAAAGCTGCGCAACCTGCCTTATTGTACCTTGTGCCCTTCACCTTGTTGCCACTACTTACAATGGCATATCTAAAGGTATTTTCAGTTAACAATCTTTACTTTCATTCTACAAATATATGTTGAATTATGTAACATGACATTTCAGGGTGATTTACGTCGAATGTGGAGTGAACCATTCATATCTCAACAACCTTCTAAACACATGGAAGTTTGACAAGAGTGATGGGTTTGTGTATATTACACATTATGGGGAGAAAACTGTTTGTACGGATGCTGTTGTCATTTATCATTATGTTCTTACTTTTATCAATGTCATTTAATGTAAGTAATTCTTTATTTTTATGCGCAATACACATCTTTTTATGCTGCGATGCAAATCACAGTATCGTGTTAAAAGAACCATACGAATGATTTGCGGTGTAACGGAAGGTTTAACGTATTTTCACATTTTTTTATTGTGTCTTTGAAAAATGCAATATTTAGTAGTGGAAAGATGAAACAGTTTTCAAAAATATTTACAGTACCAGCTATTACGAATACAGTGTTAGGATTCTTTTGTGTCTTAAATTCAAGAGTGTGTAATGAAATGGTCTATATCTAGTAGACAAAGTATATTATATCAGTTATTGTCTCACAATTTTAATAAGTATACTAAAATGTGTCGCGAATTTCGCGTAAGCATATGAATTTCATTTTCTTTAAAGACGTACAATGAGAATACCGTACAATGTTTTTTTTCTTCTTTGAACGGTTTAAAATACATCGTTTCTTTTCCTTTTTTCTACATCGAACTAATAATGTGTTTACATATTATAATGATTTAACTCTAACTCCATTATAAATGTGTGTGATACTCTATGCAGAAAGTTTCTTTTTAATTTATTATTCTATGGATATCAGAATAATTGTATGTCACATGTAGTTATGAATAGGGTAATTTGATAATAATTCAAAGATTTCCATGAAACTCTAGTGAATGTATGTGTGTAGGTTGTGACTTTCTTTTATTTGGGGCTAGTATCGAACAAAGCATCGTTTATGCAAATTTGTATATAAACTTTCGTTTTATATAAATTTAAGAGTTAAAATTTACAGTTTGTTATTAGAATTAAACAGCAAGCGTTTCAACTGGCCAAACGTCGTGTTAACACAGCGTATGGCATGAACAAAGTAATTGATAATACAATCTTAGAAAAGGTGAAAGTGGAAGTTGCAGAACTTTGGTCATAAAAGAGGAATGAACATGAAATGCATACGTATTTACGTCTTGATTATTAAGAACTATTTCGTGATAAGAAGAGGGTTTATTATTGCAATATAAATTTTCTTAACTGAGCTCTTGCTATGGATAGGCTATCGGAAAGACTTTGTATGTTTATTTAAAAACAAGACTGAAAATAATACTACATGAAAGCCAATTTATTACAAGGTCTCTCAAAAACAATCAATTTCTTTTGTTCCACTTTTTTTGTATCATTTTATACAATTATACCTAGATCGATAGAAGATAGTATATGATGTAATTAATATTATGCAATGTGACACAAGTGAATAACGATTGCTTTCATAACATTTATATGATTTGCAGTAGATTACGAGGAAATTATTTCTTTAGTACTAATTCTAAAAGCTATGAGAAAATTATATGTGTCTCGGAACTTTACTCTCTGAATATATTTTACAGATAAGAATATTTTTAGAACATTTAGTACGTTTCTTGATGTAGTAATCTGTTTTTCCATTTCAGAATGGTACATGTGTAGTGGTATATATTAGAAACGATACAAATTTTTGGGTGACACACACACACACACACGCTCGCGCGCGCACACACACACAGTATCATTTTTTAAAGTAATCTTACTTGTACATTGTATATGTCAACTCAGAAAGTGAAATTTCAAACGGTAGAACATGGGAGAACAGATTTTAAACTTTTAATCTCGTTTGATGAGAAAATATTTGTAATTCGTTCGATATAAGTATTTTATTTTTATTCGGTCACGCTACTTGAACAATGGTCAAGTAGTATTATATTATACAAAAACTAATTATCTCAGACCATCTAAAAGATTTATTTATACACATATATTTTTTTACTTACGTTAACAAAGGTCAACCTATTTGTATGAACTATTCATATACATACATACATACATACATACATACATACATACATATATCCATATAAGAATAAAATACTCTTTTTGATACAGTTTAATTAGTTTTTGTATAAAGCTGTTATTCTTCCCTATATTCATTTACCTGTCCATAGCACAAGCAGTTTGCTCTCTCGTTAATTATACGCCCTATACAGGAATTTTTTGAAGAGTAAAGGGAATAATATGTATTTCACTTATAAGATAAGGACGCACGTGATGAAATTAATATATTTTAACTACATACTTCCGTTACAAAAACAAAAGACTTGATGACCCTAGACATAGGTGAACCTCACAAAGGTTTTTCTAGATGTCTTAGAAAACTTACAAACTTTAGTTCATTGTAAAGATGTTGACTTCGAAGAAATCAACGTACATTACGACGATACAGGGTTCGTTCTTCTCTGATGTACGTTTGAACTTTCATTTCTCCTTCCAATGTACATACTATTATTAGACTTTATGTATACATTTATTTAGTAGTGTGGAAATACGCGCCAGCCAGCCCTGTTGTAAGCCTGTGACCGAATGTTCAATTGATCGTATGAAAATGACAAATCAATTTCTTTAAATTTAAATTAAGTCGAGCGTATAAATCGAAAGAGCCACATGATTAGATTAGATATTGTGCAATATAAAATACTTTTCAGTAGTCTCGTTGTTACAGAAAAGTCTGTAAAACACTCTTCTTTTTTAAGAAACTATGCCCTTGCTTTAATTGCAATTCTTCCTTTGATTCGTATAATTTTTTTGTACAGACAGAATTTAAAGCATAGTAATGTAGGAAATATTATAAGATTATAAGATTATAACTTAGTTTATGGTGAAAATGAAAGATGGATCGATGAAATTATATGTATTTTCCCTCTTTATAGATTAAGTAACGAGTCACATTTTAATTAAGAAGAGAGTCTTTAAGTCTGAAAAAGGAATATTTATTTGACTAGGATAACAAATTCTGGAATGAAAGCATGTACATAAAAAGAAAAAGAAAAAAAAGCACTGAATACTTGACTGTCCTTCAGTTTTTCCACAAACTAAGTGACAAAATAAAAAATTCGTTAGATATAGCGGTACGGCGTACGATAAAAATAAAGCAAACAGGAAATACGTTTGAAGAATAATTGGGAATTAAGTCGTAAATAGAATATAATTAATTGCTAAATAATATAGCTAATACACTAAGAGCACTTTGCTTGTACTGTTGCAATTCTTGACTTGCATGTGTACAGCTATGTACATTTTTATATATATACATATGTAATAGACTTATATACATACATACATACATACATATATACATACATACATACACACACACACACACACACACACACACACACAATAGAACATGATCTTTTTCGCATGGTCGTGTTAAAAAAAGTAAAGTTATTGAATAAACTTAATGTGTTCTTTTTCCATCATTGTTTCATGTATACGTGTATAAATACTTTTAAGTACAATGTTTAGCGTTCTAATGAGTACAATACTTTAACAGGAGTAAATGATGATGTATATAGTCTGCTACATATTTTAGGAAACGATACCATTGTATACATATTTATTCAGTACACAATTGATAATTATGTTGTTAATGTAATCCGAAAGATGGCAATTTCTTACAGAACCTGTAGTTACTGTACAAGTCTGTGATCACACGCTGCTCTGTCCCATTGTGACGTTATCTAAATTCCTTTTTATGCTCTCTAATTCGTTCATATCAGTCACAGAAGATTCGCACTTATACACGACCAGTGAATGATAGAAGTGAACAGCAAACGCTATGAACACTATGAGGACTGGAATCACTATGATAGTACTGGCAGTCGCGGCTGTGAAAGAGTAATCCCAGAACTTGACCCAGCACAGTATAGCTACTTCGACTAGAAACAGAAACAGACCTAGCACTGTAGAGAATGCCCAAGCTAGTTCTATAAAACCACGCATTCTTTCGTGTGGAGATTCCGTTACCAGTCGTGATACCTGAAGTTTACTGATGGCCTCGATATTGGGTAATAAATACGTGCTTATCATTAAAGCAAAGATGTGTACTGATACTAGGACGGTTGTGCACACAGCGAACATCACAAACAGCCATTCTGGTACCGCGGTGGGCTCGTTTATTTGTAGTTCTACCATAGCCACCTGAAATTTGAAAGAAACTAGAGTAAGCTGTGAAACTCCACTAACACCCTAATACGCAACAGTCGGAAGAAACAATACAAATGCCATAATATACATATGTATATTCTTTAGATGTTAAATCTTTCAGAATTTCCTGGCAAACTGTAAATCGTAATTCAAGCGCCATTCATCAGATATTCGACAACAAGATTGTATTAGCGTCAGCACAAGATTTATCGTTAAAGAAAGTGATGTTTGTCTTATATAATCACAGATGAGGCTGAAGATTACACGGAATTGTCGTCCACGCTTGTCTGTTTAATGATTTTCAGGAAACGTTGTGTAATCACCAGTGGATTTTCTGATTATACAAACATAGATTTCTTGGAAAATTAAATCTGTAAAGAATTTTGCGACTGTGACCGCTTCAGATTTATGCCGTCGTAAATTTTTTCTCAGACACCTTGTGCACCTTGTTATACCATTGGTATGTATTTTATAATTGTTTCATTGTTATATGTACATATATTATGAAAGAGTACATACTGATTCAACGTTGATCATCAGCATGGTACCTACATAATTTGTACCACGATGATGTTGTTATTCGTAGTATACGATGTTTGAACGCAAGACTACTGTCACAGCAATGCGGTATACATATAATACTACATATACAGCAGTTGTCCATTGGACATTCCGAAGAATTTGTTCATAGAATGAATACAAGTTTTCCGAAGACAGTAGATATTTACCATTGCAAATCCACTTAATAGTTCCGATGTTGTTGCAGTTGCTTTTAGTTTGGCTCTACTCATGTGGAGTCTTCTCCATGACAGACCTTCAGGACCATCTTGCTCCTCTGTATGTTGGGAAGAAGGTGTTGGCGGTTTCTGGGATCCTACACACACACAGCAGCATGTGTATGGCATATTATTTGCTGAGATATGATTGTTTAAATGGGAGCTTGAAAACGGAAGGCTGGTCATTGATCTCATGTCTAAGGCTACATAACGATTATGCCTGTTCCTAGGCGATAGAACCAATTCACTTTGAGAAGGAGACAAGCCGGTTTTGGAATTGTAAGAGGAATAATTTGTATCACTCGTCGGAGCCTGTTTGGGTAAATAGGCTATAGAAGTCGGTCTCGTTCTCTGTATGCCGTGGGACAACTGAGTAAGATCAATCTGTGTAAACTTATTCGCTTTTCCTGCTATTTCCTCGGTACTCCTGTGCATGTAGATGGTATTACGTCTGCACTGCGTCTCGTTCGTTTCTCTGTCATCATGATTGAGAACATTGTTCCCATTTAAAGTATCATCTTCGGTGAAGTTATCGTTTGACATAATTATGCCCTCTTACGAATCTTATAATTCGAATAATGCACGTTATATTGTAATTCAGAACGCCGACGTGTCCGTTGTCAGGTCTTTCTCTACGTCAACGATGCTTCCAACTGCCGCATGAAGAGTTAAAGAATCGTGGCACGGTTTTCACGATCGTTCAATGTTATCATTGTTTCCTTTCTAACAGATTGAGTCAGTGCAGCCACACGTTTACACAATCACCGGTGCGATTACCATACGTTTAAGTTCTGCCGCTCTGTTCCATGCCTTCTGCTTCATTGCTTCGAAAGTGTTCGACACTCTTGGTCCTTATTAAAGAAAAGTAAATTAAATTAAATTTTAATTAAATTAAATTAAACCAGTGCCAAGAAGTGCCGTATTTCTCAGGATGTCATTTAAAAGCACCATAAGTGTGCGAGGAACGACGCATCTTCAATGTAAACTGTCCCGGACGGGAACGAGTACTACTGCAGACCTCTGCGATAGAACACTGACCGAAGGCTGGCAAGGCATCGCCGAGGAACGCACATGACGTACCCGAGTGAATCATAACAATAGTATTAATTGCCACCGAGGCATATCGGCTACATAATAACCGACTGTGTGGCCTTAACGTACATGTGCGACTGCCGCCGGTTCATACTGTGTGTTCCCACATGCCTCTCCTCTCTTCTCGCGCGTTTACCGCGAGATGCGACTGCGGCCAATGACGCTTGTTTTCTTGACTATGAACAGGAAAAAGAAGACAAGAACATCACGGTGAACATATCTGGCCAGTTATAACAATGTAATTCATTTATGATCAGAACGGAAACCTCCATCGAGCGATTACTTGTTGACGATTACGTTTCATTTTTTCCAGATGATGCATGTAAATTCAATGAAGAATATGTCCAAGTTGATGAATGTTGCCGCCGTTTTGGATACTTGATGACCTGGTTAACTTGTATATCATCACCTTTCGAATGTATTTGAATTTGTCTGACACGTGGATGTAGATTGCATTCATTAACGAATACCGTTTCTTGGTCTCCAAGGCTAAGCAATTCGGAATAAATAGAATTTCAGTTATGTAACTTCCATCAGGAAATTTAGTATGAAAGATCGCCGGTTAAAAAATAGTCAGATTAAAGTAAGTAGAATTTAAGTTCAATGTGTTCCAGTGGTTGTAAATAGCTTCTCTGGTATCAAACAATGGAGACGCGCGCATCGTGTTTGCGACTGATATCCTTGCGTGTCTGCATGTAGATAAACGATTCGTGAATTGCTGTTGGAAACCCCATTTACAATCGTAACCATACGCCGGAAAACGAGAGATACCATTATTTATGAAAGATTGGCCATCTTGATCACGATCGTAATAGTGTCGCCACAATTCATTTTGCCAGGTTTAGCGTGTTCTACAAAAAATAAAATTGTTTGTAATTTCACTGTATTAATCAGCTCCTGCTTCAACCGAAAAACAAGTTTCCCGTATTACAGTTTAGCTACTTTTAGCGAATATTAAAATTTGCCAACCGTGAATACGTTTAAGTATTTTTTCTCCTTTGTCTTCTGTGCAGAGGACGAATGACGGGACAGGTTCCAAGCAGCCGTGTGAATGTGTGTCATCGATGATTTATAGGAAAAATTTTATCTCTCAGCAACTTATTTGCATATACATATGTACTGGTCAGACATTAAGTACACAGTGGGAATTGTATGGACTGAACTTTAAAGAACTGCCAGAAATGTCTTCATTCTTGTTTGGAAAATTGATTCCTAATACTTCCGAGCAACGTGCTATAATCTGTTCGTGAACATTTTCAAATGATGTTGCTACAAATGAACGTTTGAAACGTTGTTTTGAACTTTCATTCGTTCCAGTCGGCTAGATGTTTTAAACGCATACATATCTCTGTACACTCTTACACATAATAAATAAATACACGTATATGATCGTTTAGCTTACTTTGACTGATTTTATACAAATACTGTTGTAAATTGTACACGTTCCCATGATTACATAAACAAGAAATGATCAGAGTAAAACAATAAAATGTTTAAAGTTAAAATATTTATAGTGTATAGTGGGAAATAATTAAGTTACTGTTGTATTCTATATGTAAGCAGTATTTAAGACAGTTATTATTAAATTTATATAAAAACTATTGTATTTAAATTCTATACTTATTTCCCCACAATTAATGAAATAAAAAATAGTGAAGTGATAATGCAACCTCCTCGTTTATTCTGTGTTCCCACACTAAGCCCCGAAAAACAGCAGAGTTCGCGACCGAAGCGTGGAATCACGGAAATTATTTTATCCTTGTCGCACATACGGCGTCCGTATATCGCCCTCTTCCTCTGATACCGCTTCAGTCATCATGGTTTCATAGTATGTATCAGGAGATTATCAAACGGTTTTGAAAGTTGGTGGCACGCGGAATTCTATCTCTATCCTGCTTCCACAGTAGGGTGTTCCTTCTCCCACGGACCACTTGCAACCTCGGTTATTCTGTGTTCTTAATATCAGGGGACGAAAACAGCAGAGTTCGCGGCTGAAACGAGGAATCTCGGAATATTGTCTATCCTTGTCGCACGTTCGGCATCCGCATATCGCCCTCTTTCTCTAATACCTCTTCGGTCATCATGCTTTCATAGTACGTACCAGGAGATTATGAAACCGTTTTCATAGTTGTGGCACGCGAAATCCTATCTCTACCCTGCTTGCACAGTTTTTGCTCCTTGTCGTACGCATTACGATGCCCTGAAATGCCCTGAAATGCCCTGAATAGTTCCGGAACACTTGAAGTTATTATTACTCAAAACTCGATAAAAGTTCATTCTTGATTCTCCAATCAGAAAGAAACGTCAGAAGAACAGTAAGAATGTAGTAAATCTTTAAATACTGGCTACTTTGTCTAAGTGTACATTCCTTTACCTTTCACCTATTTATTCAAGAGAAGGGTTTAAATACTGATAAGACACATGTAAGTGACTGTTTCACTGTACATAATTTTATTGGACAATACATATGTACACAACAGTATTTGAGGTTTCTGTTGGAATTTCTTGAATGAGGCAGTTAAGTTAATTTATTATTCTGTATGTAAAGTTTGAGCGAAATGACATGACAGTCTAAAACCAGACCTGACGCGGCTGCGATTAATTGCCGCAGACAGCGTTGTAGGGACAACTTTCGTCTTCCTTTGTGATTGAGATGACACCGATAACACCAAGAAATTATCACATTCCCAGCACACACACCACCCTGTTACAAGCCATTGAATTTAACAGGTGGCGCCATCTGTAGAAGAAAGCTCAAACTGGTAGACAAACTGGTTTCCTGCGAGATGGCACTACTTTTAATTTTTCGCGGTACGTTCGAAATGCTTAAGGATTTTTTTTTTCGACGTTTGCAGTCGCCAAAGTTCTGGATTTGAAGCTTAAAAAACGTAGATCAATGCCCTTTCATCGATAATAATAATAATTTGTCATAACATTGTCAGTGATACAGCCGTGATTAATTGCTATTTTAACAATGAGCTTTGTTTGACTGGTCTGGTTTTAGTCGCACCGTTTCGCCGTTAGATGGTTATAGTGTTTCTATACCCGTCGACAGACTATTTTTTCAAAAATCCATAAAACGCAATAATTATGTACATATTGGGTTTTGCGGTGTGCATTCGACGCACTGGATCACGAGGAATAAATTGAAATCAAAGGCATTAATTTTATGCGGCTAGTTGCCGAGGTATTTGAATTTTTGAAATTTCATCTTGTTATCGAGCGATATTCATTTTTCGAATAAATATTTAATTATTCTACGATTCTCGGCGGATTTTGGCAAATTATAATTTATTGAAATTTTCTCAATAAACAAATTGCTCTCCTTAGAATGTACTTCTTATTACGAATTACATAGACAAATTTCTTGCATTTCACCGGGTTTGTGTCGCCAACTGAAAATGAGAATGAGAATGAGAATGAGAATGAGAATGAGAATGAGAATGAGAATGAGAATGAGAATGAGAATGAGAATGAGAATGAGAATGAGAATGAGATCGAGAATGAGAATGAGATCGAGAATGAGAATGAGACAGGGATTCAACCGGATTCAGCTATGTAATTGTAAATACATACTGGCTAAACACATAGTTATTAGCAATGCGTGGACGAAGGTACATAATATACATATGTATATGGATGCAAGGAATCGTAAACGAAGAATTTAACACGAAGGAAATAATTTGTTGTTTATGAGAAACAGAATGGACTGGAAAGAGAAACTGGAACAGAAATTCGTTACTTCGATGCCTCTCTTAGTAACGCACGAAGCTAGTCTTTTCATTATTCTACTATCCCTGTTTCTCCTATGGTTTACTTGAATTTTTCTCGCTCGCGAATTCGTGTTAGGGGCAACATTTGAGACTAAATGACCTTTACAATAAAAGGGAATGGTTTATTTGAACGGGAAGCCAGACGACGCTTAAATCTACAGACGAAACTCGATCACTGGTGCCCAAGCACTCGATGGGTACACTGAGTGGCTGATATTAAGCTAATTAGTGGATGCAGCTAGGCGTGTAATACGTCGGTGTACTGGGCCTCTCTAGATTCTCGGTGGTACGGGTCTCCTCGGTGAATCGATATTTCTAATATCGTCCTGGGGAATGCAATCACTCTGCTTGTTGCACGCACAATCGCAGTGTTACGCAACAAGACATACATATGTAAGTACATATAAGTATACGGAATGGGAAGATTGAGAGAAGTTAGGTTTCGCGTGGTTGGTCCGCGTCGAGTCATATAAATGCAGATGTTTCTACCTCGAAGGAGGATACAGGTAGGCAGAATGGTAAATATCCGTTCCATAGAATGTACTTGTAGATTCCTAGCCTCTGGCAAATACCTATGGGTTTTCTTGATGTTGAAAGTTTTCACCAGCCTACATGCAACTATTTCTTTCTAGAAGAATCGATTTCTATGCACCTGCTCGTATGCCAGCCGCTGCTGAGGCCTAATTATTCATTCGTACTAGTTTTCTTTCCAGAAAGAAAGCAATCGTATGGCGTTATCGGAGCGCGCATTTTACTCACGTATAACCCGTTTAACAACTGTGAGCGTGTATACAATGATCTATAACTCTATACTCTATACTCTACTTATACATACATTCTACTATTCTAGCGGTATGTACATACGTAAGAGAGGAGAAACGGTATCTCGAAAATCATAAATATTGCGCGTCTTCGTCGTTGTTAATGGTGTTCCTTATCCACTTAACGTAGTACTGTATCCTGGTGTAAACGTCAGGGTAGCCTGGCCTGGCGCATCCGGATCCAAAGGAAATGACTCCAGCCAATTGCCAGACTCCGTCGGGACGGCGACACTGCAACGGTCCCCCGGAGTCGCCCTGAAAAATCGGAAAAAGCCTGAAGTGCTTGTTTTCCCCGGGAAGAAGCGCACAGAAAGGATGTGCGGAAACATTCGAATGTAAATCCGCTCGCAATCCTGCTAGAGGAATCTATCTCGTTGGTTCAACGAAAGTCAGTAGTTCCATTATCGCGGAGATGACGCGAAACTTGTAATCCGGTTGAGTGGATTCGAATGATAACATGTTTGCCGATTGTCCGGATTCTCGGTTGTAGGTGCCGTGGTTGCTACATAGAAACATCGATCGTTCGAAGGATCGTTTCGAACCGAGGTTGGGGAGACCGCGGTAACCATTTATAGATAAATATTATACATATGTATGTATATGTATGTGCCTAGTTACCGGTGTAGGTATTGTATTTTGTCGATTGGTTCAGTTTCAGTATTTTGTGAACAATCCAGCTAAAAATTTGAAAAACACTACTCACCACGCAGCTTCCCGAAGAACCATCGGTGTGACCAGCGCAGAGATGTCCGTTTCGAATCGGTACCGATTTTCCGTACGCCTTGGTGCATTTCTCGAGATCGAGCAACGGCACAGATGCCTCTAGCAACGCGGTGGAAAGCGATTGGGACGGGCCATAACGACCCCAGCCGGAGACGACGCAATGACCATTCGCAAGTTCTTCCTCCGGGTCCGGCAGACGTATCGTTTTCACCACCCTCGACAACGGCGCCGGCCTCGCGAGCTTCATTAGAGCTAGAAACATGTTTTCCGTTCTTCGTTCTCGTTCTCGTTCTTTCGATTTCGAAATTTCGTCTTTCGAAAAAAGGGCTGCGTGTAGATGGTATGGCTCTCGGTAGGTACCGTGTTATTATATGATACATACTATGTATATTCGTATATGCGCTCGTTTCGAACGTGAAATGTTCTAGCTACTGTACCTATGCAAATGATGTATGTAGGTATGTAGGTAGAACTAGACATATATTTTTCAAGGGAATCACCAAAGTAATGGGGTTCGGTCGTAAAGTTAACGAATTTTTCAAACTTACCAATGTCGTGAACGTAATTATTGAATCTTTCGTGAAGAATGACTCGTTCGACGGGTAACCTGGCTGAGCCTCGTCCACCGGAGTCTAATTCCCATTCTCCAACGACCGCTGTCCATAACGCGCCGATCGGTAAGTTGAAAAGTTCGCTGGAAAGTGGAAAGTGAACGGTAGCCGGTAGGTATATGTAGGTACTCGTTAACGTTAAGCAAAGTAATTACCTAACACATGAACGGGGATTCCCTTCGTCGGAGAGGGAAGGAAAATTACTCACTTGTGAATGCAGTGAGCGGCGGTAAGGACCCAAGTGGGCTCGATCAGGACACCTCCGCACCAATGCCCGATGAATCCGAACTTTGGATGCAACAGCTGAAGGGAAACCTGCCAGGGCCAGGAACCCCGTTTGCTCGGCTTTCCGTTGAAGATTCTGCCGGTGCTCGGACTGGTCTTCTTTCCAATCGACGCGACGGAGTTCCTCTCGATGGCTTCTTCCGTCGTGTTCGACCGAACTTGGACGCGCGTCGATGCTGCCAGACATAAATAGGTAAGGTAAGTGTATGTATTCGGAAAGCTGGTGGATCCGACGGCAATGCGATGCGATTCATCGTCGGGTTGGAATTTGCTAGTTTTAGCCCGAGTTGAACACGGACGGATGGACGATGGATCGTTCTCCACTTACCGGAACGATGCTCCGTCACGAACCTCGGTATCGCACAGTCGATCTCCGCGAGAACGAAAACAAGTACAATCGCCAGGCCACCGCGAAGATTCATTTCCGGCGAGCAGTGCGCACCGTATAGGGATAGCTCCGTTCGCCTCACTGTCCCTCGCTGTTCATGTTTATTGTATCCGAACTCGATCCGGATCAACGACAACGACACAACGACCACGAGCAAGCGTTTCAACGAACGACCATGATAAACGGCCGAGGAACAACGAACAGCGACCCTCGCGTTCGATCGCCGATCCGTGGACCGCGCGGAACGAGTAAATCCTTCTGGGGAAGGAGCCTGGAAGAAAGCGATCGTTTACGATCACCATCGCGAAGTAGGGGAATAAGTACGCTTACGATCGTGGCGAATCGATGGCAACTCTTAACGAACGAATATCGCTCTCGCTAACGAAACACTGCTCCGCAAGAACTTGCTGAAACACTACGTCTTCTTTGGTTCGTAGTCGTTCACGGGTAGACTTTCGATCGGCATTGGAAAAGAAAAATTGCAGGAACACAGAAGGTAGAAACTACAAACGCTCGAAAGATTGAGGGGGACGACACTCTTTGAGTTCAATCCATGCATGGAATCGTGCTGGAAATGCGAAACGACGATCGCTTTCATCTGGAAACGATGTTTTTAGCAGGCACGCAAATGGCACGCCAACGCGTGGCGGACTTTCACGGTCGCTCGGCCGATTTCCGAAAAAACAATACGTTCCTTCCAAGCAATCACGATCACGAGCAGACGGCAACGTGAAATTATTCGACGTTGGGGAGCGCGCGAGAGCAATAAGTACTCAACAGCCGAACGGAGAGAGAATTTGACCAACGACGAGGCGGAATTCGAGGAAAATCGCGCGCTTTTCCCTCGGCACGCTTTCCCTCGCGCTGGAAAAACGACGAGACGAGATTCCGTCTGTATGGGTTATAGTTCGGTGCAATTATACATACATATATTATATTCCCGAGAGAGTTCGGTTCATGATTTTTCAACATACCTATACTAAATTGTATACGATATACGGTATACGGTATACTAATACCTGTACATAGGCCAGGTGAATCAGAGACTGGAGGTTGTAATGATCGGCGTACGATCGAATCTTGTTGCGCCAAGTGAGTGAAAGAAAAACGAAGGAACGATCGGTGACCTGGAGCCATACTCGCGCGTGCCTGCGTGAAATTAAACGATTCGTAATGGATCGTACGTATACTTATTTTATTAGCCGAGTCGGTCGGCCTCACGGTCGATCTCTCAGATGCTTTTAACGTTCGAACCAAGTTAGGAGGAACAAACTTGTCAATCGAGGACAAACCTCTAGGAACTTTGGTTCACCAGCAAGGTTTCGCCTTGACTGAAATGCTCACGGAGGACAATCTTGGAACGTAGTATCGTTCCGGAAATATGTCAGATTTCTTCGAAAAACGGCTACATCATCGCGGCTGGAGAGAACTACACTACGCCGAGTTGTAATTTAGTTTTTCTTTGCATCGAGCGTCAACGGGTAGCGAATTTTCTCGATTGGACGATTTCTCGTGTACCGTTGATTAGCCGCTAGCAATTCACATTGGACGCGAAATATGAAACGTACGTACGTACCTATGTACCTACTACGTTATCGTGCAGCTGTTACTCTCGACGCACGTGTCCACTGTTTAGTAGGCGTTTGCGATTAAATCGTAGGTATCTACAGTACACGTATCGTGTGCACGAAATGAAAGCTCGTCGGCCGTAAACCGTAAACGAGCACCATGTGTGTGTGTGTGTGTGTGTGTGTGTGTGTGTGCGCGCACGCGCGTGTTTCTACCATTCCTCCCCACGATTCTTCTTTCTATGATAATTATTTTCGCCCGCGCCATTAGCTGATTAAGCACGGTGATCTCAGGGGAGGACGGGAAGGTGCGCCATTTAATATTAAGAATTAGCTTTCGTTTCATTCGCCTGCGATCTTGTATTCTATTCCAATAGTTTTCTTGTAGGACTTACGTTTTGCGAAAACATTGCAGGATGCGTAAACGATTGTTTCAGTTTAAATCAGTAAGCGTAAGTATGCGTGCAGGTAACGGGAAGGGATTGTTCGATCGCGGAAAGGAACGAGGATGGCCCACACGCATAAATTTTCATAGCAATCAAGTAACCATTTTTCCATTCCCTCGTGTATATTAGTCAGCTTTTGTTAGTTAACTATATCGAAAGCTCCCCGTAACTGTAACGGTACGCTCTATCGCATCACCCATGAACCATTACCAATTATCAGTTACACTCTAGTAAATACTATATAATAAAAAATAAGATGACAAAGAACTCGCAGGAGAGCGATTTCGGTGAATAATTTTCAGTCGACACGTCGCACCCCATTCATTCGACGATGATAATGCGTAAACGTTGGACGAGAAGTATCGTCCGCGTCCGTGTTCGCACGATATGCATATGTATGTATATGTATGTAGCCGCCGCCGCCGACATACATGTATAGCCGAGAGCGGATGATGTTGACATGCGCGAGCCAGCCGAGGATACTTATGTATGCCCGCAAAACGAGCATACCGCCCGCGTCTCCCCCACATCGCCGCAGTGCAAACAGGGAGAGTGCGCGTTCCTGATCAGTAGGTAGCACACTTTCATAGCGGCGAGGAAAGTGACCGAACGTTTCGCCCCAGGTGAAGATCATTCGGCGTTCATGCGTTCATCAAACGGGAGTGACGGGAGGGAATTCACTGTGCGATGCGGCATGCCGCGGCGGTAAGAAGTGGTAAGAAGGAGCGAAAGAGAAAGTGAGGAGGGAGCAGCGGAATCGCCATCGACCGAGAGGAGAAACGTCGACGTCACAGAGATTGCGGCGGGAAGGCGAAGAGGGGATCGAGATGTGCCGGACGTGCGTGGGGGTGGAGGAGAGCTAGAGTTTAGATCGGCAGAAAGATCATCGCTCGTTTTTCGCTGGCAGGTGGGGTGGCCGCCACCGCCGTCGTCGTCGTCGTCGTCGTCGTCGTCGTCGTCGTCGTCGTCGTCGTCGTCGGATTCGGGATCAAACCGTTCGGTTCGTAGAAAGTTGAAGGCGACTCGTCACTGGTCGGTCGAGAAAACGAGCAAGGACGCAGGAATACGGTGCACGACCCTACCGAGAAGCGTACGCCGGCACTGACCGTGAAAAACGGGCAATAGGTAGACAATTCGTGATTCCAATAGCCTGCTGGCGAAATCGCTGGCTGCGTGGTGACGAGAGGAGGCTCGAAGGGAAGGGATATGGATCCCGAGAGTTGATTCTCCGCGGCGGAGAAGAGGGTGATTCATCGGGGCAGCTGACGTTCCGTACGAAGGAACGCCAAGGCAATCGAAGAAACGAACGCGGCGGCGAACTTGTTCCATGAAGTAAGGGGAACCCTTTTCATTATATGTATGTATACATACTCCTACTCGCGTCGGATTCGATGATTCAAAATGGCTGATACCGTTGTATGTTGTATACTATACTACATATACTATATAATATATACTATACACTATATACTATATACTATATACTATATACTATGTACTATATACTATATACTATAGGATGCCATCGGATTATTAGTGCATGTACGCGTTCTTGCAATTAAAGATTACATCTGTCTGACTGTCACTAGTATTTTATAAACCCTCAACCCCCTATTATATGCATCCATTTCTTAATCTAGCTAAATGTATTTACATAAATATATTTATAAGTATACAAATACACGAATATTAGGAAGAAAATTAAGTGGCATGCCCGATTTGAATTGTTCACAGAACGTGAATAAAGAGATATTGGATAGAACTGAATCGAAAGAAGCGATGAGTAGAAGCAACGAGAACGGGCTCTCCCTGGCATCGCCGCCGGCGATTCACGTTGGCCCCATCGTCAATCCCGGCACCAACGAAACGATCTCGATCGTGATACCGTTGTCGGCGCAGTTGGCCACAGTCGGCGGTCAAAAACTCGAGAAACCCTGCAGAGATTGCAACAGGGATCAGACCAAACAGCCGCCATCCTCTCGTCCGAGAAACGACAAAACCAAGGGTTGCCCTTATCCGGGCTGCACGCGATACGGCCGAGCATTTTCCAGGGCTCACGATTTGAAGCGTCACATACTTCGTCACGAAATGAGAAAGGAGAGGCTGCCCGATTACGAGAACTCGAGCAGACGGCGGATCAGCAACGATCCCGGCGAGAGTATAGCGAACGTGGGAAACTACGGGCGGAAAGCGGTGGCGGCGGTGGCAACAACGACGACCTGGAACGATGACACGAATCATCGGGAGACCAACAATGGAAAGTCTTACTGCTGTCCCCACTGCAAAAAGAAGTATACGAGCGAAATTAAACTAAGGGCTCATATGAGTTCGCACGAGAAGGTACGCCACGATACGTATGATGTACATATACGTGTACGTGTTCGGTCGAGTCATAAATACCAGAGGCGTATAAAGAACCTTATTGTATACATACATATATACCTACATGCATTTCCTGTAAATACAGAAAATCTGTGCAATCTGCAGCTGCTGCTGCTGCTGCTGCTGCTGCTTGTGACTCGACCCGATACCCACAACCTTCGGAAAAATACTTATAATGAAATATTCCATACATACATACATGCGTATATATACATAGAAAGGATAGATTTTTTCAAGTATTACATGTGTAATCACACTATCCATCGATGTCCACAGAGATATAATATTTTCCATTTTTGATTAGGTAATGGACAAAAACGTCTGCACCCTTTGCGGAATCTGCTTAAAGGACCAAGAAGCGTTGCAAGAGCACATGAAGCGGCACACGGCGAACCTGTTGGAGGCTCAAACAGCCCTGGAAAAAGTTAGCTCGGGGAAGGATCGAGGCGACAAGGAGGACGATTTTCTCTTGGAAGAAATGTTGCTTCTCCATAAGAATCCTCGGACTCGTGCCTCTCAATCCGATAACAAGAACGGATCCAAGATCAGATGCGATTATTGCTCCAAGACCTTCAAGACCAAGTGGACATTGAGCTCCCATGTAGCGGCCCACGAGGGCCGTTTTCAGTTCGACTGTAACCAATGCGGGAAGAGATTCGTCAGGAAGAGTCATTACGAGGGACACGTGCGGTCACACGAAGCCGCGAGGCCGTACGTTTGCGAGCAATGCGGGAAAACGTTCAAAGAATTGAAGCACAGAAGAGAACACACCAAGAGAAAACACCCTTCGAATCAGAACGCGATACAAAGCCTCTTGGATAGCATCAGTCCTTGCGGGTCCGAAGAGCTGCCGGTCGATCAGACCAAATTCACACTTCTGATGCCGGTTAATTTCTCCGTGTAAAGTTACTACTTCGAGATCTTATATCTTTTTCTCGTCTCCTCCCTCGAGTCGTCTCCCATTCGGGGACAAAGGCCGTAAAGGGTCGGGAAAAAACCTGGAACTTTCACGAAAACATTGGCTACTCTCGAATGGACCAACTGATGCAAAACTTTCTTATGTCTATCGTCTGTCCTGGTTGCTGAATAGAATACCGAGACTTTCAGTTGAAATCATCCGAACTACTACTTGTTTTATTTTATACCACGGTATGCCTGTCTACGCTTCACAGAAATTACGATTATACATGTATAATTTATATCGAAACTTTCCGTCGAACTTTAACACTTATTTTTTACCTACAATGCCGCGCATGAACGAGTATATTACTATACAGACCAAAGACAATCTTACTTCCAGCCATCGTTCGATCTGTAAATATGATTCTATTATAATAAATCGACCGATTACGAAAGATATGATGTTATTTTCCAATTTTCAATGACAACCTAAACCATATTCGTATGTATATGTATGTATGACATACATGCGTCTCGTGTATGTACATATTATACAGAGGGTGTAACAAATATGTTGTATGTTGGTAAGTTTATTTCCTTAGCGAAAATCTTATCCGAGACTTTGTTAACGAGATATCAACGAAAAACTCGTTAACAAAGTCTCGGATAAGATTTTCGCTACGAAAAAACTTGTTCCGAATCACCTCACGAGTGACCCATTTCAGGAATCTACATACGTACAACACATTTCTTACACCCTGCTGTATACCTGAATACAAATTCGAAAAAATCATGAAACCAGAATCGATAGGAGATTCGATCGAATAATCAAACGGCGAATGCTTTGTTTCGCTGCTGCCTTCTTTGCATCGGACATTTTTAGTTTTAACAATAAATTCTTTTTAACGAAAACCAACGTTTTATCAAGCATGAACGAAAAGAGGAGAGCGATTTAACGAGAGAACCAAGCACAGGACGGTTGCGGTGATCACGAAAGTTCTCCTGTATCTCCTCCATCGTCCTTTAAATGAACCTGATCAAGAGGCAGAAAATACCTACTGCGAGATGCGAGGAGCCCGTGGAATTCCAGGAGGATCCCGAGAATGCCTCGATTCAAGAGCAGGGCCCCCGAGGCTACGCCCTGGATACGCTTCCGCCGGAAGTCTTGGAGATGATACTCCAACTGCTTCCGCTTCAGGATGTGGCCACCTCCGTGCGTTTAGTTTCCAGGTGCTTTGACACGCGTATTCCATCTTAATTGCTCCTTAAAATCATTCAAGGCTATATAAGCGTCTACGTAAATAATAATAATGCGATAAAATTGATACGTTCTATATTCGTCGTCGTATTTTTCTACCTTGATCGATTTCTCTATCTTGTCCGAGCTAGTCTCTCCCTCTTGTATTCCACCTAATCGCAACAACGGTCGATCCAGTTTCTTGATGACCAGAGAGAAATGAAGAAACAGACAACGATAAGCTTTACCGTTTTCCAGGCATTGTTCGATGGTTGCTGGTGCGGTATTAAACGGCGCGTTTCTCGCAGCCGGCGCAAGACTGGAAGGTCTTACGAGTTGCGTGGATAAGACGCTGAAAGAAACTAGAACGGACGCTGAATTGCTAGGCTGCAGCAAGGCTCTGAACGCTTTACAGTTGATCAAGTCCCAGTACAAGATGCTCAGGGCCGTGACCTGGAGGTACACGCATCCACCGACAAGGCATCAAAGGGCCCCGCGGATTTGTTTTTACGCGGGCAGTTTGCTCGACGATCTGAACGACCTGCTGGATCGATTGGTCAAATATCACGCGTCCGTCGTCGATTCCCGAGACGTCTATTCCTGCGTCGCATGCTTTGTGGCTACGTGCAAACGGTTCATGAACTTCTTCGAAAAGATCTCTGAGCGCAGGGTGAACAGGTGAATTTTTCTCAAGCAAGCCGCCATCTCGGTCAGTCATACCGTCTATGTAATTCGTGTTTCCATGAGTCGTGTAACGCTAATACGTTCTTTGTACAATCCGCGTATACATATGTGTATTATGTACCGTGCATTGCAATCTTTTTCTCGAAGAAACCTGTCATACAAAAGACCGATATTCCGACAGATCGGCGTTGATCTCCGGCTGTAAAATCGTGGACGTCCTGGATTGTCTCGTGGAAGGTAGACAAGTGGTGTCCTTCAAAGCAACATCAGGCAAACGACGATCCAGCAACGGTACCGTCAATATCAAGCTGAGATACGTGATGAGACGCGCTTGGTTCACGCACCTAGACGTCACGAAGAATTCCAAGGAGAACTCTTGGAGAGACGAACAGCGTTTCATGTATCTTAGATTGCGCCGTTTAGTGGGTAGCGTGAACGAACACCTATTCGAGAATTTACATTACGAGCACGAGTTACTTTTACAGGTGATTCTAGTAAAAAGAAAATACTCTCATCGACGAAAGAAACGCTTTTGTTACAATCGTTTACTCTTCAGATACCTTTGTCGTTTCCGCTAAGGCCACCACCTGCCTCCACTTACTCCGGATACGGAGAATACGACGGCCAATTCTTTTACTACGGGAATATGAATAAGTACGCGTACGAAAGTAAATTTTTGCATACCGTGAACCCGTTGGACGTTACACTCAACACCGAACAACCTGTGCAAAGGCAACCATCGTTCGATTTGATGATCGAAATCGAGCTAAAATGTACTTCAGAGTTAGCTCCGCTCGCCATTCGGACGGTCTTGAGGTCGGCTGATGAATTCGAGGCCTACGAAGCGAGAACAACGGACAAGCATCAACAGCTTTTCTTAAGAATGACGGTCATGTGTCCAGCATCGATCGCAAACAGATTACCAGGAAACTTCGTTTGGGAATTGCGTACCCCGCGACGTCTACGTAAAAATTCGTAACACAAATTAGATATACACGCGCGCACACACACACACACACGTTCTCCTAGTATCATTTATATTAACTTTTATCCTATTAGCTCTACACGCAAGTTAAATATTTAATAGTAATAATTCGTAGAAAAGTAACGAATACTTCGTACATGTACCAGCAGATCGGCATTCGAAGACGAATATATACATATTGGTGCCGAGTAATTAGAATAAAATGTGCCGATTATACAGTTTTATTTACACTATGTTCTCCAGATATAGAAATTAATTCATAATAGATATTTTTTCAGATGGCTCTTCATTGTCCTCCATGGACTGATGTATCCAAGTTGTCTGGTTCAGTTTTCGAGCACGACTCTCTAATATTCCGTAGGCAAAATGATTTAAAAGAATTCCTTTGGGTAGGGCTATTCCTTGAAATCTGTACAAATTCTCCGCATCCGTTAACTTGTGAACAGCGGTGACCGTACAACGGCCTACTAAACCAGTACTGCCTACCATCGGTCCTTTACTAATATCTATGTGATTCCCTGCTCTATACAATATAATTTTATCATTGTTCGCTTTTGCAATGTCTGGTATTTGTTGTAATTTAAAGGGATTATCCTGGAACATTTGTAGAGCAACGTCTTCTGTTGTTTCCAGTCTTTCTAGGGCAAGTTCTTCATTTGATAATTTAATAAACTGAGCAGACATAGCCCGCAATTCTCCATCTGTGGGTTTCCATTCAGGCAGTTCAAGGTACACGTCGTACACAAAACTTCCTTCTTTTATATTTGGTACTGGAAAACTGTGCAAGTGAACTTTTATATCTTTTTTAAATGCAGAATCTATAACAGCACCCAACTGGAATGAACATGTTCGCCAAAATGCTATATTCACAACATTATCCTTGGGACTCTGTAAACTTAACAACTGCAACTTGCAATCAGACACTAATGGTCTATGCATGTCCCATGGCAATCCATCTACAAAAGCAATAGCAGATGTTTTGGTAACACCTTCTGAAATGTGTTTTGCACAATCTGCTGGAGTTGATATGCATTTGTTCATTACAAGGGTAATCGTCTCTACAGGAGACTGGTACTCAACTTGTATCTTTTCTATTCTTCCAACAGCATCTCTCTGCCGCTTCTTCTGTTCTTCGTATAAAAAATTTTTTCTTTCATTCATCTCTGCCCTTGATAATATGCTTTTGCATCTTGATTGTATATTCAATTTCTGTAGTCTCAAAGCACCAAAGCAGGAAATTCTACACCTACAATTAGTTTTAAATATATCTGATCTCAAGTTGTTACATTGTCATATTCTTGAATAAGATACATACCTCGAAAACATGTTGAAAAAAAAGAATTGCAGCTGACAAATAGCTGACAATGCGAGAAAAGAGTAGCACGTTAAACTGATTTACAATCTGTTTTGTTCTTTTTTCACACCTATTTTTGTTGACACTTAAAAAGAAATATCTGAAATAATAGAACGACAATTCATTGAATAATCCAGTCAAGCATAATTTTCGTGTCAAGTGTACTTATTTATAGCTATGTAATTTCGATGTCGATTTGTTGCAAATTATCAGAATTATATATATGTAGTAGATATTTACACATCATATATATTCAGGTTATGTGAACATTTATAACTTCTCCGTTGTGTGCATTACTTAAATTTCTGCATCTTGGTTGCACAGAAAGTTCATGACGTTTTTGTTTCTGTTTTACCACTTACTTATTTAACATTTTCAAATTAAACTTTATATGTTTTCTTATCATTTTTCATTCAAGAAGAACAAAACCATCATTTCAGGCACCAACGAGCTATAATGAGCAACAATAACAATGAGCAATAATCAGCTAAATACTAACGTACTAACCAGTTTGCTTGTGTTAGGTTTACTCAGGTTTGCTAATTGTTCCTAGTGGTCTTTAGGGTCTTCAGTAGAGATGGCGTGCAAAATCACTAACGGTGATTTATCACAGGAAATCGCCGAATCACGATCACGGTCGTGATTTAACTTCACTCACGACCGTGATTGCAATTTTTTTATCTTGAGTAAATTTGGTCACTGCGATCGTAAGTCCTTAATCTTTAAATAGAAAAACGTATTCAATATGATTTTACGATGAATTACATTACTATTCGTGTTTGCAAAAATCAGTAGAAAAAACAAGAAATTCTAAAAGAATGATTTGCTATGTAACATGTAGATTATAATTTATAATCATTAATTTATTCATTATTCTTCATTGTTTCTAATTGTTCCTCCATTTTATACGATATAACTCGAATTTTTGTTTTAATGTCGTTAATATAAAATATACAGATTATGTGTCGCGTGTAAAGAACTGTTAGGTTTCTCCACCAATCAGAAACGATCACGAGAAATCACAAATCACTGTGAAAAATCACCGTGATTGGGAACGAACGTGCGTGATTCACAAGAGCAGTTCACGCCAACTCTAGCGGCAACCCTAATTGCGGCTGATTTCGATTGCATTTACACTGCTGAATGGTCATCATTTTCCTTCGGCACGCATTAGATTTGAAGTTCAACGAACGTACCTTAGTACTTTCTAGCGGCTGGGTACCAGTAATTACAAGAACATTGTTAAAATCACATTTATTTGCAACGGTTGACAGTGTACTCGTCTTGCGTACCCCGGTTAGTACACTTTGGACAGCTCGTACACCGTTATACGGACAGCTTTCGTTTAGCTGAAGCAATCAATTTGTAGCTAAACGTACGTAGATTAATCCACTGTTATTGATAATAACAATAAGCGACCAGAACACTGTTAAAATCGCATTTAATCGCGGAGTACCACTATTTTTTATTTTTACAGTGTTCTGGTCGTTTATTGTTATTTTCTATGACAGGAGATTAATCTACGTTCTTTCAGCTTTAAACTGAATGCTTGATCAAGACGTAACTTGTCCATAGAACGTTGGAAGAGCTATTTAAAGTGAACTAAACGGGGTACGCATCGCGAGATAGAGTGTCGACCATTGCAAACAATTGAGATTTTAATAATGTTCTTGTAATTACTGATTCCCACCTGCCAGAGAGTACTAATCTGCGTTCTTTAAACTTCGAATGTAATCCATGACGAGGAAAACTGATGGTCGTTTAGCAGTGTAAATCCGATCGAAAACTGTTGCAATTACATAACCACTAAACATGCAACACTTTTCTTTGTCATGCATTACACTCGAAGTTTAAAGAATGTAGATTAGTACCCTATAACGGCTGATTCGTCTTGGCCAAGCACTCAACTTATAGCTGAAAGAACGTAGATTAATCTCCTGTGATTGAAAATAACAATAAACAACCAGAACATTATTAAAATCGCATTTAATCGCGGAATACCACAACTTTTTTGACCGGTGGCGCCACCCGTAGCGAATCGCTGAAACTGGTAGCCATATAATTGGCTAGCAGTTTCAGCTATTCGCCACGGGTGGCGCCACAGGTCAAAACAAATAGTGGTATTCCGTAAATAAATGCGATTTTAACAGTGTTCTGGTCGTTTATTGTTATTTTCAATGACAAGATATTAATCTGCGTTCTTTCAGCTACAATTCGTGTGCTTTATCTATACGAAAGCTATCCGTATAACGGTGTAACAGCTGTTTAAAGTGAACTAAACGGGGTACGCATGATGAGATACACTGCCAATCCAAACCTGTTGTTGTTTGGGTTGCCACTCCATAAGGGGTCAACGTTAATAGTAGCATAAATAATTGTACTAATTCTGGTGTTCTGCAGTATTGGGTTTACGCATTAAATCGTCAGAAATAATTTGAGACCGACGACGATCATTTTGGGCGCTTAATTACACCGGAAAATAGTTGGCCGGAATCATTATAATTTGTATGTATATTCCAATAAACAAACATCAGGCAATATAAGCTTCATTTCATCGGATTGTCTTAAATATAACTGCATAAATATTGTACAATCCTATACTAATTATAGTTGTTTGGTTCAACAGATTACTACAGAAACTAACTACTGCCTACGTCTTTTAAACTTGGGCTGTACTAGTAACTGCAGAAACTGCCATGGTTGCTGGGGTTATTATCTAATTTGTCCACGGGAACACGGACAAGCGTCAGTCCCAATTCTGTATAAATGTTGTACGAGCAAGAACGATAAAGGATCACTTTTCAAAACTCTTGCGCCTCCACCGGAGGTTCTATGACCCCACGTTCTCACTCACACGGGGTCTGTTCTGCATTCGCCGGGGGTTCTATGACCCCACTTCCTCGCAAACATTGAGTCTCTTGCGCTTACTCCCGGGGTTCTATGACCCCACTTTCTCAGACACGGGGTCTCTGGCGCGTGCTCTGGGGGTTCTATGACCCCACTTACAAGCTAAGACACAGTTCTCGGGATCATTAGGGCATCACCCCCACCACGGGAGTTTTCGGACCTGTATGCATGTATGTGCATATGTATATGAAAATCTAATAAAACAGATATAACGACCAATGAAAAAGAAACGTGTTACTAATAAAATAATATTAGTAGAATAGGAGTAGTCGTAGAATAATATAGATTGCACCGTACATATACATATAGTGTATTTCCCTTTTATCATTCGAACAATTATACACATGATACGTTAATTTCGCAAGATATCTATTCGATACTATACACTTTAACTTTTGCTAGGTAATTAATGTTAGTACCTGTTCTAATACGTATTCGATATCATCGCCGTTATTAATCACTTTCAAGTCCCATGTAGTTCGATCGTCTAAATCACATTCAGTTTCTGAGTCATCGATGTCTATATGAAATAAGATTTGTTAGATAACAAGCAACAGAATTTCAAAATTTCTGTTAAAAAATATTCATTTATCGTATTTACATATATTTTAATAAATTTTGTTTCAATGTCGCATTCAATATACTTACCTGGAACAGGAAGCCATCCACGTTTTTTCCTTACAGCATCATCCGATACAATACGAATTGTTTTACATACATCTTGAAAATTTTCCAAAAACCATTGTACGTCGGTTTTTCTTCGTACATCACTTACTATCCATATCGGTTTGTCGCGTGCTAAACAACATTATTGTACACACTATTCCATAAACATAATCAATCATTCGAGTGTTAATCAAATTTGAAAATAAAAGAAACATTTGTTGGCAATAGAATGAGTACAGTATATCGAAGAATAGAAAAGACAACAAAGAATTCTGTTACAAATTGTTTTCTATAAATTTGGAAACTTAAAGTATAAGTCAAAAACAATTCTTTACCATTATACATATCTATGGCTGCACGACAAAAGTACCCATAATCTGTCTGTCTAATGCTTTCTCCCCATTTAGCCATTTCAAGGCGATAATTTTCTTTATACTCTCCATCTCCTAACAGTTCATCAATGTCGAGGTTCAAAGATTTAGCCCAATAAGATTTGATCGGTCCCGACAATTTAATAATGACACTATTATCAGACCCAATTCTGGAAACATACAACATAATATCAGTATCGTTACGTTGGGCCACATTTGCATTATAAGTACTTATATCGTCCTTAAGTTATAATTAACAATTTCTTACCTTTCTTGCAACATATTCGTTATATAATCTTTTCCCGATTTCCTTTTACCGCTGAATAATAAAATTATTCGTGGGTTCGACGAATTTTTAATATTTGTCGTATAGTGCAGGTATGTAACGTTTCCAGCTGCCATTTTGAATTCGACCTACAAGAATAAATTATTCAAATCGTATTGTAAATACTATCGGTACTCAATGCAAATTGCACATAAAATATTCTGGTCATGTGTAGTCTTGTTGATCTTTTATTCAAAATGTTTACAAGTTTACGTCGACTTGAAATGCTATTATTTCAGTTACACACATTTGTTACAAAAAATTCTACAGACGCCACGCATACATACACACACGATACTTATTCACAAGTGTGTCGCGTGAATGTATATTAAAACCGATAAAAAGTTGCTACGCAGTTATCTATGTCTCTTAACAGACCACACTCTTTTAAGTAATAAAATAAAATTACTCCGAGGTAGAAACAATACGAATCGAACAAACATAACACCAGTAGCATTTTTTGTAATTTTTATTACAATAAATTCATCGATACATGAAAAAGTTATTTCTTAACTGCACGATGCATTTTACGCATTTCTGCTCTCTTTAGTTGTTGTTTGGGTTTCAAGTTATGTTTCTTTGCAAACCGTTGATTTCTCAGGAACTTCAAATCCATCTGAAAAATGTAATCAACGATAAAAAAAAATTCTACGCATAGATCTTTGTTAAGAATATACAGTTTGCAATCTAAATACTTGGTAGCGGTTTTAAATATTCGAATACAAGATTATAGCGTAAAGAGATATTGCGCATATGTATATACATATACGTATCAGTAATGCAAAATAGACTCTATACTTGTTCAGAGATTGTTTAGAAAACAAACAAAACTTACACCAAGCGTAGATTCGTGTCTGTAACGTTTCGGCTTTTTGATACCGTTACGATGAGCTTTACGATCTATAAAATAAAGAAAAATACGTTCACATTTCGTCCTTCGAGGATACTTGTATACGTACATGTACATATATCTATTTACACTCACTTTGATTATGATTCGTGTGATTTTTAGATTTTGCCATTTTTTCGTACTATATACAACCTAAAAAATATGGATTCACATACATAACTATTTATACAAGTATATATATATAATAATAATTATAATGTATACATTTCAAATAAAATAATATTCGAGGTTACATGCTTTCCCAAGCGAAGTTTCAATGCTTAAGATATTATTAAACACGAGTAGAAAATACCATTACAGAATACTTGCTTTCTGTTTTTTTAAACTATTTCACCAATAATGCTACAATGGATATTCGACAGATTACACGGATAGGCATCGATAAAATTCCATATATACTTACAACACAAAATATCTACTATACAACCATGCAGCTGCATGCAGCGAAAAGAAGTGTTTGACGCGGGGATCGCGGGGTTCACTGGGAGATCAGTGGGGATGCGTGAAGAGGTTGATGAGAAACGGAAAGCGCGTTTTATCTGGTGTATATGTATTATATAGAGTGTAGAGCTTGTAGAGTGAAAGATAGCAGCGCCAATTCGTGTTTTTGTAATTTAAAATATTGTACATTGCATCAAAAAGCCTCCGTCATTAATCGCAATGTGTTCCGTTTACAAATTTGATAACACGTACGAGAATACATGCGACCAAACGGATAGATGATTTAAAGAAACTATGTATCTATATTCTAACTTAAATTTGCTTTTGGAGCACTCCCTGAGCCCATTCATAGCTTGTTTGTTGCAATCATTTTGCGGAATACTTATAGGGACACAGTGTAATCCCAAGACTTTCGACTGTCATTTTGCTAACTTTAATATTAAAATTAAATCTATCAACAAACTACACATCGGATTAGTACAACCAAGTTTAGTAGTATAACCGTGTGTAGTATATACATACAGTTAATTGAAAGTAATACATCTTTTATTATTTTATTCATTCCAATCATATTAGATAGGATTAAAATATTGGAAGAGTATATACATAGTGTTTAAATAGGACGATAACACTCACGGTGTCCAATTCTAAAGTTATTTATTCTTGATATATGATAAAATGTACACAATACGGTTGATTTTTCTGTTTTGTATATCACTTGCTTAACTATAACTCTCTCAGTATGCGAAGAGTGTTGTATGTTTCATAATTGAAACGCAATATTGAATGTTTTCTGTAAAGGATGGTATTGTATATCGAGAAATAGTTTTCATTTTATTCAAAATTTCTTGCGTACATATGTATAAAATGTCAAACAAGTTTCAAACATAACAATACATTTCTCTATAAAATATAAATTAGTTTTATGATATTGTACTAAATCGATTTGGTCACACGTATTCTAATACGTCATTTTAAATTGAAACACAGACACATTGTGATTATTTTTATGAATTATAAATACTCGATACTTTGTCGTACGATAAAAATACTTTCTTCCTATATAAATTAATACTGATGCATGAAAGGTATACGTATGTACATATTCATACGTCATATGCCCCTTCTTGTACACACTACGAGATGTCAACATAATCAGATAGATACAAAGAAATATCGACCAACGTATATAGGTACATCATTCGGTACACAAACAATGTATATAATAAATAATATTTAGATGAAATATTGCTATTTCTATTTTTATAACTAACAGTAAGTATGCAAAGTAGTATATACCGCCACAACGCCATCGACGACGACGTCTACGAATGCACAACGAAACATAACAGATGTGAGCTCTTTTAAAATTATTTCTTACATAAACATAACGCGACACATGGAGTAGACGAATACGTATAAAGTTTTTCAATATACAATTACTGCTACCAATGAGAAAGGGGGTGCGCTCTTCTATTACCGTAAACATCATTCGTATTTGATGCTTTCATAACTTTTGATGATTAATCGTAAGTTATGGAATGCAAGTTACTTCGTTTGTATACACACGCGTGAGATAGCTTCATAAGCCTAACATTTGCTTCCGCAACACAACCCAGTCCATAATCTTCTGTTGAATTTGCCTTTTTTCCAAGAGAGCTTCAGCTGCTTTCCGAAATTTGTCCTCATTTCTACGTATATACATTTTTGCATCTTGTTCCAACTGATTAATCTTTTCAGGACGTATCTCTACCATCGAGAGCATTTCCGTTAAATACGGGTTAAAGCGGTAATAAACATGCTCGGGAAGAAGATCGTTTAACATCGTATGTACAGCTACGCGAAAAACAGAAAATTATTAATATTGTAACAAATTTTTAACACGTACTTTTTCAGTATTATTTTACAAATTATACCTTCCGTGTCGGTCGCACTGTCTAAAATTTTGTAAAACTTTTCTCTCCAACTTGATATTTCAATTTCCATAGATGCATTGTTGTTTTCGCAAATTCGATTCGGCGTTCTTCCAGTTCCGAACGAAATTACACACTGGATCGGATTATTTGGCCATAATTGTTTGGCTTCGTGTAAGGCGACCGCACATGGATTATTTACCAGTATACCTTCATAATAATAAAAACAACAACAATAATAATATACGCAAGAGCAATAAAAATTTAACGTTCAATCATTTTTCGTTTTTCAAATGTAAATATTATATTAATTACACATTCATTCTCGAAGAATCAAGCGTGTTCTGTGTACGTACCTCCATCCTGATGAAGAAATTCACCGTATTTAAATTCTTCGAAGTAACTGGGAGCTGCCGCGGAAGCTCTTACTGCTTCCCATAATTTATGTTTGTGACTTCCTATGTACTGACTTTCTACTCTGTGGGGCAAAGTATAATTTCGAAATACATATGCCATAACACGATCATGATTTACAACTGCGGATACAGCTGAAAACTGAATAATTATTTGCATGAACAACAAAATTTCTTTATTCTTTTGCTTTAGTAACTTGTCATTAGCAAAAAATATTTAATCTTTTTCGCACAAAAGAAATTTTCGTATACCTTCGGAGCATTCGGATCACGAACAGTTTTTATCAGAATTTTATCTCCCAAATGCTCTTGCAATAGCTTCTCCCAGAGCGCTGTGTCATAGTACGCGTGACTCCATACTAAATTACTTGTACCTTTTATAGCGCTTTGGGTGAACACTTTAATACTTAATTCCTTGTACAATTCTGATATTTCAATCAATGATTTCCTCTTATGGCCACCTAAAATATTGAATCCCATATTCAAAGATAGAAGCTTGAAATGTACGTTTTTCGAAACAAGGTACATTATCGATCATCGAACACGTACCTAAAGCAGCTGCTAGTATAGCACCTGTACTCACACCGCATATGTAATCGAACATTTCATGCGTCTTTTTTCCCGTCAATTCTTCAAGTTTCTTCAACATTTCTATGACCAACACACCGCGCATACCGCCACCGTCTATAGAAAGAATTCTAATTCCACGACCACGTAAAGGATCAGTATAGCCCAATACCGCCAGTGCTTCTCTGATAGATGCTATAAAATATGCGTACATGTATTATAATATATATATATATATATACATAATAATATTCAAAAAACAATGGGTATTTTGAATTGTGTACCTTTTATCTGGTCATCCTTAGTTTTTAAGCGACTTTCGAGCAACACTCTGATCGCTCCCTCTTTGATCGCATAATGCCTAGCTTCCGGATATTGATCAACGTGAGTCAAAAGATCTTCTATTCTCCTCCACCTTGAAGCGGTTGATTCAGCAGTTATAATACTGTTTAAAACATGGCGTGTTCTAGACGCAATGCTGTGCTTCGATATGTTTTTATGAGCATTTACTTTCCACTTTGGTGGCATTACCAAAGTGCCTGCTGTTCTGGTTCGACTGGTTAACTTAAATATCAAAGTAGCAAACATCTGCGAAAAGGTATATGACTGTTCTTTGATATCCACTTTTTGTCCATTCGCAGTATCTTCTCGGGCTTGCTACAAAAATTACAAAAACTGAACCAAAATGATACCTCATAAAAAATGTCGTTTCTTCGCAACCCGTCTACTTACGTGATATACTTTTCGACATTTAGCCACATCGTTTGTTCCTAGATCTTTTTCCCGAGACTCTGTTAATATTTTCTGATGGGTAGTCTCAGTGTAGGAATACTTTTCCACGTTTGTTGTTTTGCTATCGTTTGTACTTTTCGGAACTTGAACGAACAATTGCTTTTTCAACTTATTTATTCGTGTATACGTTATTCTTTGCAGAGTATCCATCCAATCTTTAGACAAATTAGTCTGTAAATTCTTATCGTAACCAAGTTTATTCAAGTAATCTTTTAGCTGTGCTAAAAGTTTCGAATAATTTTGCATAGACATTTTTGTTTTCCATAAAACATTTATATGATTAAGTAACTTATTTCTATCGATGCTTCCACCATTGTTCTTATCAGCCGCACTGTCTGTTAATTGTCTGTAACAATGAAATTAAAATAATTCAATTATTTATTTATAGTATACGGCAGATGTGTGTGTGTGTGTGTGTGTGTGTGTGTTTGCGCGCGCGCGCGCGCGTGTGTGTGTACTAACCCCTATAACCTGAAATATATATTGTGTGGATGACGAATAAACGCTAAAGGTTACACCGCTATAACAAATGTACATATTTATACTTTACTGACGTTCGTTTCATAGCATGTTAGGAGAGTAAACGGTATAAAAACATATTGTCATTTTTGCTACACAATAACGTAATAAAAATCTTAAAAGGGAAAGAAGTCCATTTGTTATTTGTTATTCGTAATAGATACGGAATAATGACTATAAATATATAACGGATACATACCTCGATAAGGAGATATATCTTTGATAATGTCGTACGTTCATATTTCGTGTCATTTCTTTATCGATAAAATCGGGAGAGAAATATGTATGTATTATGTACGAGAACAAAGTGTAACAAAAGTATTTTCACGTTAACTGTTACTTATACCACTGAAAACTTTCGATAATTGAAATAATTCTTCTGTTTTATTTTTCTTGTACAGAGTAGGTTTCACACAGTCGATGTTTTGTGCGTTTGTTTGTATATTATGTAGTAATAGTAATAGTAGAGAAGTAAATAGACACAGGATTTATGTAGGTGGGTACTCGCGTCGTGTCACTTCACTCACTTCACTGTTTTTGAACTAAGCGGTGTAAATAGATCGCGCGCGTACTTATATAAAAAGAGATTCTGACGTTCTGACGTACTTGGGAAGGCTTGGATCAGCTTGGATCAGCTTGGATCAGCTTGGATATGTAAATAAAATCACACGATGTTGTCGTGGACCAACGAGAATCGTTGGCAACTGTGGATATTAGTAGTAAGTATTAAGTAAGTATACACGCGGCAGTTACACAGTTCTATGCTTCGGAAAGGTATAGAATTCATTTGTTTACAGTTTTGCGTGTGTGTAAACACATGATTTGGTATTTTGTTTTCACCGTGAGAGTCTCGTGCACCAAATTTAAATACATTCACTGCGAAGTATACCCATTTTGCAATTGTGTCGAAGAAAATTACACGTGATATTTTTCGGCGTTGTATTAGGTAACGCCGGGAAATTAATAGTTTCATAATAATGAAGTTGTAAATATTACGTAAATCATTTTTTTTAACAAGTAAACGATATGTATTATACTATCTGTACGAACGAAGGAAATTCTGAGACAAAACGACAAATGTAAAAAATATTATATATTTATTCTATACCAGTTGTCTTTTCTACAAAGTCTGCCTTTGGGTTAATTACACATACACACAGAAATTAATCAATTGGACCGTTTGTGTTCAGATCCGAAGAACGTAATGTCACAAAGTGGATATATTTTACAAATTACACGTCCTCGTAACAGACCCTGTGGAACAGGTCCGTACACACGAGAATCTGTCGAGTTAACAATGTTATCACCTTCCAGCCACACATGGCCATTCGGAACCTGAAAATAAATAATAATTTATGTTAAATATAATAATTATTTACAATCGCAATCACTCGTGTAATATTAACGTTACATACTATGATTCCATCGTTTACTTTATCTCCAGGTAATCCTAGGATTCTCTTGCATATATGTTGTTTAGGATTAGAGGGACATTTAGAGACGACAATGTGACCTTTTTCAAGTTTTTGAAGCCTGATAGAAATTCGCTCTGTGATCAATACATCTTTGGTATACAACGTGGGTTCCATCGATGGACCTGCACACTAACAAGATGCAACGAAGTAGTACATAGTGCTAGAGACAGCACAAGAAACATGTCCCCTTGTACTTAGAGTTATACAATAAAAAAGTACATGTCCATTGCTATATACATAATACTAAAAACATTAAAGCAGTTGAAAATAATACGAGTAATATATTACGTATGTATTGTATGAATTTTCTCACCACCACAGCATCACCTATGTACTCAAGAATACAATGTATTACACAGGAACACTGTACAAAATTGCTTATAACACGTAAGAGATATTTATAAGACATAGCAGTCGTTCATAAGGATGAATAACAACGCGTTACTCCGGTTTAGAGAAAATTCCCTAAATTTAGACAAAAAATTATAAATATAATCGGACATGAATTACATTAAAAGTAACAAGGGTTAATTAAAAAAAAACCTTGCATATTTAGATTATAAATTGGAAGCAAAAAGTCATTGAAATTAAGAAATATAACGTCACGTTTCTAAATAGTACGGTTCGTTCAACATGCTACATGTATGAATTCACAAATCTACTAGGGGAAAAAGCGGTGTGAAAGAAAAGTCTTCTACCGCTTGGTAAATTTGTTCCAGGTAGTGAAATAAATATTAAATCGAATATTAATTTGGCATATATGTCAGTAATTCCAAATACCAAATGGTAGGAGGTCCTTTCCTTATGTTACTTTTTCCCCTAGTGGAAGCCGAGTTTGCTTGCGAGAGTACATGTGGCTCGTTCGATTTGTGACTTAGGGGTCTCTTACGATACTCCGGGGGTTCTATGGCCCCACTTTTTCACACAGACGCGGTCTCTTCCGCATGCCCCGGGGTTCTATGACCTCTCTTACCAAGCTACCACACAGTACACTCGCGAGCAAACTCTGCTTCCACGAGAGGAAAAAAGTAGCGTAGAAGAAAAGACTCCTACCACGTTTTTGGTGATTGTTGCTCCTGCCTTTGAAAACAATCCCTCACAAGCACGTTCGTATACACAGGTCCGAAAACTTCTGTGGTGGGAGTGATCCCTTAAAGAAATAAAGTGTACTTTCGAACTTTGCCACGAAGCGAGGACACTACAGTCTTTCCACAGTCATGGACTTAGGAATGGGACCTTGCGCTCCGTCGTCTAATTCCTATGTCTATGGGTTCCCTTAGGGAAACTTCCCTATGGTGCGTGCGCCTATGCGTTCTTGTACGGACACATCGATTGCAACGCTGTGTGGCTAATGGAAGATACATGAAACTTTCGGATCACCACCTCCACGGGAGCTTTCGGACCTGTATATACGACCGTGTAGTCGATACTCACTCCGTTCGATACGAGTACTTTTGTTCGATACCTACTTGGTATTGCAACCGCAGGTATCGATACCAAAGTATCGAGTAATGTACTCGTATTTACTTGTATCGATTCATCCCTAGTCAACATAAGCAATGGGTGTGTTCAGAAGGCAACCGTTGTGCAACCTTGAGTGATTTCACTATAGATTTTACTGGATTTTACGCTAAAGCTAAACGCTACCGCTTCAGATTAGTTGAACTCAGTTGAACGACTAAAATGGACTAAAACAGACTAAAAGTCGTTTCGATTTGGTTGAAATCCTGCTTACAGGGACGCCTTTTAAGAACTCCAAGTCGATCGATTCAGTCCGGCCGACCTGTTACGCACGGTTATGTCTTCTGAAGTTCAGAATCTGAACGCACCCATTGACAAACATTTCGGATCCTTCCAATGCCCTTCATACTCCATACCATACATACACATATGTATGCCAGTATAAATATCAATAAATATACACCCAAGTATCGTAAATGACATCAAATAAACATGAGTTTTATAATATGTGACCGTTTGAATATTTACAGTTTTGTAACTGGAGTATCGTTCGTTTCTTCGATGGTTCAATCACACTGACTATTAATACAATGTTAATGTTCTGTCCGACCTGTGGCAACGTGCTTCGAGTAGAGGAAGCTTTGGCTGGATTACGCTTTGCGTGCAACACGTGCCCTTATATTTTTAATATATCAAGACGAGTGAGTAGCCGCACCTATCCAAAACTGAAGGAAGTAGACGATGTGCTAGGTGGAAGTGCGGCTTGGGAGAACGTGGATTCCACGGAAGAAAGGTGTCCAAAGTGTGCTCATCTTCGAGCCTATTTTATGCAGATACAAACAAGGTCGGCCGACGAACCTATGACAACATTCTACAAATGTTGCAATCCCCAATGTGGTCACAATTGGCGCGATTAAAGGTATGGCAGTTGTTATTAATAATTATGCAAGTGCACATTTTATCAACACACTTCCAAGATTGAGCGTCACTGAATATGAAACTGCAAACATACTTCTTGCATCATCATTTCTATTACCATAATAATAACACTAAGAATAATAATACAATGTGTAGTTTTATGTTATCAAGAATTAACAGATTTCTCATTTTGAAAATAGTTTTGTTTCGTACACCCTGGAAAGAGACCCATTTCATATTTAGAAAAGCTGGGTCCGATGATGATTGCTTTACAAGGTGCTACACCAGAGTTGGAAGAGTTAAACTCATCCAAGCATTGGATTTGTAAAGGAAAAAGAAGTATGTCAATAGCTGCTACACTGCTTCAGCAAAATAAAGTTATAGCAGTTCCAACAGATACAGTATATGGTCTAGCTGCGGCTGCTATGCAAACTGATGCTGTCAGAAGATTATATGAAATTAAAGGACGAGATGAGAATAAACCATTATGCATCTCTGTTAGTAAGGTCACACAAGTAAAACATTGGGGTGTTGTGAATCATTTACATAGGAATTTATTATCAACTATACTACCTGGACCATACACGATTATTTTGAAAAGGACACCAGCTTTAAATCCTGATCTGAATCCAGGCATTGACACTGTAGGAATACGAGTACCAAACTCAAAATTTATAAATTGCGTTTCACATATAATTGGACCATTAGCTCTAACAAGTGCTAATGTGAGCAATGAACCGAGCTGCTTGCGTGCCACTGAATTCGAAAAATTGTGGCCTCGGATAGATGGAATATTCTATGATGTAAAACAGGTTGCTAGTGTAAAGGAAACCTTAAGAAAAGGGTCCACAATAGTTGATTTGTCTTCTCCGAATCATTACAAAATCGTAAGGACTGGAATTGGAATTACATATTTAATTTCGATTTTACGGAGGTTTAATCTCACAGAAGAAAAATCCGATTAAATCTGATAAAAAATATATAATACAGTGTGTAATAAGTAATAAATCTACTAATAATACAACCAATAATTTATTTATTACTTGATTTAATTTTTTGGATAATGCAATATTATTTTAGCAGACTTTAGATTGTAAACAATTACTAAAATTGGTTACAATTACAATTCCATGCAAAACGAGTCAAGTTAAAGAGTATCTTTTATTCACTGAATTGTCTGTACACAGTGAATTCTCAATTAAGATATTTAATTTATTAGAAATAGGTCCACAACGTGGCATTGTAGTAACAAACATTAAACGATAATTCCTATCTTGAGGTATCCTTTTAACTGAACGTGTCAATACATAATTGGTGAGTACCACATTAAATAAATAATTTACTTAATTTACAAAGCTAACACGTTGGATAATTAGTTAACAAAAGACGATTCAGTCGAGACAGTAGTATCTTAATCTCCTGCACGTTACCATTACGTAGTCTGTATGCACCTCGAAATGCGCATTATTTACTTTCCTAATATTACAAGTGCATGTATATCGAAAATTTGTAACAGACTCCTGTAATTAGGACCACGAGGCATTTAATGGAAAATAATTCATAAAATGCATTTAAAGACAATTTGCTAAAACGGGATTATTGTATATAATACAGCTTTTGTGTCTTTATCACAATACTGCGATGTCATTACTGTGAGTTAATACGGATCATCAACTCGCTTATGATTGGTATGTATGTATACTTTCGGTAAATAATTATTAAAATAAGGACAATATAATAAATAATTGATATAACTATTAGCACACACGCACACGCGAAGAGACATACAACATAGACAACATAAACGTACGACATTTAACTTGTGTATATCATTAATTACAGTATTAAACAGAACGTTTCTCTCCTTTCACATCATGCACGCACGTACGTACAAACGACAACTTCGCACGTCTCATATGTAGTATGTATATTTTCAATATTAATATTATTCAAACACAATTATCCGTCTTTACTCGCTCCTTTAATGCTAAACACTAAATATTTCCTTTGTTTACAATGTAAGTCAGTCTAGTCTTCTTTTGTAGAAAACATCCCCACCGGGCCCTTCTTACCTTCACTTTTAAAAATTCCTATCAAACTGCTTCTCAATCTCGTGTAAATTTCTTTACGGACCGTCGCCGTGAACTTTGTCGCAAGACAAGTGATCGCTGCTGTGGCGAATATTAAATTATAGAACAGTACCAGTTTGAAGTTACCGAGCCACTCGATACGCCCGAAATCCCCAAGCAAGTCAAAGTTCGTCATACCTAATATGTGAACAGATAAAGGGACGCTCGTTATCGGCGAATCATTTTCTATTAAAACATTGAAAATTACCAGTAGATGTACCTAATATCCGTGATAACAGCGGCAATGCGGAGCTCAGTACAAGAAGGAGGGCACAATTTGCGATAAGGTGCGTGAGAGGCGTGGAATGAAATCGTGGTTGAACTCTTCTAACTCCCGGAAGTGTGTACAGGCCGATTGCGCTTGTTGCTGCCAAATAGAAAATTACTGCCACCTCCACTGTTGCTCCGATAGGGCCAAGCTTTGATAATGAACTAATACCTAAAGTGAATTGCTAAAAAAAATCATAATTTCATGGATCAAATCTTATCATGAATAATGTAATTTTATACTCTGGGGAGAAATCTATATACGAACCCTGGTACTTAACGGCAGCGCCTTTATACCGATGAGTAATTCTAACGTATTCTGAACAGCTAACAAGGCTGTGGCAGTGGAAAGTATCAGTAAGGCTAGCATGGCCATAGGGTAAAGCAAAGTCCGTCGAACCCACCAGGTTCGCCTTTGCTGATCCAAAACTTTTCTTCGTTTTTGAACATCTTCTAATCGTTGAGCCAAGCCACGTTGCAGCGCACCATTCCTCAGGCACATGAGACTCGGATTCACATTAAGAAGCTCATCGTCTTCGAGCACTGAATCGCAAGCCGGTATGGACATCGGTACCGGCGAAACATACGATTTTCCCGTTGCTTTCGCATGCTCCAGTCTGCGTAAGTAATAAACGTACTACGTATATAAAACGGCACCGTGGCGGATTTACAATTTCCAATCGTAGAAAGTACAATCGATAATCAACCTTCTTCGAATACAATCCTCTTCTAATCTGTACGCAAAGAATTCTTCATCCAAGTTCTTCAGGAACTGTGGTTTCACAAGGAAAGAACCGACTACACCAAATAATCGTACAAATCCCATTGGTGTACACACTGTAATAACGCATCAAAGTTTTCCTCGAGTAATCAACAATGCACTGCATACAGTGATCATTTTTCGGAATAATTGTGCTATACTTACATAATAACATAACAACACCAACAAAAGAAACGCAGGAATAAAGGAAAGGTAAATAGTAAGTCCATAAATCTGTAAACAATACACAGTACATACTACACGTTTGTAATCGGTACTTGTACATAAATCTGTAGATTAATAAGTAGATATAGAGGAGACGCATTGATTTCAATACACTTACTGAGCAACGTGTGAAGACTGGACTTTTGATGATCTATAAGTGCTGATAAAACATATGTCATTCCTAAAACAAGCGTTCCCAGCAAACAAAGAACAGTGACGGTTTCGTACACTCTGGCCATCACACCCTGGAAATCAACCATGAACGGATTATACCGAAAAGTATTCGGAATACTGCGCCCTTCTAGCAATCTTACCTTCCTATATCCCACAAATCCTTCCGACTCCGTAAACAAGTAGGCAAATGGCAGAAATACGAATAGTGATAAATTTGAGAATAGGAACACATGATTCCACAGACCTGATTGTCAAAGAAAATTCACATTAATTACTCAATAATACATACATACGTACTTTCGAAACCGTCGTGGCGCGTCGCGTCGGTGCCACATTCAATTCTATTTCTATATAATATTCTTGAAATTTAAAGAGACACACTAAAGACTAGAGAAACGAAAAAGTTTGTACCTTGAATGAGCGAGCTGTTAAGCCATTTCACGTAATAGCTGTTCGGGTATAAAATGAGAACTTCGTTGCTAGCGATGGAGACTGGAAGTAGCAAAGTTGACCCAACGGAAACCGCCAAAGCAACTGTACATAGCCAAAGGCTGATCCTATAAACGGTCGCTTCATCCTCGTCCACGGAAAAATAATCCTCACGGTCTCTCCGACGAAATTTTGCGATTAAAGCATAACTCGAGACGTACAGGACCAGAAAGAGAAGAAGAAATATCTGAAACGAGCATAAAATACTTCTCGTTAAATTTCCATCGAACGAGTGCTAAACGTATCAAGTTGGGCGATGAACATTGCTTTTGCTTGTTTCCCTTTCAACTTGGACAAAGTGTAATGCTGCGCGCCTTACGATTATTTTCCTATTGAAACTACAGTAACGTTATTAACAGCCGTACCTACGTATACCTATTATGACATCTATGTATACTCTGTATCGGTACAGTGGTGCGCGCGATCACTATGCTCGCGTGTAATTTACGTTGATTCGCGTTCTATGCATTCAAAGAAACTCAAATGATACCTGATTCAAGTCTCTTTGAATGAAAATTATCTATGTGTTTACATATATGTATGTATGCGTGGGTTCGTCCTAGTTGATACGCGTAGTTTACAGTGTAATGTCGCAATTTAATGTTTTGTCGTCTACATATATTTTGAAAACACACATATTCTCATACATGTATACATATAACAAAAGAAAAAAGAAAAGACCGGAAGATAAACAAGTACACGCAATAATTGTTATCACATCATAGAATTGCTTACAACGTATACAAATGTAAAGCCGTTGAATGAATCGAGTGGTTAGAAAACAAAAAAAATAACGGTAAAACGCATACTAGATTACATAGATGCAACATTAAAACCAGCATACTATTGGCGATGGCGACCCATTTAACGTTGTCCTTAACGATAAACTTTCCGATCGATCGAAAATTACTTGAAGACGATGTTCGAGTACTTACATAGTATAGAAATAGACAGTATTAAGTTTGTAGGGGAGCATTTCTTCGTCCTAAAAGATTTCATTGCAAAAAGGCCCGTTTTGTGGTACAAGTTAGACAATTGTTTCAATAGCTTCGAACAGGACACATAAAAAAAACACCACCGACTGAAACCTCAGTTACAATATGCTTTCGCGTACTTATGACTCTTGGTTATCGAGCTCGTTCGCATTAATTTTCCATCTCCTCCACTTCCATCAAGCGTGTCACGTAACAAGTGTACGGTGTACGGCGTTTCCTTTTGAACAATACACGAATGTATGTACGTACGTACATACGTTCGAGTAATCATTACGTCTGTATTTGTAGCAAAGTAACTATAAAGTCAATCAGATACAGATAACTTATCGAAAAATTTCGGTTACTTGATCGCATCGTCAAAATTTCTATTAACTCGAGGAAAAAAAAAACTAACGAATATGATGTAACGTAACACATAAGTGTATTTTTCATATATTTTGAATAACATAAACGTATCAAGTACATTATTTCGAGAGCATCAGAGAGAGAGAGAGAGAGAGAGAGAGAGAGAGAGAGAGAGAGAGAGAGAGAACATCCTATGTATGGATTTTCAGATACTTAAAACTGCATTATCAACTTCCGTTGCTATATCGCCTACCTCAGGAGAATGCACTGTTTAATTTTTAACGAGATTCTCATTGCCACGTAGCTTAAAGCCGGTGTTACAAGGAGAACCGTCAACATCTAATAAGTACGTTGTCCTCCTCTGGGAACAAAAAGCGTACTTGGCATACAAATCGTACCGAAAACCTATATTAATCCTATGCTATATTTACTTCTTATTTTTCACCTCTATGGATTTCTCTTTTGATGAATAATCTTAGACAGAGGGCATAGGAAAACATAAGAAAATCTAACGAAAAAGAACAAACAAAATAGAGCGGTTACGTTTGATATTCGGTTTTTAAGTAGCCTTATAGTTTGTTATGCATTAACGCCTGAGTTGGCACAGTTTATTTAAGAGCTGAGAATACGAATAGTCCGGAGGTGTATGAACGAGCACTAGAAATATGCGATATATGTATGTAGATACATACGTATGTATATTCGAATCGGGTTCGATTCTTCGTTCGATTAGAGTCATCGCAACTTATTAGCAATACTTATTACAGTTATTCGTCCCACCATTAATTTTAACTACATACATACGTATGCAATAATTCTTGCCGTTTGTAGTTGACATACTTGTATGTATTCGCATGGACAATACAGATAAACAACGGTTAAACATGCGATAAAAGGAAAAAATTATAATCTCCGAATGCTCAGCACACCGAACTTGGCCATGAAATCGAAGAAATTCTGGCAGTGCAATTTCTCGATGCTATAAATTATAAATCCTGTTTTGATCGCAATCTCGTTATTAAATTTAGTTCGATTTATATTCAACGGGAAATAGCCACGAATTTTTAAAATGCACGTTACAGTGTACACACGTGCATACTATAATACATACACAGTGCCCTTGTCATTTTTACTAGTCCCCCCCCCCCCCCCCCCAGTCGGGCCTAAATGGTATTTCTCGTGACACGCCGCACCAAGTGGTTAACTTGTGTTTTGTTTTTATCGCGGTTGTTTATTCAACATGCACAGATATGCACTCGTGCAGAATTATCTTTTCTTCGTGCAAACCAACGAAAAGTATCACAAATGTTTGGAGCAAAAATTGTACACGCTTCATTAGTAAAATAGTATGTATGTATGTATCTAAGTCAGCTTAGCAGAGATGCAACTGGCTCGGTTGGAAACCACTTTTTATACAAGAACGAAGGTGGAAGGAAAAACCGGTCGGGGATCAGAAATAACGTGTGACCAACGACTTCGCGTGAAAGTATTGGGAAAGCATATCCCGCAAAGACCGTATTCCCTTCAAGATTCTTTCGTGCATCGAATGTCAACGATTATCCAATTAACTCCATTAAACAAAGCATACGAAGTCAAGGCTAAATATCGCGTGAAGCGACATCTATAGTTTGACGAAACCCATCCGATTTGATGTATGTACCTATACAATATGTACAATACAATACATATTCAGAATTGCATCACTGAAATAACCGCGTCACGGATATGTATTATGAAGAATTTAAGTCAATTGGTTAAGCAGATTCACATTTCCACGTTAGGTACTATCGAACAAATTGAAACTACGCGGCGGCATCGGTGGCGGTGCTTCCCGACCAGCCTACGTTTATAGTAAAACCGCATTGTCGTCACTGGTCGTCACGTTATTCTTCGTCTGGCAGGTTTGCAACTTGAACCTTTTGCATAAAAATGACCGCGTAAACATAATGCAAGATAAAAACATTTCCGTTTTGTACGTTCCGTTATTATACCAAGCAAACCATTCACAACAATGAGAAACCATACACTTGTGTACATAATTAATAAAACTGTCACTGATAACGCAACGTTCCAAGTTATATCGAGGAGACACGGTATAGCTAACGATAGTAGGACGAAAGAATGAAATTCTCTAAGATGTTAATCATACTTTGTAACAGAAATTCCGTATCAACGGGTGCCAATGTGTGTGCGTGTGTTATGTCCACATTCATTGTTCTTTCTACATCTCTCTCCACTTATCTACATACGTTGATTCGTCTAAACTGATGAGTGTCGTCACAGAAAGAGAGAACGACTGTCTTTCTGTCGTTGCGTGTCACATATTGTATTGCTGCTGTACTTTTCTTTAAAACAGTTTACGCCTACCATAGTTCGGCCTATGAACTTATGACATTATTAAACAACGATCGTTTTCGAACTTTTGGTACCTAGTACATACAACTTATGTAATTGAAAAATTTCGTATACAAATTGTGGACCACAAAAATTGTACATGCCTACTAGATTTTATGTTATTCGATTCTAATTCCTTAAGCATATCCATTTGTAATTGGAAAAGATTATTCAGTAAGACACACATTTCCGGAACAGAGGTTAGTTCGATGATTTAAACTGTTTAAAGGTTAGAGATATAGGACAAATTTTCTCTTCAGTTTTCTGTTTATCAATGTCAAGGCCACCGAAGTCGAACGTTGAAAAATTAAATGTTCAAAGAAAAACACGACCAAAGTATATGTACATATACTTAATCGTATGGAAGCGGGCGACAGCAAAAACATCGCATGAACTCATCGTTATCATTTGGTGGTCAATAAACAAGGGGGATGATCATGGACGAAACCGTACTCACGATGTTCTCCCGTACGGTGTTGTGAAACATTTGTTCTCTGAGGTCTGCTTCATCTTCCATTTTCATCTATTTATCAGCAAATTTCTTTCAGTTAAATGTACCGTCGTTAGCAACATTTTATTACAACAATAATCTTCGTATACGACACACCATGCCCAGATCCTTGCAAATGACACTCGCATTCATTTCATTCGCGGAGCTTCTGCTTTTAACGATTGATCGCAAGAAGCCGCACCTTTTATATCTGTGCAATTGGTGCAATAAAAATCACATTCCTGTTTTTCTTGTTTTTCGTATTATTTTCACGTAATAAACACGATGCACACCGACCCCCCCTTATGGTTGGCAAACTACTGAAAACGGTGGCGCCGATTTCTGCTTTAGTACTACTACGCCATCTGTGACTTCGATATGACCAGCAGTTTACATTTAAATGTCGCGCGCTGCAAGTGAATCTAAAGGTTTGTTATTATTTTTATACCTGTTTAACCAAAATTGTTGGATAGAAATGCGGTAAAAAGTATTTTCACTTTTCCTTCACAGAAATATGCTGTGGGTTGTTCTATAAATCTCGGCTTTATCGTGAATGTTTCTCATGTACACGATTCTAACGACATTCAGATTTAAATGATGAATCGTCACTGTGGTCGTTTGTGATTTCTTTATGCTTGGTATTGTTTATCACACTGTGGTTGCATGTGATTATTTGCGAATGACGAGAGCAGAAAGGTAATGTAAATAGCTCATTTATTTCATTTCATCGAAAGGATGTTAGCTTACAAAATGCACTGCGCGCTACCATATAAATATAAATACTTATGTGAATCTCTATCATTAGTAATTCGTCATTTATTCATATCTAACAAATTCGCACTGATTTGGTTACACAGGCAATTGCATTGTTTCATACTCTGTACACACATAGTACAACGCACTATTATGTAGCTACATCCTTGCACATAAAAAAAGACATGTTATATTAACAGATTTCTAATAAATACTACTTATATATTTTGTTACAAAAACTATTAAAATTTTGTAGCTGTTGTCGCTCCATTGGAACTCTTATACATATATACTTTTCTTGTGCTTATTGAATCAAGTGAAAATCTCGATAACCAAATAATTGAAATATCCTAATATTATGTGTATACATAATGTAGATGTAGTAGTTAATTTGTATGTAATTACTACTGTGTATATATCGTACCTGGATCGTAAATTAATCTATGGTAGTACAGAGATCAAATTTTTAAGACAACACTCTACAATTATCATAGAGTAACATGCTTTATTGATAGAATTATGATGTCATTTGTGTTAATAGTAATTTAGTCTTTTTCTATAAAATTCGTTATTAACAGTGCTAAACAGATATTTGCTCGTCAGAAGCGACATTAATTGAATTTTATTTCGCTTTAAAAAACGCTTTTTAAGATTCACTTATGTATAGCATGGAACATATTCACTGCCACTAATGAATTCCGTTTATACTAATTTAACCATATATCACAGATTCTTAATCTTGCTAAAGAGGTTATGTTTGCAAGTTGATTACCCACCACTTTCAATCGGATGAATAAAAGTGGGCCAATCAATTTAATAACTGGAATTCTTGCTAGAATTTCTAATGTTTAAAATACAAACAATTCTATATACTTTATAAACACGCATGATTTTCTGAGAAATTTCCTATAAAAAATTCCAAATGTAAGGACTAAATTAAAAATCTGTGTATATTAAGTGTCTAAACAATCCTCATAGTGCACTGCATATCTTATATTAACAATTCTATCCGTATCAAACAGCTAGTTTTGCTTGCAAGCTTCATGTTAGTGCCAACACTTCTGCTTGACACTCGAATTTATTGGTACTTTGAAACAGTAGTCTGATCAAAAGTAATTGATAGTTGGCAAAGGACAGATTTATTTTGCTATGCTGCTACTTCTCCAAAATTCATATGACCAGTTTCTTTGGCATGCTGTTGTGCAGCCATTTGTCCATTTAATTTAATTTTGCAATCACTGCACATTAATGTGAACTTTTCAACATCTGTGAACTGACGATTAGATTTCGCTTCCCTTGCCAATTCTGCAGCTGCCACTAATATCCTTTCATCTTCTGTGGGAAAAATTGTTTGTATACTACCACCCTGCAATCATATATAAGAAGTGGAAAAATTGATTATAGATGTTATAAGCTGGTATCTTTTAAGATAATATACTCACATCAAGCGGTTCCAAATATAAGGGATCATAATGTATTCCATCAAATATTAAAAACACTCTTTGAGCATAATGTTGATCTTCTCCGAAACGGTTGATGATTGCATTAATACTATCAATTACTGCTATCTCTAGACCATAGAATTTTGACAATATCGATAATTCTATGGCTCCTCCCCAAGATTCAGGCTTCAGAATCCATTTACAATATTCAGGATTTGGTCTACCCAGAAATGCTTCGGAATATTCTTCAGGATCTGCGTCTACAGCATTTGCTATGATTTCCCTCATGAAAGTGGCACAACTGGGATCAACCTTACCTGGAAGTATACTATAAAATTAAAGGGTGTATAAAATGCTTAGATACATGTATAGAGTGGATGAGAAACATGTTTACAAGCCGTCTACAAAAAAATACGTATATAAAGTTTATACAATAACATGTACCATTGAGCACATAGCCGACGCTGGTAAACAAGCATGAATTATCGGCAGGCACGACTTTCTTCATCAAAATACCGGGCGTATCGATGAAATTTTCGTCGTCGACGATGTGAGATCGACCGATGTCTTCTGGCTTTTGTTCCCCATTATATTGAGGGGGTTTTTCCTCCACGATCAAGGTATCACCAGAGACAATGCCTCTTTCCTCGATTGTCACCTTCTCGTCGTCCAGATTAATCGGCTTTGGTGGAAAACCGCCGAGAACGTGAAGCGCACCGAGTGGAATTCCCGTAATCTCGGCTAGTTTCGATTTCAATTCGGATACCTTGTTCTGAGGGATTAACCCGTTCACGACCTTTTGACCTGATTTTGTCTTGATCTTCAACACAAACCCGGCCATCGTTCGTCCGCGCGAAACACTGAATCGACTAGTTATTTAGTCAGAAGAACGAAAATTGTCTTTCTCGTCTCTGCTCCGTACCGTTGATCAGCTGTTGAAACAGCACCCTGAGTGAATTTTTCCCGTTTTCGGAACAATTATCATATCACGAGTAAAACGCCGCTTTGATTATACGCAATTCATCGCCTCGCGTATTCGGTACTTTTAATACAGCGACTATCTCTCGCTATTCGTCATCGTATTTAATACGTAACTTGACGTAACTGAATACAGCAGTCTCCGCCGTCTCCGCCGTCTCCGTCTCCGTCTCCGCTGGTCTCCGCTATCGACGAACATGGTTGCTGATGGTTGCGTTGCGATCGTTGCGATCAGTTGCAGTTAGAACGAGCAGTCCAGTTACATTCGTGTTTCTAGGTTGGCTCAACTTTATCTTTTTTAACTAACGTCTAGTAAGTATTTAGTATAGATAGGTATTTCGTGTATTTCGGTTTATTCAAACGAGGGGAATTCAAATGCCGCGCCGGTGAAACACACTGTCCCGACCATGGACCTTTAATTTTAGGGGTAAACAGATGGTTCAGAGGTTCAGACGAGAAAGAATTAATGCGTATGTGTATGCGACAAGAATAGTGCTGAGAATATGTATAGATATGTACATATAGTATAGTGGTAAATAAAGGTTTCTTGTATACAGACTGTCGCAGTTTTCACGTAAGGCGTTTCTCCTATACCCGCACCGGCTAATTCGTTATTACGTGGCGAATTTGGGGGCGAAAGGTTGTCGTCAGTCGCCGACAGTCGGTTTACATCCGTTGAAGTGACAAGTTGTATGCGTAGCATCGGTGAGTTTGGGAATACATATTACATATTAGTACATATTAGTACGGTAGTATAATGCAGATGAGTTGTTACTAGTATTTCATTCATACAATATACATATATGTATGTACATATTATTGATTCGTAACCGGTGACGCGGAGACTCGTGTAGAATTATTTTTTCGTGTAATTACTTGAACGTGTGGACTGTTTATGGTCACGTGGATTTAAGTTGTACCTTCTTGAAAGTAGCAAATGTTGATTCGCATCCTATAATTCTATGTCGGATTATTTAAGAGGAGTCTCTGAGACTTCACGCACGTCACTATACTATAATCATAATCTATAATCTATAAATCTATAATCTGTAATTATATATATCTTGATGTGAGAAAAGTGCTGGTACGTCACCGGTTACGGGGGTTAACGGTATAAATATTTTTCTTTATTTCTCAATACTTTATTTTTCATATCATTGATATTATCCCTTCCCCAGAGAGGCAGGAGAACGGGTTGGTAAAAACTATTTCGTTCAGCGATTCGAATAAGTAAGTAGATAAATGGCGCGTAACCACCAGGACAACAGTCGGCGCTGAATTCAAATGGAATTCTATGGAGAATCGCGTAAAGCGTAACGTACTGCGACAAACTGGTAACGTACATATTCTAATAATAAGTTTCTTTATTCGGTAATGATCTTATTCGTTTAATAATAATTCGAAATGATATGATTAATAAAAAGTGACGTACGCAATCAATGAAATAAACGTAAATTACATTTATTCGAACACATTTAGGAATATAGGTTTCCACAAACGAATAAAACAGTATATCCTTTAACGTAATATTGCACATAATGCGTATAGTATACATATACATATGTATATAGTTTTACTTAAATCTGAATTATACAATACTCACTATCAAAAATAACTTGCGTTTTCTTTCTCGCTTTTCTTTTCTCGTTAATTACACCGCAAGACACTGCTGTTATTTATTATTAAATTTCGACTGGTTGTGACGAAAGTTATTTCCTCAAAGCAACACCGAAAACGAGAACGTAAGAATCGTGAAAAGGTATCACCACCGCGAATAAATATAACGTATTTACACGAATTTACATAAGCAATGGAAAATGGCAAACAGATTTTCGAAGAGAATCTTTCTACGCTTCTCTATTAAATACATTCGTCGATTTTATCGTGTACGCGCGGTCGTGGAAACGGAAAATACATAGGTATGTATATATTTTCGATCCCATCGAAAGTATTAAAAAAATTTGTTTTTATTTAGGTTAAAACTATTTTCCATGTTTCAAATAAAACAGAGGAGGACCGCACTCGATGCGAATAAATTTCTGCTTTGCGATCGACTTTCGATAAATATGTTCTTTAGTCGTTTCTCCCCTGGAGATTACATACCATGTATTATGTGTACTCCATCGTTCGATTATTCCAGAGTGTCTTTCCCCGTTTTCGGTAAGAGGAACGACATGAAACCGCACACTGAAAAAATCAACACCGAAAAATCAAGTTAAATCAATGAATTTCTCTTTATTAATAAGATGGAAACGTTGGGATACTTACTGAACAAAAATGCCGCGAATAAAACTATAGGAATCACGCAGGAAAAGTCGATTAGGTAGCCGAACACCAAATTACCCACGAGAGCGCCTAATCGACCCATTGTTAGAGATAGTGCCGCAGCCATTACTCTGGAAATTCAGTGATTCGTGTTACTTGGTTGCTTTATTATTACGTCTTACAACTTACAATACATGTATGTATGTATGTATATGTATATTAAACATAACGACGTGAAAAGGAAAAGCAGTTCATCCTTTCGCGAATAACATTCTTCTTTAAGTTGCTCGAGTGTTTTTATGTATATGTATATGTATATGTATATGTATATGTATATGTATATGTATATGTATATGTACATGTATATATGTACATGTGTATTATAAGCAGTCGTGTAACCGTACTTTTCTTAAATCGCGAAACGATTCAGAACTTTTGATCGATAGAGTAATTGATTGTTTATGACCATTAATTTGTTTAAAGCTCTTATACCATATGTATGTATATATACGAATATTTATCATTGTGATTATCGTTGCAAGTGATTGAATTACGCGAGTGATAGACAGTTGTCGGAATAGTAGGTACTTATATGTACATGTATGTACAAAGGATTCGGTTGTGTAAGAATGGAATGATGAAATGATGAGAGTAGGCTGGTAGTATCAATATCGTTGTTTTGTCTCTGCAGATATCGCAATAATTAACTGTACCATAGAACGAGCATAAATCTCGCGACACCCGACTGTTTACCCGTATGTTTGAATAAATAAATCAAATAACGTCTACTCACCTGAGATTCGTCGGGAACATGTCGACGATTACGCAATAAACTAATGAGATACCGAGAGACGTCAGGGCCTCGAAAACGCATGACAATATCAAGTTCTGCGTCGAGTTGACAACATAATAGAAGGCGACGGTCACGGCGCCGGAGACCAACAAAGACACGACTGAAACAGAATACATACATACATACATGTTTTGCGAGTTATTTCAATGATTTGGGGAATCATCAGAGAAACTGATTCTTTTCTAATTCTTTCTTAGCGTTCTCTCATGGGGATTCGATTTTTACTGGAAAAGCTCATTGAGAAATACCGAGTTTAACGGTAATTCAGAATGTGTAATAGGCCTAATAGGATAATGTTAATCGGGAGGGGGCGAGACGATAAAGCGTTGTATACGCACTGAGGAAGAATTTGGCGCCTAGTTTGTGCACAAACAGTGGCAAGATGATGGATCCAGGAATGCAGGCGAGTCCGATGTAGACCGTGTGCAGATAAACGGTAGGTGCGATGACGGTGTCGCATCCGTATGGGTCAGTGAGCGTCGCGTTATCCGATAGAGCGGACACTATACAGACCGATGTGCTTTCGCCGGGATAGTTATGCTCGAACTGCTCGAATCTACAATGATTGTCGAATTAAAAAGAAAGAAGAAACAAGCAAATAATTGAATGTTCGGTCACCGGGCAGGGAGGTTGTACGAATATGGTTACCTGGTGAATAATTCGGGAAACCAGACCATGAGAGTGTAGTAACTACTGGTCAAGCCAAATTGAATGGCACAGGCTAGCAGCGTGTTACGAAGGTACGGCGATTTGCAGAGAGCCGCCGTGAGGTCTCGTACTTCTTTGAAAAGGACCTTCAAGTCCTTTCGTTTATGGAGCTTCAACGACCTGGTGCTCTTGTCTTTGGTTTTCTCTTGTAAGGACTTGACCGGATAGGAGTCGGGACTCTCCCCGGTGTTTTGTGAATAGATCCATTTGAACACTTCAAGAGCGGCTTCCGTTTCGCCGCACTCGAGTAGGAACTTTGGGCTCTCCGGGAACGCGAACAACCAAAGGCCCAACATAAGCGAGGGTAACGCGCACAACGCTACAAAGAGATTCCACGACTTAAAGTAGAACACGTCCGAGACGTACATGAAGTCCATTGGTATGATCAGCCAAGCGATCACTGGATCGGTTCGGAAACAAAAAAATAATAATTTATGTTACTAATTGTGGAAAAAATTGTTCTGAAAAGGGTTTTTCTTATCTTTTTTCTTTTCGTTTCGTTTCGTTTCGTTTCGTTTCTTTTCTTTTTTTTTACTGTCGGAAAGAATGATCGATACATCATTTCGGAAAATTAGCGGATCATCCTTTTCTGCAAATGAACTTATACATATACATATGTAACTTATATTCTATACGTATGTATGTATATTCAGTTAGCGGTTTGGAGATTGTAATGCCAGGATAGAAGGGTTGACAAGCGGAACGCACTGACGATAATCGAAGATATTGTTATACATATGTATGTATGTGTACCTTACTATGTATAATCAATGTGAGTACTTACATGGTAATACTATAACTCCGATGGTCCAGAACATTTCCATCCAACAAAGACATCTTTCGCGATACTTTGTCGGCTGGAACTCCCCTAAATACGGAAAACAAATTCCCATAGCTCCCGTAACGCTGTATATATAAACAAATAAAAATAAAAACGGAAATGAAATAAAAAGAAAAAACGAATAAAGAGGTGAAAAAAAATAGAAGGAGAGATTCGTCCGAGGACAGGCTCGTTCGAACGATGACACTTACGCGAACCCGTTGAAGAAACGGAAGGCCAGAAATACCCAAAAATACTGGACGAACGAGGATACGATGCCGACAACACCGTCCATCAGCAACGTGGCGATTAACACGATTTTGCGACCTTTGGTGTCAGCCAGGCATCCCCATATATAAGATCCGACTACCATGCCTGTGTTGTTAAATCGAAAAGTAAAGTCGTTAAACGATTAGATGGGCTTAAGAAGAAGACGAAGAAGTGCAAGGAGAATGAAAATAAAAAAAAACATTTATGTAGATGGAGGAAGCGATATTAGTCGGACAGTGTAGAAGAGATGTCTTTAAAATTTACAAATATGGCGAACGTTGGAAAGCTTACATGTATATGTGTATGTATAACTTACCTAACATGGGGGACGCTGTTAGCCACCCTTTCGACGTAGAGTCCATTTCCAAATCGCATTGCGCTGCCGGAAGCACGAACGAGAGTATAGTCACCCCGATCGCGGTGTCCATGTAAATGAGTCCGCATACTGTCAGCAGCATGTAATGGAACTTGCCGAATCCTAATTGAAATTTCAAAAATAATTTCTAATTGTTAGGTCACTTGATAGATCAATCGAAAGCCTGGATTATTTGAAGCATTTTATGTGTTTCGCTTGTTACATATATGTATGTACATATACATATGTGTATACAAGAAATCATCTGGAAACAGACAAGTTTCTCCATGTTACCGATAAGAGTCTCGTTCCTCACGATGCCGTGGTAAATAAACTGTTGGATGACCAACCTATTTACTCCGATTCACTCTATCGTATGAATATAACTGCTCTGTACGAAAACAACTTATGTAGTTACCCTTATTTTGCCCAAAGTCCGAACCGTCCGAACTTCTAGTTACTCATCCCAGACTAACCACCACAGAACGTTAGTATATGTCACATGTATAAGGCCCTATGCATGTTTCACAGAGAACTTAATTCTTGTTCAGTCACTCTGACCTTAGTGCTCCGTTACGAATAAAAACATCTTGTTAAAGTCATTAAGTTTGTTCGAAAAGTGTTGCACACAGTCCATCACCCGGAATTCAAGATATTATGTAGGTAACTTGTGTGTTATTTATGAAAATCCCGGTACAATTTAAAGGAACACACAGAGCATTTCATGTTTCTGATTGACAGTTTTCCAATTTTCGATGGTTTAATAGCTGTTAATTGGTCGTTCCAGATTTCATTACTCGCAAACACATTCGAGTAAATTGTGTCGCGGGTCTCGCGGGAATGAATGAGAATCGAAGTTAAAGTGTCAGAAAACAGGAAATCGTCGGTGGAGGTTTTCGTTTGTTTGTCCCAGTCGATGATCAGATTCGAAGCGGTTTCTTTGGTTGGATAAAGCTTTCGACAGCGTTACGATTTACGATAACGCGATAACCTCTATCTCGAATTTAATTAATACGCCATTAATATGGAATAAGCTTTTGCGACTTACCTGTTACGGTGATTGCATGCTCGAAATCGGCACCTCCGTCTGCCAAGAAGTCGAGACCTGTTGAGAAAAGAAAGAAGTATCGAAGCGAAGAATCCTATGATTCTTTTCATCGAACACCCCACGTGTAACGCGTGACGTCAATTTTGCAACACCGATAGTAAAACGAGCCGATTGAAAAACAACGGTGCTAGCGGTTATGCATTATCAACGATCTCTGTACTAGTGTGTCAATAATAATGATCGAAGCGACGATTTTTTATAATCTATAAAAAAATCTCCTAAGCGCGATCTCGGTTATTATTGAAAGGGTGTACGTATACAGATTTAGATATGCAGTTAACCGAGGACTTTTCTATTCGGGATAGTACCCACGTCGCGATTCGGTGGGAACGAGATATGTTGTCAAAGTTGAAGGTGATTTCGAAGACTTTTTGAAACGTTACCCATGATGGATGGTTACGTTGCGAAGATCGACTGTACGCTGTCGACAGGAGGTGGTTGGGTCAAGTGATGTCGTCGTCGTCGTCGTCGTCGTCGTCGTCGTCGTCGATGAGAAACCGGGTGCCTGGAGGACCCCGGTCGCCAAAGCGCTGCACTGTCTGTTCCTCGTGCGGGTTCCACGGTTTTCTCCTTGTTTGCAACCACTGCACGCTACGCTCATTGGTGAACACTCGGTGGTATTTGTTCGCCGTCTTTATCGCCCGGGCGAATTCGACGATGATTGCCACCGAGAATAATCTCTTTTTCTCTGTTCGCGAGTCGAGAATACCGCTTCTAGGCCGAGTCTAGCGTGTATGTCGTGGTTGATGAAGACCACCCCACAGAATACTCTTCTTCTCTCTTTGACGGTTTATCGAACGGCGACTGGAGATGGATCGGTGTTCGTGCCGATTTCCGTATACCTAAATGGACGACAGACTCTTTTGAATAGTTCCTCTGCGAAAAGCAACCCGCCAACGATCGACGGCGAGTGTACAACTGACCAAAATTGATCGTGCCGGAACATACTATGTTGAGCATTTCGGTAGTTTGTTGGTACCCACGAGATAAGATATAACCCTTCCTCTCTTTTCTTTCTCACGCCGTGACTACCTGACTCTCCGATTTCTTTCGTATACGCCCGTAACGAAACATCTTACGAGTGTCTTTAGCTGAGAGCGAGAGCACGCTCTTCTTGACTGGTTCTCTCTCTCTCTCTCTCTCTCTCTCTCTCTCTCTCTCTCTCTCTCTGTCTTTAGCCAGTAGAAAAATGAAAGGACAATGTCAAGTGGAGTGTCGAACAATGTTAATGTTGCGTATCCGTCCGATACAAGACATCCGCTATTCTCTGAAGAATAGACGAGTATGTATACTGTATACATATGTATGTAACAAATTTGTCGAGTCGATACGTAGCATAAGAGGGAGAACGTGTCGAGCCATCAATGACGAGTTTTTCCTGAAAATAGTTAAACGTTCTGTACACACGTGTTGTTGAGACGGGGGGTTTGCAACTGCCACGATGCAATCGTGCCCCGTGTATTCTGAACACGATAACACAGTTGAAACAAGCATCACGGGATTTCTAATTGCTTTGGATTAGTTTTGATTTAAATACGCGAAAACTGTTTACCCATACCTTCGGTATATACGAGCGGCTTTGAAACGTATCAAACGAGATATCTGATGTGTTACGAAAGATTGGGAGATCTCTCTTATTCGTCGACCTACTAACAATAAGAAAGGAATAATTTCGAATGTTCACACGCACGATGTACCCTTAAATCTAATGGATGGTAATTATAGGTGGGAAAGTATGTAGGTAACGGGGCATATTCGTCGATTTGGGTCTTCAATTGCATTTCCTTCGTAATGCGGCCCGGGTACGTTCAAATGACGAACCTGACTCTACACAGAAATATGTATTATTAATAGGCCGAAAACGCTGACAATGAGTTAACTGCCAATTTGTAACGAAATTAGCTTCTAATCGTAAAAGTATTTCGCGGTTCGAAACTATGTATTTCGTGGTGCAGTAGGGTATGTCATGTATGTACAATGTACGCGCTATTACTTCTCCCTTATTTGATTATTTACGACCACGAAAAATGTTGTCGCCGTATTGTCGTTGCAGCCTCGTGTTATCTAAAGACGAAACTCGAAATGACTACGCGAACTCGTTTGCTTGAGAACTCGGTCGGTTGTCTGATGACATGTTTGCCCGAGTAGTATATCATGGGTACGTTCCACGTATTTTTCAAGCATTATATTCATCGAGCCGAACAACCGAGTTCGAAGGTTAACTTGAAACTGTAAACTGGGTTATTTGCGTGAAATAAATTACAAGTACGTGTACACGCGAGTATCCAAGGAAAGTCAAGATGGAGGAATCGCTCGTTGCGTTTCCTTCGCCACTTCCGGTTGGTTCTCGGAGACGTTATGTTTGGATCGAGCCAGTCGTTCCTACTAAAAAACTAAAATATGTATAAATATCGACTCCTGATATTAGTATTTACGTTTCCATCTTTTTTTGTTTTTTATCTTTTTACACCAGTCTTATCTACGATCGCGTATTATCAGCATATCTAGATATGTATGTATGTATGTATGTATGCATGTACCTACCTACGTACGTATGGTATGTATGTACAATATTTCGTCGTATTTGTCATGATTCGACAAAGTCTACGATCGCATTTTCGATGGCACGCGCTTAGCTTGCCTTTTGCGGCTTTTCGAACGACACAACGTTTCCTAGAGTCCTACATCTAAGTACATGTGTGCATACATACATACATACATACATTCATACATTCATACATTCATACATTCATACATTCATACATTCATACATTCATACATTCATACATTCATACATTCATACATTCATATATTCATACATTCATACATTCATACATTCATATACGTTCATACATTCATATACGTTCATATCCTGTACGGCGGGGATGATGTGACACATACCTATGCATATAGGTATGTATTTTGTTGTGGGTGCATTTCGAAGTACATATGCATGTACATATATCTATCCTAATCTAAGCTAGTCGAAACTAGATACGGCTAATACGGCTCGTACTAGATTTATTCGATAACGTAAACATATTTATCGCGTCGAGCATCGAATAACAGGCACCAACAGAAATTTCGTTGTTTTTCAGGACGGAAGCCTTTTGTTTGACATCGGATTAACGAGCAGTTGCAAAGGTTCTCGAGCGCTCTGTTAATTTAACCCACATCTAACCTAGACCTCGGAGAGTTGAGACAGTCCCTGCGGGGATTTTAACCTAATCGCGACGGAATTGAATCATAGACTTTATCGAATTTGAGCAAAGGTAGTCTCGGTCTCGATTCAACTTGATCTAACTGCATGCGTCACTTTATCGAATTGAATCGTGTAATTCGCTAACCGTATCGATCTTGCACCTTTTTACAACCGGAATAAATCGTCGTTTGTACGCTTCTTGTTGTTTCCCCGAGCGCTGCTGTTACTTACATCATCGACGCGCGGAAATCTATCTTGTGAACCGGTAAAATCCCCAAACGAGAGATTTATGTGATTTATTATCGGATCGAGGGATCTGAGAGCCGGCGAGCAATCGCCGACTATAAGTATAGTGTATAGATCGGACACGCGATATCCGGACTGATTAATCAGACTTTTCCTGGGATTACTTTGTACATACAGTATAGAGTTTGTTTCTTCGAGTTTTTATTTTCAGACATACAGGGTTTTGTCATACACAAATACATACATACTATGTACCTATTGTATATGTATTGCAAAACTAAAGTAGGTACACAACATATACTATACATACATATGTACATAGTTACATGTATCTTCCTGTTTGAAATCCATGACATTCGTCCATGTATCGTAATTCACTGTCAACAGATAGATATCACCGTTTACAAGAAGACTTTTACAATATTCCTGAAGATGACGAAGATCACGAATTAAGTGATAGCAAATTATTTAAAAATGTTTTCTTTTTTCATTTTCATGGTCAGATCTCTGTTTCGAAACACTGCGTGACGATGATGTTCGGATCTTTCCGTTTTCTCGAAATGCAACCGATCGCGAGCAGTCGGAAGGTTAGAGATCCGTTTCGGAAATCAGCCAAAATTACGGGGCGCGGGTTTACGTAATCAGGACTACGAGGCTTTGTCAGAGCGCACGTGTGCAAGAAATTTCTGGGAAAATGGCGCTGCCCAGACGTGGGATATACATACCACCGGAGCTATGTAAACAGTTGTATGAAATCGGAGAACAACAGTGGCACTTTTATGAATCGAAACTTGGCAGAATCACAGTCAACTTGAACGTTATTAAAGAGCTACATACAAAGTACCAACGAATAATCTACTTGGCTATCTAACAGAGTCTGATAATACGAATTGCGCTGTAAACAAGGAAACGAACGCGGAAAAAAATCGAGATAACGATCGGAATTTCAACGACGAATCGTCGATGTATTATACATATATGTACCTATATGTATACAACACCGTAATATTAACTTGGGCGCGTTCGATCTATCGTGTATTTTGTGTGCCATGCGATGATGTTGGCTCGCGATCGACGCATCTGGTGGAGCCGCGCCAAATATTCGATCGCCATCGTAATATTTCCGTCATCGATGCGACGCGGCTGTTCTCTGTCACCGAGTACCGTGATCGTTAAACGACAATCACCAAGACGCTTCCGTAGTAAGGAAAAAAAACTGGGATGAACGATGTTTGTTCCACCCATGAATGAACAGTGGGTCGCCCTCAAGATTCCCAACTGTCTCGGGGTAGAGGATCCAGAAAGAGAGAAGATCAGCAAAGAGGTTCACCGCGAAATGGCTATACTCCAAATTCACTCTCTATTTCGGCCTGGTTTCAATGTCAACAACAACGTGCATGGTTTTGTGTGTGTGTGTGTGTGTGTGTGTGTGTGGCGAATAGCGGGAGAGAGAACGACAGAGGGACGAGTAATAATAAAAAGAAAGGCGGCCGATTAAACAAAGCGGATCGAAAAGATAATCTCGTGGTTAGACGGAAGGAACGGAGGGGTGGGGGTGTCTTACCGATCGACGGGTGGCGGGTGGTACGCGACGATCTAGCTCGACACCACGGTACTCCTCGATGGCGCTCGTCGACTGATACATGTATCATGTATGTATACCGCCACGGATAATTTCTAATCATTCATAAACTATTTCCGGAATTGCGTTGCGACTACAAGGGCACAATGACAAGAAATCACGATGTGGCGGTTACGACGCGATCCGCGGAACCGGGAGATGTCGACGACGGGTGGACACCTTAATTAGAATGGAAGAAGCAGCTACGGCTAAGGACTGGTTAATTGCGCTGCCGACGGCCAACATCGACGGGACGCGACCCGGATGCATAAAGTACTTACACACGACGAGCGTTGTTTTCTATATGATATAATGCGCACGACCGATACCGCCGCTTCTTTCTAATTCGGTCGACAGTCTTGTCGCGCTTACGCGGTGCACTGCAACATCGTCTCGATGAATGTTGTCTCTGGGATCCGCTTCGCCGTTTCGAGTCATACCTGTAGCGTGTGCCCGCTACAGGTACATACTGTATGTATATAGTATATGCCCGTGTGTCTCTCCTAAGAGGGTGGGGTTACACCGGCTGCTCTAATGATTCTTGCTGCTCGCGACGCTAAACGACCGTCCAGCAGACGGCAGAATTCACTCGGACGTCGTTCATTCGTTAATCTCTTGTCGTTATTCTGTCCGAATTACCAATCTATGTGTACATATGTACATATAAATGTGTACCTGCTACCTAACCACCGTTCGGACCGCTCGTCCAGTCTCGTTCCTCCGTGGATTCATCAATGGGATCGTAAATATGTAGAAAGATTTAATCAGCAGAATAAACGTGATGGGGGGCGGCGGGGATGTTTTGGATGTTTCCACCACTAAACAACTCAAAAAAGCTGGATCACCTCCTTCGAAAGATCCGACGACGTTAGAGATTCCGAATGTCTGTCGTCGAGTCAATCAGCGAGTGGCGTTTGATCGAGTATACAAGGAATGGCAATTAAACAGGTGATCTGTTTTCTAAGCCTACAATGTCTAGAGCGACATCGATACGAACAAAGATCGATGACTGTGACGTCTTTAGATGTTATCCGTGATGCAACGGTCGATGCAAGCGGTGATAGTAGCAGGCTTTCTATCTCGTTGCAAGAGTATACCCGTACTATCAGCTTCCCGATGATCTTATATTCGGTTTCAGAGACCTGCAATAAAAACGGTTTAAAATGCTCGTATCGAAATCCCCGATGACTTGCCGAGCATACACCATAAACGGCTTTAATGTTTGCTAAAAAACATTCGTGTAATGTGTTGTTGACGGATTACCGTCCGGTAAGCTCCGGGTACCAATAAAAATAATTTCCTCGCTCAAGGTTACTTGTTGTTGCTTCGCTTTATAAATCCCCTTTCGCGGGAAAAGGTTTACGTATCTTAAACATGCTCGATCCTAAGTTGAATCACCCGTGATCCAGACACATGCGAATTCGTTTGTGTGTGTGTGTGTGTGTGTGTGTTTTTTCAATTTCTTCTTTCCTTTAGAGCGAATCCGTCCTTTTTCTTGATACGACTCGGAATAATTCAGGGATCAGCGACGGGAGAAAGCTCGAAAGTAATATCGGTCCGATTTTAATACGAATACTTTTTTTATTGAGTCTCAATGGCCAGCATATGAATAGTTTACAATACAAAAAGTCTCGTATATAGAAAAATAAAGTATCATACATACATCTTATCCATATGTATAAGATGGTGAGGAGGTGACGATCGACGTTCTAACGGTGTTAGTAGTTGCCTACCGACAGATACTTGGTCGTGTTTCACGCGATTAAGTACAGGCACGGTGACGAATTACATACATATGTATATGTACGTCAAGGGGATCCGGATAGAATAAAGGCACCCGTGAAGCAGTCAGAAATTATCGATTACTTTGTTGTTTTTGTTCTGGTTGGAAAGTCTTTAGCAGCTAAAACGACCTCTGACAATTACGTGCCATTAACGATTAACGATTAACGATTAACTAATGTTAGTAACGACAAACAAAGAAATTACGCTAAACAAACAGCTGATAACAACGCGTCACTTCCCTCTAGGTTAGGTAATTTCACGTTGAAATCGAAAGAATACGTACCATCGAGTGGACGGAATTCAATCGAACCGTCGCGTCGTTTTGTCGTTTAGATACTCGTTGAATATTTTGTGAAAAAATTCAGTGCCTTACGTGGCTTAAGGCAAACGTTAAATTCGAACGGATTACTTCGTGACACGATAGTACAATGATCATTTCGAATAAATCACCCTAATTACACTCTTTTTCTTTTTTTGTTACGACAACGAAATATGTATACTATAAAAATACGCACAGTATGTCCGGATGGGTGTAATTAGAGGACTAAATGAACTTGAAGTTACAACAGAAGCGGTCCAATGTTTACTACTTAAGTAACAATTTCTCTATTTTATTCCTAAGCTAATACAACTCTCGATAAAAATCGACAACTCGACCGACAAAATTGAAGAAAACAAATAAAATCGTTCAAGTAGTCCCTCTAATAACAGTAATAACTCTAATTATTATATTTCAGGCAGTATGACCGCGTACAGTATGTGTATATGTACCTAGAATATTAAATCTATGTATTTAGCAGCGATTCTTCAGGGAGAATGGCTGCGTGAGCTCTTCCTTATCTCAAAATGTTTCAAACTATTATAATTCAATGATCGGTTTCTCGAGATTTTTCCCGTCAACATCTTCCAATCTATCAACATTATCCATCGCGAAATCCTAATGCATCGTGCACCTTTCGCCTGACATTCTGACCGAAGCGAAGGTAGCATACATTATCTCCCCCGATGTGAGATTCATCGGAACACAATGTATATCTACATAAATAGAGTAATACCGTTCAAAGTAGTAACGCCACCAGCGTGTATCCGAGTTACGGAAGATTGAACGATACTTTATATATGTACGTTCTTTTGCTAAATGAAATGCATTTACATACATCGTTTTAAAATACCGACGTTCAGCGTCTGTAATACCTTGTCTTAAGAATACAGAAATCCTTCTATTCTTCCTTCAGTTTGCTTCCCTCGATTTAACACTTTTCGTTGTCCGGTTTTTTCGGTGGCTTCTTCCTACCCGGCGTGAATAGCGCAAGTATTCCGCTTACTGAAATTCCAGAGAAGAGAACAAACGTCGATGCACGGTTAATTTTTCGAAATGCAAAATGGCAATAATCGCAGATGATGATGATGATGATGATGATGATGATGATGATGATGATGATGATGATGATGATGATGATGATGTTGATGATGATGATGATGATGATGATGATGATGATGATGATGATGATGATGATGATGATGATGATAGAGATACGTACGAAAAAGCTGAGCGGCCACTATGAGGATCACCATCGTACAATAGTCGTCGATGAGATAACCGATCATCAGGGTCCCGCTTATGGCACCTATTCGACTAATGAAAGCCGACAAACCGGCCGCCATAGCTCTGAAAAGCAAACATTAAAAGTATCATTACTTTGTCCATATATGTGTACAATAGAAATCGAATTCTAATTACTTTTTAGTTCCCGAGATTGTAATTACTTTTAACCGAAGCGATAGGAATACCAGTTTTTAATTAAATACCGATCATTGAGATTCCAGAATTTCGATGAGAATTGCAATGAATTTTATTGTATCTCGATGGGACAATCCCGATAAAGAAGCATCTCTTTAACGACGATAACGATTGTTTCGGTAGCGATACATATATGTACATACATACATGTGGGTATTGTTATCGAGCAGCCATAAAAATACAATCGCACTCGAGAATATTCAAGATCGATCGGCTCGGTGTTCGCTTAGCGTAGATAGTGGTCTCGGTTCGATTGATTATAAATAACCGACTAGATGAAAACACGTATTGTCCGCGCGGATATTTATAAAATCGATAAAACTCGGTCGACAAGTCTATCTTTAACGAACGAGACAGGTGAAAACAAATAATAAAAAAAAACAGGCTTGAACGAGCGGTAGAATGTCACCTGGTAGATTCTATCGATATTTTTCGCGCGTGAGTATCGTTATCGATCAACGAAATAACATAATAACTATGGCTTATCGTGAAAACGATTGGTCAACACCGAATTACCAAACCAACACACTCATCGAGACCACTCGAGAAACGCTTTAGAAATCGAGTGTAGAGAACGAACGCGTGTACCCGATGATAATGGACGAACAAGCACCTTAAATGCGTTGGATAGAGATCTACGAGAAGGCAGTAGACGACACTGAGGCAGACGGAGGTGACCGATTCGTAGGCGCACGAAAGTATCAAGTTCTGCGTGGACGTCTGCACAAGAAACAGACAGGCTGTCACGACAGCGGGCACGAACGCTGTTATCACTGAAATGAAAGAGAATATTAGTTTTAGGGTTAGTTTTACTTTGAATTTGAATTGTAATCGAAGCTCCATTGTCTGTTTCGATCGCACTCGTCTTACCAAGGAAGAATTTGTAGCCTACATAATTGACCAGAAGCGGCAATATCAGACCCGTGGGGATGCAAGAGGCTCCTAATATAAACGTGTGGACGAAAACGCTAGTTTGTACTCTCGAGTCGCAACCAAACGGATCGTTGGTAGCCACCTGTGCCTGTGCTCAGAGAAACGGGTTTACAGAAGTCTCGTAAACAGGTCGATCCTAACGAAACTTTGAATCGCTCACCATTTCCGTGGTGTTCCTTGTGCTCTTGAGGGTGCAAACGCTCGCCGTTTGGTTCGGGTACGCTTCCTGGAAGTCCGCGTACCTGTGAAACAGCTCCGGCAGCCACAAAGTCAACGTGTAATAGGCGGATGTGACGAAACACGCGATCAAACACACCACGATCGTACGACAGAGGAATGGCGGTTTCAGTATCGTCACTGTCTTTGTCCAGATGTCTTTAATCATCAGTCGAAAGGATTTCTCCTCGACATCCTCCTCCTTCGGGTCCCTCGTGTGCATTATACGGTGCACCAGATCGTTCAGATTGTTGTTCCCGCAGTTTCGAAGTTTCGTCTGGATCACACACGAAATCGAATCAGTTTCGCAGAGCTCCGACTCTATGTTTTTGTTAAAATCTAGGTACCTACAGCAATACGATTGTTACTCACTATGTATTCCTTGGCAGGTTCTCCGCTGTTCTCCGAGTACATTCTCATTAGTACGTCCAGCATTTGAACGTTCTGGCCGGTCTCCGCCAGATATTTCGGCGTTTCGGGAAAAAACAAGAGCCAGGCACCGGTGAATAACGCTGGCAACGAGCATATGAACACAAATAGATTCCACGAATGGTAAACCACACCGGCGATTTCTATGTTCACCTCCAGTGGAATAATGATCCATCCGACGCCTAGATTTCAGAGAGAGAGAGAGAGAGAGAGAGAGAGCAAATTTTGTCGAAAATTCAACAAAATCAAAAGAATAAAAGAAAAAGGATATAATAAACGGACGTAACACTTTCTAATTTTCACAGAATCGAGACACGCAAAAGAGAGGAGCGATCGGAAGCGGAGACCGATTGATATTCTCACCTGCCAGGATGATCATTCCCATCACCCATGCCATCTCCATCCACGAGAGCATCTTGTCGCGATATTTGGTCGGCTGGAATTCACCGAGATAGAGAAAAACGACGGCCGACTGTCCGTTCATTCTGCGAATATTCGTTTTCACGTTATCGTCTTATTGCCGAACAATCAATCGGTTAATATCGTCGTGCGATAGAAACGAATCTGTTATACTAACGCGGCGCCGCTAAGAAATTTCAAAAACAGGAAGAACCAATAGAGAGGCACCACCGAGGCTAACAGCTCCGAGATCCCGTGAAGAAACAGAGCAACCAACAGGGACATTCTTCGGCCTTTTATCGCCGCGTAGCAGCCCCAGATGTACGATCCAGCCAGCATACCTGCGAATTTCGAAAAATTATAAAGACATTATATTCTACATCTACATAATATGTACCTACATATTTATGTAAGTAAATTGCTGGATGGAACGAGTAGCATTCGACTGGAGTCAAGATGGAACATTATTTTTCAACGACGTAGAGGAAAGTAGAAAGAAATCAGCAAGACACGGACATTGTCTGTCGCCAATAGATTTGCATAGGTCATAGAGTATACAGTACTCTAGAATACACGTTTAAACAAACGAGGGATAACGACTCGGGGGAATCGTCGTCGTCGTCGTCGTCGTCGTCGTCGTCGTCGTCGTCGTCGTCGTCGTCATCATCATCATCGTTCACTTGTTCGCCGCGTGCGATTCGTCTCTGTGTTGGACCTTGTAGTAACTGCAGTACGAATCGATACGCATAATTAGCCGGTTCGATGCATCGACAACAATAAAACATTTTATCCGGTTGCTCGAGCGCGAGCAGGGGCCAGATAAAAGAAGAAGATACCAATTGCTCGACCGATCATTCGGTGTTTCACATCAAACATCACGAACAACAACATATGTATTTGGCAACGAGAATCTCGAGATATGCGTTCGGTAAGAAAAATGCTGGGGAATGTATCATTGTGCGTTCTGGCACAATACAAATCCTCAACGCTTGATTATTTGCATTCGAGTCGCAGCTGCGTGGCCGCGTAACCGTGTCGCCGCATCGAATGCAATAACTCCTTTACAGTATCGGTCGTTAATGCGCACGTACAAATCGTTTGAAATCGCACAAGAATCTAATCCGTTTCGAATGTAACTATCGAACAGATCTCCGCGCGTCGAATAATCGATCGAGGTAATTGTAAATTTGTAAGAGGGGAGGGTAATCTACAAGGTTTCTACAAGGATTGCCAACGGAGGTTTGACATTTAGAAAAGGAGGAGGAACTCCGCGCGCTTCTGACATTTCCGCCGTTCTCTCAATGACTTCAGTGACAAGGGAATTCGTTTAATTTATACCGCGTCTAAAGCCATCTAAAGTTTTTTCGCCCCGACCATTCGTCGCTCAGCGGCAACCGTGATCGCGAAACGTCGCAGGTGGTGTGCTACCTTGTTTTTCAAAGGATCCCGTACAATGCCGTCGTAATGGTCTGCTTCCCAGTTGAATCGATCAAGGGGCGTGTGCGTGCTGCCGCAAGGCACGCAACGGAATAGAATTTTCGCGACAGGGGGAAAAGCGTACTTTCGCCGATTGCTCACATTCACGCTCGCGTCACGTCAAGGCGAGTACCGAGTGAAAAATAACAAAAAAATGACCCTGCGATCCTACGATTAGAAAGCTGCGTGCCATACCATGTTATTAACGAGTTCAATCGCGCTTGAAATTTCAGGTTCTCCTCGCGAAACCGTCGCGAAAAGTCCCGTTGCTGCGACGAGCATTTACGGCAGACCGGATTCACCAGCAAACAAAATTCGTGACTTTTCTCGTGATTCGGTTCGCGCAGCTGCGTGTCCGCAACCTTTGTTCGCGGTTATAAATATCAGATTGGCAAACGCGCGCGAGTCGTAGCGCGGAGGGCTAGCAAAGCAAGGGCGGAACGGCGTTGTCGCCAAAAAATCGGAAAAATTTATTTGCTGCTCCCCTTGTACCTTGTACGTTGCACAGCGCGTGTCGAGAGTTTCTCGAATATGTACATACATACATACAATACGTATGTGCAATAAGTAGTAACAATACCGATGGTTACCTACCTAACATCGGAGCGGCGCTCAGACGTCCCTTGTCCATCGTAGTCATTTGAAAGTCGCATGCTGCTGATGGCAATATGAACGCGATACTGGTAATACTGAAGGCCACGTTCATGAAGATCAAACTGCAGACGGCCATAACCTTAAGGTTAAATTTGCCAAATCCTGAAAAAGCCCGGAAACATCGACCGATGAACGCTTTATATTCGCTACTCGATGAGACTTGTGTCACGTTGCTCTACGTTTCATCGAGCTCTGATATACATGTATGTATGTACATATACATACCACCACGTGTATGTGTATATCTACGTATATACCTATATCGAAGAATTCGATCGCCAATTAGGCGATTCGGTTAATGAAATTCTGAATAAAATGGGATTTTCAAATGTTTGCTGCATCATCTCCGGAATGAAAACGAAGCGCGTGGGTCTCTGCAGCAATACTCTGTATCCAGCGACAAAACACCGATAAAACGTGCGCATCGTCGTTATCAGCGAGACAGATAGCTCCTCGGTTTTTAGTACTACTTTTTTCGCGAGGCTACGCTAACAAAATCATCCCGGCCGACGGATACATAATATTATGTACATGTATAGATGATACATACGTACCTGTTTGGTCGACGGCATCTTGGGCGACGCTCTCCGCCGTCTGCTTTGTGCCTGTGAACACAAGAAAATTGTCGGTGGTTACACATGGAAAGAATCGTGACTCGAGTGCACGTATGTATGTGTGTAAGTACCAAGGTACTGTACAGATTGACGCAAATGTTTCACCGTCTCCGCCTGACCGCCCGCTCGGCTGTCTGTGCGGTTCGGGTTTATTCCAGAAATAAAAACGATTCCAAGACTCCACGAGTCGTTCGACGGCCCTGCGTCTGCATGGCGCCAGTAAACAGCAGCGAAACACGTCGGCACAAAGCCGCCTCCCGTCGCGTCGTCGACGCGTGCTTCTTCAGATTTCTCTTTCTAGTACTTAAATTGCGTTCTTGTTGTTTCGTCGCCTCTGGCATCGGCTCCGACGATGTTGCTCTCGGCTCTTTGTTCCGATCGAAACCCGAACCAGCCGAGTAAATAAGTACATATGTACATATTATGTACATGTACACCACGTGTATATGAATGTTTGCCAAAACACCGCTGACAGGCAGCCTACGCTTCTTTTCTCTCGGCCTCGTTTATATCACGTGTTAATGTACTCGCGATTCTGCAAGTAAAACGCAGCGAATCGGAGAAAAGCACACCATAGACCAGATTCGAGAACATTTTGTTGTCTGGCAACGTGTCGTCGGAATAAGAAAAGCAAAATGGAAAAGTCACAGAGTTTCAAAGACAGCGATCCAAAATGATTATTGGCCTTTCATCGTTGAATCAATTTGATTGCGTCGCAATCGAGTCTCGCGACTTGTGCTCGTATTCATTTTGTCTCGTCAATTATTATCGTTTGATCACGCTGTCGTCGCCCTTTTAAACGCCGCGCCGCCGCCGCCGCCGCCGCCGCCGCCGCCGCCGCCGCCATCCAATATGTACATACAATTTATTCAAAGTATCTACGGTAAGAAGGGACACGACAAGAAAACAGAGAATCGACAAGAAGAACAATTGGACCCAATGGAGTTGTGCTTGAAAGCAGACAACAAAAAAGATCCCGTTGTATACTACTTCTTGAACCTTGTTATCCAAACAACACATCCCAGAACTTTCTCGAAAATTACACTGACCGTGTAAAAAGTCAACTAGAACTTGAATGTCCTCGACGAAGCAAACTACCGATAACACCTTAAACAAGAACAACAACAACAACAACAACACGGTCCAACAGGCCTGTCGAGAACGGCACAGTTCCATTCGAAAAAGGGATAATAAGTAATAACTGATGAAACCGAGCACGAAGGTACAACGAATCGAAAGGCAACTGGTCGAGTGTCGTTTTTTTTTGGTCAGAAAACAACGCGAAAACTGGTAAGAATGAAGAAAAATCCGGGGGGTCTTTGAATGGAACAGACGGATTTACCTTGCAACGTGAAGACGGCGTCCCCATCGACTAGAGGGTCAGACGCGGCTGACTCGTGTTCCAATCGAGCGATATCGCCCGACATCGTACGCGCGCGAAACTAACGCATCGCTGCGCCGACTCCGCGTCGATTCTCGTTCGCGCGCGGCTGTTGTGTATGCTGTATGCAAGCATACATATACATGCGGTACATACGGGATGGCGCGCGCGCCCGGCCTTGCGCGTGCACGTTGCACGTTGCACGTTGCACGTTGCACGTTGCACGCTGCACACCGCCGCTGCTCCTGATGCATCGACGCCACGTCTAACCCGGCAGGTTAGGTAGCCAACCGCCCCTTTAATCGATCGCGATATGTATACATATTATTACGTCTACATACATATGTAGGTATGTACAATTTTTTCGTGTTTCTTCCCCTTGTAACGCCGTCATAGTATTGCGATCCCCTTACGAAGAACTGGTACATAGAATACCTACATGTCCCGCGAGAAACAATTCGCGCGGCTCCTAATCGTCGGGAGCCTCTTATCAGCGCCGGTTCTAACGACCGTGCAGACGAATCGTTGTTCCCTTGTTATCGGTTACTTTCATTCGGAATAATATCAATTTATGACGGACGTAAGAAAGTGTTCTCTCTCTCTCTCTCTCTCTCTCTCTCCAGGAGAAATACTCGGAGCAACGTGCACAAAAATTATTGTATTACAGGCTCTCTACTGTTCACGGTTCACGGGCATTTCGAACGGTAACGCGATTGCTGTCTTTTCATCCATTGAATTTTCTTTCGTGTGCTATCTAACGGAGGATACGAGTCCAAGTTATCGTATCCCCGATTGGGATGCGATTTTTCAGACGATGTTTATGATATTTAATGGGCAAACGAATGGACATCGTTGAGGATAGATAGGACGGAAGCATAGCAGTAAAGACATTCGGTGTCCTAGGGAATTAATGACGACGTCGACGACCGTGAAAAAGTGCTTATTTAGGCATGTTAAGAGTAGCAAGGCAAACGAAATTGTACGGCAACGATTCGTCACGGAGTTATGTACATCGAACGAACGTTATCGGTAATTAACAGTGCACGTGGCAAAGGAATTTAGTTAATAGTGCGATACAGACGGCAATTCAGATAAATTTAATCTGTCTGGCTAAGGCCTGGAAAAATTGCACGAGAACCCGATACGCAGCCACACAAAGTTCAATGTTTATTTACCTAGATGAGTTTCTCTTTTCCACCGTCACGTTTTTATCCAACACTTGTTCCACCCTCGTCCTTCGTTAGAATATTTGCCATTGAAACAGGCAGAATTCTTTGTTACGTCAAGTTAAGGTAGGAAGTACACTCGTCGCGTCACAGTATTCCAAATATGTATGTGAATTTTAATTGGTCGTTTGTTCTATAATGCACACTCGCTCGATGCAATTAACATTCGAACTAAACCACTAGTAAATACATATGTATGTATGTATACCGTCTACTGTACAGAGATCGGTCGATTAGAAGTGTTCTCGCAGATAGTTCTTTCGCGAACCAATGTGGGACACCTGTAGGACAGGTTTCAAGGATTGCATCTTGGCTGAGACGAGCATAGTATGCAAGAGGTTTGTGCGAGAGTATAGGTACATACATACTCGTAGATGCGGAATATTACTAGAATATCACTGATATTCCTCGCTGATTTAGCTTTTCTTTTAGTGTGTACATATACATATACATATACATATATGTATATTGGAAATTTCGAATTTTCTCATGGATAGTCGAAATTTTGAAGAAGGACTTGAGTAATAAGCAGTGGAAAGAGGAATATGTACAACTCTGCAATAAAACTATGTACAATGATACATATTATAAAGAAGAACTTTAGTTGCAAATGAACCACAAGGTATAAAACAGGAAAATGTACATAAAACTATTTTCGACCACTTTTTTCGTCTCCATGTAACTGTTGACCATTAATTGTTTTTGACATTCAATTGTTTTTTAACATTTTCATAGCACACAGAAGTACAATTAATATTTTTTCATAGAAAAAACTTCCATAATAAACAATTTTTTGTTCAATTTGATACGAGAATTGTTACGCATTGTCCGACTGACTGAAATGCACTCGCAGCGGGTATTATTTCACGAGTGTACTATTTTCGGCCGTCTCCTTCCTCGGAAAGGTGTCAAGATCGTCGGAAACAAACTAGTCATAATTAATGATTTCGTATCTCTGTGTAGATGTAGAATGTAGAGTATTGTAGAGAATGTCCAAGAGGACACGATCCTAGGATGTGAGGATCGATCGAAAGATTACACATGCCGACGCGACGGTTCTTTAGAACGGCACAGTCTTTGATGTGCGTATCGAGAGAGAATCATTATGTATATATGTATATACAAATAGAAATATATATATATATATATATAATCGGTGAAACTGTCCATGTACATATGTAACGTTATATGGATGTAACTTTCAGTTTAATAATGTGGAATAATGTTTACCATTGTGATCATATGTATATGTACTATACATATAAGATTCCGCGTTGATGATACATAGCGACACGATGCATTCGTGCAACAATTGCCTCTCGTATGTGACGCCATCCGCGGGAAAACTCTGAAACTGGTAGCCAATTGGTACATCATTTTACTCGCGAGATGGCGCCACTGCCGTCGAGCCGTAACTGTACACTTACTATGTAGTCTGTACAGATAACCTACCAGCTTGAGCGATTCGCCACGGATGGCGCGGTAAACTTTATTCGAATTATACAATACATAGTCCATATACATATACATATCCATAGTATGTATCTACATTGTATGCGTGTACTCTGCTCTGCTCGTATCACATGCCTATGCAATGTAGTGGAATGCAATCTAGTTAGGTAGATGTGTAGTATGTATTTTGATCGTGTTTGCAGCGTTATACAGACAGATTTTTCTGTTTATCAAGCAGCAGATTTACAACTCGGGCAACGTAGATTACGACTCTCTACATTTCTACATTGTATGTACATACATATTAACAAAGAAGAATTACAATTTACAGAGGGGGCGAGCGCCATAACAGAGGGCCGAGTAAGTTATTAGATAAATTTCGTTTCATGTTCTTTGAATGTATTTAGCCAGAAGAAATTGGGTTGTTGCGTGCACAAACATTAGACATAGTGTGATTAAAGAAGTACACATGTAACATCTAACGACGTGTTGATTTCTGGCACAACGTTGCGTTATCAACATTAGCGAGTCCCTATGTATACTGACAGTACCATAGAAATGATAGACATTAATCCAGTTTCGAATGTGATTCTGTCTAATTAGTGGTTTGTAAATAGTACCATTCGATTAGTAATACATAGGTAATTCACGATTTTATTACAATATGTATTAGATTAAAGATCATGGTTTTGAACGTTTATTGAAAATACATGTGTATTTAGATAGACGTATAATCGAGATCTCTAGTATACATATGTATGTATGGTATATATGTATATATATGTACGTATTCCGGTGATATCACCATTCAACTCACCACCCTCGATTTGTACGTCCATTCAAGCTCCTAATCGCGACGACGCTGCAGGATCTATATGTAAGTATGTATTACAAGTACATATATTATAATCCACAATGAACCTTGTCCAACTGACACTCTCCTCAATTCCTCGATGAATATCAATAAAAGAGGATCGCGGAAATTGCACGCGAGAATGAGAATCTATATTCTTCTTGTAGTTCGCTCAACGGAGACGAAAAACGAAAGAACGGAAGAACGGAAGTAGACAAGACCGGTTAAAAACACGTGTCCGTTTTGGAGGACAAAGCACACGAGTCAAGAAGACGACGTCGACTGAACCTCGAAATTAGCCATGGTCTGAACATCACTGTGTGTCGTTGTCCGAGTCTCATGATCTCCTTCGATGCTGAAGAAACATCGGGAAACTGTAGGGGCGCGTTGCCAGTAGCCGTGACCGTACCACGTGTGCCGCAAACAGCAAATTGCAAATACAGCTGTGGAAATGAATCGTGATCGCTATGTTTTCTCATTAGTCGGTATTGGTCGGTATCGTCGTGTTCACCGTTCGAACGTAACGAGGGTTAACTTCCTTTCATGATCGATCGGAATATTGGACTTGTTGTCTTCTCCTCGTAGTCCTTGTGATTGTTATCATTGTAGAATAGACTATCAGGTACATACATATATATGTACATCATATACAGTTAATCGAACGAGATTCTTTCGTCGAAGGAGTCGATAAACGATTGTATATGTATACATATATACGTATGCATGTATGTATGTATGCTGTAGTAGAAAATTCGTGGAAGCCATTCAAGTGCCAGCGTGCACATATCTCGATAAATGAAGCATTTAGGGATAGCGAGAGTACGTCTTCCTTGTTAAAAACTAGACCGACCTATTTGTCTCTTCTTGTGTGGTAAGAGCAAACTCTCGTCGAAAATCGTAATTGTGTGTTAAGGTGTTAATGAGAGGAACCGTTGCACAAACCGTTCCCGAACGGTGTCAATTCTCACCTCCCGCTTCATAAATTGAAATTTGACGAGTTCAGTCGGCTAATCGAGATACTTTAGACTTTAGACATTAGGCTATTGAATTTCAAGAAACAACGAGAGTCGGTTCTTCGCAGCTGGCATCATTTTAAGTAATTGCTGTAAGATCGTTTTCGGTTTGAACCGAAGCTCACAAGTTTGAAACGCACTACATACAAGTTGTTACGCGATATAATTCCGGCAATTCCGGCAATTATTGGCCGGGTTAAGTGGACGGGTCGAGTTAGAACGTTGCGCGTACAATACGAGAAAGAGAGATCACCGGTGACAATTATCATTCGCAAACAGTTTAATCTCTTTCTCCGCGAAAACATCCTCCTCTCCTATTTTAATTAGCATTCGGCAACTACGGAAAAAATGTTCTATGGCGTCATTTGTCCCTACGCCAGCGATGGAAATGCGACAGACGTGCGCATTCCTTCGCCGAAGAAATTGTTGACTCCTTCTGTCGAACTCTCGCGTCTTGCTGTTTCTGTTCGAACGTTCGGGCCTCGTTAATATAAATTCGGATAATGGAGGTTCCACCGAATCACAATTTCCTTGTTCTCGGTCCCGAGACGAGATGAACAACTCTATCGAACGATAGGGAAGCAAAGTTCATCGGACGGTTCCTCTCTTGTTCCGGCTCCTATTCGGAGTGAGGAAATTTCCTGTTAACCTTGTTCCCATCAGTGGGAACAGTGAACGGTGGGAGCACGATTCACGGCGTAACTCATCGTCATCCTTTTGGTCTTGGTTGGAATTGAAATAATGAACAAAAGAAGATCATTTAAAGGAGAAGTTTGAAAACATTTCACTAGCGAGCACGGTTGACAATTGTGTAGATTGCTTGTCTGAGAAATATCTTCATCTTCATCGAACGTATTATCCGCACACGTCAGATATACCGATCGCATTTCTATCCATATACATATGTATGTATGTATCTACTATACAGGGTCGTTTGCTGAAATTCAACGATGTTCGATCACCTGTGTTTCTCTCGACTTCTAGCCCAATAACGACAGAGTACCTACCTACGGGCAAATGTGAATTCGATAATGAACACGCGATTCGATTAAGAAAATGCTTGTATATAATTCTTTTGCACAGTTTAATCGGATCGTTCGAGGCAGTATATTATTATTTGCTCCGAATATACATAGAATGTCTGTCGATCGATTAAAACCAAGAGGATCATCAATCGATGCTGTATGTATAGTCGACAGAAGATTCAACATTTAACAAAGTCCAAGGATAACGCGTACGAGCGAAGCTAATTACACGAAGTCTGAAGGTTCAAAGTCTAGTTAAAACGATTCCCGTATTGTCCAGTGGGTCAGCTGAAATACGATTCACCGACAATTAACCAATTTTGCCTGGAACATCTACGAGGGTTTTCAAATGAATTTGTCCGAACGTGTACAAGCTTGAACGCTTCGGTTCTCCAAACGGTCGCTATATTGATTTCTTTGGAAAGTTCTTTAGAAGACGCTATTACCGGTAATGATGAGGGGAATTTTCTTGTCGAGCAACTTTTACCACTGATTTCCAATCCGATTATTCGATTAAACTTGATCAATTCACTGGTTGGTTCGTTCGTTCGTTTTCACGGAACAACGATAAATAAGATCGCCGATGAAATCTTGTTTCAAGGTAAACAACTTGTTCGCGAAATAATAGACGAAATAAATAGGTACATATGAAGTTGTGTGTAGCGAGAGCAAGGATTATTGGTATTCGAGCGAGTCAGCTTTCCCATTAAAAAGGAAGGTCGGATAGGGGAGATACGATCATCCGTTTTACGACAAGACACCGCTGACTCATCGATGATCCGTATTGCGCTTTGCGTTACGCGTGTCATGCTATCTACCTCTCGTCTGTTTCAATTTCTTCGTAGGAGAATACGACAGTAACGACGAGGCGAATAACAATGAGCCAGCGAGATTGCCTCACCGTTTATCCGGTTTCCCCCGTTTACGCGATCTCTGTTTCTTCCAGATTCGGAAATATTGAAGAAAATACGGTGGCCGAGCGGTGCTCGGGCGCGCAACGAATCGATCAGTTACCTATTACCACTATAAAATAACCGTAAATGTCGAGTCAGAAAATGGAAAAGATGGAATTGCTGGTTTGGACGTGCGGTTCAATCGAATTGAAAATCCGCTTCGAAAGGAACCCGGGCGAATCGACAAAGTGCAATTTCCGGGACGGAAATTACATCTCGCGACCAGTGGAAAAAGCTTTGTCGAGGAGCTTCATTCGTGGATACACACCCTGGGCTCGTTGTACACGCGTAAACACTCTCGCGCTCTATTATTAAGAATAGAGGAAATACCAGAAGTGTGTGAGCTTACGGAGACAGAAAAGGAGCTCGTTCGCGATGCATTGTTCTTTTGTATTGTAGGTACATTTCATTCATTTCAAGCGGTGAGAACATTAAAGAACGTTCAATAGATGTAAAGTCTAACGTGAACTTGACATGGATCCAGCATTAATGCGATTCCACGCTAATCATTCTAGACACGTGAAAATATCGTCTTTAATTGTTCCATCTGCCGAGATTAATGGAACGACACAAAGCTGATTCGTGGAATGGAAACACACGCGATACGTACAGTATGTATAACTAATTCGGCGTCGATCGTAAACCAGAAAGTCTGTGAAGAGACGTGCGACGATCGGTTCTTTAAGAAATTCGCCACGCTGCTGTCGCAATAAGCGTGTCGAACCTGTGAGAGAAGTCCTATAAACTAGGTCTTGTTGCGTGTGTGTCCTTGGTTCGAGCTTCGCCTTTGTAAGCGCTTACGACAGCAATACGCATCGAGAACCGGACGTTACCGGAGAACATCACATCATCATCCCCATCGAACGATGGGGCTTTTCACGCCCCTTGCCCGAATAGTTTCTAATAATCGAAGCTTTCGATGATTCGATCCTATGCTTGATTAAGGGATCGCGTGTCCGGTTCTTCGGTAAAGCAACTCAAGTCCGCCGTTTTAAGTCTGAACTAATTCTAAGCTAAACGTTCGTCGTGTATCTCCTCTGTGTTAATACTCTGGCAAGCGCGAGTCGGATCCATGTTGGCCGAGCAACAGATTTCGTCGGGCTTTTCGAACGACAGACGCGATTTTAATCAACGCTAACGAGGAACCGTCCGGTAAGCAGTTTCCCTTGGTACACGAAAAGCTCATTTTCCATCCGTTGTGAGCAACGAGGAGCGACGACGCGACGCGACGCGTCGACGCGTCGACGCGTCGCTCGAGTCTCGAGTTTTCATGTCTGTTGCTCGCGAGCTTAGTGCAGAACCACCCGACAGTCGCCAGTCGAGCCCCGTGTCTCGTCGGCGAAACACACCCTCAACCCTCCTTTCGAAACCAAAACGAACCCCGACGATCGAAGAACGCTCGCCATTGAATGATCGATCGATCAATCGATCGATCGATCGATCGATCGAAGATGTGCTACTGATTTGAATCCAACGCAAGATTTTACCAGCAGTTTAATAGAAAAAGACGTATTAGTAGTGCCCGATGCTGGTACTCGGTGGTTCTAGGGGTTGTCATCTTTGTGGCGCAATGAGATCGAAGACTCTCGATTAAGACGTCGCGTCGCATCAACAAGGATTTCTCCGCGAACCGACCATGGTGGATAAATTGCACGAGTACGAGGGATTTGCTGGGAGGGTTCACGACGTCCGTGACAAGATCAAGGAGAAGTGGGATGTCTGGAAGGAATGGAAAAACGGTATACCCTTGGATCAGGGGATCGAAGGGATATTAAACCACCTTCGGGGACCGCCGAAATTGGAGAGGAGTTTGGAGGACTATGCGCATGTTTACAGGTAAAGACACCTATCGTCGGTGTAGAGTAGTTAACCGGATGATTATTTTTACGTTCACCATTTACGAAAAAAAAAAAAAAAAAAGAAACCCGGCAAACGCGAGTTTTCCACGTAGCTTGTGTTCCGATCGACGAAACCAGGAAGAGAGACGAATCGGGACTTGAAATAATTTCCAGGAAGAAGACACGAGGGGAACTGGTACGTGTGTCTGCAGCCGTGATGGGAATCGAATTTTCGTACGCTGCTGAAACCGCGTTCGTTTCGCCGACGCTGTTGAAAATCGGGGTGGATCATCAACACATGACACTCGTTTGGGCGCTCAGCCCCCTGATCGGATTCTTCGTCACTCCGATTCTGGGGAGCTTGAGCGACAGATGCAGATCAAAGTACGGGAGAAGAAGGCCGTTCATTATGATGTTGGCGCTTGGGGTGCTAATAGGTGAGAGGGGAGGTGTTCGAGCAACGTTCCCAGTTCGCTGTTCCCAATAACCCCAGTTGAAAAATGATTCGCCACTAACCAATATAATAGGGTTGATACTGGTTCCGAATGGCGAGAACATGGGTTATGCTTTCGGCGACACACCGACCACTCACGGCAATTATACCGCGCCTGTTGGCCACCGAACCACGGCGAAACAAACGAAAGAAGATGCCGTGAAACCATCCTCGCACTCCTGGGGAATCTTCTTCACGATTTTAGGAACGGTTCTCCTCGATTTCGACGCCGACGCCTGTCAGAGTCCGGCCAGAGCTTATCTGCTCGACGTCACCACACCTGGCAAGTAAATGCACTTACTGTCTCGACAGCAGCTGGTCTCTGTCTATTCCAAGTCCCATCGTACGAATTAGTTTGGGGAATTAGTGGAGGGGACGGGAGGGGGCTAATAACAAGGGGTATTTTAATTGGATCACCGAAGAGAATAAAATAAAATTAGGAAATCCGTCCGGTCCGTTACGTGTTGCAGAGGATCATGCCAAAGGACTCAGCACGTTCACCATAATGGCTGGCTTGGGCGGTTTTATGGGATACGGTTTAGGCGGTATTAACTGGGACGCCACGACGATCGGAGTGATGCTTGGCGGGCACCTTCACGCAACGTTCACGCTAATCACTATTATATTCGTGATCTGTGTATTCTGCACAATCACCAGTTTCAAGGAGATCCCTCTGGAACTGTTGGAAAGGGAGGAGTACCAGCAGCTCCACGACCAAAAGGTTCGTCGAAGAAAAACGAGAATAATTTCCATAATTCGTCATTCCCTAAAACATTTACATGCTGTACACGTACGTCATATGTATCATACACGTATCATACACGTATATGTAGATGTCCATCGAAGGAGGACTAGCACAAGAGGAACAGAAGGAGCACGATAAAATCACAACAGAAGAGTCCGCGTCGTACGGGACCCTGGACAATAATCAGGATATTGTCGCGAGAAAAGATGTGAGCAAAGAAAAAAGAAAGGCACGTCCCATGTGACAGTTCCAACTAACAAATAAACTATTGTCGTTTGCCAGGAATTTGTCCTAAAGCCTATTCCGGTGCAGGAGCCAGAGAGAAGGGCCGGTCAAGTGCCCATGGTGCCCATAGTGCCGGACATCGCCGTGGCACACGACCCCAATTACGGAAAATCCGACTTCGAGGAGATCGCTGACGCGAATCCAAAAGCGACTTTAAGGGAATACCTGATGTCAATCGTATACATGCCGCACAGTCTTCGGATGGTGTGCTTGACGAATTTGTTCTGCTGGATGGCCCACGTCTGCTATTCCCTATACTTTACAGATTTTGTCGGGGAAGCTGTTTATGGCGGCGATCCGCAAGTAAACAAATCGGATAAACTTTGATTTGATTGTCCTAAACAGCTAAACGTAACGTAGGGTCGCGTCGTTCCGTTATAGGCACCGGAGGGCAGCAAGGAACGAGAACTGTACGAAAGCGGGGTCCGTTTTGGTTGCTGGGGCATGTCCATGTACTCGCTGTCCTGCTCGTGTTACTCTTTGATCATCGAGAGACTGATAGAACGCTACAAGTAACCCGCTTTCCATTTAGTAAAACGAATAATTGTAATATGTTTCTCTCGAGGCTCGACGCTTTCGCGAGAACCATTTTAACTATGAATAAATCTTGTTGTACGTTCATAGAGCACGAAGGGTCTACGTCTGCGGCCTGTTGTTCTACAGCACCGGGATGATGATGATGGCGTTGACAAAGCATCCCGTGGGAGTGATCATTTTCTCTTGGACAGCCGGAGTTATGTATTCCACTCTGTTCACCATGCCATATTTATTAGTCGCGCATTACCACGCTTCGTCGACGGTGAGCAACAGTTTCTTACGATTTATTCGCCAGGGAGTCGAGAACAATTTTAATCCGAAATACGAAACTATCTACCTACTACATATGTATACAGTATACATATACATACAATATACATATTTATGTATAATACACGTTTCAATGGGACAATAGGTACTCGTTGCGAACCTCTCTGTACACTGAAATGAATCTTACTAACATACATACATACATACGTATACATATATTGAGTATTACTCGGAGAAAATAATAATGAAATTCTTTCCATAGTTAGCAAAGTCGCGCGTTAAGCCGAGTATCCACCTACCGCGCATGTTCGCGAACGTTCACAATTGTTTTTACACGGCCGATGGATATACCCAGCTTTAGATTGATTGTCAGCCCCCATTTCGGTAGCACGAACAAACGTACAGTTCGCACACAGTGTGCCACCTGATAAAAGTTGCTCGACGAAGCACAATAAGTATCATGAATCACACTGTAATGCCATTAAACTCCGCGATATGATGCAACGATGCACCCGTTTCTGCGCGCGAATCCGCTGGAAATTGAATTAGTCGACTTTGCAGTTCGAGGTGACAGCCGACGGAGAAGCCGTGCAAAGCGAAGGTGTGCGAGGTCTTGGCACCGACGTCGCTATCGTCTCCTCGATGGTCTTCTTGGCGCAATTCTTGCTTTCCTGTTGTCTGGGGACGATCGTCAGCAAATCCGGGACCACCACGGCGGTGGTTTGCGTGGCGAGCACCCTCGCCGCCTGCGGGGCCATTTCCGCGACGCAGATCATGTACCTGGATCTCTAAACACAACCCGTAACCCATAACACACACACACACACCGGAACATTTACCGATATCACAAGATACGTCTCGAAATAATTCATTTATAAGGGTATCTTTCGGTCGGTCGCGGTCGTTAGATTCAGATTTGCAAAATTCCTTTACAGAATCAGTAGAATCAATCAGTCTGTCAAGTACCCACTTACTTTTTTTCATGGTAGCTGTTCGGGTTTATAGTCTTTTATATTGATAAATTCTACTTCCATCGAATTCGATACAACATAGATGCATTCGTTTCGGTGTTTTTCTTTTCGAAATAGCGTACATCTTTGTTGAGACAAATATTATGGAGTATACTCTGTACATTCCAATTCGCTTCCATCGACGAACGCTAGGTATACATATACTAGGTATATGTTCGTGTAATAACTGTAATATACAGGGTGCCTCGGTTAACTTGATCACCTCGAATAATCACTCTTAAAGGTACACTTTATCGACATTTTTAAGCGTAGAACTTAAATGTACGTATGTGTACCTTTAAGTGATTTTAATCGAGTTGATCGAGTTAGCTCAGACACCCTGCATGTAATAACGTTATCATGTTGACGTTGCACAAATAATATGGCTCCATCGACAACCCCGCGACGCACTCTGAATCCGCAACTCTGTGTCGTTCCAGGACACTTGTAAATAAATGCTTATCTTGTAAAAACGTAATAAAACACAGAGATACGCAGGGAGTGCGTGTGTCTCTGTGTGTACACGTTTGAACGAGTTTTATTTTAGACCGTTCGAAAAAGAAGATGAATCGTTTCGAATCAAAGCCCCGATCGTCCGAATTAAAATATCCGTGTTGCATTGCAACGAAATAACTATTATTTCGTAATTTTATTAAAATTCGTCAGATACAGGTTTAATATCAAAGGACACGAGACGTATGTATGAAATGTGTGACTTAAATTCGTAAAATTTCCGGTGAACAAAGACCACGTGACGAGACCACCGCGGCGCGATACGGCTTCCAAGAGGCTTAAAAGTTGTTCAAACCGCACAGTTTCAACGCGGCAGCGACGTCTCTTGTCATCAGTCTGCTGATACTCAGAATATACCTGCCAACGTATTTGTCGTCGACGAGGCCCTGTGTGTGTGTGTGTGTGTGTGTGTGTGTGTGTGTGTGTGTGTGTGTGTGTGTGTGTGTGTGTGTGTGTGTGTGTGTGTGTGTGTGTGTGTGTGTGTGTGTGTGTGTGTGTGTGTGTGTGTGTGTGTGTGTGTGTGTGTGTGTGTGTGTGTGTGTGTGTGTGTGTGTGTGTGTGTGCGTGCGCGCGCGCGCGTGTATGAAAGTCCAGTGAAAACGAGGCAGCCCGTGAATATACATATGTATTATACATAGAAGTACACAGAAGCATATACACGAGTTCAAGTCGACAGAGACCCTCACCTGAACGATATCGTAGTTCCTATCTTTACAGAATACAGGATACGAGAAGAACATCCCAGCTGGAATGTCGTAAGAATGATCCGACAGCACACCCATACAGACCCATTCATTGTCGGGTGTGCCGTTCCATAATATTTTACAGTGCTCCGCCAATGAATACGCCATGGATCTCAAGTATCTAGGTCTACTAAGCAAACTTTGCATAATCTGTCGAGAAAATATATCCAGTATTGTCCATGGGAGACATTCGGATGAATTTAGAAAAAATTTCATTGATCGATTCTCACCGTCGGAAGATCGTTTCGCAGCCACACTTTCAGATCATCGGTTATTGGGTTTCCATTAGTCAGATACATATACCTGCAATCCGGAAAGTTGTACGTGTTGTTGTTGCCCCATAGTATAATATTCTTAATTTCTCCCGGATGACAGTTTGCCCGAGCCGAAATCTGATAATACAATAAAAATCTCGATCAAGGGTAATGAATAATAATCCGACCCTTTCCGTAGAGCGTAGAGTAACAACTGTTTACGTGTGCAGCAGCGATTTGCGCATTGAACAACGCCAATGTAGTTATGTTTTTCCGGGGAATAGATTTCGCGTAGCAAGATATGATTGTAGCAGCCGTGTTTCCAATCACTATGATCCTGGCGTCCCTGTTCGCATACTCCTCTATAAATTCACCCTGTAGCAAGAGAATAGAGAAGTATAGACATGTATATGTATGTAGATATGGACAATGGAATGAATACCTACGTAAGCTTTTGCCACGCGAACGTATTCTTTAAAAAACAGGTCCTTGTACTCTTGTTCGTTGAAAGCGTACTCCCTCGCTGAACCGATGCAGAACACAACGTTAGCATCCTTGAATGCAATCGAGGCATTATCGCTGTACGTGATGCCTACGTCCGTAAAATGACAAGTTAGATAGATAGTCTCTGTGTCATCGTCATCGGTGAAATTTTTCATATCGCAGGTCCAAGAAAGTGCAACAAGTCGACAACGGTTTACCGTGCAACAGGTTCGGACTGCACAACGTCAGTTCAATCGCGACACTTTCTAAAAACACCGCTCTGTCCTGGAACTCGTATATACTGATGAAAACCGATTGATCCGATCCAAACACTTGATCGGAGAGTATCCTGTAGATGAGGGCAAGCGCGATGTCGGAACTACCGTCCGTAACGACCACTCGCAAGACATCGCTCTTGCATCGCGACGCGTGTGTGACAACGCTTTCCTGAACGATTACATTATCCATTTCACCGCCAATCGGCCGTACATTTGACGTTTGTTACGATCGCGGACACGACTTTGACGATCTAAATCTACAGGGTGTTTCATATTTCGTCTATTCTATTTCAAGGTGAATTCTCGTGCTCTGATACGCATCTATTTTGACCAAAGTAACTACTTATCGATTTCTTTCTTTCTGCTTTACAATTCATTCCGTTCTATGTATAATACATACATATGTATACATGTGTAGTAAGTATGTATAAATAGTACTTAGAAGCACCGCCGTAATATGTAGATGAGTTTCATACAGAGAGAAATTTCATTAAAACTATGCTAGTTGGTTCAGAGACAGAAAAGGTTTTTGATTACGTGCGTAAATTATTGATACATTTCTCGAAAATGTCCTTCCTAATGCGTGGATAGTCAGGACTCTGTTTCAAGACTTCGTTGCAGGCGTCGATCGCCTCCGCGTACGCTTTCGCTTTCATAGAACAATAAGCTAGCTTATAGGCTACGGAAAGATTCGATTTTCCACCGTACTTCCAAGCCTGACTATACTGGGACGCAGCCTCTCTATAACTTTGCTCCTTCTCGGCGATGCGACCAGACAGTTCGCGGGCCCTCACGCAAGTCGCATTATGTTGTAAGACTCTTCGCAGTAGATCGTTCGCCAAATCGTACTTGTTCGACTGTACGTAAATATCGGCCAAGAGTAGCCAACAACGTTCCAAGTACTCGGCGTCCTCGAAAGTCCATGTGTTCTTGCTGACGCGTTTCAGATGGTTCCTGGCTCGAGGAGTTTGTTTAAGGAGAATATGGGCCATCGCCATTCCAAGGGCCGGGCCTACGTGATCCCTCAAAGCTTCTTGGCTAGCCATTGCCGTGCAATCTTGTAGAGCTTTTTCCACGTTCGACTTCTGCTTCGTAGCCAGTAAGAAAAAGTTGCTTAGCAGTCTGTGTGTTAGCATTTCGTGTGGGCTGCCTTTAGGATTCAATTCCTGAAAGAGAAACAGAATATGGATTTGAAACTTTTCGAAACCGAATGTGACACACAAAGAAACAACAACTGTCTATCTTCGAATATTTATTCGTTATACCTGTAACAAACGGTAAGCCGTTTTCAAGGCCATTGTTCTAGAATCTTGGTACTCGGCGTCATCGTCGTTATTAAAGACTTCATTAGAAAGAGAGGAATCATCATCCGAATCTAAACAAATCTCAATCATATTGTATATTGCTTGTTGGCCCCACTCGGCATCGCGTCTCGCACAATTAAATTGACGAAGAGCAGAGTTCAATCTACCCATACGCCAATCCAATAAGCCAGCGCAATAATAGTAGCCAGCTGCCAAGTTTGAACCACTCATCCCTAAATCTGCCCGATGTAGCCGTTCCTCAAGATCATCCATGTTCCCTGATTTCGAGATGTCAATTATTATGTAAATAGTAAATCACTGGATTGCTCGTTCTCTAGGAATCTATACCTTACCTGTTCTACGCGAGACTTCGATCAGCCTTGCCAGCGCAGTCCAATACGTTGGTTGTTTCAATAATAATTGCTTAAAGTGAAATGCTGCTGTGTCAAAGTCAATTTTTCTGAACGCAAGATCAGCCATCATTATCGAGGCTGCTTCGTTCTCTGGGTCTGCATTTAGCAAAGCTGTACAACTCTGAGCACATCTGTCTAAGTTATTCGTCTGTTGATTAAAGGTACCAATTAAAAAGTATTAATAATAATAATAATAATAATAATAATAATAATAATACATAAACAAACTGAGCATAATGTTAGAAAGCTTGCCGTCATTTACCTGCATATATATCTTTGCTAACGATAAAAGGGCTTGCAGATTCGCTGGTCTATGATTCAAAGCCTCTTTATAGCATTGTATAGCTTGATCATAGTCTCTCAACGACGAGGAGTAATGAGCCATCGTCAAACAGATGTTCGTCAACATTTCCTTCTCGTCTTCTGTACTGGAACTTCCTAAACGTTGTATATATCTCTGTTGATTTTCTTTGGCCTCGCTCAATGCCCACAGAGCACCCTGAATGTTATCTGCTTTCTCTCTTGTTTTTCCAAGCAAAAGAAGAAGCTGACCCCGTACTTGTAAACTTTGCAAATCAGAATCCCGACGTCCGTCTGAAACATTACACAGAAATCATTTACATAGAGGTATGTGCATCATCAGGCTGAACAGTGAAACGCAAATAGTGTATATCTGCCTTGTAGTTCTTGTACCAATGTGGCTTCCGCTTTGTCGTACTGTTTCATTTTCATAAATAGCTTAGCAAGATCCGATTTCAAGCCTTTAAAATTCTCCTGTTTTATCACGTCCCAATAATAATTTATCGCCTTCGTGTACTGATGTGTTTTCACAAGCGCTTTTCCCAATTTACTGGCTATATGGAATTTATCTATAGGATTTTCTTTCAAGGCTTCTTCGTACGCTTCTATTGCTCTCTCCGGCTCCTCTATAGAAACATATGCATCGCCTAACATGCTGTATGTCCTGGGACCGGGACAGTGTTCCACTAATTCCCTAAAATCACGTCGATTTCCCCGCTATAAATAACGACTAAACAAGTCCGAACAAACGAGATATTAACAAACCTGAAGCACACAGCGAAGGCGAGTCTGTCTTTCTTGTGTTTTAAATGAATTTCCGCCAGACGTTTATGCGCTTGCAGATAATAAGGCTGATCTGGTGTTACTTTGGACAAACGCTCGATGGCTTCATCCAATTCGCCCATTTCTAAAAGTAATTCTGCATTTCCTATTAGTATCCTACCTTCCTCGGTAGTATTTCGAAGCTTTATATTTGCCTCGTGTATTACGGCAATTGCTTCGTCGAATCGTCGCATTTCGCTATAAGCAAAAATCAGTTCAAGATACAACGTTGCTATATCCGATGCTGACATTTCTACAGTTTCCGACATATTTTCGTGAAACTGCACTTCTACTACGTGTGCTATGGCAGCCCGGAAACTTTTTATTGCATTTTCAATATCTTTATTTTCTTTCTGAACCATCCCAACGATTAAATGATAAATCGGATTGTCCCTGATGTTAAAGTTGTAGCTTAGACCAATTTCAAGACTTTGCGAAGCCAATTGGTAGTTCCCCTGACAAGCAAGAATCTGAGCCATCAGCAAATGTGCTTCTGCATTGGATGCATCGACATTGTCCAAAATGTTTTTCAGTATAGTGGCAGCACCCTCCAGCTCACCGCTTTGCATTTTAGCTTTACTTAATAATAACTGTGCTGTAGTTAACCCAGGATACGCTTCTGTGAGCTGTTCCAGTAAATATAAACATGGCTCTGCACGATTCAATACGTTTCTTTCCCGATTTCTCACGTCGTTCGATATTGAGTAAACTATACGTTGTTTACAGATATCTAAACATAAGTCAGGATTTAATTTTTTCACGTACTCGTACCCGTACGGTATACATTTACAGTTATTCAATAGAATTGTAGATGCATCATCCAAATGAGTTAGAGCTTGATTTGGAACATTGGATTTCAGTTTTGCAGACATGAAAAGTAATTCTGCGCTCTTTGAACCGGATTGTATTTCCATAAGGAAGTCTATTTGTTGTTGTGCCAAATCCCGACCCTCGGTCGAAGTGTCTAAAAGCTGACAGTACGCCAATCCCATCAAAGCCGAGAAAGAAGACTCGTTTATTTTAATAGCATTTTTGTAATAATGTTCTGCATCCCTCGCTTTTCCCAGCGAAACGTATAAATTTCCCAGCTCGATCATAAGCTCTGCATTCTTAGAATGCTGCTGCTGCAACATTCGATCAACGGTTCTGGCGAGCTCTAACAAGACCTCTTCGCTTTTACACGCCAATCGCGAAAATAATTGAACGTTACTAATTAAAACGATAGCATTCCGTGTTTCCGTGAGTATCAAATTCCTGAAGAATGATTGTAAACCTTTCAATCCTTCCTCGTAATTTCCATCTCGACAAAGCATAACAAATACTTGTGCTTTTGTAGCATCCAAATTATTCAAATCGATCGACAATATTCTATTGGCAGTCTCTAAAACCTGCTCCCAATCTTTCATTGTGAGCAGATTCTGCAACTTTTCAATTAACGGTAAGCACAATTTTGGATAACGTACAATCAATGAGTTTAATGTTAATATTGCACCTGCGCTATCACCATGCTGCTGCTTGTATTTTGCGGAACCGAGAAGAGCGTATACATTCTTTGGATCTTCCTCCAGGACCAATTCGAAGAAATTACGTTTATCCAAGCTGATTTCGTTCACAGTGAACAAATTCACCCAACCTTTAACCAGTAAAACATTCATGTTGGATGAATCCAGTTTGTGAGCTCTTTCTATATAATCTTTAGCTTTTTCAACTTTCTGCGATAAAAGCAACGTCAACGCAGCTAATGACAATGCATTCGGAGTTGATTTTCTCCTTTCATCTCTGATTCTATTCTCAATATGCGTCAAAGTAGTCCTTTCAACGTTGCTGCTGATTGTATACGTTATGTTCTGAAGAAGTAATGCTGCTAATGTTGCATCTGCATTGTTCATCAAACTTGTGCATTCTTTAATTGCCTCCTGAGTTTTCCCAGTCAATGCATACGCAAGACCCAACAAAATTCTTAAACGTTCGCTTGTCGGATAAGCTTCGCACGCTTCTTTCGAATGAATTAACATTCCGTTATAGTACAGTTGATGGCAATACCACTCGATCAGAGTTATATATTCTATTTCCTCCATTCTATAAACAGTGTAGATGCTCAATCCCAAACGATAAATTTATCAGTACAAACCAGATTATGTAAATCCATCTAAACTGTACACTTGATTTATTAGTTACTCAAAGTTTTAGTAACCACTGTAAAATGTACAAATTTTTATTCAATAGAATATATCAAAAAATCTTCAGGATCTGGTAGCTCGTAAATAATATTGGGATCTAAAGGTTCCGAGTCGAGTCCTTCCAATATATTCGGTGGTCCAACAATACGATCTTCGAGATCAGGATTCTTAATTGCAAGATAATACTTTTGCATGTACTCGCAAGATAAAAACATATAGTAATAATTTAGTACGGCATATGTAAACGCTGTCTGAAAATATAATTTACGCAGAGTATAGGATACACATTTTCATTTATAGTTATCGTGTTTAAAAAAATTAATAGAACCTCTGCTAATAGCCGTGCTATACCCTGCCCTGTGTATCTGTATGGTACATTAATTGCTTGCATATCCAGAACCTTTCCTTCTGCTCTGTATTGCAGCACAGCCCTTGCTGGTAAGAGAAAAATGTAATATAGAATAGAAAAACAGTGATCTCTTAAGTAATGTATCTTACAATTGTCATCCAGTTTTACATAGAAGAGGCCTCGTTTTTCGTTATGATGTACTGTATAATTAGAAAAGAACCTTGCATATTGATTAATTCTCCTAAATTTTTTCAATATAAACGACGAAACTTTAGTCATGTAACTCATTCCATTTAAATTACATGAAATAGGGATGATATAAAATACGTTTTCTAACAGCACCAATTGACCACATACTCACAGAAACCTCCAAATTAAACAATTTTCTGTTTCTTTGGATGAAATACTATGTATAATATACACATGTATAACCGTAAGGGGTTATGGTTTTGTTGACACGCTGTTGCTTAGCAACTTTGACGTGACTATCCACATCGCCACTGGTCGCATTTTCTAACTTTCCTACCACCACACATTTGATATTTTTATATATACATTGATATACATACATACATACACATATACATGTACGTCGTTTGCATATTTTCTCCTTTATTTGTCTTAAATTTTACTATAATTTTAGTTATATTATAAATAGTGATTCAAATAGTTCTATACAATATGTCATGATACATATTGACAGTAGTAATTCTTATTACTATTCATTAATTTCATAGGTAGTACCAAACAATATAACAAGTAGCATTGCACATACATACGTAACACATACATGCAGCGCACTATTTATTATCATTACCATTTGTAATATTTAATTATCATGCATTAATCCCATAAACATTAGCACATATTGGTACAACATCACAATGTCAACATAAATTTGTACTGTTGCAAAGACAACTTCATCCGGTTCTATCTCTATTCTCCGGCCACCCATAATTGTTTGCACATCAAAATACAAATACTAAAATGTATAGAAAGTAAGACTTACTGAGCGATCTTTGGTGGGGGCAAAAATATACATATTTTATTCAAAATAAATATTTTTTTCATATTAACCATCGACAAGAAGACCATTCCTATAACAGACATCACTATGTGCAACACTTTAATGTACGTAAAGATTAGAATTATCATCATTACAAAAATTCCAAGCACAGAAGCCAATCCAACAATCATCACGAGTCCTGTTCTCATTGTTAAGTCAAACTGTAACATTGTTACAAAATATTATGTAAAATAATGTCATTTCTGTGCTCGCTGTATACTTAACAATTGAGAATACCTTTGAGAATGTTGCCAGAACACCTACTACAAACGTTATGACTGCTGACATACCTAGTGCCATTAAGATGATTTCAACCTCATAAGAGACAGATGTGAAAGCAGCTAAATACGAAAGGGCTATTGTCTGCAAATGAGAAGACGTGACGCTTCTTCTTTTAGTACTAACATATTCTGTTAATCTATTCTCAATATTATTAGTTATCTCACCAGTTTGCACAACAATATATAATTATAGGGTGCTTTCCGTCTAGCGCTTTCAGAGCAAGACACAGCACAGTAGGATATGGTAAAGCATACACTGAAAAAATAGTATGATTAGTGTTGATTAAATAATAATCAATAAGCAGTTAGAAATACGTATATGTATGTACATACAAGGCTATGATCCACAAGTACCAATGTAGTATCATGAACTTCTTAGCAGCATCCCTGAGATAGAAATTAGATAAATAGTTCTTGTGCGAACAACAGAGAAGAATGTCATTATAATGTTAACTTGTCACACAAACACAAACAGAAAAACTGCTATGACAGATGCTGTAAATAACAACTGAAGTGTTAATATCAAGAAGACTTTTCTAACAAAACTTCTTCTCACTCCTTCCTCTTTAAAATCGCCTATGTAATCAGATCCATCTCCATCCGGACCCATTACTCTTCTCTGTTGTTGTTCAAGCCACGCTCTGTACAATTCCTGGTTCTCTCTTTCTCTTTGTGTCACCATTTCATCGGTGACAGTAACAGTATATGGCCCCTAATAATGAAAATAACGTTTTTAATAGTACACTTTCGTCGGTGAAATACATATTAATTGGCATCGAAGTTTTCTTACTCACTGTCTTAATTTGCTGTCCCTTAAACAAGGGTGGCAATTGTGGTGGACCCGGCATAAGTCGTTGAGCTTGTTGTTGATCTCCTTGCATTGAATTATTAATTAATGAGGCACACTATCAAATATTCAAACCGGTAAGTTCCCACCGGATCTGTGGCACTAACCAAATTTAAGTGTAAAATTTATTCACACATATAAAAACTTTATACATGTATAACTGTATTTTAATGAACACGAAATCATAACTTGTGCATTCGATACAGTTAATGTCCCACTCGAAAGAAATATTAATTCTTAATATTTGCGAGTAAAAAGTAATTATTACTTTGTTCTTGATAAACACATACTCTGATCTGTTCTCTAATTTTCTATATATCAGACTCAGAACGTAGACGTAAAATGTGTCAAGATTTATAGATAAACAAGCGAAGGTGTTGTAAAACGAACCGAATCATTGACAATACAGACAATATTCACAATACATCAAATCCATTGCGGCTAATACCTAATATTTATACATATATTTAGATATAATTTACTGTAAAAGTAAAGAAAGATAAAAATACTAGAAAAGCAAAAAGTGTTTTAATTCACTTGATACAGTACATTTCAGTTATACAAATAATATGTAACAATATAGATATAATCTTTCTTTAATGACAACATATTCTATTTATATTTTTTTAAATAGTAGAACTTCCATAGAAGATATAAAACGGGACACCCTTTTGGTTCGTCTTTCTTCCAAATTTTAATTATGTCTCTACTTTTGTTAACAATGTATACAGTCATATGGACTATTTTTAGGGCGTTCAGTACGCATTATTGAAAATATGGTACGACTGGTTGAAACAGGGTAATTTCATATAGTACGCGATCCACGTAGCAAAGTGCACAAAAAGTGCACGCAATACTGTACGCGCAAATACTACAGAACTACAATGTAAGTATTCTTCAATACGGACAAAAAACTAATGCGTAGAATGATTGCAAATATTCTGTACGCATATATGTATATACATAAACACACACACGCGCGCGCGCGCGCGCACACACACACACACACGCACGCACGCGCGAACACACACACACGCACGCGCGCACACACGCACACACACAAAATCGTAACGCAATTAGGTAGGTACATACAGAAGGGTAATTGAACCGAACATGTGCGTTAAGTTTTGTACGATGTCTCTTACGTGTGTATATAAAATTAATTCTAGACTTGGTAATTTTGAAATTTTACACTTATGTGATTTTAAAGCTGAAAAGAAATCGATTTTGCAGACTTTTCAACTGCTTTCACTTTTTAATTATTGTCAGTATTAACAATGAATAGGAATTTAAAGTCAGCACATTATTCGATAAGAAAAAATATTAACAGATCAACGGGATGTGTGAATTGTAAATAAAAATTAGATGATAATAAGAATAAAGCTACATACTGACTGTCTTCTCTACCTTACGCGGACCCCGACTAAACATCAGTCTTGTAAATAATGCTTGTAGAAAAATCTGTTATAATGTAGACAATCTTGTTCGCGAAGCTTAATGTATTAGTTTATGACGCCAGGCACTATGAGCTCGATTAATTGTACGTAAGTATCGATGTATATACATATTGTACGTGTGTCTTCTTCTAGTTGCATCATAGATTATCCCTTTTACAAACTGCACTGATTAATTTGCTCCTGTATCTTGTCGAACAAAAGCTGCGGGGATCATTGGGAAAAAAAACAACGTATTATATACATTTTCTGAACATATTAATTATCTATTAGTAGTGTACGAACCTGTCTCGTATTGTAATCTTGTATTAATATTACTTTTGATTGATCTGCACTACCGAATATTTTTCCAAGTTTCCTCTTCTTACTGTTGTCCTTGATACAAAGTTGTATTCCCCTATCAACTAATTTCGGTAGCTCACCAATTTCTTGCCACGTATACGTCCAATCCACCTGCATGATTGTCTTGTGCCAATTCACTGTTTTATATCCATATAAAAGTAGCATGTACTTACCCGCCATCCACCGCATAAGTCACTATATTCCACATACGCGATCCTCTTATCGGTAAGCAATACCACATCTTTAATAACGTACACGTGATAGAAATAAATATCGGTATGTGCGTATTTTCCTTTCTCTAATTCCTGTAGAAATAACCATCGATGAGAGCGAACCAATAGATTAATAAAACCATTAAACACGTACATTTAAGATCTTATATCCTTCAGCTTCTTCTCTTATGTACGACCTGACCAAATTGTCCGGTTGGAAAAATCTGGGCGGCCTGACTCTCTTCACTTCTTCACTCAACTCGGTTGCCCTAAAACGAGATTTATTATTATTTACGCAATTCGTCTGAATCGCCCTTCTTATTATATTTCCTACCGTTTCACTGCTCCAAAGGAGCCGCTCGCAAAGTCTATAACACCAGCGGTTGGTCTAGTGACAAGACCAACAACACCCTTTCCAAACCCTTTGAAAAAGCCTTCGACGCCTTCTTCTTTCGCACCCGATATAGGTTTCATTACAACTCCGCTTATACCGTCAACCACACCCTGTAGGTTTCAACGACAATCTTGGTTTTTGTCCTCAAGAAAAACTAGATTGATCTTTATGCTAGATTCTTACATACCATTACCAAACCTTTCCCGCTACGCGCAAGACCTTCTTGTAAATTAGTGGGTTGCTTGTTCAGTTGTTCCTGTCGTTTCCTTTGATAATCCTTATCGAATGTCAGGGCAGCTAGACCTTTACCTAGAATACACGAATGATATAAATATGTATGTAAAATGCAGTTACAATGATAGGCAGCAGAAATTAAGGATAGCTGTATAGTACCCATGGCTCCCGTTATTTTCGATACTGCTCCAGCCATTCCGCCAACAGTGTGACCTAACATACTACGGACGCCAAGAAGCAGACCTTCCGCAAATTCTCCAGGCCCTTGTATAGCACCTTGAAATGGTTCATAAAACAAATCCTCAATGCCTTTCATAGTACCGACTACAAGTCCATACGGATTTCCAATCACATCAAGCCCCAACACAAGGACATACGCTTGTTTAATTGCTTGCCCTACATAATGCATTGTTGCTTCAGAAATTAGCTGTTTATGAGTCATGAACGTGTAATCCCTTTCAAAGTATGCTAACCTGTAAAATAAAATGCAACCGGTGAAATCATCTACTCGCAAAGAACTGAATCGGTTATATTCGATTAAAAAATTAATTACTTGAAAACAATGTCATTAATGTCAGTTAACGTGACACCTATTCCCTGTAGTAACACATTCAATACTTGAGGTACTGCCGAAGGTCCGCTATTGCTTCCAGTCATTGAGAAACTTATGTGTATCTGAGAATCCACAAAAGGTACATAATGCAGTATATAAATTTGCCAGTTTAAGCATGGGTTGTTTCATTTCTATAAAGTCTTGAGAACAAACCTTCAACGGTGAGAAATGAAGTAAATCAAAGAAATTCTTCTGTTCGGCTGTAGTAATTAAACTGACATGATACATTAAGGGTTCGTCGACCAATTTCATGTCTAATTTAAATAATCTACTCTAAAAATATGTAATGCGGCACAATTAGTTTCGGTATTTCGATCTTACATATATGTATGTATAAGTTTATAGTCAGGCAAAGTGACACGATCGCAACTACTCACTTCTTCTGTATCGTTTGCTTCATTCGCTTCAAACAACCCCATTATTGCATTGATAAATACAATATCCACCTTCACGTGAAATTCTTGTACGAGAACTTTAAAATAACGGAATTGCTGAACATTGCTATGCTCTAATAATCGTTTCACCATACTAACTTCAGCAAATGGCTTCATTACTGTTGAATACGTACACAGGATAGTTAATGAATGGCAGCAGGAAAACGCAATATCACGCAACGGAAACATAGTTAAACAGAAAAGCTTACCGCTACTTTGGGTAACACTCTTTGGAGGTGGAACTGGGGCCAAAATAACTGGAAAAACGCACTCTGAAAGTTGACTGTCGATCTGAAGTTTATTAATCTTTCCATGCAGTTGCACCTGATGCGCTGACGTTCGATACTGCAACCATAAACCTGTGTGGAAGGTCCGCCGTAGAAATCTACGGTGCGGTTTCAACATTTCCATGTTCAGATAATCAACCTTTAAATAATATATTATTATAGTCGAGTTTCTTTAAACGGAACTGTTATTTTATCAAATTTTATTTGCAATTTCAATCACCTCCAGTTTTGGTTCAAGCATTACTATCTGCGGTGGATCTTTTTCTATTTGTAGTTCTCGGATGTATTTCTGATAGCCTTCTTCTATAATATTCACTTCTCTTGTACCGAGGCCTCGCCAACGATGACTAACAGATTTACTCGTTTCCCAAATAATTCCAGAACTGTGTTGCGCAGAATTGATAGAACGAAATATTACGCAATTATAACCGAATCGTTATACATATATTAATTAGACGAATGTTTGTTGCGGCAATTTACCTAGCTATACACATGTATAATAATTCTGATCTTGTTATGTTGTTAACGAGTGAAAGTCCAACACCATGAATGCTTATTGTTACTTCTTGCTCTATAGTTTCAAAATCACCCGCTAATTGACAATCTTCTGCAACTTTCATGTTTGATGTGAACAGAAGTATTCGTTGCGTACCATCCAAAAATGATACATAAAATACTTCCGCCTCCAAATCCTGTAGTTGAAAAGTTCCCAACGTATCCTAAAAAGCACACATCATTTACTAGTAACAATAAAAATAATAATAGTAATAGTAATAGTAATAATAATAATAATAATAATAATAATAACAATAACAATAATAATAATAACAATAACGAGAATAATTATGATATACTTTTTACCTTTCTCAAAGTGTCTTCGATTTCCTTTTTATTGCCGTCCTCCCATACTATATTCTTTGGTCCTGCAGGATTTTCCCAAGTATAAAACATTCTATTATATGACTGTATGGATCTGCGAGATAATCACTGTTTTAATACGTGACTTTAAATCGAACTAGTAAAGAATACTGATTTCTCTTAATACAAATATCTATGTACCTGACATTCAACGAACCCTTCTCCCAGAATTGGATAGTATGAGATGTGTGGTTTATAATTAATGCCGGAGCATTTCCATAAGTGTAAACGGACAGAGAAACGTAAACCCCACCTTCGCTGATCTGTACATCTACATTGATTCCTCCATACTGTTGCAGAATTATTTTTCATTAGAAATCATCGTACATATGTACATACAAACGGTTATTAAAGACTGACTGCCGGAAAGCAAACCTTATTATTTAATTTTAATAAAGTTGTATGACTTTCGGTGTAAACGAATGGTGCTGTTGTATCAGGTTCACCTGAAATCTTTGCTCTCAAGATCTTTTGTTCATGTTCGGAACGGGGCCAAAGAGCTGTACATTCACCAGGTGGAACCTATGTATATATGTATGATAAAAGTAGCAGATACATGTGAAATTTTTATTTTAATCTACTAGGAAAAGAATCATAATTTTTTTTATAAATTACCTTGGATACAGGATCGGCCGGTCTATCACCTTCTTGACATTCAATAAGGAAACTGGAATTATTTATAAGAACATAGTATGGAGTAAATGTAATCTGTTTTGTTAATGAGTTATAGGTCAGCTGGTTGTGGACTCCAATCTGTAAAGTATAAACAATATTGTTTCGCTAATATTGCTCTACTTCAGAATTGAAAGAAAAAAGAAAAATTGGCTTATTGCTCATAAGAATAATAACCTGATAGGTCAATCCGTTGTATTTGCAAACAACTACTCCCTCGCTTCCAGCAACATCTATTGGAAACTTATCAGACCACTCGCCATCCTCCACTCTAATCATTGCCTTCTTTTTACCAAAAAATACTTTCGAACGAAATGAAAATAATATTGGTCCCTTGAAGTTTTCCGGGTGATACAACACGTTTAAATAGTCATCTCCGCTCTGAAAATATTTATACAATTAAACGCTTGTATTAACATTAAATACATTTTAGCATATTACTTGAGACGTGCAAACAAAATACAATTGCTTGTCTTCGCTTCTTTCGTACAATATTGTTTGCTTAAGTAACAATATTATACATAGCATTGTTATAAAAATGATTACAATATACGCCAACATATATGCCAACACCAGCCTACCTAATGTTTAAATTTCTGTACTTAAAGAAAAAAATATTTCCAAAAGTTTCATAACGATAAATTTAGCGTGACGAACATTTACAAGAATTCCGACTATCTTAACGGTGCAATTTCTAATATATGTCTTAAACATGCTTTGATAGTTATATTATTGTGAAATAGAATGCGAAGAAATGAAATAATTATTTACTTTCAACCTGTAAATGTACGCGTAATGTTGCAAAATTCTGATAATAAAGTAGTAAGCAAACCAATGAAACGAAACGTCAAACATGAATGAAACTACAATGAAATTCTTCGTTGATTTCGGAACAACATAGGTGCATGTGGTGTTATTAATTTATAAGTCACAGTATGCAGTATCATTTATCTTAGTACAGGTGATATCTCTGTTGCCGTATTGAGTAATAAAGTGTAATGTGTTTAGTTAGGGGAGAAGCACCAATTCTGATATAAACAGAACTATATACATATAGTTAGTAACCACAGTTAAACAAAGTTTACTAAATTATATTAAATTAAAAGTTTCTTTGACAGTGTGTATGTGTGTATGTGCGTGCGTGTGCGTGTGTGAAATAAAATTAACATCACCAATAAAAAATGAAAACAATGTGTATCACCAAACGTGCTTCCTTCTTCCTGTACTCTGCACGTTGCCGACGAGGTTTTGTGACACAAACCAAACTCTGTGAAAGACACCTTTCTATGTATTTTCATAATATAGGTAATAATGAAATTAATCGTCTCATTTACATGAAAGCCTTCTTAAATTTGTCATTCTATTATCCATATGTAGAAATTTTACAATCAACGCAACGAAACTGAACTTTATCAAGCTACTTTGAAATCCCACAAAAATTCACATGCTGCAGTAACTACTGCATTCAAACAAAAAGTTCTGACTTTAAATCAAAAAGATACAATACTCAACGTAAATTTTGGTATCTAAAATTCTCAAAGTAAATCACGTATAACATATTGCGTTCAAAAGCATGAAAAGATACTGTTGTAACATGAAGTCACTACCTTGATTGGACTTGAGTGTTCTTTGCCACCCTTACTTGATTTCTGTAAAATAATGTATCGTTTAGATATGATCGTATAGATTGAAACAATTTGCAACATTATACTACTTCCAGCATGCACGCAACGACACAACACTTACATATCGCATAAAGTATCAAACTCAAGCATTACATAGGGACATTAATTACATGTCTAATACAGGTACTAAAACTTAATTTAAAACATATTGAAATATTTTATTGTATGCAGTATTAAGAAAAAGAACGAAAATAATTTGCAAGGCGCATACATGAGGTTGATATAAAACTTGGAAAGAAAGTTTTGTATGAAGAAAAGAAAAAAAAAAAGAAAAAAAAAAAAAAAAAACGCACAAGCAGAATGTACATAAGCTAAGAAAGGAAACTAAATATAACCAATTATGTGATTGTAAACGATACACTGTAAGAGGAAATTTTTGACTGATCCTTACCCGATAGGACAACATTAAACCTGTCTTGTTCAGCATCCAAAATGGGCAGTACAATGCCATGACGATAGATCCATGTTTGTAAGATATATGCATCCCTAAGTCCATAACAACTTTTTGTGCGCTGTCAAAAGACTCGAAAGACCAGACTGAAAATTCTGGTGGGTTTGCCAGTATCTCGCCTCTGCACGACCAGTCCTTTTCTAAATAATTTGGCAGCTACGACAAATTATCACACGCAACGGAAATGTTTAACCAGAAATCCAACGGTACTGTAAACATTAACAAACCGCTTACCTTGATGATTATATACGATTTATCGGGATCAATTGTAGGAATCTGATAAGATGTGCCTGCTTCCAAAAGCTTTTCTTGAACAATTCCAGGCATCGATACAATAATATCAATCGGCAGAAAATTCTTCAAATACACAGATGGATACAAGTGAACATTATAAATGGTACTAGCCATCGTATGTCGGCTTGTATTTTCGAAGTAGACCTGTTCTATTTCTCCTACAACCTGGAATTTTTTCCATAAATTATTAAAATATACAAAGTTCTTGTTAGACTCGCATACATCATACTTTATTCTACCATTTCACTCTATCGTTCTTTACACAATTATCTACACCAGCAAACAATACTTTCAACATTGCAGCATAACAGTAACAATAAATACATTCTAGGTAACACAAATGAAACACAAAGTACGTGCAATTAATATATATATAATAACAAAAAGTAAAGAATGAACAATACTTGAAGAAGTTTTTTCGCTGAGAAACTAATTATTTTGTATTATTCGAACAAGAAAATTTGATTCAACGAATTCCGAGTACAGGTCACGATTATACGTTAACAAGAAAAGTTAAGCATTATGTTGAACATGAAGATAAAATGATTGAAATCTATTTAATATGTACAATTAAAAACTGTACTCTATGTACGACTATATTATTGTTTTCTGTAAATATGCATTCACATTTACGGTATATTAATCTATCTAACAGTAATAGAAACATACATATTCGCCCGATATCGAATGAATACTAAATGACAAACCTTCTGCAAAGACTAGTTAGGAAAATGGTAGTACCTGAATGGGTGCTTGCAGATATTTTGGGTGTTCTGAGGGTAAATTGTTCAAGCAAAGACGCTCGACGATATCAACGAAACGACAGAATATGGATCGCCAGTTAATAGCGTCAAATAATAAGCCGATAGTGTTGTTATTATTAGATAAAATACTACCAACCACAATCATCACGAAAAACATCTAAAAGTAAAAACTGCTGCTTATGAATGTACGTAGATGTGTCTCGACGAAACCTTTTAATTACACTGTTAAAATTAAATTAATATCTCTATTTACAAATTATTACTTATTTAAATGCCTCAAGTGACATTTGTGTTGCGTATTGTACAGTGTGACGCTTTTATTTTAGAAGAAAGATATAGAATAGAAAAAATAAGAAAGTCTGCTAAGTGGAAACAATGAAATTGTAATTCGACTGATTACCTTTATATAAAACGGTACTACTGCTTCTTGTTTCGTACGACTTTCGCACTTTAAAAGTTTCGTCATAGAAACTGTCTTCTGTAAATCTTTCCACACGAATGGTTCTATTGAAACCATGTATCTACAATCCAGTTAAATACACTTATTAAACACACATAAATAACAGTTGTACTTGGGATGAAAATACATACGAATAACGACCGTGTAAATTACCTATCAACACTGAAAAATAGCCAATAGATGTTTGTTGGAGTATATACTGCATCCAATGGAAGATTTAATTTACTATCCGGAGCAACAGTGCCCACACATTCAACTTCATTTCCACGTTTGGTCATATAATATACAGATATCGGTTCGCTGAAATGATTGTGGACCTAATAAAATCCATTTAACGTTATTATTACTTTTTACGAAGTAACGTATACATATAGATATTCATATAGAAAGTACTTCACCTGAAGAATACTTCTGAGAGTGACTATAGTACTCCCTTCGTCCACCACAACATCAGACACAATACCCCACTCTTCGGAACTTTCTTTTCGATATCTTAGAGAAAAGAATCTTTTGTCGGCTCTCAAAACGGGTATGGTCAATGTGCAATCGATTTCTTTAAACTTTAAACAAAATGTCGTCTGTCAATTAACGATGATTTTAATTGAAATGATCATAGTGACACCGTTCGATGAATATTACCGAAATGATGAATTTATCGTCTTCTCTCCTCTCTTCAAATGAATTACTTTTCAGCTGATCAAGCAAAGGTATTTCAGTTTTTGTAGTTTGCGATGCGAGCTCTACCGATGCACCGGATTCCAGAATTACTTCCATGTATGTGTCTGCATTTTCCCTTGTTGTTTTCGATCCATCGTTGAACACCTAAAACAATGCTCTATGGTAGTGTTGTTTTTCTTTTTTTCTAACTGCGAGACTTGAATGATGCAAAATACCTTGAAATAGCTGCGTTCTAAATCTAAAACCATTGTCAAACCAGTCTCGTTTCTCAGTACATAGGGTGCCAGACTTTTAGCAGTCCCTTTTCCACCAGCTTCCATTGCCGATGAAAATGCATTGCCAAGCTGTTTGAGTACGTCGAGGCAAGTTTTGGTTACAGTTATTTCTAAGTTTTCCTGTCACAAAAGTCTACCGTTAGAACGTTGAATCGATGTGCGAAATCTTTTAAACGTTTCACTCACAGAGGACACTATATCGACGGACATTTTAGCTGTTTGATGCCATTCTTCTGGTTCACTCTCGGTAGTTGGACTAGCCACGCTTGCTCCCCTAGAGTCCACCGATACTTCGTTAAATTGAATCTAATGGATAATAATGGAAAAGCTATGGAAATTACTTGACACAACATGTAATTAATAATTATAATAACTGTAGATATTTCAAAATTCAAATACGTCACTTTAGTCTTTAGTTCCCAAGGTGTAGAAACTCGCTTTCCATTTCTGATTCCCTCTATGGGTTCGATTAATGGTTCCCATAACGCGAGACGACTGTTGTAATACGCCATAATCAGCGACATTGTAGCCTCCATACTCATCTACATAGATAGAAATGTTCATATTCAACAGACATAAAAAATATTTCTTCCATGATCACTCTTATATTTCTTACAGATTTTGAACTCCAATCGTTGACATTGCTCTGGAATCCAATATGAAGTAGAAGCATAGGTAGCGTTTTGTTACCAACACCTGCTTCTAATGTGAGTAAGATTGTTCGTGCAGAAACTATTGCCAATTCTGGCTTATAGTCTGCTGTAATTTCCTCGTCGGCATATACAATATCTTCGACAGCTTCAACTCCTACTTCTAAAGGGAACAAGGAGAGGCAAGAATTCCTATTTAGTTGGTTATGCAATATAAGCAATAGTACGATAACTGAGTTATAGTTTACGTCCAACCTGTTTTCAGGAACCAAAATTCACTCTCCTCGTATGGTGTTACAATCCATAAATCTTCGTGATTTGATTCGGATATAACAACTTCTTCGTCCTTTACTTCTGTTTTCGTCGCTGTGTGAACAACTTTATTCAAAATTTCTATGACACCTACAAATAGAAAGTTTACATTTTTCTCTATGTACAATACATGTACAAAACTATTACGCGATTAAATTACCTGGTGATACCGATATATGTATATCAGTGCAACAAACATCGATATGAAGTCCTTTTCCTTCTGGTGTAGAGCCAGCTACACTAATACTGCACGGTCTTAAAACCTTGAGAAAATGACAATATTTACATTTCGTTCGAAACAGTGCAGCAATACAAACAAAAAAATACAACTTATTCAAAAACTTACCTGATATATCCAATCGCTTCTCTTCACTGGATTGTATATACCAGCTAAAATCGACAAGTCTTTTATAGAACCAGTTATTACTTGGTGCTCACCCTTCAAACGTACTTTTAACAGTAGCTCAGTCTGCAAAAAAAAAAAAAACAATATTAATGTACATGTAAGATATGAAACGATAAAAGTATATTCAGATAGATATGCATTACATTTAATATGACACAATTTGAATTTATGTTATCCATGTCTTCGAGGAGTATAATATCCGGCTTTTCAATGTGCAGATTAATAGTGAACATTTTTTTATTTGATGCTGCAGGAGGTTGTTTCTTCTTTGTTGTTGCTGCTGCTGCTGCTGCTGCTGCTTCGTTGTAATTCTTTGATACACCTTGGGTCACTGCTTTATTCGAAGGTGTTTCTTCGATAGTGAAGAAGTCCTTGACTTTCATTAAGTAATCAAGAGACACGATTATACTGAAGGAGAAAACTCTAACATCAACTGGAAGCAAGCAGCAATTACTTTAGTCTGAATCGATTCAACTTTGAATAATGCATATTAAAAAAAATTCGCAACTTACCAAATGTATCATTTAAACTTTGTCTAACAGTCATGTCTAACATACTACGTACAGACTTTGACTCTATTTCCATGTCATTCGTGGAAGGTAAAGCTGTGGTTCTCTCCATAATTCTGATAAGGGAACCTTCTCTAATTTGCCGTGTATCATCCAAAGTACAGTTCATAAGAAGAATAGAAGTTGCCATTAATCCATCAGCAAATATTCTGCCTTTTAATGCGAAATGAGTCAAAGAAAACTTTGCTAATCCATTCTCTGGTAAATGTAGCAGAGAACTCTGAGACTGTAGCTGCAATTTATTTTCTTATTGAGTCTGTAATATAGACGAACGACCAAACATAACAAACTAATATATCAAACCACCATTTTTGAGCCTCCTGTAAATAAGTTAATCACAAGACTGTCCATGGCAAACTCAAATTTGATGGATGTGTGTATCTGCGGTTGTTCCTGGAAGTCCGTATCTTCGGCGTCTGCTACAGTGGTTCTTTCAGGTTTATCTGTTCGGATACAAACGGCAATTACGTATGGTTCGATATAAACGAAAAAATTATTACCAGGCCTTACCGCCTGTTGGTTGATGGTGTTGCACTTCTACTGCAAGTTTCCTTTCGTTTGAAAGAGCATTTTGTCCAGGATTTGTTTCTTCAATTTTCTCCCCTAAATTTTCTTCCAGTACCTTCATTGCGGTAGCATAATCCTCTTTACTAATTAACAAATTAATTTTATTTAGTCTGCCAGACATATCTATATCTGGAATGGAGGTAAACCAAGCAGTTGATAAATTGCGTTTAATAAGTAACGTGAAACTAACTGGTTCCAACAGTAATATTTCACTTTCAACCGCAAACTTTTCCATGTTCAACTTCACCCTATGGAAATACAATAGATTAACACAACACACATACACTTTACGCAGAAAGGAGACAAGTGCCTTAATGTACAGTTTCTTTGAATTATCACCTAGACAACTTTAAGTTTTGCAATTCGATTCTCATTTCATCAACAATGGGACAGTCCCCAGCCTCGTTTGTAATCTCCAGTTTCTTAAATACATTGCACACAGTTAGATTACCCATGTCCAACGTTAGACAGTGATTGCTCTTTGAATGCATCGGTACATATATAACAGGCGCCTAAACGAAATACTTTCAATAAGTATTGCAGGTGGGTAAATATGAGAACGTTATTTAATTGTACTGGATACCTTAATTTTTACTGCAAGTCCTATTCGCGCTGCACTTTCCTGGACATCTTTAATATTTGTCTTTGCAGCTTCCGCGGCTGCGGCCGAGGCATCCTTTATAGCTTGCTGAGCTGCTTGGAAGTTATTCAAGAAGCTCTAAAAGGATTGACGAATGTACACATACAGAATCACCGTAGTGGAACACTTCTCTTTGTTTTTTTACATAGATAGTTTCCCACTTACCATTATACTGGTAACAAACATATTTAAGAATACAATACGGTAACAACCCATAGCAACCGTAATGGACATATTATTTTTATCAACATCCGATGGATCGATATTATATATTATAGCTTGAACTTGTAAGGATTCGGTATCTTCTGTCACCGATATAATCTGCGCACAGATCATTGATCAAAATTTCACAGGAAATGCATACATTTTCAGAAAAACGACAATATACAGTATGTGCCTTACATCTCTATAAGCCGATGCAGCATTAAGATCTATAACACTGACAGAGGACAAATTAACATTCGCTTGGGAATAAGAAGCCTTCATTACGAATCCAGCTGTAATGCCGTCAACATGAAACGTAGTGATTTCTCGACATTTACTAACTATCCTCATGCAGATTGTACCTATCTTTGCTTGGATCTTTAAATCTATATGCTCGATCATTGTTCTCCTACGACCTAAATGTATGGATGGAATATAACCAAATGACGGTCATTCGATAATTTTATGAAATCGTAACACGTGCTTAAACGCTTGCTCACGTGATGTGGTTGATCGAAGCTTTTGCCTGTGAATTTGTTCTTTAAAGAAACCAGACGTTTCCTCTTGAATAGAAGTCAAATGACTCACTCGTGGTCGAACGAATTGACGATCCTTTTCCTCTGTTGTACTTTGCGCTACAGAATTCATTTGATCCTGTCACAAACAATTATTTCACTAACTTGTTCGCAATTTACGTCCAGTCTTATCTATGTGATTATTTTTAAACATTACCTGCATACATGTTGCAAACTGCAAAAGATTTATCAGTGCTTCTTGATGAAGTAAAACGTCTAACGTTGTAAATTCCAATTTTAATAATTTAATAACGGACCCATGTCTCGTCGTGAATTCGGGGGATCGTTTATTCACCTATACGACAATTGTACGGCAAATATTGTGTACTTATCAAATGCGTGAGAAACTTACATATTTATCGTGTATATAGTATATTTCAAATGTCTACATATAACTTACATTTATATATTGCGCTGTTATCAGGTATTCATCTCGACCAGATGACATAGGAGTGTTTACCATAAATATTTCCGTTTTATCGTAATGCTGCTTCACCTGAACACCGCCCAATCGTAACATTATTTCTTGATCATACGTTCGCTGCAACATTTCCGCTTCCAACTGTAATACCTCAAACTTCATAAACGGTATTATTATATCGTCCTTTTGAGATGAAACCAGCAATGCAAATTCTGCAATCGGTGTTATACCACGATTAGATCTTTTCTAGTCATTTAACGACACATATGCGTATGTTTTATTACCTTTCATGACAAATTTCATTTCCAAATCGGTGGTTTGTTTAACGTGCCTAGTTTCTTCCTTTTTTTTTTCAGAGACAATGGAAATTGTTGTCAACTCTTTTAACAGGGACAGCTGAGAGACGGATTTACTCTATGAAATGTATTTCACGATTAGCGTCAAACTGTTGTTCAAAAAGACAGATTGTAATACAATATGAAAATTCCAAGTATAATGCATAACATACAAGTGAGGATTTTTGAAGCTCTGTGGATTCTTCTTCTTTTGGTAACGGTATACTCTGAGCAATAGCCAGGGCTTGTAATAAACGAATGTCTACCAAGAAAGAGGATCGTAACAATTCGAACGTGAATATACATAAGAATATACTAGAAATGCCTACCTACCTGTTATACTAATTACAAGTGACGGTAATTGGCCAATAAGTCTCAACTTTGGAAGAATAGGATCATCGGTCACTAAGCATTTGTGAAACTGAATCTCAAGGGTAGTTGGATGTAGTAACGTCATAGAATCATGTACCTTCGATAGAATTGTACGCCATTCCTCTCCCGGCAGGGAAACCAGTACCTATGTACAATATACACATACTTATTCTTTGCTTTGCATTTGTTTCGATACCGGACCCCACCTAGATCGATACATACTTGTATATCGACTATTTTTAGAACAAATTTGTCATAGCTATGTTCTCTGAGATGCAGCAACACGTCCTCTTCACTTTTACCCATGCTGATTAATTGTTTAACGGATACACTCGTCCTATCGTGCTTCGGTTTTTCCAATGAGTGCATTTTTAAACTACCAAGATTGACCACCAACAATGACTTTGTGCTGTTATAGAATCCACCGTGTGGAACGATTAACTGTGACGCCTGCATGTCGACCTATCAAGCATGAATTACATTACAATTTAAGGTCTCTTCGTTATAATCAATGCGTGGTTCATATACAGTACAATAGACTGGTACCTGTATGTCTAATACCGAATGTTTTTGAATGGCATGCTCTAAACCCAGAGCTGACATTTCCTTTAAACCCTCAAACTGTTCTGCGGCAGCTGCTTGAAGTCTACATTTAAAAGAAAACAAAAATAGTGAATTAACTAAGAACAGAAGAACCAGATGCTTCAAAAAAAGATGATAGCCTTACTGATTCAAGGTTGAAGAGTTTTGCACTTTGAACAGATTAACTACTTCTATTACAGTTTGTGCGTCGTAGATAATATCCACCGATGTTGATCTGACTATAACACGATCCCCGCATAACTTATCAAGGGGATTCTTTTCATATGATACGTATATTAAAACAGTTTCCGCGCTATGTTCATGAGAATTGAAAAGTGAAGGAACCTGGTCATTTTGTTTTGTACCTAAAAGCTTCATTTGATTGATCGATGCTGTAACTCTGTAACAAAATCGAATATTATTATCTTCAAATATATTCGTTCGTATAGTTTAAAAATATTTCTTCAAAAAATTATACATAGAATACATACAATGTAGCATTAGCAGATGGCCTTGACTTAAAGCCAGCTTCAACAACATGAAGTTGAAGATCCAATACGCATGGGTATTCCTTGTCCGTATCCAAAAAGATTATCTGTAGTTCATGTAACAGGAACCGGGTATCGATCATCTCGTATGTTTCAGGATAATGAGCTGGTGCGCTGTTTTCTTGATAATCAATTGCTCTATATAATTTCTCTTTTTCCTGTGGCGTTATCGCCTGTTCGAATTTCCTCACTGTAATCAACATTTTACGTAAAGTGAACTATCAAGTTAATTACAAAGTGAACGTTCGATCAATTACTTATTGCAGCCGCGGAATTTAGTTCTTGTGTTTCCTCCGTTTGTGAACTGGACCAGAGAAATCCAAACCAACCACGTTTCGCTTTCAGATTCTTTTCTTTTTCTACCAATCTCTCCACCTATGAAATGCAAACTAAAAATGAAATTTTTATACAAATTACAGGCTATATGAAAATGTTTTATCAATGAAGATACAGACTTCCATTTCAATTTGTTGTCTAATGATGACCAAATTGAAAATATCTAACTTCTTTTCGCATTCTGTAAGACAATCTTCTATTTCCTGTGCAACTTTCTTGGTTGTTAATTTTGTCTGATACGCCTCGGCATATTCACGACACGCATCCCTGTGTTGCTTCATATGATTCCAATCCCAATTCCTACGATTTATGCGTACCGTTTCTTCCAAAATACAAATATATGCAAAATGCCACCTAAAAACAGATTGCACATTCTACAAACAAACCAAAACTATTCGTTTTTGTATCAATAATTTATAACTTGTTTCTTACCATTCTTTGTAGTGTCCCCTGTACAATGACAAATTAGGTCTGTACTTTCTATACGGGGCAGCCTTTTGTGCCTGATCCAAGCCTTCGCCTAACTGAACAATTGTACGATATTGCTTTTTCGTTAGTCCTATTCTTAATTTTTGCATTTCCAGATCCAACCACACCTTCGGAATCGCGTAATTACTGCCATCTGTCTCTGGTTTTGGATTTAGCTTTAACTTTGCATTGACGTTTATTGGGCCCAATACTAAAGAAGTCAGAAGTAGTTGTATAATTACGAAAAATATAACTCCTTAAAAATATATGACGTGTTACACTATGTATACGTGTACTTACAATATTGGTAGCCCAGTGGATTGTAATCTATAGTTGCAATACCACTGGAAAAGAGATCTGAATAGCTTGACTCTGAGTTGTTACTAAATTGTTCTACAATTGTATTCAGATATACAGCCAAGCCATCCAATGTGCATAACTAGGAAGAGAACATTTCTCATTTCAAATGCTATTTTATGTCTCTCTCTCTCTCTCTCTCTCTCTCTCTCTCTCTCTCTCTAATAAAGTTCGGTGGTTCTACTTACCTTATAAATCTGTGGGATAGCATACATGTCCTTTAAGTTACCATCTATTTTCCAGGAATCTGTACAACTTTCTAAGATGAATTTATTCAGTGTAAAACCAACTGAAAATGGATGATCTTTAAAGGAAACATGATCCTCATATCGTACGTGTATCCTTTTAATTTCAACATGAATATTTTTTATCATACGGGCAATGAGTTTTTCAATCATTGAATCGTCCAACTTTTCTTGTACTGTATAAAAATGTCCATTATATTTAATAGCATATAAAAATGAAGGTTTAAGATGTAATACTACTACAGATATTTACATTTAGTATCCGCTAATTGTTTTCTTTTCTCAACTCTTGCAAGCTCTGCACGTTTGCCTTCAAGTTGAACTCTAGCCTCTTTCTCAGCATCGTATGCAACTTGACTTGTAGGTATAACAAGTAGAAATAATTCCTCGACTATTGCATCAATTTGACCATTCCACATGTCTTTGAACGGTATTTTTAATATAAGTTTGCCTATGAAAAATGCAAGGATGAACCACATTAGTTGTTTCATTCAAGTTCCAACAGTACTGCATATGACTGAATAAATACGTATACATTATCTACAAACCTAATTTTCCATATTCCAATCTGATGGGTAAATCCAGCACATCTAATGCAGTTTCTTTTATTAATAAATCTGTTAATACAACGTCCCCTGAAAAAAAGTTTTAGAGGATTTACAATAGGAAAAAATGAAAAATCAAGACTGGATCAATCTTATTTTATTGTATTTATAGTATTTATAATAGAAATAAAATAACAACTTCATGTACGCGACAGATACTTCAAGTGAATTAAAGATTATAAATTGTTACAACATAAGTGTAGCTAAAAGTAACAAAGTATCATGTAAAAATATAATGGATTGTAACATAAATGAACCACTTTTAATTCAATTTTCAAGCATGTACAAAGCTGTAGATCTTAGCTAATTATAGTTCATAACAATAAAAACAAAACTGACTAATTCCATAGTTTAATGTTACGTTACAATTAAAGTACTATTTTTACTTTGGCATTCATCATTGCAAAAACCATTATAAATGAAACTTCAACCAACTGTATTATACCATGTACATACGTATATGTATATTTAGAAGCATGCTTGTACATGTTGATAGTTTTCATTGCATGTTCCAGAAATGAAAAACAAATAGTTTAAAAAAAGAAATTGTATTTCCATCGCATCAATGTTTTAGCTTCTGACAGAAATATGTGCTGAAATATGTAATGATAATAATACATGAATTTAGGTATGCGGATTTATGAAATACCGCGTTAGGCAAGTTAAGGTGTTATCACGTTCACCTCTTTCTTATTTTCCTGGGCTTTGGTCGGTTTTTTAAATAAAACAAATTGTTCTGCGACCGAGTACCAATCTACATATACGAATTCCTTTGAAAAATGTTCGGGCGATATTTGAATTTGAATGCTTACCTCCCCACAAACTGAGCTTTAATTGCGTGTAGTCCAAATTTTGAATGTATTCTCCTAACACCTTATTCAGGAGTTCAGCAACGATCGATTCGAAAACCATTGTTGATCTTTATTCCAAACAAGATACGTACTATTATAAAATCTATAAACAGGAGAAAAACAAGTAACAAGTATTGAACAATAACATATATGTATATGTATTTATTTCTATTCGTTGCCGATTCGATGGTTAACCAGTGGTTGATGCAAACACAAATCGATCGATAAGAAGTACCGCATAACCTGACATGACGAACATATATATATATATATAAATTAATCGACACGAAACGTTCCTAATTATTCTTATTTCGTGCTTTTGGTTGAAATTTTTACTCGACACACTGCCGCGCGCCACTCACCGATTACATCAGATTATTAATAGACAATGACGTTCGGTTTGCAATTAAAACGCCATCATTCGAAAATATATTCTGTCATGGCTCTTCTAACTGCTTCTGACGTACGTACTGGTACGTACTAAACTTCACCAATCGGACCGAATTGGACATTGGACCTTCACATTCTGCCTGCTTGTGAACACTTAATTATATAGAAATACATATAATAGACTAGACGGTCTTATGGTAGTAATGAAGTCGGCGCTAGGAAGAGAGGATAGTACCTGGAGTACATTATCTTTCTTTCTAATGGGTCTGTTGGTGGGGGATCCTGCTAAGGTGTAATAGGGGCTAGGGATGAATCGATACGAGTAAATACGAGTACATTACTCGATACTTTTGTTTCCATACGGAGTACTTTTGGTATGGATACTGCGGTTCGACTCGTGTGTGAGAGATGTACTGTGTAGTAGCTATGTAAGTGGGGTCATAGAAGCCCCGGAGCATGCACAGGAGACCTCGTCTGTGTGAAAAAGTGGGGTCGTAGAACCCCCGGAGCATGTACCAGAGACCCCGTGTATGTTAAAAGCGGGGTCATACAACCCCCGGAGCAAGCACCAGAGACCCTGTAAGTGCAAGAAAGTGGGGCAATAGAACCCCCGGAGCATGCACCAGAGACCCCGTGTGTGTGAAAAAGCGGGGTCATAGAACCCCCGGAGCATGCGTAGGAGACCCAATGATCTATATACTATATACTATATAGATCAATGTGCCCCAGATTTGTGGGCCGCAAAAATACATTGGATGAAATGTGTACTTCTATACCAGCTCGTCTATGGTTACACATAAAGAACTAAACATTGACTATAAATGTCACCGTTGTAATTGTTTGTGTACAGCTGCGAAAAAGATAGGTCACATTTCGGCCAATTCAGGCCAATTTCGGCTGGTGAAAGGATGGCGGAGTGGGGTGTACAATTATTTAGTCGGTTATTCGCGAATCTCGGTATTCAAATTTCAAGTGATTTTTTTACTTTTTTTTTATTAATGCCTACTTAGATTTGTAAAGTTACATCTGCAAATAGCATACATTACTATGTGTACATCGTTATGATGGGTTATCAATATTCCAGCCAGTGTATTACATGATATATTGAAGGAAATAAGCCTTGTAAGAAAATAGGAGTTGCACAATGCAACAGAGTGTGTGAGCTTGATTTCTGGGTAGTTGGCCCAGGATTTGTTAATGTACATTAATTTCTTAATAACTAGTGATTATGTACTAACAACTAAAAACTAAATATGTAAGCCTACAAAATTTCAAATGATGAAACGGTAAACACCGGTAAATTCAGAATTTGTAACTTCATATGTAAATTCGCAGATCTTCAGTTAATAAGATAGCGTGTTCGGTAATTTCGGTTAATAAAATGTGCCATAGAATAGTTCGTTCATTAAGTGTAGTTACATTTTTGCTTTTGTATAATAATTTTTATACGGAATCTACATCGATCAAGGATTCAAGTAAGTCGTCCTAACCTATACTTCACACTTGCAAATTTGCCGACATTCATTTAATGTAATAATACCATATATACACTCAAAGTTGACATAAATTTTGAAATAATGAGCATTGTGTTCATTATTGAATGGACGATTTCGGTATGCCTACAATGTTAAGAAACATTTATCAATTTATATATTGACAAATTGTTTATGTTTATACTGTATTGTTGTTTGTATCTGCGGTTTTCAGTACATCTATTAAAGGTGGAAGATGTGTTCGAAAACGACAAACCTGGATTACAAATATTTTGCCACAATGCGAATACCAAATATTTGTTACACATGTGGAAAAGTTTAACAGTAAGGAATACCGCTTTGTAATTATTTTCCGATGTCTAGATAAATTTGGGAATTGATGGCGTCGCAATATTGTATATTATAGATGCACTTAAATACAAATATAGAAAATTATGATCTTTACGATGGTAAAACTCCCGAAGAAGTGATGGAGAAGCACGACGACAATCAGGGATCTTGGCGCTTTAATCTGTTTGGTACAAAAAATAGTAATAAATTGAAAATCAATCCATTTGAGGACATATGTATAGGCGTGCACGTACATCCTTCGAATTTGCACAAATATACGATAAGTGTGACGCAGACACGTGAGTGTAGCGGCAAGCGGAACTTTTTCAATAGCTGCTAAAGCCGACACTGTTAATGTCAATGTTAATGTTACTGTTAAATTGTTCACCAACACTGTTCCGTGTCAATAGGTGTTGATATCACGAAATTGTCGATAATGGTGCTGGGCGCTATAACGTACTGGAGTGCACGGAAACTGAGCGGAAATCCATTATTTTACTATTTATGCGGTATCGCGGTTGGAATTGCCATGTCTGTTATAATATTAGTGTACATTATTAGCAAACTATTGCCAAAGGTAAACAGACGTCTTAAACGTTCTACGATTGTTTATTCGCGATGTTAATCGGTGTCTTTTAATTATTAAAGGGTAAAATTATGTATCTGATGGTTGCCACTGGTTGGACTATGAGTTTCTATTTGATCCAAGCATTATGGGAAAACGCGCAACTGATCGTGGTACAATACAGGGAGTGGCTGATGTGGTATATCTTAGTAACGTCTTTTATCAGCTTTGTAATTTGCTATCGTTTCGGTCCAGTTACAAATACGAAAACGAAAAAACTTATTCAGTGGTTCTTGCAGGTCTGTACAGATATGTTAGACAACTAACGATCGCCAACGATGCAAAATTCCTAAGATATTGTTTAATCTGTTATCGGTTTTGTTTATTTAGATAGGAGGATTACTCGCAATGTATTACAGCAGTTACTTTCACGAAGCTTCGTTTTTCAGTTGTATCATAATTGCTCTTCTTTATAATTTTCCCGTTGTTATAATTCGGAAAGGAAGGAGTTATTGGTAAGTTCTGCTACTTGACCTTTTCGCCATAATCGCATAAATTTTCCAACAACTTCAAATCAAATATGAAACAATATTTGCACAGTAATAATTGGCATATTCATTATTATTACGACCTGTAGTTGAACTTTACCCGTTGAACTTTGTACCTTTGTTCATAATAAATTGTAATCATATTCTTTATAAACGCGTTTTTTTTTTATTGTAAATCTAGTAGAAATGACTATGTGTGTAGTGTAACATATCTAGCTAACTTTTTAATGATATATTTAAAATATACTTTTCTTCGTGGCAAATTTGGCGATATTAACAATAAAATAAAACAGCAGTAACATTGCAGCAGCATCATCATCATCGGTAGTAGTAACAGTAGCAATAGTAATAGTATTGGTAATAATTGATAGTAGTAGTGGTAGTGGTAGTGGTAGTTGATAGTAGCAGTACTACATAGGAACGATCGTATATCGATGATCGTAATAAATATTCGGTACAAGTGTTTATACATATTATGTGTATACCTGTTTGAAATCAGGAAGAATATGTTTCACGAAAGGAGAAAACTATTAACGGAAGATGAATACCGGAAAGAAGGTATAAGGGAGACTAATAAAGCATTGAATGAGCTCAAACAATACTGTTCTAGTCCCGAATGTAATTCTTGGAAGACCGTTCTAAGACTAAAGGATCCTATAAGGTTATTACGGAGCTCGAATATTGTAGCGGCACTGGATGACCAGTGTGTGGCTAATGTACTCTCTTTTAGGTTCGCCAAGTTTGTGGAAGGTGAATCGCATTTGTCGGAAGACGAATCACAAGAACAACGATATACCCACGTCGATAAAGTACGAGCGATTTTGATAAGAAGCAGGCCGTTTACGAGCGTTAACAGGCGTTCATGGAACTTGGAACAGATCGAGCAACGTTCCGTCCCGAATCGTTTAAGACACTTTACCGTTAATTCCTAACTTTCTATTGTGTAACTATACCGCTTTGAATATCTGTAGGTAGTGTAGCGTGGCAACAATGTATTTACAGGCCGTGTAAGTTTTACTACATGCGTATCTCTCGACGTAATAATTGTGCACGCTCGCTTCACTTTCAGGGAAAATAAAGATATCGAAGACGAATAGAATTATTGTAAACGCCGATTCGAATTGATGTTTTGTCCTTAAGAATTTGCAACATCAACAAGAGTAGGTAATAACACGGGGCGCAACGCTCGGACGACATACATATGTATATCTCGTTTGTGTCCTTTTAGGCCATTAAACGTTGCACTGCTGTCGACAACGCGTCTTTATTTCAACGAATACGAAACCAGCGAAAACTGGAAATTTCTTGGACATCTCGTAGACATCATTCGCAGCGAGATACGCAAAAATGAGCGAAAGTTTTATTCAACGAACAGGATAAAGTAGTGTAACTGTAAGGTAGTGTAAAGTGTTGTTCCCTTTACTACATACCTACTACAACTACATACATATACATATGTATGTATGTATGTATAGTTCTTGTTAGATATTAAGACTTGTCACACGAATAGCGACTGTACATTTCTTGCCGTTCGAGGTACTCCTCGTTCTTTCGATTTTGATGGAGTTGCTTTGCATGAGCTTGCCAGGCGGCTTCGGTTATTACTTTCCTCGCAAACAGCCTGTCTCTCCTGGAAAATCTGAAACGCGTCGCAGTAGCATGTATCCCCGCGTTTTGATATTACGAGAGACTTTATCACACCGTGTGTATGTATACATACATACCGTCGTTTGGTAGTTGAGACGTTCACGGCTATATTTTCCTTCTTCCCGTTAGCATATATGTATTATGTACTGTATACATACACATACATGTATCATTAGTGTGAGCTGAAGCTCTATCCATCCAAAAACCCGTCCACGAGAAGTGGAAATGATGAGATACGATCAACAATCGAATTGAGTCGTTGAATTGCATTAACCCAAAAACTTGGTATGCCCTGCAAGAATACTTTAGCATCGCGATGTAAATAATTGATATTTCACGTATGAAACGATAACTCTGAACGAGAGATTAAAGAAATGTTGGTTCGGACTAGCGGAGAGAAGCGTTGCATACCTACTAAATACTTGCAATTGCATTTTACGGCGTGGCGTGACGCGACATGACATACACATGTATTTAGGTACATACTCTAAGTACCTTGAATCGCTATTAAATGCGCGATTCTTCGTTCTCTACCGTCTCGTCTCGCCTCGCTACGCGGCCTTTGCTTTTGCTGATCTTGGGCAAATTGTCATCAGCCGGCAAACAACACCAGCAGGTGGTCGTCAATCGGACACCTTGCAAAAAGCTTCGGTATCGGTAATCAAGGCGTGTATGCGTGCGGCTCGGCGCATTCGGACGCATTCGGGCGCATTCGCTCGATCGATCATATTGAATTACAAATTGCTACGGAACGCCCTCGTGAAATACATATGTATAACCAGCATCGATTCGTCTTTATTCGTAACCGTTGTTACTCGTAGAATGCTCCGTTATCTCGAGTTGTTTATCGTGGCGTAGATACATACATACATACATACATACATACATACATGCATACATACATACATACATACATACATACATACATACACACATACATACATACATACACACACACATACATACATACATACATACATAAATACATACATACATACATACATACATACATACATACATACATACATACATACATACATACATACATACATACATACATACATACATACCGCATACCGTTCGAGTGCGCTGTCGTCGAAGGGGTGCTACGTTTCTACAAAAATGTAACACGCGCAATCATTTTGAACGATTAAATTATTTTTGAAAAAACAATGGCTCATGGAAAGAAAATGTAGGTACAGACAAAATGCTTTTACATGTGTGCGCTAGATCGAGAAGTAAATTGTCCTCGGTCGAGTGCTCCGAAGAAGCCACGTGATCAGGCAGGTGGGATTGGTGGCGGTCCAAAGAGCAGAAGCAAGATCAATAAGAAAAAGACTGGTTTTCCGTGATGCATGGCGCACCTGCTCTTCGTAGCGATACAAACGGAGAAGAGGTAAAAGAGCGTGGAGAATTGAGTCGATCTTATTTAGTCTTGCCACTGGTTGAAGAAAAATCTAGATCTTTTTTTCGGTGGACGTGGAAACGTCGTCTGTGCAGTGCAAGCGTATTTCAGTTGAATTTGGAAAACCAGGATGATCTAGCTTGATTACATTTCCACGTCGACGAGAGCTTGATAAGAGTACATACATATGTATATCGTCTTCACATATCGCGTCTATTACACACGTCGCAACAGAGAAACAGAAGGAAGCGAGTCGGTGTAATAGGGAGGAAATGCATCCCCTCTTTCTCAGAGAGAATATTTATCTCGAGCTACAGCAACAAAATAATAAACAGTAATAACATGTTCCAAAGAAACTTCTCGGAGCGAAAGCACTCTCGACGGAGGAACAAACACGTGCTTGTACACAACATGCATACATATATGTATGCGTAACAAACGCGCGTGCACCACGACCCCCTGAAGAAATAAAAAAAAATTTTGCTTCCGCTAGGGGAAAAAGTGACGTAGGAAAAGGACATTCTACTATACTCCTACCACTTGGTATTGGGAATTACTGAAATTTATTGCGAAATTAGCAATCGATCCAACATTTGTTTCAGTGCTTGAAATAAATTTACCAAGTGATAGGAGGCCCTTTTCTTGCGCCACCTTTTCCCCTAGTGGAAGCCCAGTTTGCTCGTGAGGGTATGTATCTACAGAAGTATGTACAAACACATTAGGAATATCATCGGTAGTCAGGGTACTCAAGCTCAGTCAAGCCAAGTCAAGCTTTACGCTGTCTAGTTAGTCTACACATGTACACATGGTATACATATACGTACAGACTGCGCGCGTTAATATTGACGGATAAAGCTGACAGCAACCGCGTCCCGGTTCACCACCGCATAGAAGTAAGGCTGGCCGGTTCGTGTTTGTTCCACTCCTGTAACGTCGTATACATATATGTAAAAGTCGAGTAGTTCGCTGACGAGAATTCTTCGTTACTTTTCGTTCGCTCACGTGAGTCTAGAATCTAGACTCTAGATCGAACTGTTGTTAATCCAAACGTTTCTCCACGTCCGTCGTTGAACAAGCTCGTAAAGCGTGAGAAATCCAGTTGCAAGCAAACAGGCTAATATGTACATACTTTCCTTTCCAGTAGGTATTAAATATATCTAGGTACTTCACTCGTACAAAAAATAAATTGCTACAATTAATTAATTGGACTGGAGTTCAGGAATGTTTACGTTTTCAGACAGACAACGTGGCTGACTGGAACGACTAAATTTCAGGTTCAGGGACTGAATAATCGATGCAGTTTAGTCAAGTCTTTCAGGGGTCGCTGGTCTCGTACACCGAAGAGCAAACTCGGCTTCCTCTAAGGGGAAAAAGGAATGTAAGGGTAAGAGCCTCTTACCGTTTCGTAAATTTATTTCAAATACCGAGTGTTAATTTGGCAAAAATTTCAGTAACTCTTTGACCAAGTTGTAGGAGGTCTTTCTCTTACATCACTCTTAAATCCGTTCGAAACAAGTTCGATCAACTATGAACAGTCAATCCTCGATGAGTGTTCGACGGCTCTTCGTCACTGATAAGAAGAGATCCCCAGGTGTAACGCTGACTTTTTAATGAGGTTTAATACAATGATGCCTAGTGCTGGCAATTCTGAAGCTTGGATTTTTTAATACTTTTTTTTTCACTCGCATATGGCCATTAGTTTACTGTATAGTTATCAATACCTAATTGGTAGATGGCATATATGTACATGCACATACATACGTATATGTATATGTACATATACAGTCCCGAGCCCCACGTTCCATGGGGGTCCCGTTCTGTACCTTCCATTTCGTTATGATTAAATGTTATTTAATTTTATTTAAAATAAATTTAAATTTCTGCAGATTTATGTGTTCATGTATTTTTGTTGTACTGCATTACAAACCCCCCGCTTTTCAACCAAGGGGGCCCCCGAAAATCTGATAGCCCTGGCCACGAAAAATCTTAAACCCTGGGCCTGTATGTATACATATGTACATATGTCTGTAGAATTTATTTTTCGTGGGTCGGCAGTCAGCGGTCTGCAAAAAAACAAGGTGCACGGTCGTTCGGCGAAAACGATTCACTTCAGGATTTTGTATACATATAATACATATACAGATATAATATACCTGGTATCGTCGAACTGCGATACGTAGTTGTCGCAAAGCGTAGTACATTCTCGAAATTATGACAAAAGAAAAAGTAGATACTTTGGGAATCGTGGCATTCGGTTGGATATCAAACGGTTCGCGATCGTAGGTCAATCCCTTTGTTGTTCTAGGAATAAAAGAGATTCAACGAGTAAGTGAAGAAAAGTCGATAGAATAGTTGCAGCGATGGTTGCCAGGGCGCGGGGAGACCCGTGCCTCTCGGCTAGTAGTAGTGAAGGTATGCAATAGTGGCGGCGGCGAACCAATCAGAAAGCGAGAGCACGGAGCGTGTGCGCGTTGCGGTCGAGCTGACGCGCCGGGTTGCTCAGTTGCTCAGAGTGAGCGTGGATGTTGCCCGCGTCGTGTCGCGTTGCGTTGCGTTGCGTTGCGTTCGGTTGCGTTCGGTTGCGTTCCATTCCATTCCATTCCATTCCATTCCACTACATCACATCGTGTCGTACTTGTGTACCGTACTCTGTATTTACCTTACCGTGTCGTATTCTTTAATTTCGTTCGATTCATCTCATGTACGATCATCTGACTCGATGCTATCGGTTCGTTGCTCGGTGTGATAAGTGTGTTTCGTGAATTTCGATCAAGCGCGCACAGGACTCTTACGTTGTTGCGCCGAATTACAAACGCTTCCGGCACAGTTGATCATTGGGAATCGGACATGACAGATCACATCGTGTGCGAAGGTATAGGA